GCTGTTCACATGGTTGATATGTGCAGTTACATACATACATACAGACATACTACAGACATACCTACATGCTTGCTATTGTATGTATGTATGTATGTATGTATGTATGTATGTATGTACATAAGTACTAGTGTTTAATGTTTGGGGGTGTATTCGGATCGTGAAGAACATGCTCCGTGGGGGGCGACAGATATATCCTTCCTTACTTCGACAACCTAGCGGTATATAGAGTAGTCAACAGTATTCTTAGCCATTATACTATAGTAATACTCGTTAGTATACTGTAAACACCGGGCGTTACCTAAGAATTAATTATAAAAGACACGTTTGAACGCCGTTGTGTATTATGGCTAAAAGGGAATGGAAAGTCTGGAAACAATCGAGAAGAAATAGTTCACCAGTGACCTATTTCAAAGCTGAAAAAGGAAAGAAAAAAAGGCTACCACGTGAACATCGGAGAGAAAGTTAACCAGAACAATGGATGTTTTTTTTTGCGTCAATCGGAGCGAGTTCGAAGGGGGGGGAATGGAGACCCCAGGGATAAAAGCTGGATGAATTAAGTAACAGATATAGATAGATAGCTACTTAGCTAACTGGAGTCTTGTAGGATGATGCATAGTTAGACCTATGGGGTATGTACAAGTTTTTTTTTTCCTTTCCTTCCTAGACTTTAGTTAGTTTCTTGGATCGAGAGAGGTGCACCTGACTGGAAGTATCTACGGATGGTCAGTATGCGTATGCGTATAACTGCCAGCTCGAATAAGTTTAGCATTCCTGGGGATGTCATATATACATGTTCGATATGGATTGGCGATGCAGGTCAAAAATAAATATTATATTACAAACAAAAAAGATCCAAAGGCAGGGAAATTAAAAAAAAAAAAAATTCAAAAGGGAGGTAGGGTAGTAGTTGTCGCATTTGACCCGGAAATTTAAATCTGGAACTGGGAATATCCGCAGGATCATGAGATCACAGGTAACATGAAGAAAGTATCGGACAGTCTCCAGACTGTGTTGTCGGCGAACGGGGTCTGGCCAGGCCATCAGGCTGACGGAGTACAAGAAACACTGACAGACCCCGGTCTGCAACTGACACCTTGTTCGTATCTCTGAGGCGAGGACGATAACCTTTTCGAGCTGTCTGCAATGAATGGATCAATCAATTGCTGGATGGATGTGACGGTGCAGCGGCATGCAGAGCATATGTAGGTTTAAGTATGCTGTGGAAGCAAAGCGCAGGCAAGCCACCGGCTACCACCATTCATATTACTCGACTTGAGAGCGCCGGCTCAAGGATCTGGACTTTACCTTGACATTTACACAGCAGTGCAGTTAACTGTGAAATCGAGAAAGAAAGAGAGAGAGAGAAACGGAAGATACCTTGCAATATGGTACTTGGGCGGTACTTGTTAGAAGAATGGTCACACCGCGTGCTCAAAAGTAGATTTTGGACATTTTTCTTCGAACATATGTCTCTGTTGGATGATGTTCCTTTGAGTGAGGCAGCCGGACCAAGGCAGGATATCATATTTCTGAGAAAAGTCTTGTTACATTACAGGCTACGGATTGAGGTCATTTCATATATACCATTTGGTACCGACCTAAGTGGTTACTTACTTAATTAGTTAGGTTACGGCTCGCGGGAGTGTCGTTGATCGAGGTTTTCAATATATCATTCATTCCTGCATTCCTACTTAGTTATCTCGATCTCTTTCTCTTTCGGTCCGACAAACATACGTAAGAGTCACTCGCTGCTATCACACACCAAGGACACGGCCACAGGTCAGACTGATGGGTACCATCAGGCCATCAGCCATCCATCAGGGAAAAGCTAAGCAAGCAAGAATGGCTGCCCCCCCGTAAACGGTTTAGAGCCGCCAAGCTAGCATCCTCGCAGCCGCATATCCCTTCCTCCCTCTGGTATCAATGACCTCCGGCTCCTATTTGCTGATACGCACCCGAGTTCGCGCCATAACTTGCCCTTTATCTCTCCTCCCTCGAGTGGCTCTGCGGTGTATTGTTTGGTTGTCCGCTCTGGCAAAGTAATTGAGATTATGAAGTATGTACCAGGTGACTCCATTCTCGCTACATCACACATCATTTTCCAGCTCCCCAGACCCCGGGTTAAGTGGTACCTGAGAGGAGCTAGCTAAGTAAGTCAGTAGCTTAGCAGGAAACTTAAGGCAGGGCCGAAGAACGAAGGATGAACGAAGGTCCAGGACGGGGATTTGCTTGATTGAGTTCCCTACTTCTTCCTTTCTTTCTTTCTTCCTTCTCCCTCATATCCTGAATAATCCATTCCTTCTCTTATTCTTCCTCTTCCTCTTCTTCCTCTTCCTTTTTCTTCCCCTTTCTTCTTCCCCTTCTTTACTTTCCTTTCCTCTTTTTAGTTCCCTTTTCGACGGCCGACCAGCTTTTCTGACTGTAAATAGTATACTTGCTGACAGTATACACCGAATACCCATTACCAATACCATATCATACCCGTGCTCTCTTTTTTTAAAAATTTGGCTGTTGGCTGAAACCAATTTTATGAGAAATCCTCGACATTGCGACCTTTTTTTCTTGGGAGGCTAAGCTTGATATATCGTTCGAGTCATAGCTGCTGCTGTTGCTGCCGGCGCTGCTGTTGTGGTTGCTGCCAATCCTAAAAAGGTCCAATCCCAAATTAAAACCAACGTTCCGAACCCGCTCTTGAATGAGTAATAAGTGTACAAAATCCATCATACGACACTTCTTCCATATTGTTTAACCCTTTCCACCATCTTATTCCTCTTCAATCTTCTTCTTGTCTTTTCGTTCCTAGACGGGGTTTCACAGCGAAGCATCAAAGACATACCATCCAAGCCTCGGGGCCTTTTTCTGTATTATCAGATCCATCGTATCTCTTCTTTCGGCTTTCTCCTAACCTTAATCAACCTTGCAAACTTGCCTGGACTGCCTGGCCTCGGAAATTTATTCGCTTCCAGAAGACCCATACCAAACCGTATTCCAAGCTTTTATTTTCTTCTCTTATTTCGCTCGCTTCGTATCGAGGACCTGAATCCTTTCTCCTGCTCTTTTGGACCGGGGAAAAGAAGAACAAAAGTAAGTCAGTGAGTTTAGCAATTGTAGTAGTTGCATGTAGTAGACAGAGCAAGATATTTTGAGATCCGGAGCGGTATTTACATACGTATGTACGTATGCATACCTGCATATATGCCCCCCTTCATATATACGTACATCCGGGTCGAATCTCTCCAATCCTTATCCGTTACGTATCGTATCCCACTATACCGTATTTTTTTGCCCTTTTCCCCCTCTCAGCATAATACCTTATCATATCATATCATATCATATCGCATCACATCACGGCACGGCACATCTTTGGCTAGCTGGCTGGCCTCTGGCCGTCTGTCTGTCCGGCCGGGGCCAAACAAAAAAGCACAAAAAGAGGCAGATAAATCTCTCGTAGGTTTGTCTCGCTTGTACTGTGCGATTACGCACGCGGCTCAGAGAAACACGTTTTCCTGTCGTTTGCTGCATGCAATCGTTCAGCGAGCTTCGAGGATTTTCAAACGAGCAGCTCGGTAGCGTTCCTCTTTGGTATTGCATTGGTTCAATTTTTGGTGGATAAACTGGGTGACTGTGAGAGATCTGTTGAGGAACGCCGGTTATACTATTTTGCTCGTCCATGAGGTCTTTGCAATTGAGTGGTTGGTGTTTTTTGGAACAACCGGAAGCTTGCTAGCTGCTTAGGAAGGAGCTAGTAGGAAGCGGGTAGTGGGTGTTTGGCGGTGAGGTTGATAGACAGACAGATGGTGGGAGGTTGTTCTGTTCTGTCTTAAGCTTCATCACTATCACTTTACTCCTCACGGTCACAGCTAGTCCCAGCCAGTCCACGCCATCTCATCTCACCACCATCACCACCATCACCACCATCACATCACCATCATAACCGCAGCTGGACTAGCTTCAAAGCTGCAGCCGAGCATATCCTTCCTTCCTTTGCCTCCTTCCACTCGATTCTATTCCTCTTCCTTCTCCCATTCCCTTCTTTCATTCCGAGTAGTTGCGATTTAGTATAGTTGCCAGTCTTATTAATCATCTTCAGCTTAGCGAAGTTGCTCTTGCAACCTCACCGGACTCCGGACTTGACTCCCCCATTCCCATCCTCCGATACCACCACGGCCACGGCCACGACCACTCTTACTACCGTGCAAACATCCAAACTCTCTCGCTCCATCTTCTAATACGATATAGCAAAAAAGGACTTCATCGTTATTCTTACCGATACCTCGGAACCTGCCTCGCTCGTGCTACCACTAGCTAGTTCTTCATCCGTCGGCTTCGCTTCGTTTGGTCTGTAGCGTTCCAAGGATAGGTCCAACAATAGTAAACCGCACCAGGGAACCTTCCGGCCTATCGCCCCATTCGTCACCCTGCATATTCCAAACTTCGGGTTCTCCCCACACGATATCCCACCGTTTTCCTTAGGAACTTCATTCCCGACAATTTTTTTTCTCCTTCTCCTGTCTGCGACTGCAATCTAAAATCTATCGTTTTGACCTGAAAAGAAAAAAAAGTCCAAAGGAACAAGAAGAAGACCTTTAAAAAACCACCGTCTAAGCCACTCCAGTTTCAACCTTTCCCAAAAGTTGCTGCTTATGACGCAGAACGAACGGTAGTCGACCGTTTTTTTCTTTCTTGTGTGTTTTTGCTGTCTTTCGTTTTGTTCCTCCCTCTTCCCCTTCGTTTCTTGATTTCTTCTAAGCCTTGGGGAAGGTTCTCTCTATAATCTTTAAATAGAGAGTGTGAGGGGGAGGGAGACAGGGGACCAGACCAGGTGAACAATCCATCATCACCGAAAAAAGCTGCTGAAAGCTACCCCAGGCAAACACCAAGCAAAACCCATAGTATAGGCGGACTAGCCTTCTTTGCTTCTTCTTTTGTCCTTTTAGCTTTCAAGTCTTCCCTTCGAATCGACAGCCAAAACATCCTTTTGAAACCTTTCAAAGTTCAGCATGTCGTCTCGACAACTACCGCCCGAGATGACTTCACAAGATACCGTCGTAGGTGCCTTTAGGATAGGCAAGGAAATAGGCAGGGGGTCTTTTGCTACAGTTTACCAGGGTGTACATTCTGTGAGTGGCCTTTTTTTCCCTCGTGAAGAAGGAACAGATAAATTCATTCCCACAATTCTGGTAAATTGCTTCCTGTGTGACAAGAAACGGCGGTGCTAATTCGAAATTATTCGATGTAAAAAATGTAGCAAACGAAAGGCCTTGTAGCCATAAAGTCCGTCTTACGGAGCAAGTTGAACCGAAAACTTCTCGAAAATCTCGAGTCCGAGATCCAGATCCTCAAAACTCTCGATCACCCGCATATTGTAGCCCTCCTAGACTGCCAGAAATCGCATACGTACATACATCTGGTTATGGAATATTGCTCTCTGGGCGATTTATCGTTATTTATAAAGAAGAGGGATCGATTACACACTCTACCGGACTTGACAGCCATGTCACAGAAGTATCCGAGCATCGGAGGTGGTCTGAACGAAGTAATTATTCGGCATTTCCTTCAACAACTCGCAAGTGCTCTAGAGTTCTTACGAAGCCGGAACCTGATCCATCGAGATATCAAGCCGCAAAACCTGTTACTTGAACCCCCAGTGGTCACGTATGGCGAATCTGGACCATACTCGGAAGGAATAAGGGACGAGAAGCGGAAGATTCCCGAGATGGGGTTGCCGGATCTACCGGTACTCAAGATTGCAGACTTCGGATTCGCAAGGAATCTGCCTTCGACAGCGATGGCGGATACACTCTGTGGGAGTCCTTTGTATATGGCACCCGAGATTCTAAGGTATGAGAAATACGATGCTAAGGCAGATCTCTGGTCTGTGGGTACGGTGCTTTACGAAATGGTTGTGGGAAAGCCGCCATTCAGGGCGAGGAACCACGTGGAGTTGCTTAGGAAGATCGAAAAGGGCGAAGATGTGATCAAGTTTGGAGACGACGTGAACGTTAGCGATCCGATGGCTAGTTTAGTACGGAGGCTCTTGAAGAGGGGCCCAGTGGAAAGGATGTCGTTTAGCGACTTTTTCAGCGACCCTGTGGTCAAGGGGCGGATACCTGGAGCAATCTACCCCAGGATACAAGGTGGAATCGATCTGACACCTGCGGATTTGAGGCAGAAGGGTCACGACAGAGAAGGTCCGAAGACACCAACGGGGGCGGAGCCGAGCATTCCAGACTACTTCCCAACGAGATCATCCCACCCGACTCCTGGTTCTTCACGACAGGCCCAATATACCGGGTATGGAGATAACCTACCCGAAGAGGGTCATCGACCATCGGCTTTTGCCAACATTCCTCGAGCGGCTACGGCCTCCACTGTGCCCGTTCAACTGTCTAAGACCCCAGTTCAAACAGGGTTGGGACGCCCGAATATTCATCACGCAACTTCAGCACCGGTAAGACAACCCGAAGTCGACAGACACGGTGTTTCCACAGGAGTGCCCATGGAGAGGCAATTGTCACAGCAGACAGCTTCTCCTGGATCCTCATTCCTGATACAACGACAGGACCAGCAGCGAACAAGACAAGCTGCTCGAGAAAAGGAAACAAAGGAAGCGAAAGAACGCATGGATCAGGACAACCTCGATCAAGAGTACGTGGTTATTGAGAAGCGTACCGTAGAGGTTAACGCACTGGCGGACGAGGTCGCTGCGGCTCCACAAATTACAGGGAGGTCGCCTTCCTCAACACCAAAAGGGGGCGCACTTGCTAGGAGGGTGACTACAGGGCAATCCACACCCTCTCGTGCTGTAGTTGGCAAGAGGCCGGAATCATTCCAGCAGCCGAGGAACAGCTACGAGAGGAAGTTCGGAACAAGCCCTGGGAGCGCTGCAACTTCGGCATTAGCTAGGGCTCTTGCTATGGTGAATACTCGTCTCAACAATATCGGTATTCTTCCTCCTTCGGTGTTCGGAAACTACAATACGGCCATGCAAAGCCCGCAATATGTATCGTCCGGTCTTTACCAGCCAGGTAGTATGGTGGTCATCGGGGGTCAGAACCCCAGCACCGCGACGGGCTTGTCGGAAGAAGATTTCCAGGCCATTCAGTCTATTGAGGAGGCTGCCAACCGCAGCGATGTAGTATATCAATTTGCGGAGGTCAAGTTCTCGCAATTGTTACCTTCGTCTTTACCCAGTCCAACCGCGAACTTGGGTTTGCTCCCACCTTCAGCTAGTGAGCAGGGTGCGGCTGAGCCATTAGATTTGCCACCAGATGCTATTGTCGCATTGGCAGAGGAGGCACTCGTACTCTATGTCAAGACACTGTCCTTACTCGCAAGGGCTATGGATATCGCTGGAAGGTGGTGGGGAGTGACGAACGGAACTGCCAATGCAACCGCCATTTCTAGAATGAACAATGCTGTGCAGTGGGTTCGCGAACGCTTCAATGAAGTCCTTGAGAAAGCAGAGTACACCCGCCGCAAGCTTATCGCCGCACAAAACCAGCTACCGAGGACACACGCTTCCCACCCCTCGAATAATCCGAAAACCTCTACATCCCCGGCACTTGGTGTTAGCGTTGAAGGGGTGGTTTTGAGCCCTGGAGTAAGCGCTGAGAAGCTTATGTATGACCGTGCGCTGGAAATGAGCAAGACAGCGGCGGTCAATGAAATGGTCGGGGATTCATATGGGGAATGCGAGATCGCATATGTTACGGCAATATGGATGTTAGAGGGCGTATTGGAACCTGATGATAACGGGCGTAATACGCTTGGGGAAAATTCCTCTGAGGGATTGCTGAACATGGAGGAGGATGATAAGAAAGTCATCGAGAAGTGTGAGTACTCTGAACGTTTTACAATGTGAGATTGTAGGCATGGTGCTAATTGTTTGTTTCTAGTTATTCTTGGTATCCGTGGGCGTCTGTCTGCACTGCGGAAGAAGATGGCGACAATATCAAGAAGGTCGTCCGGTGGGATGCCGTCTGGGACACCTACTGTTCCACTTTCCCCACCGCATTCGCCAAAGCCGATGAGTACTTGAAGGGATATTCGCTACTGGCCACAGCTACGTGCCCGATGCAATGGGTGTGCCTTCACTTTCGCTTCGTTGATATCACCTTTTCCTTCTTTTCACTTCAGGTTTTTTTAATGTTTAAAGGTTCGTATCTAGTTCATTCTCTAGCTTCCCTTTCTCTACTCGGTGGCTACGAGACTTAGTTCTTTTAGCCTAATGGCTTTTCTCTTTTCTTTCTTTCTTTCTTTCTTTCTTTCTTTTTTTTTTAACTTTGCAGGGCAAATACACACGTACACGAAGTTTAGCATTCCACCCCGGATTTCCGGGAGTTCTCCTTTGATATCCTTTAATTGCTTGGTTCTCTTGATTTGGAAAGCTTTTTTTTTTCGTTTTCGTTATAGATGAGATCGCGATTTTTGTTACCTTTCGGCGAGCTTTGTTTTCTATGGATTTTGAACAAGATTGATAGTGCTTTCCTTGATTTGCTTGCTTGCTCGCTTGTCGATTGGTTTCCTTATTCAGCAACGGGGAGTTATGAGATTGTTCTCTCTCTTTTTGCTTTACGTTCCGGCACGTTTACAATACCTCTCCGCTGCATCCTTATCTCTACTGCTATTTTTGTCCAACGTTTTTTTCTCTGAGTTTTTTATGTTTTATGAAGGGTGTTCAGTTTTTTGATATCCGGACTGTGTTTATCTATTACTTTTTGCAGTCTTCCTCTCTCTCTCTGTCTTTTTTTTAATTCATAGGGAGGTGAACCAGATTGATAACTTGCTCGATTTCGCTGTTACTTCTACTTTTATTTTTATTTTTCTTCCAAAGATGGATCAGTATTATTAGTGTGTTACTATTACTACTATTTTACTGTTACTATTACTTTTTTTATACTTTTTATTACTACTACTGTTACTATTACTACTCATGGGCAGATAGTTAGTATTCATATCGTTTGGATCATCATCATCATCATCATCATCATCATCATCATCATCATCATCATCACGGGAGGTGAATTGGTGTTTCTTCTTTTTTTTTCAAACTCTTCTTTTGGATGGCGGGGGTACCTGGATTTTTTCTGTTGGGTGTCTTTTTCCTGATGAAGGGATGGCGGTAGGATAGGATGTTGGTATTTTTGGAGATGTTTCTATATTTATAGGGAATGAAATTTTTGAATTTTTTAATATACCTTTTTTTTTCTATGAAGTGCCTCTTGTGATCTATTTTATGTGCTATGGCTTCTGTTACCTTTGCTGTGCCATCAGCATATAACTACTACTTAAATATTCATGCCTGCAAATTTCTCTGGAGCCGTAGCGTTACTTCTTGACTCCCATAGTTTGTCCTTTCGCTGTTTCCGATAGAGGTGTTGGAAGTACCTAGAGATGTGCCCAATGGCATTATCTTCCTAAGGCAGCGACCCGGAGCGCGCCAGCGTCAATGACCTGCCATTTTTGTCCATCAGCTCAGCTTGCCCTCATACATGATGACAACAGTTTCACAGTCTTGTCAACCAAGAAGAACTTAGACAACCCCCCCAATAGACACCATCCCAATTTTGTTCTTTTGGGGTTTGATATAAGATGAACCGGTGATATTGCGACATAAGCTTACTGTCCATTTTGACCTGGTATCATTGCATTTCTTTTTGATTAATTTTCTTTTGCTTACCGTTTGAGCTACTTATATACTGTGTTTTAGGAGTGTTAGAGTATAATAATCGTAATAATCGATAGAATACTTTTTTACAGGCTGGATATCTCAAATGCAACATTGAATAATCCTGATTACAGGATTTCAACTCTACAAACAGATCACGAAACAAAAATATAAAACTAATGCTTATATATCACTAAAGTTCAAGTCATTATTCACTGATACATGCAATGCATACACAAATAGTATTACTGTTAATTAGTTGTATGCACTTGTCTTCTCGATAGAACTATCTAAACACTTAACCATAAGAAATATGGATAAATAATCTTTAAATTGCCCGAAGCTTTCTCACAACGAGTGAGTGAGTGCTTGTTGCAATTATTGCATAACCTCATCGTATTTGCCTTGCTTGTCAAAGACTATGGCAATGTTGTTGACTGTGTTCAGTCTTAACGAATGATTTTTGCCCAAAGCCTTCTTATAGCCGGCAAGTTCTCGCTGGTATTGTTGTATAGCCTCGCCGTATTTGCCTTGATTCCAGAAGACTGCGGCGGTGCTGCTGATCGAGAACGTAAAGCAAGGTTTTGTTTCCGGTCCCCACATGATGCGGATTAACTCTGAAAATTTAAGCGCTATATATCGATTTAGATACTCTAATAAACTACAACCCTTGCTTCCTTCCGAGCATCCCACTTGCCACACTCTCGCGACATATTTTCCCGTCGAAGGACTTCCACAATGATCCTCACAGCATCATCCATAGCTCGCAATCATTCCGGGGGGGGGTTTAACGTTCTCGCGCCCATGAGTGTACGACAGGATGAACTTAGAATACTTCAGAGCGGATTATGAGAATCCCATGCTGAGTTTGGTCTTTCGACCTTATGTGGTCATCGCAGCCGAGTCTGTCATAGTGTGGCTCGATGCTAGTGATTATAGTTACCCTGCTATCCAAAAGCTGGAGTATAAAGGCACCAGTTAGCCGTCGGCCTCATAGACGTGTGTTCCACCTGCATAGATAGAATTATACATATCCAAATCGGCCTAAAAATTTCCCAAGGCTAAGCTTATACCCAAATCCCCATTCGATTCTACCAGCCGTGACAATGGCTGCCTCGGGTTTGTTACTGGATCTTCTGGTAGAAATGGCCATTCCCAAACTACCTGGCGGAGAACAAGTACCAACCGGTGCGAGGGTTACTCCAGCCGTTCCTCAAGTTTGAGAGCCCCTATTTACTAGCGGCTCGTCAAACCCTGCATTGGCAGATAATGCCTTGGGGTTGGTACCAATCTATGCTGGTCATGAAGAGCATATTGAAATTCGAGCTCAGGACCTTGATGCCGAGTCTGAAGATGAATTCGAAACGGGAAAGTATATAATGTCACTTACGGAAGAGGAGCATAAGAAGGCGGGGGCAGGCTATAGTGGACATTAAACAGTTTAAAAGGATTTTGGAATCTTCACTGAAGGTAACTGTTTTCATATCAATCTTGGTGTTCTTGAAGTTGGAATCATATCTAGCAGAAACGTTGACAAATGACTAAACGGGGCCTAGGTAATACCAACCTATTCGTCTATGGTGTCGACGAGGAGACTGCCATAAAGCGTTTGGAAGTTGTCGAAGAAACTATCCGCGATAATCTTCTCTGGGAAACTGTCTGCGTCCGCACAAAAGATGCGATCACCATTGTCTCACAACGCCTCAATCGCTCCGTCCGGATCAATCTCCGCTTACATTCAAGTATTGGTCAAATCCTGTATGGTTACAATTGTGATATCGACTGCGTTGGTGTTGCGTACGATGGTCAGCAGGTATATACGACGCCACAAGGTATAGCTTCTTGGATGCTCCGGTGTAATACAGTAGACTCGACTCTCTGTAGTCCATGGGGCTCGTATGAATCACTACTTCAAAAGTACAGAGACCGCGGCTTTGAAATCTTCTACCTGAATCTTCAGCGCCAGGTAATTCATCCTTCAATTTATAAATTCCCGACAAACCAACTTCATGGGCTTGCGAAGCTGGTTGTTCTTGAAAGACGCCGGGTTCGGACAATTATTAGTATCGTAAGAAACAGGATGAGTTCGATTCTAGCTCCAACAAGCACACCGGGTTCCTTCATTCTACAGTTGTCAGGCGGCCCGCTTGAATCTTATTTCCACTTGCTCCCGGATGGAACTGTTGTCCTCGTAGAGGTTGATCCTATCTCCGCATCAAGGTTTCGTCTAGAACGGGGCCCTTGCCCTCGATCTCAGCCCTCCTCCATGCGCTCCTTCTGAATCGAATGGGGCCGAACCAGCTGAGTGCGAAATCTCGATTCCGGATGCATATACAGTACACTCCCACGTAAAAAGATACAGGATCTGGTCTATAACAAGGGCACACTCCTGAACGAGTGGATGGGGATGCACACAAGGATCGTGAAAGGTATCTTCACCGCCATCCCGCTTTGTTGGAAGTACTTTCAAGAGCGTTATCGAAAGTTGGTCAGACAAAAAGCGACCTAATCTATCACTATATTGCCTCAACCTTAAAAAAATGGTTTATCAATAATTTCCCACACAACAGCCGCTTCGCCCGAAGTTGCAAGCCGCATATACACCCCATACGCCCTGGAACACTCAACGCCATCGCTAGGCCCTTCTCAATTTTGGTCTTCTGATTGTGCCGACGTATGTGTAATATCAATACTGGGGTTCTCCGTTAGAATTATCATAAGTTTGCACGGACGATGATCTGTAGAATGCTTGGTGGGTCGTTCTGAAGAGCATCTTGGTGGCTCGGCCGTATAAGGCCGCAGGTCGCCTCTTATATTATTCTGGCAATATTCAACTCAAAGGTATATACGCGGGTCGTGTCTCCGGAGGAGACAATATTTAAATCTTGTGTCAGTGTTTTTACTAATCTCCGTAACATCTTCGCTAAGATGAGCGGGTAGTATCACAACCTACTTCTGTTTCGGCGACCGGCGAGCATATCCTCGGTAATTATAAACCTGTGGCTTCTCCCTTGCAAAGTGCAATTGTCCACTCCGACGCGCCGGAGCAGCTCCCTCAGTCGAATATTTTCCTCGACGACTCGCAATGCCGCGACTTGGACCTCTGGGGCGGCCTGGACACCTTGCTGCTGATAATCTCGCAGCTTGCGTTCGAGTTCTTCCACATATTCTTTCTTTCGAGTCCTGTGCCTCCGCTTACTTTCGCGGATTCTCTCTTGTACTCGCTATATACAAATTCAAAGATCATTTTAGCAGCGACCTACTTGAAGATTTCTTGAGGAACAAACCTGTCTGCTAGGTATATCTGACATTGTGGCGGAAGAGTTCCGTGATTATATAGAAGTGAAGATAAAGGCCGCGGAGATTTGCTAATTAGAAGTATCTAGAGACAATGGGTGGAAGGCTCTGGCGGTGGCTGCGACAGCTTTACCAAGAGAAACACTGCATTGGCTTGACATGCTTCTGCTGCTTGGTATGTCACTCGCGATATCCAATTGGCTGCCGAACCCGTTTATATTATATGTATTATAGCTTTAGCGAAACTTCGTTTCCATCAGGTGTTTAGATATCTTTTACTTCGCATATAACAAAAGGATCAAATTTCATCCCGGGAGTCAACGCAAATGTTTCAATTAACGGAATCTCTAACTCGTTTTCAACCGGTATTTTTTCATCCTTCCTCGTTATGGATTCTAGGACTATCTACCAATACGTCCAAAGGCGATACGGCTCTGTCGCTCGAGCCGAGAATCCTCAATACAGTTGTGCCATTGCCAAAGCGTTTGGTTACTCAGAGGAAGAGATCAACAGTGTACCTAGGGATGCTAACCTGGGGCTGAGCTGCGGGAATCCACTTGCAATTGCAAGCCTCCGCCCCGTAAGCTTTATTCATCGTTTCTATTTTGCTTCGAGTAACTGATAACTGCATGCAGGGCGAAACGGTCGTAGATTTGGGCAGTGGTGCGGGTTTCGATGTTTTTCTCGCAGCAAAAGGGCTTGGAGCAAATGGGCACGCCATTGGTGTTGACATCAATAAGGTAATGAGCGCCTACGAAATACCCCCGATACGCGGACTAGTATAATAGTGAACCCGAATATCGTAGGATATGCTTGCCCGGGCCCGCGAGAACCTAGCAAAATCGCCAGAAGCAGGGAACATTACGTTTATCGAGGCAAATATTACATCTATCCCGCTCGATAATAGTGTTGCCGACTGCATCATTTCCAATTGTGTCATTAACCTCGTGCCTGAAGCCGATAAGCCAGCTGCATTTGTCGAGATGGCTCGCATTCTCAAACCCGGCGGCAGGGTCGCAATTTCGGATATCTTGGCGCGGAAGACGCTACCCCCCTCGCTGAAGGAGGATGTTACTCTATATGCAGGGTGCATCGCCGGAGCCGCCACAACCGAAGGGTATAAGCAATTTCTAAAAGATGCAGGTTTTTCAGGTAAGCTAAACGGTGGTTTTATTAATACGATGTCTATTACTGCAGAGGGCTAACTAGGGGTAGATATCTTGATCGTTGACACAGAAAGTGACCTGAACATTTACGTGAACACGGCGAATCTCTTACAGGGGAGCAATGAAAATGCTGCTGGTTGTTGTAGACAACCAACTGAAGCAGTCGATTCCCCTACAGGGGAAAAGGCAATAGGAAAAGGAAACGTATCTTGTTGCTCACAGGTAAAGATGGAAAGACAGCCTTGTTATGATGCTGCTGTCGGTGGAGCGGCCCTGCTCTGGGAGAGCAATACCGATGCACCATCGAAGACAAACCTAGTGAGCCAAGATCTCGAAACCACTGATTCGAGACTTAATGGTATTGATCTCAATGAATGGGTTGGTAAGTGCTACACGCATCGTTAATCTCCCTGATGAATATATTATTAATCTGTGCTTGCTTTTACAAGGGTCATTCAAAATCTTTGCTATAAAACCTTGATTCCAGACCAAAAATATTTTCCTTTGTAAAATCACCTTTGCACCAGTGGTATTTCTAAAACTACGGACACGTACTTAACCTATAAGTATTTAGATCAAGGCTTCTCAACTTGTTTGCGGCTGTATTCTCCGCTATGGCAGCCCAAACCTTCGTAGATATTCTTTCCCATACTAGCTTAGACGTAGTCTCTCAATTAACGTTTCCTCGTAATGCCACCCTGACATAACGCAGGTGACGAGGAATGTCCTCTTGCTGCTTATCAGGGAATTTGCTGCCGGATAGATGAGGTGCTAGGTTCGGGTGGCGGCAAAAAGTTCTTAGTTCATCCAAAATTGAGGGAGATAAACGAGTGTCACAGGTAAATTTGTATTGATACTGTAGAAAGGATCTCTGGAAGCATGGTGACGTGCTATATTGGTTCGAAATGATTGGAAGTTTGGCTAACGTGGAGGCTAGAACCCAGAAGATTTATTGGTAATTTGTTTTTGGGCAAAGCATAATGCCAGCAGTCGTGTCACCGCTGAAATCTGATTGGCTAATCCCAAATCGCTTGAAAGGGTAAAGCTTGGTACGACCTAAAAAAAAATACCACATAAAGTGGCCCAGCTCCTCCTATGGTCATTTCATACCCAAATCTCGCCGAAAAACGATATATTTGCGAAAATATCCACTTCAATATCTTAGATATATCTTTTCTTTAACCGACCATGGACGAGCGAAAGGAAAAGGAACCAGCTAAAGAAGCAGAACTGGAAAGCCAAAATGCGAGAGAAAAGCCAAACACTAAATTGTCGACATTCAAATCCCTGGGATTCCTCGATCGCTATCTTGCCCTATGGATACTGTTGGCGATGGTCATAGGAGTCCTCCTGGGGAATTTCGTCGAGCAAATTGGGCCTTCCCTTCAGAAGGGTAAATTCGTAGGAGTTTCGGTGCCAATAGGTTAGACACCTAATAATAGCTATATAACTTCACTAGACTAACGGACGCGATTTTTTTTTGCCTAGCGATTGGACTGTTGGTCATGATGTACCCTATCTTATGCAAAGTTCAGTACGAGATATTACATCATATTCTTCGGAAAAGAGATCTATGGATTCAGATAGTATTCAGCGTCTTCGTGAATTGGATTGTCGCGCCCTTTCTGATGGTATTCGTCCTTCGAGTATTACGAGATTAGCAAGGCATTGTACTGATATATTGGATAGCTTGGATTAGCATGGGCTTTCTTGCCAGACAAAAGTGATCTACGAACGGGGCTGATTTTGGTCGGTTTGGGAAGGTGCATTGCTATGGTAAGTATGAGGGAAACGTTGTATTTCACGTCGATCTAATCTCACCATCCGCATTTAGGTTCTGATATGGAATGGCCTCGCAGCTGGTGATGAGAACTACTGTGCGATTCTGGTCGTCGTTAACTCCGTTCTTCAAATGGTTTTGTTTGCACCACTTGCAGTACTATTCATTAAAGTGATCAGTGGCAGTGGGGAACTCGAGCTTTCGTACTCAACAATCGCGACGAATGTGGCAGTGTTTCTTGGAATACCATTGGGGGCCGCTATTTTGACCAGGCTCCTCATTCGACAATTTGCCGGACCTGATAAATACGAGGTTTTCCTGAAGTGGCTTTCTCCGTGGTCGTTGATTGGCCTACTCTATACTATTCTTGTTCTATTTGCTTCTCAGGGTCGTCAGGTTGTCCACCAAATCGTCTCTGTAGTTCGCGTCGCTGCACCTTTAATTGTTTACTTTGTCGCCATTTTCATCGTCACGCTGTATGTGACATACAGGCTTGGTTTTGGCTATAAGTTAGGTGTTACACAGAGTTTTACAGCCGCCAGCAATAATTTTGAGCTAGCTATAGCGGTTGCTGTTGCAACTTTTGGTCCCAACAGCGATCAGGCGCTTGCATCGACTGTAGGTCCTCTTATTGAGGTCCCTGTCTTAATTGCTCTGGTGTATGTAGTCCGATTCATAGGCAAGAGGTGGAATTGGAAAGATTAATTTTGCCTCTTCTTCGTCTTGATATTCTAGTATATTTTAAATGTAATCACCTAGAAAATCTATATATGTTCCTAAAAGTTTGGAAGATTGGTTTCTTGATTTGCTTAGACGGGCATGTCAAACCCAGTCTTAATCCCCACCGTCGCGTAGTGTGCGATGAGGATGGTTCACAGATCGATGTGAGAGGAAGACTTAGGAGTAAAGTTAGGAGGATAGGATTAGATAATATCTCTAAATAGTTTACTTTGTTATCGAGAAATCTCTTAACAGGGTGTGAGCCGCAACCAGAACCGACTCCACCAGAAATTTCCATGATAGAAAAGCTCTTCCAGACCTTTTTGCCGAAAATTAGCACCACCAATCATATTTCAGTGGTGACAGTTCAAGTCTGGGTTGTGTCATATGTCTGTCTGGCAACGCTAATGCCCATTATCGGGGCCGGGGATAGTTATGGTGGCTATAAAACCCTCATCAATTCGTAGCCGTTTCAAGTGAGTAAATGAACGTATTTTCATACAATCTTCGTACATGTTGCTTCAACGATCTTATCTCTTCGAAACACCGGTTAAGATTCTTTCCAATCGCCTTCCAACTAAGCCAATGGACTCAGAGCGGTCCGCTGTTGCCCCTCCAGCTCCATGGTATTCGGCCTATCCCGCACCAAGGAGCGACACTCCCAATAAAATCACATCCGGAGAAGTCCTGGAGCTATTAAACGGAGTGGACGTTTCAGGAGCGCAGGATTTTGTATTGATCGATGTCCGACGGAACGACTATGAGGTGACGACGCCTTCGTTTTAGGATGTCTCTTTGAAAAGAAACAAGAAAAATCAATTTTATCTTACTATCTGTTAATCTATTAAACTGACATCTTCTGGCGAACAGGGAGGATCCATACGTGGCTCTATAAATATACCTGCGCAGAGTTTCTATACCACAATTCCATCATGGTACGCATTGTTCAAAGCCGCTGGAGTGAAAAGGGCGATTTGGTATTGCAGTAAGTTTTCCTTTATCCTACTACCTCAAAACCTTTAAAGTACGTGTGATCTAAGTAATTACACTTTCATTGATCCAGATTCAAGCCGAGGGAGAGGCACGAGATCTGCATTATGGTTCCAAGACTATATAGATGACAATAATGACGCTGAGCTTAAGACTATGATTTTAGTCGACGGAATCAAAGGGTGGGCAACTAGCGGGGATGAGTATGTTGAGAGAATGGATGAATACGTGGAGGGTTACTGGAAGTCAAGTTAGCATGAAGGTAGCAGAATAAACACCACACGTATACACATGTACTAGTAACAAACTATTTTGTAGAAATAGGCACTGCACAGATTGAAATTGTGGATAAGAAGGAATATTTCTGTGTCGATTAATATCCATACAGAATTTGATCTAAATTTTTCAGGAACAATCAAATTTTATCTTGTTTATCCTTCTTCATCGCCGCGGCTCTCTTCTCTCTCACTAAAACGATCTACGGACAAATCGGCGTGCCTATATTGTGGCGGACGGTTGGAAGTTTTATTATAGCACAATGGGTTAATAATGTGTAATAAATAATTTAACACTGATGTGTTGTGGGTTTTTGAGGGAGCCAATGCTTCCTAATTTGGAGCCTCAAGAGTCCTTAAACGAAGCAAGGTACATCCATAAACAACCCCTTCTGCTCTAGCTCTGGAATAACTTTCAAGCGTAACTTGAGTTTAGAAGTACTCATATAGATTGACGTCATTACCACAATTGGTAGATTGCTCGAAGATCGTGTGGTATTTTGAGAGGTCCAACGCGTCTTTGTTTAATCGAAAAAGTCAACCATGCAATATAATATTCTGTTATGGTGGGGTGAGCGACATTCTCATCAAACGTGGATAAGATGTAACCGTCGAATCATATTGCAACCGCTACGATCTGGCTATCAGGATCGTATTGCGAGCATGCATTTTCTTTCTTTCTTTCCTTACTCTAAAAAAAAGAAGGATGGGGTGTTGATGGTTGAGATTACTTTCTTTTTATTCCACCTCCTTTTAGATATACACATATATACAGTATATATATATTTAAGTACTTACCCGCCGAGGTTTTACGTATATTAAATACGATACTTTCTACTTCATTATTATTATTAGTAGTATTATTTACTATTTTTATGGTGGAAGTTTTATAACTATGGTACTTACAGGTTGTCCCAAGGCCATGAGGCATACCTTATCTTTTATCTTATTATATGGTAGTTTCTACGATGCGGTGGTATTGGCACAGACGTCGACGATTACAACAGAGACTGTGTATACGACTGTGCGGAGTACGAAAGTAGTTACGATTGGATCAAATGGATGTCCGAAGTTGAGGCTTCCTTTGTGCAATCAGGTGACATGGGGGCGTATGAATGGAGGAGGGGGGGGGGGGGGCACTGCAACTGGTACCTCGGGTGTGCTTCCTGGGTCGTCGGTGTCGGTGTCTACGAATAGTGGATCGAGTACAATAACCAGTGACGGTACTGAAACCGGTGGGACTGCGACTAGAACGGGAGCTAGTACTGAGACTGGCACCAATACTGGCACGGGCGGTGCGACTACTACTAATACTACTACCAATGGTAGCAATACGACTCGGCTTACAACATCTACTACTGGGGCTTCGAGGTCTACTTCATTAGGATCAAGTTCCTCCAGTACGAACGCGACCACGGCGGTTCCACTTCCCTTGGAATCAGGTTCCAGCCCTGTGTTTGTAATGGGTGGAAGTATCGGTGGTGGGGTTGATGAGGCATATGCTATCTATGCTGCTAACTCCCCGCTCGTACTAATGTCTGGTGATGCAGCGGGGGAGCGAGCGTATTTTTCGGTTCTGCCAAATACTACTATGGTCGATGCGCTTAATACATCTAGAATCATTTATCTCCATTTCATACCCGCACACGCTCGTATCGGGAAGCGACAATCCAACCAAGGGATATATGCAATGCAATACGGTCATATTTCGGATTTTATGAAGAGAGATACACCGGATATTCTATCGGGGTATAATCTCGATCCTGAGAAAGGGGTGAGCTGTACCGGTCCTGATGGGAAGGAGTTGAGTGTGGTATTGGCTGGAGGAGATTCTGAGGGGAAAGGGGTGGGGATGGCTTTACCTGATGCGGATTATGGGACTATTAGTGTTTCGTCGTTTGTGCAGCAGGTGGCTACGGTGTCGGTTGCGGTTAATCCTGATGGGGGGTTTAGTATTTCTCAGGCACCGTTGTCGACGCCGGCGGCTGTTGCTGCTTCTGTTGCTTCTGCTTCTTCGGCGTCGGTGGCGTCGGTGGCTTCTGTTTCTTCAGCTTCGATTGCTTCGGTTGCGTCTGCTTCTTCGGCATCTGCTTCTTCGGCATCTGTTGCTTCCGTCTCTTCGAGATCTTCGTCGTCTAGTACTACGACCAGGGCGACGGGCCCGGATGCTTATGATATTATCACAAGCAACTCGTTACAAGCTTATTGTTATACATTGCTAGCATACATACCAAAAGCAACAACAGTTACCACGGAGGGGACAACCACTTTACCCCAATACACCAAGTCTACTACGGTGTCTAGGACTGCGGCCACTCCGGGTGGTGATTCGACCGTAAAGTATACCGCCCTCTCAGCTACCACGACGGTATTCTCAGATTTACCCCGTCGTCGACGAGCACGACGGTCTAAGTCCGGAGAGACATATACTAAAAACCCAGATCCTACTATTATTACTAAACGACAAAATAACGCACCCACCGCGCTTTCTAACTACGCCACCTCCCAACTTAGTTCGGCGTGTAGCAGAGCTATCACATCTCCAACGTCAGTCAGGACTCTTACCGCAACTACTTATGTCACCAGTTATACGCCAGCAACTGGTGTTTCTACTATTTTCACCACTGTGGCGACTACTACATCGGTCTTCTTGATCAGTACTCCCGTCTCAACGATTCCAATTTCGACGTACCTCCCCGGTTCGAGTTACTTAAAAGTCGGTGGTACGAGTGCCTGGAGAAACTACTATCTCGGAAAACTCGCTGCTGTAGATTCATACGGCTCAGTCGCCAGAGGATGGGCGAGTACAGATGTAACCAGCGCCTCACGCTTTTCTTTCCTATATAGCAAGAACACAGGCGAATACCGTCTATCGATGACAGACACAACCACCAGCCCCGCAACCGATCTACAACTCTGGACGAATCTTACAAATAGTCAGGTATATCTACTCGATGGGGATCAACAGTCTAATTCTTTTTTCATTGCAGCGTGGGCTACTTGGACGGTTAAGATGAAGACGGGGTATTATACCCTTCAACCTTCTGGTTCGAAGAATGTGATCGGAGCGTGTTTTGATAATTCGAGTAATTTTTTGAGGTTCTTTTTGTTTGCGACGCCGAATTCTGGGGAACCGGATTTTCAGGGAGGGAATACGCAGTGGACTGGGTGTGTTACTATTCCGTATTTTGTATTGTGTAGGACCTGTCATGTGAATGGTGATGGGGATATATTGGATGGAGAGTCGAGGCGGATGTTTGATTGATTTTATGTTTATGTGGTATATATAAGTACTTGGATATTTTATTTATTTTGTAATTAGGTTTTAGATCAAGGCTCCTTCGTCTTTTATAGTATACTTACTCTAAGCTTAAACTTAGGATTCTAGATATTGATCTTTAATAGATCTTAATATACTTAAATAAAATCGATTTATATATATACATCACTAAGCCGCAAGCTGGTTGAGTGAATTAAATATATATCAACCAGATCAGGTTTGCAAATTATATATTTTTAAACATCAACTTTGAGATCATACCTGAAATTCCACAGACCATATTACGTAGCAGACCTTCTTCGGCAGATTAGCCTCGTATTAATTGCCGGCACATGAACCCTACGCTTGGGTTCTCCCATTTTCCAAGAGTTTTCCCCTATTATTAATTTTTTTTTTTTTCATCCAATCCAATTAATCTGCAAGGGGGGCGCACATAGTTAAGTTTGATTCCGTCCCAGGCCCCTCCCTTGTAAAACGGGACAAAAGGGAACCGACGATGTTGCATCCCGAATGTTGCATTTTTTTTGTTGGTATTAAATTGGATATTACTTAACCCCCAGTTTATTCGCGTATTATTTTTTTGTTATATGGTGTGCATGGGGGGAGGGACGATTAATCATTAAAAACCACTCATGTCTTGCATGCATATAACTGCATATTTTAAGATTTTTCCTTTAGTTTTTTTTGTGGGAAGTGGGAACGTATGTATGTGTGTAGCACAAGAATGTTGTTTTTTGGTGATAATGAATTAATGTCGTTTTCCTTTCTTCGCTTTCTTTGCCTTTGCCTTTGTGCTTTAAACGTAGTTATCCGGTTGGTTTGGATTCATGCATGAAGGATGTCTTCGGGAACCTGCAGATTTCCAACACCCGGAGCAATGGATTGACCGGGGAGCCTAGTTTGTTATGTGGAATGCAATGAAGTTCCCCGGGATATCATATGGTATGCATGGTGGAACGCATACTTCGTTTAAATTTTTTGGTTTTTTTTTGACTTGATTTGATAAGAGCTCGGGTTCGCGTTTAAAGAAGATATTTTCTAGAAGGGTTTGAGTAACTGTTTTTTTTGGGAGGGTTCGAAGCTTGGGGGGGTAATAATCTTCTAGTTCTAGGTACAAGACAGGGTGATAATCTAATGCGAGGAATTTACGTTCCTCTCAGAGATTGTAGAGTTCGCTCGCTAGTTAACTATTTCGTTTAGTTAGGTAGCTACTTGTAGTTATCTGAGAGAGGTGTTCTAGATGGTTACGATGTATTGATTTGGGGAATGGAAGTTTGGGTTTACTGTGTGGAATAGACTTCATGAGTAGCGCTGGTGCATCGCTCTGGCGGTATATACGTATTGGAGATTTTATAGAGAAATAGATCTTTGATTGGCTGGGTTGTATGTGAGTACTGATTATTCTTGACTACTATTTCACTATTTGAGTAAACTACTTCTTGAGATCACTGGGTTGACTCTAGATATCGATGAAGTATACTAAGTCATATTATGGAAGTTGATATCTATCTCCATCTGTAGTAGTTCTCTGTAGTGGATCCATAGACTGTAATATGCATCAACTACATCTTGCCCCTTCTAACAGCGTAGATTCTTTTGATATTTGATAATATTCATATAATCATATTTTGTATTCCCATCATATATATCTCCAGAACCGAAATCTATCAAAGCGCTAACCATGGAATCATAAACTCAGGATTAATTACGCCTAGGATCGATATACCACATTCCAGGAAGGAAAAACAACAGGATACTAACCCACCGAAACCAAGTCTCAAGCATGATTGAAGCCCTGAGATCCTGTGGAGAAATCACAACAGTACCCCCCCGCATGCATACGTACACTCAAAACACGAAATGCTTATTATTAAACCTTAACTTTGCCTCTTCGAATCCTACGATCCTTTATATATATATATAGATTCTTATCCTAAATAATAAATGGGTAAAATCGCCACTTGCCACAATTGCAAGACCGGTCTTGGATATATCCCTGAATTCATGAACTGCGCCACTGTACAGTGCGCATGACGGCTTTTTTATTTATTTATATATCTATGGTTAACTTTGCCGTAATATATTCGTAATAGTGGAGCGGTAGTCGATTGATCCTGGTCTTTACCTTATAACCATCTCGAATGTTGTGTATATACAACTAAATCTTGTTTATGTTGATCATGATGATATGATGAGGCGGGAAGATATATATTGAAACGAAGAAAAGGGCTACTATATTGTTTTTATCAAAAAATGTGTATATAGTTTACAAGGAGTGCGTGAATGTTATATAAAAAATAAAAAATAAAAAATAAAAAATGATATGCAAAATTGCAAACCGAAGGACCTCCCTCGAAAATGATAGTGAATATCAAAAGTCATGATAACTGGTAGTCCATCAATCAATCAAATATGAATTCAAAAAGAGTAAAATAAAGAAGAAGAAGAAAGAAAAAAAGATAACTCAAAAATACCATACCAAAGCAAGTATTAAATAATTTTGATCCTCTCCTAAAAGGGTTATTCTTCGAAGGAATGATATAGAATCAAAAAAAAGTGATTTCTGAAGCCAGAAGCAAAAGAGAAATAAAAACTCCTCAAAGGGAAAAAAAAAATACAACCCCAAACTCTTCCCATGTAGAAAACGCACACCTTATTCTGAATTCATCCCCCAATCAACGAAGATGTTTCAATCCTCAACTCCAGATCTGTCTAGGCAGTCGCGCTCAACTTACCCATCCCGGTTCCAAGGGGGCGTGAAGGTTGTTCGAAATCCCCAACTGTCCGTGAGATTCACAGTTTTAGCCTCCTTTTCTCCTTCGCACTGTATCTACCTTCGAGCGCCATCTTTATACTCAATTCCCGAGGCCGAATACAGGAGTCTTTTAAAGAGCTGCAACTGTACTTTAAACGTTCCAATCAAAGAACGAGTACAAACGCGAGGTATTTGTACGGCGAGAGGTAAAAATAAAAGACCAAACGTAACCGTCAAACGTCATAGGGAGAGCATTATACACGCGCACACACGAGATCGCGAAAAAGGTAAAAACCAAGTGGAGCCAAAAAACAGTTCAGAGAAAAGAAGAAGTCAATTCCATTGAAAAAAAAGACGAATCAGAAAAAGAACCTAAGGTATCCGTAAACTATAAAAAAGAGGAGGAAAAAAGTCTGAGGGAGCATTAAAAGACCATTAAAGCTAAAAAATTTAAAAACCACCAAGAAGAAAAAGAAGAAAAACTTTTTGCCCGCCATCATATTGAGAGATTCCCTTCCGCATTAAAACCATTTCAAGTCAAGTCCCATTTCCCAAGCGTTTCCCTCATGTCAGAACAAAAAAACATCCAAGGCGTGCTCTACAACCCGAAATGTGTAGAAGAGTTGTTTATCCATTTTGTGAAACGGGGCAGTCAGATGGTCTTCGTAGCTGTGATCGTAAAAGATTGTACACACATTCGACTGTGGTTTTGCTGTTCATATTTCTATGAGAGGAGTAATTTACAAGAAGGCAGCAATGAGAGCGACAACGGCACCGAGTCCACCAAGAGCGACGGTGTTTCGGCTGGCGGCACCGGGTTCGGTACCAGTTGGGTTTGGTGGACCGGTAGTGCTAACGGTGCCGTTGGCGCCACCAGCAGAGGTGGTAGCTGGGGCCCCAGTAGTCTCAGCAGAGGATGTCATGGCGACGGAAGATGGGGCGGTGGTGGCCTCGGTCGATGGAGCAGAGGATGTCATGGCCTCGGTCTCAGAGGTGGTGGCAGCTGGGGCAGAGGTTGTCTCCATGGCAGAAGTAGCAGCGCTAGTCTGGCTGCCGAGAGGTGGGATGCTTAGGGAAACACCGGCACCCTCGCAAAGTCCAGTGGCAGCCTGGATGGTGGACGCGATCTCGGCCTCGGAGCACCCAGCCTGAACACAAGGAATAAGGGAAGAAACAAAGGCACTGGCCCTGCAGATGCAGGCGAAGTCAGTGGTAGGGCATCCGGTGGATTGCAAGCTGCCAAGAGCGCATTGGAGCTGAATAAATAGGTAAGAAATTAGTCACAATGCCATCAATCAAAAATTATAAAATAGATATCTAAATCAACTTACAGCGCACGATGGGATCTGGTCGAGCTGACGCGGCAAAAGAGCAGCGCTGGCGAGGGAGATGGAAGCGGTAAGAGCGAGAACGGCCTTCATTTTGATTGATTGATTGATGATGATTTTGATATCGAAGATATTAAAATTAGTTTGGAGGGAGTGATTTGTTGAAGGAAGAAGGAAGAGAGTGGCGAATTAAGTAATTGTTATAAACAAGTTCGAAGCTGAACGAGTGTTTTTATATGAGGATTTCTTTGATCAAAGGAGAGGATGGACCGGACAAGAAAATTCGCAATAAAGGCGCCTGGGGAAATCGGTTTATATATCGCAGGAGAGCGAAGGTTTGCCCCAGTTTGGAGGCTTCCAAGTTCCAAGCAGGCTCTTGTTATGACAGAAAAGAGAAACTAACAAGCCCGGCAAATTTAAAATAAGGAACGGGCTTTGAGGCAGGATCATGGGCGTGGCATCGAGGGGGATATCCACCAGTCGTTTTTTTGCCTCGCCCCCAGGACGGCATCCATGCAATATCCTGTCCTGCCCTCCATAATCTCTCCTGCAAATTGTTACCTATTGCTTGCTTATGCTGGTGTCTTGGTCTCCGGGGTAATCAAGCAAATTGGAATGCGTCTTTCACAGCATGGCCAGGCAAGGAAGGGGGCCAAAAGCTCCGCTAGTCCCGTCCGAGTCCAGCGCGTCTGCGCAACATTGCATTGTGGATGGCTTCTTCTCCCACCGAGGCGATCAAGGGCCTCACAGCCCGGTCAGGGTGGTATCCGGGTCAGCAAAAGCAAGGCCCGACAGGGGTGCCTTCAACGGACCCACCCTGACTGACTCCAGACGTGAAAGTCCTTTCTTTTGGTCAAACAATAACGTTCTTGCTCGAAGCCATCGAATGGAATCATAATCTGGTGTGCATCTATGTGTCTAGTGTGAGAAAACCCTCAAATCCGGGCATGATATTCACCCGCTAAACCCACTAAACCAGCTGAGCCATGAGGAAAACCTTCTCGGCTTGCGGATCAAGTTCATGAAGCTTTTCTTCTGGTATTTGCCATGCCGGGAGGGCGTTTCTTTTCATGGAAGCTCGTTCTTTCTCTTTTCCCTCTTTCCCAGGGCGTACTTTGTACTTCGTGTGCTTTGTGATTTGTGCTTTGATGTGAAAAGTCGCGCTGACTGCAGGAAAGGTTTCCGAAAGGAACCTGCTTAGTTTGTGTAAGGGTCAGGAACCGACCTGGAACACGAGAAGCCGGAGAGAAGGTAGACAACTTACTTGGTTTGCTTGGGATCAAGCGGGAATGACCAAGCGAAGGTTCGATTAATTCGATGCAGCCAAGATGAAGCCGAAACGGCTGCTACGGTACATGCATATCACCATCACCATGATCAATCATGAACGAACAATTGCGAGACATTGCATCCTCCATAAAACATTGACAGGTCACACCTATAAATTTTTACGATATAATATGATAGTCCCCTTATTATCCTGTCTTCGAGGGATATGCACTTGTAACTCGTCTGAGGATCTGTATGTAAGGAAACCATTTTCAATACGAGCACTGTGCCCCCAGTAAACTATTGACGTCGATTCCCCCGCAAAACAAACTGTGCATACAGGAATTTTTAGAACTCTTGGGACCGTCGATGAACTCACACACAGCCATCGTTTAAGGCTGAAAGGTGTACGCGTCCGTTGGCTAAGTCTTTAGCATTTGAAATAATTAATCATCGACGGCACAAACCTAGGCATTGCTAGGAGGCGAGAAAAACGAGATTGACACTACCGGAACCCTTCTTCTTCTACCGTTCGTCTATATTTAGATCTGTCGGCCATTCGGTTGAGATTTCGGATGTGGAAATTTTGAAGTCTTCAAAAAAAAAAATCTAGTCAACCGTTGAAGTGGATACCTTCTGAATTGGATCCTGTGCAAGTCACGAAATTTCCTAAAAAGATGAAGACCTTAGACAAACCAAGTCATCCGTTTTTCTTTCCCTTGCGGCTGGAAATCTTGGGAGCCCACGAGGATATATTTTTTTTCTTTCCTTCCTTCCGAGACTGTCGAAACCAGCACGGGCGGGTTGTTTCGGGGTCTTAATGGGAATGAGGAAATGTCTCATGCAATTCAAAAAAGACAGACGGAGCATATGCCTTTTGACCACTTTGGGGTCCGCATCTACCGAGTAGAGCTCGACCTTTTGTTTCATTGATATATGGCAGTACACAGTAACTCGATCCGAATGTCAATGACAAGATGTCCTGAAATTCGGTGATAAAAGCTGCAAGTTAGCTCCGTAGACGGCCGACCGGTCTGCAATGTGCCTGATGGATGCTAGCGGGAGACGGGACGTAAGTTCTTTCGGCGACGGAGGACAAGAGCGAACCGCCAATGCATACCGGCCTTCGGATGCCGGAGGATGTGTGGAGACAGGACATAGATTTCGACTTGTAACTGAATTGGTGGCCTTTCTTATCGTTCGGTAAGTTACGATATCAATTGGAGATGTCACGGAATCGAGTAGGCGGTTGCGAAACCAGTCTTTGGGGGAAGACTTGGTATATGCCATCTCGAGCTCTTAACTTAAGCTTTTGAAGAAGACTCTTCAACTCTTGGGGTGGCTGTTGGCAAGTATTTTAAGAGTATGAGTGCATAAGTGTCGATGCAATGTTGCATGTATGACGGGCACTAATCCTAAAAAAGGAATTCCTTTTTACGAGCACTCTCACGATGTGTTGATTCGAGAGTCCTCAATCATGCTCGAATAGCTCAGTATTACTGATATCATGATTTCTAAACAGTATTATTATCCAAGTAGCTCGACTGGTATATCTCAAGTGGGGATGATTAAGGACTCTTGTATTTTCGTTCTTCAATCTGCATATTTCTTTGTTCCAGTGGAAGTGGTATTTTGTTACAGAATACACCCGGCTTGTTGGATTCATGCATGGAACTCCCCAGGCCTTCAACGTCCACACGTAGCTAGTTAACATTAGAATAATAGTCACAGGGAATCAACCATGAAGACATACCGAACCAACGCGAGGAAACCCGACTTCCGAATAACCGGGAAGGTATCTCAACCAATTTTCTATACCACACATATGTGGGATTCTTATTCTACCTGCGATCCCTTGGTATCTCGTTGTAGAATTCGAAGTGATCCACAGCCACGGTAGACTATCGAGATCCCAAAATGGACCAACGACGACCTCAAACGAGAGAGGAAGTCCTAGCGGACGTCCAAGGCTTCATAAACCCCTCAATAATTCCCATCGAAGACGTCGCCGATGAATATTGCAAACTCCTGGAACAGTTTGAAAATGGAAATTCATGCGATAAAGATGATGACATAATAGACATCGACACCGACATTGTACCGAAATTAGTCGACACCGGGAACGGAGAGTTAGAGGAAAAGGAATGTACAGCATCAGAAGTTGACAAAATCTTTCGATCGACTCAAGATGAAATTATAGCAGCTCTCAAGAAAGACGAATCAATCAATCCCGAAGTTGATGAGATGATCACTGATGTTCATATAAGGATAATTAACGAAAAAAAGGCGAACGGCACTGACACCGAACCAAGCACTACCTTTATAGAGCAACTGTCGGGACACACAGGTCTAAGATCTGGTCTCGTACCTTTCGGGGTTCCTGCCCCGCTTGTCCCAAACTTCGATGCCGCATTCAGTGTTCTTCCACTAGATATCGCAGCCACGGTCCTCTACCACTTCATCCAGACCCAATGGAATTTAACCCGTGTAAGATCGTGCGGTCAAACATGGTACCAGCTCATTCGAATATTGAGGGCAGCCGATGTCCATGCGGCCTTCAAAAGAATCGATCGTAACTTACGACTTTCTCTCCCCGTTACATCCCCTATGGACAGATTGGAGCTATGGGCAGTTTCTAATAGGAATTATTTGGATGCTCGCGGTGTAGCGTCACTTAACCAAGGATTGCAAAATGCACGGACAATCATATATACATCTAGACTGTGCGCGGTACTCATGGACCCGGCGGGGGTTTCTGTTGCTTGTCCGTTCTGTGGTGTAAACAGCCCTAATGTAAACCAACATGCTCATACTGAATTGAGGATCATTGTGAAGTTATTCTTCCAAAGGTAAGCACATAATACCCATTGGATTCTTAAGTGCTAATCTTTCATTCGGTGTATATTTATACATGTATCGAATTCAAATTTCTAACTCGAGATGCGTTACCTAATAGGCAATACAAATTTGTTGAACCAATCGTGCTTTGGGACGCAAGAACCCCTGAAGCAAAAGCGATGTTTGCGGCCTTCAAGCGGTGGGTTTATCAGTGGAAGAGAGAAGTAGTCAGAATTGGACCTCGAAGAATATCTAAGTTGGTCACTGACACCATCGGACTCGCACATGGTTCTCGGACGGGTACAGTTGGTAAAATACTCACCAGGTGGCGTAGGCAAAGAACTGGCACGGATGTTTGGTTCAACATGAATCAGGTAAGTATCAATCTACGATGGGATGCATTTCGCAACAGTAATGATATATACATGGGATTCCCTGTCGTTGGTCCGGGTCGACGTGGTCGAACGGTTTCGTACCGTCGAATTGATCTATGGCCTGGACAAGATGCCTTGGATAGGATAATTGATGATGAATTGGTTCAGCTTCTGGGAACTGTTCCTTCGATGGCCGTGAATCAAGACAGAATGGGAATCCGTGGCCGGACGTTGGAAACTCCTTATGCAAATTTGAGAACTACGATTCTTCCAGCAGCTGAACTACCCCCTCATAATGCTACTTGGGGATACGCTTATAGGACGGAAGAGAAGTGGCATCATTTCTACTCGAACTATCCTTTAGATCCTAACGCTGGAAGTAGCTTCGCTGGATAGTGTAAATTCAAGAAGTTAATATCAAAGTAGCGACATGTAGAGAATACAAAGCTCTATCATTGATAAAGTAGTGAAAACATATTTATTCCTATAACCGGTACACGGATACTTCAGAAACAAAACAATCTCACTGTTTTAAATATGCGCTCCCGTTAGTATTTATTCGCTTGGCTGGCATGCATAAATTAATTTGCGCTCATCTTAATTGTTGGATTAAAGATCCGAAGCCTTGTGATGTATCTTATAATTTGAAGAACAATAGGTATGCGGCATGTACCCGTAACTTTATACGACATACGGTACTAAAGTAATATAGCTATAGCTAGGGTATCCATATATGCATATGCACATCGGTCTCGGAGTTCCGCTTTTACTTTTCCTTCCCTTCTATCGCTCCAATCTGCAGTCGTCATTATAATCAGGGTCTGTCCACACGGGGTAACACACTTCCGCATGCCGAGAAAATCTCTCAAACGGTTCGAGCCAGTTAGATCTCGCGGTTCGGTAACACCAACCGTTTCCACCAAATGGGAGACCCAGCAATTTAGGTTCTAGGCCAGGCTTGGGTCTGTACTTGGTATGACAGGTCGACTGAGGAGATTGGAACGGAATGGATGGGACGGTTTGAACCAGTCTCATCCGTCATCGATCGAGTGGCCAACGGTTAGTTCCATGTATAGTATTGTATGCATACATAGTAGAAGTATGTATATCGATAGGCTGGTTTTAGTAATGTGGGATTCGGAATCGAGCCCCTTATCGTAATATTCCAGATCGTGGTCGGGGAATTCCAGCTTTCAAAATGTGAAGTCCTGCAAACGGGAAATATCGAGATGGGAATCAGCTATTGCTCCAACCTCTCTTTATCCTCCCGTGACCTCTTCGATCTTTCTTATCGACCCATATCAAAAGTTTGCACGGTATAAAATCCAGTTTGAGCAATGACAATCCAAGGTGAAGCTATTGGTCCTTGTATCTCGAACCAGCTGTCCCCTCAATTAAACATTTTGCCCACTTTCCCAGAAGCCATTGGCGTGGAATTTGCCGAGAATTCCTTCTGGCCTGTCGCTGGGCGGGACAGCGAAAAGCGAGAACTCTCGCCGAACAAGAAGCTTGGAGTCCGTTGCTTTTGCCTATATGCGGGTAGTTTGAATGTATGTCGGTCGAAGAGAGCAAGAAAGAATGATAATGTGATCATGATAAGGATACATTTTTCTTTTCTTTTCTCCTCTTTCTTTCGGCATCACGAGGTTTAAACCCTTCGACGTCGACCTTTCAGCTTCATCGTTGTTGCAGTTGCTAGTTGTATATTACTGGAGTATATGAATTAACTGGATCGGATCAGATCTGATTTGGTGCTTACCAGCCAGGACTTTGTTTGGGTTTGCAGCAGCCCCGTTTGCATATTAACAGCCGAATTAAAACATCATCCCACAGCAGAGAACGTAATTAATCTTAACAGGGTCTTTCGCACACTTCCCTTCTTTCCTTACGACATCTCCACAGACATCCACCGAAAAATCAACATCCGGACCGATGGGATTGGGAATATTGGAAGACCGTCACCTCGCGCATGTGCCGGGTAAGCCGACTCTATATTTTTTAACCTTCGCTCTTAGTTCCGACGGTTCGGTATTCTAATATAATGATACGCTCCCTTTTTGGGGGTACTTGGTTCGTTTAGGCACTGCGATTCTTGAGGATGACATACAAGGAGACGAGGTTCCGGTTCTTGATCCGAATTTGAAGTATGATACTACGGGACCTCGACCTATTGTGCTGGTACCGCAGCCGAGCGATGATCCAAATGATCCTGTAAGTTTCTTCCAAACAATCTAATCGCTGGGAACTGTTGAAATTATTGAAACTAATTGTATGTTTCGCTTGCAGCTGGTTAGTGCCGACCCTGGTCTCGAGACGCTCCTTCGAACGACAACTTTCCAATGTATCGGTGTGAATGGAGTACTAATACGGTCGCTCTTCGGTTTATTAGAATTGGCCACTATGGCGCAGGGATTTGATAATGTTTATTCTCTCCCTTGATGCGGTATGTTGATGGTTTGCGATTGTTTCTGTCACGGGGAGGTTCCTGGAGCTAATTGATCTTGGTGGTATCTTTAGATTATCGCCTCTGCGTGAGTCTATAACTTCATACGGGATTTATATCGGTTCGATCGGGACAACTGACGGAAAAGCCTATAGAATGACACCGATCTTATCCGCCGACTCCTTGACCCTATTGTTCGAATTCCACCTCAGGGATATCACCCCTGTTGCGCTATTGTACGTTTCCTTTCCGACATTCGAAATCGAGATTTATATGGAGGGAATAATTGAGAGCTGATATCGAGGGATATTGTAGGACTGGATGGCATCTTTTCGGCGTGGGAATAGCTGGGTTTATATTTGTTCCGACAGCTCGCGTGTACGGAAAGCGACATGCGTTCTTGATCGGCACAGTGCTGCTTATCGTATCTAATGCATGGGCCGGGTCAGCAAAAAGTTACAGATCGATCCTTTGGGCTCGTATCATCCAGGGTGTCGGAGTATGTCCCTTTGAGGCACTGTTAGGTGCTGTCGTAGGAGATCTGTATCATGTTCATGTGAGGCACAGCACCTTTCCTCTTTGCATTGGGTTTTGGTTTTATGGCTAACGTGAAGATATCAATAGCAACGTGGTGTTCGCATGGCTTTGGCGAATCTCTCGTTGTATGGTGGTGCTTTCTTTTCGCCTGTCATTGCTGGTGTCGTCTCGCAGAACCTTGGATGGAGGTGGATGTTCTACCTTGCCGCTATCTTCTCAGGCGTTATGCTACCCGCCATTTTCTTCTTCTGTCCTGAGACTGCTTATCGCCGCGCAGCCCATCTCGATCTTGATACTGCCTCGACCGACGATTTCCATGGCTCCGGAGAAAAACAATCTCGTGGTTCTTCGTCTGATGGAGAGAATTCTCAGCCGCCTAAGGAACCTATACAGAAGAAGACATACTGGCAGACTTTGATGCCATTTGACGGACGGAAGACCGATGACAGCCTTTGGTTGCTTGCGCTAAGGCCCTTGCCGTTGTTCTTCCAACCAGCTATTGCTTGGGTGGGTTTTCACAGATTATAATGGCATTTTGTTATGATCATTTATATAGAATACTGACACCGGCTTTTGACGGATAGGGATCTTTGATCATGGGCACATTAATTGGGTGGACTGTGCTCATCGGTGTGGTTCTTGCTTTGCTATTTGCCTTGCCTCCATTGTACGATTCTATCTGCCGTCCTTTTTCTTCACTGGGTGCGGCATGCTAACACCTTCCTATCTAGTCAATTTACTGTAGCTGAGATCGGATACACATATGCCGGAGCCTTTGTGGGCGCCCTCGTCGGATTCGTGATTACAGGATTGTTCACCCATTATACGACTCTATGGCTGGTGAGGAAGAACAAAGGTGTCTATGAACCGGAATTCCGGATGTTGTTGGTTATTCCTATGCTGGTATGGAGCAAAATCCCTTTACCCCGCGTTTTTATAGAAATTAGGAAGGTGACTGACATTATTGGATTGTCTTTTTCAAGATTTGTGGGTGTATGGGTGTATATGGCTTTGGATTTACTACGGAGCCTAAATACGCTCGTGCGCACGGCTGGGTCGGTCCTGTCTTCTTCCTTGGATTGGAGGTGGTGGGTATGGTCATCGGTGCCTCTGCTGCAGCCCTTTACATTGTCGACGCACATCGTGATATCGCCATCGAAGCATTCACGTGCCTGTTGATGTTCAAGAACTTCTTCTCGTACGGGATCACATACGATGCGTACTACTGGCTGCAAAAGCTGGGGCGGCCTAAGATGTTTACTATTTTGGGATCCGTGCAGGTGTTTATATGTCTGCTGACGGTGCCGATGTATATTTTTGGGAAGAGGAACAGGAGCTTCTTTAAGAGGCATGATCTTTTGGCCTTGTTGGGCTTGGGAACTAAGCCTAAGGCCGACCCGGAGAATGTTCGTGGATCTGGACCAAAGGGTACGGCTGCCGATGCAGGAGAAGTTGGAACGTTTATCGAATCACTTCAGGCCTGATCCAGAAACGATCCATGAGCATCATAGGATCTCTCACAACATGCAGAACCCCCCACGATATCTACTTTTTTTTTCTATTTTCAATAGAGGAGGATTCACGTTCTCATATCTTTTCGATCTTCTTTATAGAGGAGGATTGGGGTTTTTTTGTCGTTCGCTTTAAAGAGCACATATATGATACCTCTTCGTTGAAAATTTCATTTTGCTTCCCCTCATTTTTAATGTTTTGCATACTGCATGGCGAGGATTCTTTTTTTAAATCGATGCTTTACCTTTTGGATGTTTTGAAAATGTTGGCTTTCTTTGTTTTCAATGTTATGTGAAAAGCGTCGTTTTGTCTACTACGGCAGTTTATATTATGTCTACTTGCTGCCGCGAAGAGTACAACTATAGTACTTAATAATTATAATCACGCTCAATCCTTTTCCTTCTTCTTCTTCTTCTTCTTCTTCTACTTATTCAATTCACGAGGAGATGTTCACACGATCACATGTAAAAAAATATAGAGAGTAACAATAAAAAGATGTACGTCAATTAAATAGTCCCTTTCAATCAACTATCAAAAAGATTGGGGTGGAGTTGACGTGGTTTCCCAAGTTACAACCCCTCCGAAAGGAAGGGTTGCAAAATGGGAAGAGTTGTCTGAGTTGCTTCATTTTCCATAAGACCTAAAGTAGTATGCTTCGAGACCAGAGAAGAATTCTGAGATCTATCTCCTTTTTTCCTCTTGTGAAGGAAGAGAGGGAGATAGAAGGTCGGGAAGTAGGCATGGTCATGGGTTTGGATTTTTGGGGTTTGAAATTGGAGAGAAGGATGTCACGAGGGATGGGTATGATGATTGTGGCATTGCTGATTAGATACACGAGGAGATGATCATGATGGTACTGATGCTGATACTGATGCTGATAATGAAGATGGGTTGAAAGATGGATTGAAAGATGAAAGACGAAAGGTGGATGAGAGGGAGTGGTGGTGATGGTGGTGATGGTGGTGATGTGTGGTGGAGAAGAAAGAATGAAAGAGAAAATTTCTTAGTGGCGGAAAATAATATGTAGTAAGACAACGCCAAGCAGACCGGTCCCTGCAGCGAATCATCCCGCACGCGCACTTTCCCAAATCCAAAAAACCACCTCGATGCTCCAAACGAGCCACAGTATGCCGCTTTAGCCCATGTGCAGCAGATGGAGCCTCGATTCGATCCTCTGGAGACTTCTCGCTGGGTTTTTTTATCGTTCGAGAAAATTCTGGCGGGAGGATACATATGTAGTGTAGCAGGATAGCTTATATGGTTTTGTTTATGTGATATTGTAATCAAGTAAAACGGCATACGCTGGCCAGAACTAACTGGCCATATCGACATCTTTGATCTTGGAGGATTCAAGCAACATATCCCACTTTTCCCACTCGTTATCACCATCATCAACAACATCATCAATATCATCATCACCATCGTAATATCACCTACGAGTGCCTGTAAGTCGGTACTTGGTCTGGAAGTCGGACTTTTGCGAAACAACCTGCAGGTAACAAACACCAAACACCAAATCTCAGATTGCCTTGCCTGGCCGGGGCGGCAGTCTTGTCCCGTCGCATCTCTTGCAAACCCTTGCAGTCCCATACAGCTAGCAGCTGCCTTTGGGTTCCACCAAACGCAAACATCCTTCCATCCCACCCCCACACACAGGGCAAGAAACGAAACTTGGCCTCTTCTTCAATTTCCACCTCATTTGCTTGTTATTACCCAAGTACCTTCTGATCATTACCCTTTTCCATCTTCTTCCTCTTCAACATTTTCATTTTGTTTTCTCATTTTCTTTATTTTCCCTTTTTTTCTACAAATTTTTTGCTCAGTGTGTGTTATTGAAGAGAAATCGCGGATCTTTGCTGATTCTTTATTAGAATCATTTGGGAGGGACAGAGTGTAGAGTGTGTCTAGGGAAAACCGATGGAAGCAGCTTATGCACTTACCGTCGGCCAGGTCGTCGACAAATTCAAGGTCTCGCTGCATGATGGCTTGACCGACGAACAGGTCGCCGAGTCGCTGGCAAAGCATGGGAAGAATGGTATTGCCTCTCTTTTCCTTTTTGCTATTACAAATGATATCTGCCAGAGACAGAATCACTAACGGAGAAAAAAATTGTTGGAATACTACAGCTATCCCGGAAGAACCACCTACGCCGCTATGGGAGCTCGTTCTAGAGCAATTCAAGGACCAGTTGGTTATTATCTTGTTGGCTTCTGCTGCTATATCTTTCTTCCTTGCTATTGTTGAAGGTGGAAACGATTGGTATGCTTTTGTTGATCCAGCTGTCGTACGTACCTACGTCTCGTATCTTAGCTATCTCTGCTAGAGCTCCACTGGAACTCGTTTTAACCTGGGTTCATCTATATTTAGATTCTTACGATCCTTATCCTCAATGCCATCGTCGGTGTCACCCAAGAAAGCAGTGCCGAAAAGGCCATTGCCGCCTTAAACGAATACTCCGCCAATGAAGCTAAAGTCGTCCGTAACGGCCGAATCGCCAAAATCAAGGCCGAAGACCTTGTTCCGGGAGATCTCGTCGATGTAGCCGTTGGAGACCGTATCCCCGCTGACTGCCGTCTGATCTCGATAAATAGCAACTCTTTCCGTGTCGACCAGGCCATCCTGACTGGAGAAAGTGAAAGTGTGGCGAAGGATCTGGAGGCTGTGGCTGATTCTAGGGCTGTGAAGCAGGATCAGATTAACATGTTGTTTTCGGGAACTACAGTCACCGTTGGGCATGCTCGTGCTATTGTGGTTTTGACCGGTCAGGCTACTGCTATTGGTGATATTCATAGCAGCATCGTGGATCAGATTTCGGAGCCAACTCCGTTGAAGCAGAAGCTCAATGACTTTGGTGATCAATTGGCAAAGGTTATTATGGTTATCTGTATCTTGGTTTGGGTCATCAATATCCGACATTTCAACGATTCGTCGCATGATGGTTGGTTGAAGGGAGCTATCTACTACCTCAAGGTATGTGTCAAGCTTATGGAATTTAGCTAGAGGGGTTTGATGAAGCTAACTAGTCGAATAGATTGCCGTTTCTCTTGGTGTCGCTGCTATTCCTGAGGGTCTGGCAGCTGTTATTACAACCTGCCTTGCTCTTGGAACTCGCAAGATGGCCAAGAAGAACGCACTTGTCCGAAGCCTGCCATCTGTTGAAACTCTTGGAAGCTGCAGTGTTATTTGCTCTGACAAGACCGGTACTCTAACAACGAACCAGATGAGCGTTTCCCGCGCCGTTTACTTCTCAGACTCGGATAGCAAGGTTACTGAAATCGCCATCCAAGGTACAACTTTCTCACCTGATGGAAATGTGACTTCTGAAGATGGAAAGACCCTCGAGTCCCCAGCTGCATTCTCCGTTGTCGTCCGCCGTATGGCAGAAATCTCTGCACTCTGCAATGACGCTGAAATCTCCTATGATGCCAAGTCAAATACCTTCGCCAACGTCGGAGAACCCACTGAAGCCGCCTTGAAAGTCCTTGTTGAAAAGCTAGGTACTCCTGATCCCGGGTATAATCAACAACGGGCAAAGCACAGCATCCAGGAACGTCTCAACGAAGCAAACAGGTACTACGAAAATCAATTCAATCGTCTCGCGACCTATGAATTTGCGAGAGACAGGAAGAGTATGTCGGTTTTGGTTGAATCTCAGGGACAACAAAGACTCTTTGTTAAAGGTGCTCCGGAATCGATCTTGGAAAGATGTACTTCCGTTATTCGCGGTCAGGATGGGAAGAAGGTTGCGATGACGCCGGCACATGCTCAATTGGTCAATGAAAAGGTTTCGGCATACGCCAAGCAAGGACTCAGGGTTATCGCTTTCGCTTTTGTGGACGGAATTGGCTCCCACCCATTGCTTCGCAAGGCACAGACATCACAGGACTACCTTCAATTGGAACAGAATATGACATTTGTCGGCGCCGTTGCCATGTTGGACCCCCCAAGGCCAGAAGTTGCGGATTCGATCAAGAAGTGCAGGGAAGCTGGCATTCGTGTCGTCGTCATCACCGGTGATAACAAACAAACTGCGGAAACCATTTGCAAGCAAATCGGTGTTTTTGGCTTCGATGAGGACCTTACTGGAAAGAGCTATACTGGCCGTGAATTCGACAACTTGAGTCCCAGTGAACAACTGGAAGCTGCAAACCGTGCTTGTCTTTTCTCCCGAACCGAACCCGCACATAAGAGCCGACTTGTTGATCTTCTACAGAGCAGCGGTGAGGTTGTTGCTATGACTGGTGACGGTGTCAATGATGCCCCTGCTTTGAAGAAATCGGATATTGGTGTTGCCATGGGTAGCGGTACCGATGTTGCCAAATTGGCTGCTGATATGGTTCTTGCGGATGACAACTTTGCAACTATTCAATTGGCCGTTGAGGAAGGTCGTTCGATCTACAACAATACCCAGCAATTCATCCGGTACCTCATTTCCTCAAATATCGGCGAGGTTGTTTCGATCTTCTTGACTGTTCTCTTGGGCATGCCTGAGGCTTTGATTCCTGTTCAATTGTTGTGGGTCAACCTTGTCACCGATGGACTACCGGCTACCGCACTTTCCTTCAACCCACCAGACCACGATATCATGAAACGCCAGCCTAGGAAGCGTGATGAACCGCTTGTTACCGGATGGTTGTTCTTCAGGTATATGGTTGTTGGAACCTATGTTGGTGCCGCGACAGTGTTCGGGTATGCTTGGTGGTTTATGTATAACAGCGAGGGACCACAGATTTCGTTCTATGAGTTGGTAAGTTCCATAGCTTTGCTTGTCGTGGTTATGGTGGGATCATTGACTAATCATTCTTGATATAGACAAATTACCATAAGTGCTCGACTTTGTTCCCAGAGCTTGGATGTGAGATGTTTGCAAATGATATGTCAAAGGCTGCATCTACGATTTCGCTCTCGATGTACGTAACCACCCCAACAACCTATTGTTCGCTGCTTATGATGAATACTAATATTTCCTGTGACACAGCCTCGTCGTTATTGAAATGTTCAACGCCATGAACGCATTGAGCTCCAGCGAGTCGCTTCTTACCTTGCCACTATGGAAAAACCTCAACCTTATCGCAGCTATCGCGCTGTCGATGGCGCTCCACTTCATGATCCTTTACGTCCCTGTCTTCCAAACTATGTTCTCGATCACACCATTGACAGTACATGAATGGAAGGCTGTGGTGGCTATTTCGTTACCCGTCATGTGAGTTTTTCCTCCCACTTTATTTTGGGATAATTCTTTCACAGTCCGCGATTGGGCTTAGTTACACGTTTGCTAATTACTGTTGTGATTTGCTAGATTCATTGATGAGATTTTGAAGTTTGTGGAGAGACAGGTATACGACCAGAAGGCTATCGTCAAGTCGAAGAAGGAGTAAATCTAGAGTCGACATGGATGTTTTCCTTTCTTACTGTCCATTCCCTTTCATTCGGGATTTACCATAGACTTCTAAAATTATTATGGGACTTTTTATTTCTTTTAGATATGGAACAAAAAAAGAAGGACAAGGGAATAGATAATGGGAATAGAAACGGTCATCAAGATCCTATAGGCGAGAACTACAAAGAAAAAAAAAGAGAAAAGTTTCTTGCTTATCCGATTTGATTTCCACTGGAGTTCTTTATTGAAGGATTGATACTTTTTTTTTGGTTTTATTTATTGGACGTGGTGCTTAGAATTTGTGTATATAGTATCTTATCGGTGCGGGCCCGGAGCTTAGATGCTTAGATTAGTGGGTTAAGATTCTTGTTTATACTTGTCTATCTATCTACCTTTGGTGGATAGACGGTGGATTGACTATCTTCCTTTCTCCTTTCGAGTCTACGTAGTTAATTACTGTCGGCTACGCGATGCTGCTGATTGAGTATTGAATCGATACAACGGAAACACCGGTGAATCGAATGTGTAATCAATGCGCCGACGTTGAGTCTTCTGCGTGTCCTTCCCGCCATGGCCACCGGCTAGTTTCAGGCTCAGCCTAGTATCACAGTGACAGGTCTGTTTTAACCCGATATTGCATTAGTACCGGGCTGTCAACATGTTTCAATACAGTTGACTGCCTATGTCTCGATATTGAGCGGCAAGCTTAAGCTTTCAAGGCTGCCGGATCTGACCTTAATGCGCTGCTGCTAGTACAAGTCTTAAGATCTTACAGTTCCTGCTGTACCAAACAGTTGCCCACGTTTCTTCACGAGACGAAGGAGAACCCGGAATGAGCATAGAAGGAGATTTTTTTGACAGCTTGTGTTTCTGGACAAGCGCGTTTCACAGTGGAATCTCGACAAGCATACCGTGGGTTCGTGGTTCGTGCGTGGGATATCAATTGACAGCTGGGGCTTTTTACATACCTTCTATCGAAGGAAGAAATTTTCTTCTGGAATATGCTTCTTTCCCTAATGCGTCAATGCATTCGCGGTAGCTAGTTGCATCATGATGTTGATGAGATGTTGGACTGGTTCTCTTCGCCCCCCCCCTGTCAATCTTGCCCCTGGCACGATGGGAGGACGGGATCCTAGTCCACGTTCCTGACCTCTGCATTGTTTTTCCCTTTCGTCACGAAAAGAAAAGAAAGATTTGTGGAAGATTTAGACGAAATGAAGCTTGGGAAGCTTACCTTCCTTGCAGCGCATGTTCAACGAGCTGCTGCTGGCTTTTGATATGTATTTTTTTTTCACACGAGAGCGCTCGTGCATACATAGTACTAGCACATAGTACATACATACACGCGGGAGGTTGGGTGGGCCCGTACGAAAGCCCAGTTCGCTATTCCGCTTTGCGAAGATCTTTCTCGGTTGGCGTTTTTATGACAAGAAGCTTGCTTTTGGCTTGGAAGTCTGCATATGTTTGCATGCTTTTTCGAAGTTCATGAAAGGGGGTATGGAATATCTGACGGATCTGGTTTCTTTTTTTCCTGTTCTTTCTGATTTTAAGATATCATTGTTTAAATTTGGAGAGATGATCGAATGTGCTAAACTGCGAAGAGGCAGGAGAGAAAGATCACCTGGGGGGGCTAATTGAACAGGTACAGACAGCAGCATCATCATGATCATCATCGGTATCATTGCATCGACTGCAGCTGCGAAAAGAGAGGGACCAGGGCATCGTAGTAAAAGTAAGCAAGACATGCCCATGTTGTGATTGGGCTAACAACCTAACTTACAGGCCTGGTTGGCCATGGTTGGATGGTTTGTTGGGGGGATGTGAGAGCGCTCCAGTGCATGAGAAGAGGTTGGTTAGCTTTAGCTGTTCCGGTCCACCTCCCTATTCCCAGGCGAAAACCTTAACGAAGCGATCGGATTTTTTTCAGTTCCTTTCTGGACAATAAGACGAACTCGAACGATGAGAAGGAAAGAAAAAAATAAAATAAAATAAAAATTCGCCGTCGCAGTCGCCGGTTTTTAATTTTTAATTTTTTTGGTTTTATGATTTTATCTTTTTTACAAATTCTTCCCCTTACTCATCATCGCAATTACTCTTGTCTGTCGACAGACTACTACTACTACTATCGCTCACTCACTTATCTGGACACTTGCGCAGACTCTAAATTATAATCTCACGACTTCACTCACTCTCCTAATTACTTTAATTGTTCTTTACTATCTTCTTTCCTTTTTCCTCCCGCCTCGTGTCGCAGCTTCCTTCTCGTTTACCTTGTACGACCATTACGCCAGAATCATACGAAAACAATCAAGTACATATTGGCTGTACTGTCTAATACCTAATACCTAATACTAATAAAACACCGTACACTCCATCGGAATCTCTGAGACGGTGTGATTGATACACGACATAAAACGACGATTCGCCCGACGATAATATTATTCCGCATCTAGTAATTACGCTATTATATTACTTTCACTTACACGTTTTCCTTCAGACCGTTTTGCCATATTCGGTCGCTCTAAGCTTGTTTTTTTCGCGGCTGATATCATTTTGTACACTTGTTTTTTTGCGCACCGCCGCATCCAAAGGGGACCCAGAAATAGCAAGCTTGAGACCGAATCGCTGGCACAGAAAAGAAGTCTACCTGGCTTTTACGAGAGCTAGAGCTAGAAGTCTAGGCATAGCCTTGTAGCTTTCGTTCGCTACCTACGTATACGTGCGTACCATAGTACTAACTGCCTTGCGAATCCATCGCGCGGTTCAAACTGGGCTTGGAAATTTATATATATCTCGTCCTTAGCTTAGCTTTGGAGAGCGAAAGAGACTAGCCAAGCAGCCTTGCGGGCTTTTTTCACCTGGTATACTCGACATTCGTCCTCTTTTTACTCCTTCGCTGCGGTATATCCTCTGCTTTTTTTAAAAAAGAATTCTGGTTGATTAGTCGGATTTCCTTTTGTTAATCGACATTCTTGAATGCTTTTTCTTTTTATTTTATTCTTTTAATATTTAATACTTAATCGATTCGAATTCCTCGAGCCCCGGAAACCTTTTCGAATTATTATCCATCATCCTCATCATTATTATATTACACATCAGCTCTTAATTCGTCACTTTCATATCAGCCTCATCCTCTTCCAGCAGCTGCAACCTAATCCTAATCCGTATCCTTTTCTTCCTCAATTCCACGATATCGATATCTCAACCTCAAAAAAGTTGCTCTTTCGAACTCAAATCCGACTACTACTCTAATAGCTTCAATCGAACCCGGCGATCTTAGACCTTAACATACAAAATAAGTTTCAACTTTCACAGCCGGTTTCGCAAGGTCTTTCCAGAAAACCCGCAGAATTCCCAGAAAAACTGTGCAGCATCCCGAGACGTTGTTGAAACGAAGCAGCTAAAAGCTTTCGTACAGCCACGCCTTACATTTTTTTCACAGCAGAGAAAAAAAGGATCTCAGGCTCGTCCGAATTCGTAATAACCATATAACGACCGCAACGGAAAACGTTCAAGGAAACCAGCGCAAATAAATTACTTTTATATCCTTTTAATATTTCGACGACTGCGACTACTTTTACTACACCATTAAGGGAATATATCTCGCTCCTACCACGGACAAGCTTTAACCCTTTTTTTGCTCTTGCGACCATCTTGCATCTGCCACGGACAAATAAGTCGACAACGATCTGTCCATTTCTGATCTTTTCATCTCATCTTTTGTCACCAAACATTTCGCACGTAGACCTCGTGTGGTTTTTACCTCGCTATAATTCTTAATTTCGTTTTCGACGCTCGAGATTCATAAAAACTCCAACCCTTTTTTTTTTCGACTTACAAATTTTAATATAATCACAATGTCGTCGCCATTGGCTCCCCGAGTTTTCTTCCTTTGCTGGCTCGTCGCTTTGTTTTTCACTGTTTCGATACAGGCTCAGCTCACAGCTGGAACTGCCGTCGGCACAGCTACATACGCAGCTCCAACAAATGGGTATGTTTAAATGGTTCAATCTGATTGGAAGATGATGACGCTAACATGAAGCCACTTTCCAACAGAACTCCAACAGCTACTTTGACGCCTCCGACTCCCACCAACACTGAGTCTAGCAGCAGCGCACACAATCAGTTCTCGTCATCGCTAGCGCTATTCGGCGCTCTGATAGCAGTAAGTGTTTCAACCCCTCTCGTGATATGCACAGTCTGTCCCTATCTTTTAAGGCTACAATGTTTCGTTTGCGGACATGCATTGTCTTTATGCGGGGCTCCTCTTTCTCTCTTTTTTTAGAGGTGTTTTATGTTTTGTTGTGATCTACGTTATTAGAGCTTTCTTAGTCATGCTTGGGATCATCTTGAGAGCATGGCAGGAATATTTTAATACGTCAATCACAAAAACCAAAAACAAAAAATATCTCCGCATGCTGCTTATCGTCGTTTGTTTTCGATTACCCAATCCCGTATTCCTGTTTCTACCTTGTCTACAAGGATCTATGCCGTAGACTTGCAGGTTACAAGGGGGTTTCGACAGGGCGATCAAGCATCTACATTAGCGTGGTGGCTCTGTGTCGATAGACAAGACAAATATATACCCCCCGCTTCATACCAAGAACTCTTTCCAGGTTTGGACGAGAAGGCTAACAAACTGTGTTTTTTCTTCTATTTTTATAGGCGGCGTTGTTTAGCCTGTAAAGAAAGTCACGCTGGAGCGATAGGGAGCCTAGTCGGTTTGTCGTCAGCTTGGCTGCGTCTACAAGGGACGACCGAGTGGTACGACGACTTTTTCTTGGCTTCTCCCGCTGCGCTGTTTAGACGTTTCTCTTTTGGGCTATAATCTCTCTCTCTCTTCTTTTTTTTTTTTACTTTCCTTCGAAATGCCATGCGGGTATGACTGCAGAGGCTTTTTGAACCGGAGTTTTGTGAACTTTGATCCGAATCCGAATCCGATGTGCGAGATTTTTAATCTTTTTTATTTTTAATCTTGGATTACCACGGTTCCGAGATATTTCTTTCCTGAGGCGGTTTTTTTTTAAAAAAAAAACTCCTTCCCTTTACCTTCGTAGGTCTGGGGAGCCGAGTTAAAGACTCGGATGACATTATGGGATATACCTCATGGAGACCCAGACCTCTTTGTATGATTTTCTATTGATTGAAGGAAAGAATTAAGTTGGGAATTTTGTTTGGTTATGTTTTTTTTTGTTGGAATGTTTTTATTACCTATACCCCCTTCGCACCCGCAAGTTCTCTTTATAGTGGAACACTTGTTAATGCCCTTTTATTGTAATGACCCATCTTATATATAGATATATTCTAGACTATCATTTATGAAGATATGACGATTGGTTTTTTTTTTCTCTCTCTTCATTCTGTTTTTGAGGTTGTAGTTTCGTTTCATTATTCGAGGTTGAGAATGGGGGCTTCTCTACAATGGTTTCGTGGGGTACAATAGATTTGGGGGTTACATAATTGTATTTCGTGTGTAAATTGAGAATCTCCAGGCTCCTGCCGTTTTTTAAAGAAGAAGAAGAGGATTGAAAGAGTTGATATCATATTGATTATCTTATCTTGATCAGATGCTAGATGGAGGAAATATCATATACGACCAACACAAATGAATGATGTGTTGAAAATGTGGTATTTTATAAGGACCCCTTGACGGGTTTCTGGTGTACGTTACAGAAGGCTGGGTGAGTAAGTACTTAAGTAAGTGGTAGTCAGGACTTGAGACCTGCATGATGACTCGGTGAACGGAGTACATATATGGGATTGGCTGGCTAGTAGCTAGTTTTGATTTCCGAAGTTTGTCGGGGAGAGTCATTCAATTGATAATTTTGACTCTTTGCATTGAGTTGCCGAAAGTGGATTTCGACTTTTTGGCGGGAGCTAGTGCTATGGCTGCGCTGCTAGCTTAGCTTAGCTATACCTGTTAACTGGGTCCTCGAGGCTGAATGGTATTCTGTGTTAACTACTAAGTAATTAGGCACTGGAGTTGGGCTATATATGAAGTGGACTTCATCCGCGTCTGTCTTTATTTCTCGTGACTTCGTTTCTCTATCATTATACCATTACGCGTATTTCCAGCTTTTCGCTTTAGCTTTTCTGAATAGTTGCCAATATATTAGTTGATAACTATCAGTGTTCTCATACAGTTATCACACATATTAGTGTATACCTAGGTACATACCCTTATACAATTCCATATCAATGCCACCCCGTTCGAGGAGACGTGCACGCATACCATCGTCATCACCATCATCACCATCACCATCACCATCACCACCATCACCATCACCACCATCACCATCACCATCATCACCATCACCATCACCACCACCACGGCCAATCGACTACCCCCACCCTTTAGAAGCCTCTCCAGCTCGAGCCCTCAGCTGCCACGACCAATGTCTTCGACAATTCTCCGCCGCGATCCGTAATAAACCAAACTGGACGACCAAAGTTACAAACCGTAAATTGATGGTTAAATGGATTCGCGAGGCGGCGTTACAAGATAGCCAAGAATTTAGTGAAGAGAGCTATCTTGTCCCCATTTGGGATACCGATAGTATTAAATTTGTGACCGAGGAGTTGGTGGATGGGTATAAAGCTTATGTGGAGTATTTGAGGGAGCAAGGGATTTGTATAGAACCGGATTTGGATTGTGTGTGGAGGGCGGATGGATTGGTTGAGGAGGAGGTTAGGGAACAGTTGATTGATGGTAAGTACTTATCTATATAATAACCTGATTATACTTTTTTTCTTTATATATATGTTTCCTTATAAGGCTAATTGGAGATGCTTTTGTAAAGCTGTGGCGACACTTGAGAATGTTCCCAATAAGAAAAAGGATTGGCATCCGGGTTCTGGAGGCCTGGTTTTGGATCTCGTACATCCTTCGCTGTGGCCGATTGTATATGGGAAGACGATAAGTAGTACGGATGGGAAACCCATACAGTGTCCAAAAGAAGCGACTGTTCCCGGTGAAAATTCGTACTCAGACGACGAAGATGATTATTACGACGACGACGAGGAGGATGACGATGACGACGATGGTGCCAAAGCACGCCGAAGAGAAGAAAAACTTCTCGAAGCCCAAAAATTAAACGGCTGGTCCACCAAATTCTGCTGGTTACCATCACTATTCCAAGTCTCCCCGGATGGAAAATCCACAAAGATAAAATCCTACATAAACAACCTATCAACCCCTCAACAAAAGGAACTGTTTTATCCAATCCTTGAAAAGATATTTACGAAATTCGTACCGATGTTTAATCACGTTCTTGCCGATTTGGCTAGCGAGAGGGATCGCATTTATCGTACTTGGGATCCCAGTGAGTTTTGTTGGGAAGGGAGGGATTGTCATATTGTTCCTATTCCATTGTCTGCTTTTAAGAGGAATTGGGAAAAGTTTTTGGGACAGTATGAGAGAGGGGAGAAGTTTTCGCGGGGATTTGCGGATCACTTTCGTCGGAAGCAGGGTTATGAATGGGGGCCGGAGCGAGGAGAGGTAGATAGTGATTGGGATGACAGGAGCGAGGAAGAGGATGATGAGGATGATGAGGATGATGATGAGGAGGAGGAGAAAGAAGAGGATGACAGTTTAGACCTAGGTATTGGGGGTAGTATACGGAAACGAAACCATCGTAATAAAAAAGGGAAGGATAGTTCTTCATACGACGGATACAAAAAAGTCGAGCTCTGGGATATCGGAAGGGTTCAAATGTCCAGCAAGTGGTCACCACCACGGATCACAAGCCAGATCAAACTAGAAGGGAAAGCCGCAAAAGTCATCGTCAAATTGGCAAATATCGTCCTTACACCAAACAATCCAGAGTATAACGGAGGAAGTTGGCATATTGAGGCCATGAAGGTAATATAATTACTACCATGATGATATATCTATCTTTGAAATATACTGGATACTAATACAAACATGAGGGAGAATAGAACGAACGGATTTTAGCCACGGGGATATACTACTACGCACAAGAAAACATTACAGATTCCACCCTTTCTTTCCGCCGCACGGCCAGAGTCGACCAAGATTCCCAGTGGAGTGACTCTTACTGGTCTCGACTCCACGCTATGGGTAACACCTACGGAGTCCAAGAACTCGGAGAAATCCAGACAAAAGTACGGTTTACTTTATCCCCATACCTTAAGCCCTCCTAGCAAACTACATATACCCTAACTATCCCTTACTACGTACTACAGGAAAACCGGGCAATAGTCTTCCCAAACGTATACCAACACCGCGTATCCCCATTCACCCTAATCGACCCCAAAAAACCAGGATATCGCAAAATCTTAGCATTCTTCCTTTGCGATCCAGGTCATGACGTGCCAACTACCGAAACAGTCATGCCTCAACAACCAGAACAACGTATTGATCTTGAAAAATCTCTTCGTGAAGGTCCGTTGGGTGGACTTCCCGAAGAAATCTTCCAAGGGATTGTGGGGGAATTACCGCCCTTGATTACGTTGGATGAGGCACGTGGGTATAGATCGGAGTTGATGGAGGAGCGGTCTAGCTTTACGGGACATAGTTCGAAGGTGCAAGGGAGATATTATAATCTGTAAGTTTTCTTCTTCTTCTTCTTTACTTTTCACTTGAACAGTGTGCTAACTTAATTGCCGGGTTTATAGGTGTGAACACTAAGTTTCAATTTATTTTTAGCTTGTTCGTACTCATGATATCTATATATCCATGTTGATTATTTCTCAAGATCTCTCTTATAATATGACCAAGATGTTGAAATATATGAAATTAACGTGGATTGAATTCTAAGCTCATTATCATAAAAACTTAAAATAATATGGACAAAAACAATTGCTTTTCTATAGTAAACATGGAAGGGCACATCCCATAATCGTACCCATCGATCCAGTAGGTTCAAGAACCTCACTAATTTAGATAATTACAACATATTATAAAAAAAAAAGGTAAAAAGACTTCTCGACATCCCAATCCAAGAACGCCATTCGAAACCACCCTTAACATAACAAAACCACAAAGACAAAAAAAAGAGCTTACCTCGAAGGAAGGAAGGAAAGTTATACACAGTCTCGTAACCATATACATAAGTACTTATGTATCTAAACCCCCAACCCTCTAACCGCCAACCAAAGTACAATCGGCACAACCACATTATCATTTCCTCCCGTAATAACCGCCTCTACCAAACTCCCCAACCCGGCTGCCGCAAGCGCTTTCACCGTAAAAACTCCAATGGTCTTTATACCAACAACTTGAGTCAATACCTTCAACCCACCCCTCGTAATCCCACCTCTTCCTTCTTGAAAATTTCCAGCAATAAGCCAGACTTTCCCAACCAATAGACCGATGTAAACTGCAAATGTAAATGCTAATGATCCTTCTATACTCTTCCCACCGCTCCACCCCCATTTGTGCTTTCCAAACCGTCTTCCAATTAACGATGCAGCCGCGTCACCCATACCGACACAGATAACACCGGCTATCATTGCCAATTCTCTCTTGGGCGCTCGCCAGTATACCCCGAATGGAGCCTCCATTCCCTCCTGGATATCGACTTTTGAACCTGTTAAGCTCAACCACACCGGAATAGCACACCCAATCAACAAAAACACATGAGAAACAACAATCGGGCCCCTCAAGTCTCGTCCGTCAACATATGGCGCTAAGAAAATTGATAAAGGTTTAGAAATCGGCGGTATGAGTGTTGCTCGGAGAATATCCACCAGTAAAAAGATGCCCAAAGTAACGAGTAGTGCTGTCCCTACGAACGGCGGGTCTAGGTATATAGTCGGTAAGAACATCGCAACGACAAGGCCGTGGAATACTTTTCGTCTTGTATCAACCTCGACAGCTCTTCCTCTAGCCACCTCTGCAAGTCCAAGCCAACCCGGCCCTTGAATTTCGAATCCTAATTTTTCCATCGGTACTCGTACACCTTTCCCTAATGTCACGACGACACAAATACCGATCGTGACAAGTATCGACCAATATCCAGCAAGCCCAAGTCTATAATTCGGACCCCATTTTCCTTCTTCTCCATCAGGAACATCGAGCCCTTTGTATCCTGTCCAGCCCATATCTTCGACAAATGTATGGTAAAACGGTAATCCCGAAAACAAGTATCCAGCCGCCCAAGGAAACGGGTCTATACCACCAAAAGCATTGTATGTAAGGTAAGGTCTCTCAGCAAACATAATAACTCCAGCCAGAATGACATAAACCGGAATAGCATATAAGAACTTGAGGGTTGGAATATTCTGTGGTAGTTCGTCGGGCAAAAACTTAGGAAGCCGTTTCCGTATATCCGCCGCTTTCGCCTTTGATATACCGCCCTTGGTGATAACCGTGGTATCTGAATCGCTAGACGTATGGCCGGCCATGAAGCCATCGATGTTGATCTTTTCACGTCGAGCTTTCCGGCGACGGGCCCATGGTCTGGCGCGGGCGAAGACGATCGAGCGTTCTAAATCTATTTCTTTCTGCATGAATGTTTTGCAACCGATTATTAGGGCGCCACCGGTCATCCAGAGGATCGTTTTTAGTGTGACCATTTGAGCGGAAACACTGTCAAGGAGTTGGATGAGTGCTGTGGCGAGTAAACGGGTTTCTGTAGTTGTTAGACTAGGAATTAAGAGGTCTACGCCCAGTGAGACGAGGTTTGAGTGTAGGATTGGGGTATAGAGGAGATGCTCAGCCGAGGCAGGGTGGACTTTGGAGGAGGAAAGAAGAGGTGTGAGGGTGAATAGGTACTTGAGATTTGGGTCATTAGCGATAAAGCGGGGGTAGACGTCTGGAGGAAGAGATGCGAGAGAGCAGAGGAGGATGGAGAGCATGTAAAGGGAGGTGTAAGGTGTTAGGGATAATGCAATGGCTGCCGGGAAGACTAGAGGGTAGAGGAGAGGTGAAGGGTCGAGTGATGATGGGAGAATAACGGTAAAAGGTTTGCGAAGGTTGGAGATAGCGGGGTGGGAGCCGATGACGGCGAGATAGGTGAATAAGAAGGTTGTGAGTTCTATTTGTATCGTTAGCATCGTAACCTAATTGTCGAATATTATGACACCAGGGAAATGACCATACCTCTTTTCCATGTCCGAAGCTCTTTCCTAACTTCTGGTTGATTGCACACCATAAGCACAAGTACAACCATCAATGAAACCTCCAATCCTCTCCTAACGAATACAATCTTCTTCCGCCCACCCAAGCTCCCTGTCCTCGAACCTTTAAGGGCAGCTTCACCGATATCCTTCCCCTCCACATCTGTTTTATCTGAATCATCCTGCTTCGGCGAAGGTTGTTCATCCTCGTCTATCTCCCATTGTCCCGTTTTCCGTCTTTTAGGTGGTGGAGCGGGTAATGTCCTTCTTTTACTAAAGTATTGCACACTACCAGGCTTATGATGTGCTGCATCCTTTTCGTCATCCGCTTCAGTCCCAGATTCCGACGACGATAACGATAATGAAGACGAAGAAGGAGTATACGGGTCAGGTAGCGGAGAGGTAGTGTTTAGGTTGGTTTGCGCATGTTGGAGCGGGATGGATGATGTAGCTGGGACGGCGAGGTTGTTAGCGACATCAGCCCTACCAGGCTTGGTATCGTTGGCAGCCGCGCCGTCTACATAGACATCTGGAGGAGAATGTGCAGATATCGAATGTCTATGGTACGGGTGAGGAGATCGGGAGCGGAGGATGGGGAGGGCATCGGGATCATTCTTGGTCGTATCGGACATTCGAACAACGGTGAAGTCTGAGGAGAGAAGTGGTGGTGGTGGTTGTGGAGGTCAGCTGGTGTCAGGAGGGAAATCCGACAGGAAGTGTTGGGATGTTGTCGTTGTTGTCGACGGATTCGGCTGAAAGTGCAAAGTGTCCTTGGCGGGCTTTTAAGTATTCGATTCTTGATTCTTGGATACGAAATATATCTATGGTACCGACATCGACTTAATTATAATACACACATACCATACACCATAGATATACTTCCAACGGACGATATTTTGGAAAAAGGAGGTATAAGAATAGCTTCGGCTTTTGCAGGCCAATTTCAATTTCAATCTTTACGGGACTGCTGGATTTTCCAGGCATACAAACTGCACGCCACGATGCCGCGTTATTTAGCATCGAACTAAAAGCCAGCTAAGCCCTGCCGGGTACCGATGCTACGGTGGGAGCTGCCGCTTTCACATGCTCGAGACTGCATGCAAACGATCATTAATTGACACCTGGTCGTCTTCAAATTTTTTTCTAACAAGCATGGACTTACGTCAATGTCATTGTACAAGACTCACAAAAGGAAATTAATTTCCTGTTAGATCTATCCGGCCATCTTGTTCACGAAAATCGATACGTGCATCTTCCAAGTTTTATTAAGGCACGAATGGTCTGTTGATATCGTTGTCGACAAATCCCGACTTCAAACTCTCATTGCAAGTGAACTTCTTACAGCAAACGTGGTATTTCGTGCACCAACGCAACCTCGAACAAACCCGACCCTGCTACTCTAGAATAGCACTAACACCAAAGGGGTTTACCTTGTCGTGAGACGGCATACGATATGTCTAGGTACATATCTACTATACGGCCGTTGGGAAATCGATCCCAAAGTTACCATTGATCAAATGGGGGGCTAGATTGGGTTAGATGCCCCAATTCCTCAAATCCTAAACTGACACAGGCCGTACCTGATTCAAGATTTCGCGGCATCAGTTAGAATCTGAGCGTTAAATCAGTAATACAGTGCTGCTAGTTAGGTTATGCACCCTTATATGATCTAGGCCTAGGTCTATGGTTGGCGCGCTCGTATATATATACAGTTACACCAGATGTCAGTAGGGTACAGCTCTAGATGTCCATGTATTAGATTTCTGTTTTATACCACCTTCGAAAATGTATGAAAATACTAGCTAGCTTGTTGAACCCATGGACACGTATCTTTGGGAGTCGGAATATGTACACCCCCCCATAGAAAGGTATATGGGCTTTAGCGTCGAAAATTATGACGAGGGCCAAGTGTTCAATTGCATATGCGCATGGGGCCTAAAGTAAAACAGGTTTCGTCGGTTCCTAGGATCCTTCTAACAATCGTATACTTAAACAAAAACCCATAGCTACAGTTGGAAGAGAATCAGAATTGGTCTTTCAGATCGCTTTCTCCATTTTGTCTAGCTTCTATGATCTATCTACTCTAGGTGAGGCTCTAATCCCAGATCTAAAGGATCTAACAGGACGCAGCATTCCCATATACACAAGTAACAGCAAAAGAAGAACTATATAGACAGATTTCTCCCCTCTTTATGGATATATTACCCCCACCGTACCCCCCTAAGCTCTATACCGAATATATGTTTACTCGACGACCTTGAAAACCCATTTCTCCTCCTGCTTGAATGGAACACCTAACTCAAACAGCTTAACGACAACATCCGAAAAGTCCTTGAAGAAGGCATCCTGGTCCTTAGCGTACTTATCGACCCACTTCTTAAACTCCCTATCCTTGACAAGTGCCATATCCGTCGGCAACATCATCAAAGCCTTGGTCTTATCCTCATACTGTGCCGGACCGTTCCACTTCTTCCAGTTCCACTTCTCGCCCACCAGAAGCTTGTAGTAATCGTTCGTAAGCATTGTTGGGGAGAAAGTCCACGGACCATCGAAACCGGATCGATCGGTATGACATCGACCGAGGGCATGAGCACCGGAAAGGGCGACGATTTCCTGGTCGTTGAAGCCCATTCGGCCGAAAATGGCACGAAGGTGCTTATGTTCCTTTGTAGCGTCGGGTAACCGTCCGTCTGGGGTGCAGGCGCTGATATCTCTATCAGAACGTCCAGGACGCCATGGGATGACTGGACCGCCCATCTGCTGGAGAGCACAGACACCGGAGAGAATCCATAAGTCAGAATAGGAAACCCATGGGAACTTCTCCTTGACTGGCTCGAGGAAGTCGCGAGCGGCTTTGAGACCGGCGTTGGCGCCGTGGTCGGATTCTGGCTGGAATCGCATGGTGGCACCGTTGCTACCGCCGGTCTTGGTTTCTACGTCATATGTGCCAGAGGCGTGCCAGGCGAGGCGGACGAGGACCTTAACGATTCAATTAGCACATATTCCAAAAAAAAGAGGAAAATATAGATATTATAAAAAGGGGAGAAGGAGAAAAAACACGTACAGGTCCATAGCTGCCATCATCGTACTCGTCGAACTCGACAAGTCGCTTCGCAACCTCGTTGTAGATCTTAACATAGTCCTCCTGAGTTGGCACAAACTCCTTTGCGGGAATACCAGCTGCACTGATAAGACTATCGAGCTGACCGGTAGAATAAAGATAATAACCACCACCACCAGCAATGGCAGCAACGGCAGCGAATATTATTCCTCCGGAGCCACCAGACTTTGGAGCAGCTTCAGAGGAGTAGTAGCGTCGGCCATTACCGCGTCCTTGCTTTGGTATTCTAACGAGGCCGAATGCCGAAGGTCGAACAACTGGTCTAGGAGCGACGTGGGAAGCACGAGCAGCAGCTCTGAGGAGCAATCTTGCGGCTTGATTTGTGGCCATTGTGAATGTGGGATTGTATACGTAGAATGTGGCGAGGTGGTTTTTGTATTCCCTCTATCGGTATAAATAGATATCCGAGATGCGAGGCAGATAAGGAGTCTCTCTTCTGTCAATTTGAGGGTGTCTACAAAGCTTCGACTTCAAAACTCAAACCAAATAAAAACCGGTATAAGAGGTATAGTGAAATAAAATAAAAATAAACAAAAATAAAGTAAAAATTCTTTGCTCGCAATCAGAAAATCAAATAAATGAAAGAGGGATTATGCAAACAGGGGAAAGCAAGATTTATATATGAACAAGCAAGAAGGCCTTCACCCGAAGGGCAGGTGGCTCGGGAATATTCCAGAGTCTGAATAGTATGGAGAAAGCTAAGTAGCTCTGTTTGGGCTTGGTGGCGCTGGGGACCCTGCTAGTTCAGGCCGGGGAATCGAGATAGGCAGGGGCCGATGCTCAGAAACAGCGAACCAGAACCGTGCAATTGATAATTGTCCGCTGGTCGAGACTGCGAGATTACATAAGATGAGCACAAGTAGAGTTGAATTATTCGTGAAGTTTTTTTTAAATTTAAATTTAAATTTCACAAGTCATTGCAGAGTTGAGATCCGTGGCACCGCAGCCGAAATAATCTAAATTGTTATCCTCGGTCTAGTTATCGAATTTAAATTTGACGATGCCGATGCAGAGCAGATATCTGGCCAAAAGGGCCCTGTTGTTACCCGTTCGTACCCTGCCTCCGCTCCGACAATACCTGTACATTATGTATGTTATGTACGAGAATCAATGCACGATTGATTGCTAAAAATGCTATTTCTTATATCGGCTGTTACATAAAGCTGACAGGTTCATGTTCCAAAGACCCTGAACTTAGGTAACTTGCTGGGACTGTTCCCGCCCCCTTCGCTCCATGATCCAACTTGTCTCGGAAAGCACCAAGTCCACGAGTCATGACTTCGGCACTAACTGCTGCCACATATCTTCTTCCATCGGAACTCTCCATCGCGCGGTTATCCTCGTATCTACATTCCAGAAAGTATTAATCTTATCCCGTCTTTTCCCTTTTAAAAAAATCTTATTTTTATTTTTTTAGTATTTTTATTTGTTCGTCGGGAAAAGTTACCCTCGAAGTCGGTCGAAATATTAACCCATGATATCCATAATTTTCTTCCCTCCCTGGAACGTTCCTGATAATTTATATATACGCTTCTTCCTCCTTTTTCTCCTGAGATTCATCCCATATGCCATTAACAGCTGTACAGCACATGGGAAACCCCGTGCTGAATCATTCGCCGGAATGCTAGCGGGTGAATCCCCGCACTGTAATCGGGTTAGTCTGGCACTGCAGGCTCAGATAAGGCTAATGTTTCTTTACGTTTCTAAGCAAGCGAAACAAATCGATGGTATCATAAACCCCTTCCATAAGCTCACCTCGAGCTCATGATATCACACTATAATCATACATTTTACATTACATACATCGATTATGCTACTATATCCACAGGTACTAAGATATCCTCTTAGCTTAGCCGTCGCATCCGCTATATACCTCGTCTCGTCTACCACCTGTCTGGTCCCCTTATAAACCCGCAAAAGCAAAGCCGTGATTAGCATCCGATCAAGGGGGAAAAGGAGACAAAGAAAAAAAAACACGCTCAAAAGTACTCCATGATATATTAATTATTGACCGACCCTTCAAACTCAGAACGGGGGAAAAAGGATAAATTATAAGGATGTAGGATGTAGGTATAGATGAAAAAGATAAGATGGGAAATATGCATGTGGCAGAAATGAAGATATCATCCAATGATCCTGCCGCCCTCGTTCTTGTATATTATCCGGCGAATGTGATCGCGCCATCCTTGCCATGCTCGCTCGTTCAGTCCTGATGTAATCGATCGCGGTCAGTGTCTACAACACAACGCGGAAAGCTTCTAAAATGCAACAGATTGATGTTGTACTCACCATATACGACAGCGTCTACTAGACCCTGGATAACAATACCTATACATAAGTATCGATCAAATTCGGATTTAGTATATAGTGCCTTGGTACATATGAAGGTGGGGTATAGGTAGTACTTACAGCTCTTATCCACAATTGTAATCCATAACGGTGCTCTCGACCCTGTTGTGCCCTGGTATATCCGTATCGCTGTTGGACAAGCCCATATTATTGCATATGCCACCGGGTACACCATCATCTTCTTCGCAATCTATAAGAATACTCCTCATGTTAGCCTTGCCATCTGCATCTTATATGACTCACAAAGGTAGGTAAGGTATACTGACCCTCTTCAACTGCGCCGCATTCAACGGCTGTCTCATCCCCAACGACAAACTCCGACTGCTATTCACATTCACAGTCCTCGCCCTCGAGCCCTCTTCCCTAGCACTACAACTTGATATAGCTTCTCTACTATCTCCTGCTCCACTCGTCGTCACCATTGTCACAAAAGTCGGTGCAGTCGACCCTTTCCGTCCAAAACTGACACTAACATCTCGGGATACCAATACCCCGCTCCCTTGTCTTTCTCTATCTTTTTTCCCCACTGACATGAGTATTACACTGGTATCGGCCATATCATCACCTGGATCTGGAGAAACGCCCTCGATATCCCATTTTCGGGCTTTGCGGACTATCATATAAAGACGGATGTAGATTAATGCGATAGCGATGACGATTAGCCATCGTGGGATGAAGTTTATGAGGAGACGCATGAGGTCACTGGTAAGCCAGCACCAGCCGCCTGTAAATCCAAATAATATAGGTTGTTAGTACCTTTCTTGAATAGTATAGAGTTATATTACTTCTCGGGGAAGGGCTTGAAGTTTTCATACCGATATACCCGTATCCTAAAACCCCATGACAGATAGCGGCGATAATAATGGATAGCACCCATGGTCCTACCCATGGAATCCACACGTGTGTCTGGATAAACTGTGACTGGGTCTTAAAGTTTCCAAGGATAATGTATGTTGCTATGGCCTGTGTATCACAAAGTTAGTCTATCTCTCCTTTCGTAACCTCTACTGCAACTGGAGCTAATCAAGCGGGAAACTCACGATAACCAAGATCCACCAATCCGCTTTATTTCAGCGAAGCAGTTAGTATCCTCATTGAGCATCTTGAAATAAGCTTATAACTTGTGAATACATACTCTGCACCACAAAAACCTGCGTCAAAAACCCATTCACCGAACACGCAGTCCTACTCTCCTCCAACGCCAAATCCCCACCCGCAACATTCCACCCCGCCGAAAACATAAAATTCAGCGACATAAGCAGATCCGATATCGCCAAACCCAGGATCAACTGGTGGCGGTATGACCGAAGTTCTTTAATACACTACGGCACAATTTTAGTGAAAATCAACATACTGAACATACACAGATATACAAATATCTGCCTCCAAAATAAAACTGGAATCTTAACTTACAGCATAACTCAGCACAACCCAAGCAGACCCCACCGAACTCAACAATGCAACCGAAAACAGCGCGCGGTTAAGCATCATATCACCCCAAGCAGTCGCAGGCGCTGCTAACGCGCCTCCCCGGCGGTCGAGCAAGTACGGTAATTGCGTCATCTCAGGCTATATGTCATCGGCAGCCCTCTGTTCTATACTATAATAGGTCCCAAGTCTGGGCAATAGGATCTACAGTCGAAATAGAAGATCCTATGGAAATGTGAATTTCTGTGAGGTAAGTATTTGGTAATGGAAATGCTGGATTTGGTATGAACTTACGCACGTGTGTGACGGGGTGGACGGGGTGGATATGTAGGTACCCGTTGTAGCACTTGAGCGGATAGGTAGCTAGCTAGTGTGGGTGTGTAAAGTGAAGGCCAGAGCTTTTGGGTGCACTATACCTGTAGGAGAAGACTGTACATAGCTGTTTCGAATGGAAGGAAAGTAGAAAAAATTGAGGTTCTTTTTACGTAAATATTCTCCTTTAAACTTTCCTTATATATAAGGAACTTGGAAACGGTTTAACTGGACAGCTAGCTTCATTAAACCCAATTTTCTTTTTCTTTTTCTTCTGACTTGGAAATGGGGGAGTTTACAAGGCGTACATGCATTTGGCAGTTCATCTCATCTCTCCCTTTCTGAAATCGTACTGTAGCAGAGGTAGGCGACTAAACCACCATCTGCCGGTATTCTATTGTTCCTGCATGTTTGAAACCCCACTCGTAAACTTGAATTTCACCAAGTGTCTCTTTCCTTTTTCGCCAATCCGATATTGTGGATAAGCTTTGGGGTGTACCTAGATAGTACCCACCCACCCTTTATGAACCATGAGGGCACATTGCGAAGTGCGGGAGACAAGTTTAGCTTTGTTTCGTTAGACGTTCGTTATCTTGGAACCAAGCCTAGGCTACCCTGCTCACTTGGACGTTTTACAATTTAGATATCACTTCTTAATTATGGGCAGAAGCGCTACCGGGACTTCCTTGGATACCGTCTGACATGACAGTTCAAACCTGAAGGATCGACAAAGTGGGGTAGCATACTAAAGGTTTCCGGTTTCCTCGGTTGGTGGTCTGATAAGATATCAAACTTGTATACATGTAGCTATATATCTTGGTAGGTTCTTCTTTCCCAATATTCAAAATTTGAGCCGTCTAAGTGGAACATACTTCAATCAATGCGGGAAACTTGATCCAATTATATGATTTTAAGCCATGGCAATTTACGATAATAACGTCAGTAGAGACTAGAAGTGGAGCATAAAGTGCTTATTTTTTTACTAGGCTTCGAGATTGTGGCTGAAACTTTATAGATTTTTTGAAGCTTCTTTCTCCAGATCTCCGAATTACCTGCAAGGTGCCCGGGGAAACAGGAGGTACGGCGATAAGAAGCAAAACCATCTATCCTTGAACTGGCTTGGATCTGGGAAGTTGTCAATTTAAGAAAGAAAGATGCATGTACAGGTACATTGACAGTGCATGAAGGCGTCCGGCGTCCTTAACCTTTAATTCGGGACATACCAGGTGTAAATCCCACCTGTGCCCGGGCATGGCAGATATCACCTGGATCATACCATTTACTATAATCTGCATCTTGCATGCAGCGCTCTATTCAATTCCCACACACGGAAGCCGGAATTCGAGATACCAAGCTTACGCATATGCCCCCGGGAGGATTCCAAAAATATGCCAAAACCCGGACAGAAATTTAATCAAATCTTGCGGCAAGCCAACATGTTTTTCTTTCGCTCGTGTGCCGTCTTAGAAGAAGATGTGGATGCGGGTGTAGATAAGAGTTTTATACGTCCACAGAATTTGATACCCACAAGGGCAAGAACCTCGCCTATCTGCCCGACTTCAACTGAGATCTCCGCGGGCTGGCTATTTTTTTCGCTTGAAAAGCATGGCGTAGGATTGTGTAACCAGGGCAGGAATTAAAAGTGGGACCCTGCACGAGACAGCCTCCAAGCTGGCTGGCGTTGAATAGATATCTCGAATCCACAATTCCATAGGAACTTCATTTAGATACCGTCGGAAATACCCCTGGAATGAGCCGCCTCAGGCTTCGTCCGTGGAGAAACACCACCGCCAAGAGCAAAAAGGGTTTCGATATCGAGACTTCAAGATTCCAGTTTCCCAATCATCATCATGAATGAGATTCCGAATTTAAAGCCATCCCATATGGCCAGATGCATCGTCAAGGTCCCCCCTTGCAAGGTGTGGCCTGTCCGCACCCTTGTCGCCGGAAAACTATTCCCCCCCCCACGCGCAACACAAGCTTTTGCTTGGACTATCATTGGTGCGGAGGCGATATGCCTGTCCCTTGTGCGAATTTTAGGGGCAATGGTTTGAGATTGCGGACGCCGAATTTGAATGTGGACATTTTTCTGCTTCTTTGCCTATCTCTTCAATTTAGCTTATTCAGGTAGTTGGTCATAGATACGGCGGGGTTATTCATGGTTCGATTCGGGGAGGGCGATAAAGATATATTTAAAGATGGAACGGCCAAGCCAAGCGTGGTGGTATTCTAGATTGTCTAGACTCCGACTCTCAGTACAGTTTCAACTATCATTTAATTATTTCAATTACTTATGCGCCAGTTGCCGAAGTTGATTTATATGCCGACTTGGATTTGCCTCTGCCAGTAACTCCATTTCTTTGGAAATTATTATATTCCAGACATTTGATTCATCTCAGCTCGATTCCGATAGATATCTGTTTATAATCAAGTAGACAATCCCAATTGAGTAATATCAATCGGCTAGCTAGCTCACAAATTGTTAACCCCGTTTTACCAAGGCAAGAATATCAAGACAGGATGAGACGAAATGCCTTGGTCTTCCTGCAAGTCTCCCCATCCGTCGACAGGTCACATTTCCTTGGCCTCGTCATTAATTATAACCATGTGATAATACAATTTTTTGTTGGAAAGAAAATACATTTTTTCCCGTGTGTAATACGACATAGCAAGTGTCTATATCCCCTCCGTATCAAATCAGGGGATTCGAAGGAAGCGTATACGTTCTTGATATTCACACCATCCCTGCATTCTGCACTTTTGAACATAACCCCCCTTGAACTTTTCATCGCATCTACACAGGAAAAGAATCATACCAAGTTCTAGACCTTCTATAGTCCAAACGAATATATTGTCGTGAACCCCTCCACCCGCTATCCGAACACTAGACGGCCGGGGTAATCCCTATCCATCGTATCCAATACCACCCCCACCAACCGATAAACACTCTAGGAAAAGAACTATGCCGTGCAAACCCCAGGTCTGGCCTATGCTTGACTGGTTTCAAGGCAGATTCGAGTACGCAGCAACTCAAGCGGAAAGAAAACGTTTACGGTCCATCTGGTTGCAGATAATCAAGACCCAGGACTTTGTAGAAACGGATCGACAGATCACGAGTGCTAATTAGTAAGGATTCTACCCTGTTGTTTTTTAATTTCATAGATATTCTATTGTAGAGAGGAAGCTGATAATGTATATTTTTTGATCGTGAATAGTGTGGAGCGGAACCCTCAACGGCCGATGTTAACGATATCGCCCCGTATGTGGAGCTATTCCTCGTAACTAGCCTGGGAGTAAATTTGGGGCACGAGGTTGGCTTGCTATACCATAGCAAGGTGATATAGGAATATCGAGGCGGGGTCCAGAAAGGCTTATTTCTTGAATTCTTGGTATTTTGAGAGAAGCTTTGATACATACATCACACAAGCAGAATTCCTAGTAGTTTTAATCTCTAACTTCATCCTATTTTTTAATCTATCTTTTTTTATCTAAACTGTGGTTATCCTACATAGCTAGCTATTTTATATATTCATCGTTTCACGAAACAGTGTAGACAATCTTGATCTAATTAGCTAACCAACACTTTTAGAAATGGTCAAAGTTAAATACCACACTAGGGCGCTATTTACGAGTTCATATGTATATCGCAATGAGATAGCTGACTTCAATTTTCTTGTTCCCTTAAGATTCATGCGGAGGACGATACTTGTGGGTGTCAAGAAAAAGAAAGGGAAGAAAATAAAGAGAAGTTCAGGGATACGTAATATCATATCATGATAAACTTACCAAACTTTCTTGGATGCAAATGAGAGACCAGTTTCTCTCTTCATCTTTTCCGATGTCGATACCTATACATAGACCTATCTTCATTCCATTAGCATAAACTCCTTAGTTAGCACCGTAACATCTTAGGAATTTTTGAACTCGGACAGACCAAACTACGGAAACGGTGAAGAATAAACTACGAAATTACAAGTTGGACCTCAAAAACTCCAAAGCGAGTAAGGAAGTAGAAAAAGCAAAGACCAAGCTAGGGAACAAAGGTTGAAAGTGGAGGAAAGAGTATTCCAAAACATAAGCCAAACATTCACCTACTCCCCTTCTCAACAACTTACCCGTGTGCTAAACATGGATAAGCCGGAGAAAGGAAGTAGGTGAATGCACTTTTCATTCAAAAACAGACAAAATATCAAATAATGGCTAGATATTAAAGGAGGAGGAGGAGGAGGAGGAGGAGGAGAAGATGGAAAGGGAATAACACCCGATGATTGCGGAAGTAGAGAGAATGGAAGAGAAAGGAATGGCACCTGATGAGTTCGGGATGGAAGATCGGAGAAGATAAGGGTATGCACCCGCCGAGTTCGGAATAGAGGAGCGAAGAAGGGAAGGGAATGCACCCGTTGAGTTCGGAAGTGAAGGAAAGGAAGGTGAGGATCAATAAAATTGGCTATAACTTCAGAAGTTAGTCAGAAAGTCGACAAATAGGTCGCTATGTTTCCTAACAGTATATAACTTGAGATACTCACGCAAGCAAAAATACAAGACAAAAAAATGTCAAATCTGAAGACAATCTATATATATAAACAAGTGTTAAGAGGAGGCCTTCAGATGAATGGAGCTTTAGCGGGCAGTCTTACCAAGAGATGATGCAACCAAATATTGGGCAAAGCCGCCGGAGAGGAGGAGAGGCCCTATATAAAGAAATTAGTAAGTAAAGATCTTCAACGACCTATGGCCCTTGGGATAATGTTACTTACCTTGCACAGAATAGACATAGGGTTATTATTTGTCGGCGAGACCCACCCTCGTCGGCTTGGGCGATAGGAGCCCCAAGTTGCTCCAAAAAAAACTCAAGCCTTAATCGATAGACCTCTCAGCGTCCACCCACTGCTCATATGCCGCGTATTCTTCCTCGACGGTCTCAAAACCGTCGGGGAAATAGTACCAAGCAATTCTAATGAAGTCTCGATAGACTTCGCGTGGTACGGCCCTTGGGGCAGTGGCGCTGGTGACAAGAACAGTGTCCCACGGGCGTGGGTGCACTGTCTTTTTTGGCCCTGGTCGGTCTCTGCCATACAGGCGCGGGCAAGAGGTATCGACCGTCGGGTCAACTCCATCTCGCAACCAGAACCGGAAACCCCTTGCAACGGGGTCCCGGTTCGGTCGCTTGATAGAGCCGACCTTCGAGTCGACCCACCGCCGCAGCCCAAGGCACGCTTTCTTTGCCACTCGTCGGTGAGTGGTCTTTACCTTGTATCCGACAAGGTTTTCTTCGTCACGGACTGGGGCGGGCTTGGCCGGAACGGCGACTGTAAAGTCACCGAACTCGCGCCCGGTTCTCCCTTCCATCATTTCTTTGCTTTCTTCTCCTCCTTCGGCCGTCCTAGGTGGGACGGGAAGGTGGCTCTTCACCTCTCTCTCCGCCCTCTCCTCCAGGCCTTCCCACTCTGCTAGTGCCGCCGCTATTAAGGCGAAATTTGGTTAGCAGTGGATATATATAACACAAGGAGTTTTCTTCCTAAAAAGGAACACTTACATCTTTTTTTACCGACGACAACGGTCGAGAGCTTTAGTCCCCCCCTGTCTAGCGTCTCGTATCGGATGTGCCGGTCCCTCTGGGATCGCTCCTCATGAAGCATGCCGGCGGAGAAGCTCCGTGGAAATGCTGGTCGTGGGATTCCATCGATGGAAATCAAATCTTCATGGCCGTAAGTGGCAAGTGAATGGGAAGAACCCCGACTGTTATGGATAATCTGGTCCCGAAGAACGGCTGGTCGAGGGATAGCTGGGATTTCTGTTGAGATCTCAGCCGGTGACATCTCGGGGAGTGCGAGTGCCAGGGTGATTGGAGCAACGACAGTCATTCGGTTGCTGTAGACGTGTTCTCCGTTCTTCTCTTTCTTCTGATTGTCTTGCTTCTTCTTTAACCCTCCTCGAAGGAGGAACTTGCGGATTGTTTCACCTAGCATTGTCGAAGCGGTAGCTGGTAGCTGGTTACTCGTCCTGTGATAAATTTTGTTGGTGATAGCGAACAAAGACTCTTCAACGAAAGACAATGATTTTATGGTTTAGAGAGGCAGTACCAAAGGAGTATCAAGCTTGGAGATTGGATTGAAAAGAATCGAGAGAAGACGCGATTGAGGTTGGTGACGGTGATGGTGATGTTGAAGAGAGGGAGAAATTATTTGGCTTGGAAAGCTCAGCTCATCAATCAACCCAAGAACGCATACACAACTACAGCTACCGGTCCCACAATCCAGCCCAATTCTATCTTCTATTATGATGGGAATACAATACAGGCAGCGGACCATCTATTAACCTAAAATTGGGCACAGCTTATGTTTTTACAATACTGACTTTACGTTACAGAGAGATATATAAACCACAGCATACCTCCACCTCTACCTGTACTATGATCGATAAGCAATGGGTCTATATATAAAATCGGTTTGAGACACAAGCTAGCTAGCTGGTTAAGCTAAAGGTAAATTTTCTCAAGATCATACGGGCATATACGCCACTACTAGATTTGGAATTGATATTAAGGTTCAATTCTAGTACCGTGCCCGGTTTCGCCGGCCCAGAACTAGTAAATTCAATTTGATATCAACGCATTTCGAACCACAAAATCCAACACTCTTCGGGTGCTGCAAGTATTGTTATATAGTAAGCAGCATGTTCGGCCGGGTCTAGCCCAGAACGGTAATTTGTGTTCGCGGGGACCCAACCGTATTTCTTATCATTGTATGCATTATTATTATCGATCTCGATAAAATTAATGATTGATTCGGTTGATACTCGATCTATTCTTACTTCCGCAATTTATATAAAACAAGTACTCAATTCTCAAAAAAAAGTATTCAAATCTTTAAAAAAAAACGATCTCTTTATCACTGCTGTGGAATCGATGTCATGCTCATTTATATAAAGAAGGCGGCCGGAGGCCACCATCGAGTTCGCTCTCGCTTGTATTATATATATTTGCTTAAAGGTCTTTGGATATGCTATTCTTTGCATGCATAAGGTATGTATCGATTGAAATATACAAGCTGGTAATCGTTTTTGCGTAGTGACCATGGTTCCGACATTGCTTAGGCAAGCATACATACATACACACACACACACACACATATATATATACATACAAATTAAAGTATAGCTCGCCTTGTGCAGCTAGGATAGCTACATTATAGCCTATTACGATTATCATAATCTGTTGAATAATGTAGAATAACCATGGGCCTTAGCTTAACCCTTTATGATAAATTGGGTTATGTGTAATTCTATAATTCTGGGTATATCATAATAGTTACCTTTTATGACAATAAACTTATAATATAAACTCTAGTTAATAGGTATGTGCTTCTATACTATCGGGTAACGTGACCCAGATATTGCTCATAGTAACAACAATAGTAATTTAGATGTTAGAACCATATTTTGATATATCCACACCTTTTGTCCTTACTATGGAAGTTGTTGATGTTTGAAATCTTTAATTCCAATATACACGTCTCATGGCTCTTAAAGAGCTGGAGCATCACAAAATGAAGTTTTAGGAGTCCTGAAGAGAAGTGAGTGACACCTATTTACAAAGCTGACAGCTCTGGAACAATTTCTAATATATTGAGTGTAACCAACGCAGTTTGGTTACAAGACTGATATTGAGTTTAGAAGTAGGTTCACTTGGAATATCAACACAACTATTCTGTAAAATGCAACGCTTCGAAGCTTGGCCTTGATATATGTACGTTTCGAAGCTCTAGAGTATTGTAGACAGGTGCGGGTGAATTAACCGCGATACGATCCAATCACTTTGATATCTATCTGCACGCGCAATATATAGCTATGGACTTAGGGAGATAGAGTTTTGTTGTCACTAGGCCACACAATCATGCAATTATTTTTTATTTTTAGCCAACAGCTAGCTAAGGTGTTTAATCAATGGGAATGGGCTCGGAAACAAATTTAGCCGGCCACTTTAGTTATTTCGCCCATACGGGCCTAACAAAACCAAATAATGGGACTACATCTCCCAATATCCCCCCCTCTCTTCAAACCAGCCTAGGAAGGCCTGGTACTCTGTCTCCACGTTTTCAAATCCGTTTGGGAAATGGTACTACATTTCCCTCGCGAATTGCTGGTAGTATTCGTAGGGGACAGCGCGTGGTCGTTCGACCGATGTGACCAAGGTCGTCTCCCACTCTCTGGGAAAGACGGTGCGTTTGCTGCCCCCCTTCTTGTCTCTTCCGTAGAGGTGAGCGCCGACCGCGTGTGGTTGAAGCCCTCGGTCAACCCCTTCCCGCAACCAATATCGAAACCCCATGCTAAGTGGGGTTTTGACTGGTCGCAGAAAGAGGTTGACTCGAGGGACCGCACCGCGAGCCGAGCTCAAACGTCCCTCACTAGCCTCCATGCCTTGGTCTTTGTCGCGTGGTACCTCGGCCGTTCCTTCCATCTTCATCTGGTTTTGTGCGGCTGCTAGGCAATCCTTCAGCCCCTTCGCCGCCTTCTCTTCGAGTTTTTCATACGCCTCGAGTGCGTCCACTTTTGCATAAGCTAGTTAGCGACTAGGCAAAGAATACTTAAAATGTATATGAGATGGATGTTGAACTTCACTTACTTCGCTTTGGCCCAACTGACAAGGTTGGTGCCTTGATGCCTCGTTTCTCCAGCTTCTCATATCGGTAATGGGTCTTGACCCGGGATTGGCTTTCGTGAATGTGAGCCTCGGACAACCCGGAACCCCAGTGTGGTCGGGGAATGCGGTCGATGTCGGTAAGGTCAGCTTGGCCATAAGCCATAAGCGACTGGGTGGTGCGGTGGCCGGCAAAGAGAGTACTCTCCCTAAGGAGGGCGCGAGGTGGAGCAGTCGGAAGGTCGAGGGTATGCTCCTTCGTGTCCAAGTGTGGGACCTTGGCTGCCGCGGATTCCATTCCTTTGGTCAATCGGGTAGCTGACAGCTCGTTCTGGGTACGGGGTTTATTCCCCTTCTTCTTGCAATGGAAGAAATCGCGGAGTTTCTGGGCAAACGTCATTGTGACTTTAGGATGCCGTAATGCAGGAATTGTAGGATTGATTATTCAAAGTAATAGGGAAGCTAGTCAGGTATGACCGTTATCTAGAGGTGGTGTCTTGATAGGAGGTGATAATGGTGAGCTCAAGTGGAGGAGTTGAAAGACGCGACGGTGGTTGATCAAGAGCAGGAAGGTGTCGGGTTGTCAACAAGCTCAATATATTATATATCTAGTTGACGGCTACTCTACAACTACTCTCACGACAGCAGCTAGTTACTTTAGAACGGCATAGCAACCTCTCCACTCTTTGATCTCTGCTCAATTTAACATTTTGCACTTGCAAACCGTGATGCTTCTGCAGACCTGAATTTGCTTTGAGATACTTAGTAGATTTGATTCTGAGAAAATATATATATGGTCAGTTCATCTTGTACTTCCATTGCGGCCCTCACGGCCCTACCTCAAATAAACGGGTGCATATCACAACAGGAAAAATATGTCACATAGCTTTAATTCTAGGTATAGGCCTATAGGTCTAATTTTAATATGTGTAAGCCTCGAGTTTAAAGTCTTCGACCAGTATAGTATACGTATACAACGTACAATATAGAGATTAATTATTGTAAACTTAGTTGGTGTATAGCCAAAGAATAAGTTTGGGCGGCTTGACATACAAGAATTTCTCTCGGTAGCCTTACAGCCCACAACCAGTTCGGTACTTGTTAATATACGTGTATACATGTAGGTACTTATCCGTAGGACGTTCGAAAGTTCTCTCATAATCTCACGTCGTACACACATACTCCGAGTATAGTTGGCCGTATATCAACTCATTTTAACTTCCAAAATCCAACACTCGCCAACCCCTGCCAGCGAAAATCCTGGGCTCGAGTCTGCCGAATTCGCGAATTCAAATTTCCTGGGAATGGGAAACCGAACTAGGTTTTGAACATTTCGATACGTCAAGAGAAATTCCATGATGTCAGTTTAGAATCCCGCCCTATCAGCGCATTCCTGATAAGTTTCCAAACTACCTTTTCAAACAAGCAGCATTCCGTTTCTCTTCACGGCCCGTCACGCATGTTTCGTTCGTTCTGTTGGTGCAATGGCGCACCCAAAAGCCTGCCAATGCAATTTTCGAGGCCCGCTAGCTAAACGCTGCGTTGGGTTGATTCAGACAGGGGCTTCACGAAATGTCCCTCTCAGGTTGCTTCGACAGGGGTTTTTGGCAGCGGAGGTCCATGGAATACACGAGGTCCCTGGATATCAACCCCGTATTGGGCTCCGCAATTGCATGTAATTTCTTAATAATCAGGGGACCCTTTCGACCAAAAAAACGGCCAACCGTCTGTGCAAAGAAAAACGTTGAAATTTCGAAAAGGCCAGGACGGAATACGGGATATCGCGTCGTCGATGCGCTTTTGCACATAAGGCTCAATGGAATCGTTTTGCCGAAAAAATTTCAGCCTCAAGGGCAAGTAATTGCGCAAAAGTTGGCCCCTTTCCGAGATGCAACTAACATACATACAGCCATGCTGCTAAATCTGTTCTCAAGACAAAGGCGCTGACCGAAACGCTCCTGAGGAGAAACACTAGTTGACATTTAGTGCTCTCGGAATGCGTTTCCCAGGAGGTCTGACTTAAGCACTTGAATTATATGGATGGTGCTTGAACCACCGCAGCCTGAAGAAGCAATCCAACCCCAATTTCCTAATAAAAGAAGGGATGATATCTCATCACCTTGGATTAATCCTTCCGTGTCACTATCAGTAATCGATACCAAGCTCCTCATCCCGCTTTTCGAACAACCCCGGAGGATTTGTCGATTTCCCTTCTCTTCCTCAACATTCGCTTGGACTTTCTCCCTTTTATTACGCTAATATTTGGCTTTCGCGCCGCCGAAGAGAACTTGCACCCCAAACTACTTAAATATCTCCTATTTGGACAGGGCTCTGCTAAACTGTGGGGAAAACGAAAAGACGAGGAAGGAATGAAAGGAATGACACCAAGATCTTCACACGCTCCGCCGGCGCCGTTGGTACTGCAGAAACAGAAATCGAAGTCGTCGCTACGAGGTTTTTTCAGCAGCAGTGGAAGCAGGAATACCTCGCCGGTTACGCCAGTTCCGCCAGTTACGCCACCAGCAACACCCAGGCATTTGTCCGAAAGCGCAAATGGTACAATATCGCCGGCACCAAGTTCGAACTCGTCGAAAGATTCAACCCTATCATTGAGAGCTAAGGGCCCCTCATATTCGAGCTATGCAAAACCACCGATACCGCAGGTCGTATTTACAAAGATCGCTCTGGAGCTGAGAGTAATACACGGGAGTGGGCCGATAGGAGCACCATGCGATACTTGTTTTATGCGAGATCTTTGCTCGTTGGCGTTAGTTAATAAGAGGTTTTCGAAAGGTGCTTTACGGTTACTGTATGTCGAGCGCGCGCATGTTTCAAATATATGATATTCAAAAAGCTAATTTGTGGAATCGCTGACAGATACTCAAAAATACGACTTCACGGGCCGGACTCGGAAAACTCGAAATTTCACTTCGGTAGCAGCAAGAAGAATGCGATAAAGTACGGAGCGCGAATAAACCTACTATGCCGCACATTAAGGTCCCGACCGGATTTCGCAGAGCTGGTTGTAGAGCTTAAGCTCCCAGCTTACGATCTCAGCCTGCCGGGCCCGGAGGTAGCGAATATACTTTCACTAGCAGCGGGTGTGGTTATGTGCTGTCCAAACCTTGAGAAGCTCGCCGGTTTCTATCCCACGTTCGAATTCGGTATGGGAATCGAGGTACCCGGAAATCCAAAAGATGAGGAGTGGCGAAGGGGATCGGATAGGCTGTGGCAGGCACTCAGTACCCGCAAGAAGCTCAAGGAGCATGTATGGCTCCTTGTTGGGGAACAGCAGTTCGAACCATCGCCTGATGATATCGGATATCTGGATGAGAATGGAGTATTTCGTCAAGAAGTTGACCCGCTCCCTCAGCAGCAAATCCAGCGGTTCCTTTCCTATCACGCCCAATGGCAGAATCTTGAAACCTTGGTCCTCCATGGGATGAACACCATATCTTCGCTTCTCCCCCACGACTTCATGGCGCTTTTCCAAAATACTCCTAATCTTGGTTCTCTCTATGCATCCCACTTTGCATATTACCAATTCACGGACGAGGTTCTTTGGTATCTCCCAAAATCTCTGACAGCTCTTCGTCTCGAATGCCTTCCTGGCCTTACCGACAGAAGTCTCTCCTTCTATTTCTCTTCTCCCCAAAACCCTTTGAAAAAGCTTTCCCTTATAAATCTTGATATACGTTCGTTACTTCTCATCATGAAGATTTTTGCGAACCTTGCTGAGCTCGACAAATTCACCCTCCTTCAAGAAAACGCCCCAGAAATTGACGAAACGGACACACTATTTTTGCGCCCATTACTTGCATCCCGTTCACTCAGATTCCTCCATTGGGACTGCCTTAACTCCGGGCCTGCAGAAGTCCATTTGGCAAACAGTATCACTGACGGCGGGTTTCCAAAACTCCAATATCTCCGCGCCCCATGTGACAACAAGGGAATTCTTCAAGCTGTTTGCCGACCCCGCGAAAAGATTGAATTGCCCGGTGATAAGTTTCGTTCTCTGATAGTCCGCCAAACACCCCAGAAGACAAAACAGGCCGCCAATGGTTATGCTCCAACTCCGCCAGAACGTAGGAGCCGGAGTAGCAGCAGTAGCCGTCATCACCGCTCACGGTCTAGTTCTTCAACTGCGATAACTACCAGCTTGCCACCAATGTCACCAACCCCAATAGACGCTGAAGAACTTACCCGCCACCTGCCAACTGCTCGTTCGAAAGCTCAGAAAAGGCTAGAAGTAGCCTTGAACCCACCTTCAGCGCCGAATCCGCCTGGTACCTTCTCAGCATCGGTGGCCGCACGTCGACCAAAAACGAGCCACTCTTCATCTGACAGCATGGGGATCATACCACCCCTGCCAACCGGCACCTTTCATATTCACATCATTATTTCGAATTTTGATGGCCCTAAGAACTCTGTAAAGGACATAGTTACGTATCACGGGTATATGGGAACGATCAACTCAAAAGTGGAGTATTTCTTACTGCCAGATATCCCAGGTAGTGAAAGTGCACTTGCGGGATTAGGCGATATCATGGAAGCAGGTTGGGAATGGAAAGAACCAGGAACCGGGAGTAGCGACGGGTGTACAGGGTTAGTCAATGTGAGAAATGCGGTGAATAATGGAGGAAACGGAAAGGCTATGCATAAGTACTGGAGCCATAGAGAGAGATGGCCATGGAGGATGATCGCTTTAGGAATTCTCTTTTGAAGGGGCTATATTATCTGGAGCAGGATTCTCAGTAATATGCATTTTTATTTTTTATCGTCTTACGACATGATTTGGCTTCTATGTAGTGTATTTTTAGCGGCCTTTGATTTTTAATTATTCTTTTCACTTCTTTGGGACTAGGGGTTAGGTTGGAGGGGATTTAATACCAAAATGTCGAACCCTTGAGGATCGAGTACTTTTCCAATATTTTAATGGTCCATATACGCATATACATTCTCTAACACGTAGACTATTATTTTGGAGTTTAAATAAGCTCAAGCCACAGTCTAGTACCCAGTGATCTTATATTATCTCGTAAACCAGAATTAATGCTGCTGCGAAGTAGTGATTCCGAATGAGATCTACTTCCTATAACTAGGAGTCAATATATCCGCAATACTACAGTCTGGGATAAATCTTTCGACGAGGGTAACTTTCTATTCGTTTCACTTTGGTCCTACGCCTAAGTTAACACCCGATTTAAAGACTATTTGTCTCCAAAATCTTTAAGATTAAAATGTAATATCATTTGTTTACAATACGTCTACGAAATGTATAGCGTTAAACTTTGTAAACGGGCTACGTAGCGCTACCATGGTTTCGTAATTTGTAAAACTTCGTTCTGATCATGTCAGCTGGTTAGGTCACCACCTAATTTTTTATTTCTATTTCCTTTCATCCTTGGCCCATTGGTTATTTCAGCCGCACATGCAATTTCATCTTTCTACACGGCCTAGGTACCAAGCTGTGCAGTTTTCGCTGCCTACATGTTGTACCTCTACAACCAACAATAGTTTGATGGTGAATGATGTGCCGCCGCGCCTTTATAATTATCTTGGCCTATTCCTGGGCGGTATGGTGCATGTTGGGTGATTCGTCCCTCAACTCGCTTAGTCAAGTCGTGACATTCGCAACATTGATGATTATGATCTTAGAGGCAAGAGATAATAGCGTGATATGATTTTTAATGTTGAAGGCAAGAGAATTCGCGTATATTCCAACTGAACTTATATAGTTCAACGGGATCGGTGGAACACATGATGTCGAAATCGAAGTGTCCAACTGTGGCTATAGTGTTAGAAACGGAATCAAGTACACATTTGTATTCTCGCCATATGCATCATACCGTGCCCAACTCTTTTATTCAGGCCAAGTATCTGCATAGCGAAGTACATACATAGATCAGAATGTTCTCGTGATTCAAACGGTATATGCGTTTTTGTTTCAATATCTAAATTTAGTTAGAGCAGAAGGATGCCTTGTTATGCCAGCACGAAGTGGGTCCGATTCTTCATGTCGTACACACTAACAGTTAATCCGCAGATCGATGGGTACACGCGTCCGGGGCATGGTTATAAGCTTTTGGCCCGCATACTTCGCCAAGGCTTGCCCAATTATATTCATTATTGAATGTACTTTCATAAGTACTTAAATGCTTAGCATGTCGAAATTTCAAGCAGTAGGCTTTGTTACAAGGATTTCACAAGTTACTTGTCATGTTGGTTCCGTATACCATGCAATAGTACCAGTGCCCGATAGTGGAATGCAGTGCACAAACCCTCACCAATGAATGGTTTACTAGATTTAGTGTTTCGAAACTTCTATATAAATTTGCTATCATTATTATTTCATAGCAGTGGTAATTAGCCTAAAATTAGGACTTGCAATTAGGCTACTCCATATGCAGGAAGTCAGACCTCCACTCTACATAGTTTATTTGACGAGATCATAGTTTTTGTGGTTGCACCGTCTATTGGATCCATGCACGCTTTTGCGTGTTTGGTAAATTATCTTCCACGGCTAGGTAGAAGACATGAAAACTTTTTGTACACATCGTATATAGACTCACCATGGTACCAATAATACTGAATAATGTATCAATGCGGCCAAATTAAGGGCTTCTGAGACAAATGCATTTCATGGACGTAAGATCTAATTCTACGCAGGATCTTCATTCTACCAATATAATTTTGAAGGTAAAGAATCTCGGATAGGGCAACCCAAATTTAAGGCAGCTGGGTCTTCGTACCGCGAATCGAGTTTCAAAATGCTAGAGACCTACATCTTGTCGTCGCCTAACCCTCAACATACGAAAGTCTTAGAGTTCCGTATGTAATTAATTGTCTTAATCATTGTTCAATCCCTAGTTAACACTATAAATTATAGGATAGTTTTCATAAATCTACCATGAAGTTACATTGAAGTCGTGGGAATGACGTCTTAAACCATGGCCATTAATACATTTGGGCGGAATAAATTATTGCGGGAACTCAAAATTTAAAACAAACTATAATTGACTTGCTCTATAGCTGACTACGACGAGAATCCTCACCGGAATTTTCAAAGTCTAGCAAATCTGAAAACGGAAACTGCTGGCCCAGGCACTCATATGCATTCTGTTACACAAAATACATCTAAAGGGGTATTCACACTTATATATGCAAGGTCGAGAATTGTTAACCACATCCCCTAATTTCCACAGGAGGCGGCATGAGCTCGCCCTTATGGCCGGACACAGGGTGGTCTTGTTTTCGCTAACTCTCGCATCGGCTCCAATTCCAACCGCCTTCCGTATCGTCTCAGCCTCTCCGGCTTAGCAGACAGCGATACGGTCTGGATTTTGGCAAATAGGAAGTTAATCCCTCAAGTTTCCTCGTCGCTAGTTTATTGAATCGCTTGCTAGCACTATAGTAGGGAGTTTGTGGCGGGTATATTTGAAGTTCGGTTTTAAATTAAGGTCTGGATTTATAAATGGGAAATAACCAAGTGGGGGTCACCAGTTTTTGAAAGCTCGTATATGTGATTTCAAACATGTCCATGTATCTTTTTTTTTTTATTTTTTTTTTAAAAAAAAATTCTGTATTACCATACGGACTAGGCTCAAGCTGCGGACAAACTAAAGCTTCCCGTTTACCAATCCGTCAAGATATCGCCTGTTGAAAAGAAAACTCTCAGCTTCTATTTAACGTTGACTGCTTCGAGAGTGTATATATACATAGAACTGTATAGTATTCGATTGTCATAATCTCGACATCTGAACATTTGTTCTAGTTTCAGAACCATAAAACTTCAAAGCGCGGGATGTCACACATTATATAATTTATAGGCTTGGCGTTTAATTTCTGCTTTTCATTTTCTTCTGAACTGATAACATCTTTATTACGATCTACTGCATGTGGCGGCCGGTTGATGGTTGACAGACCGCACGTAGTGGCACGGCACAGCACGAAATCAGGTATGAAAGTGTGTGAACATCCCAGGGACCAATAAATTGTTCATTATCGCAGGAAAGATGTTGGCATTCCTCCAGGTGTAACCTCAGAGTCAGGCTAGTCCCAATTCGGTTGGCGCATTTCCAATCCACGAGTATAACAGCTGCCAGGATGGTATGATTTTGAGGTGGGCAAGCGAATTTATACATTATCTATCTTAATTGTATGTATTAACCTCGAAAAGCGGGACAACAATATGCACAAGTTCTTCAGCTGCAGCCCCCAATGGTGAAATCTGGAAAAGATGCAATTTTTTTTATTAGAATATGAATGATCATATTTATTCAGGGATGGCCCCTTTCCTATGCTGTGGAGATCTTGCCCTTAAATATTTTTTTCCTTTTCGAATTTTCTTCTTTCGTTAGAGATATCAAAAACCTTTTATCATAATTACGAGGAACAGATGTATGCTTTATATACCTTTTCGCCTCTCGCTACTAACATTCAATCGAATTTTTCATAATATTTTACCTGGCGATGTTTACGACAGTATTAGGGAGTATTCAGAGCAAGGCTCCACGCCGTCCTGTCCATAGCCTCGTCCTATGGACCGGCCTCACATTTTTTTTAGTGGCCGCATCCACTTATTTTTTATCTCAGACGAGGCCCGCCGTAGACTACTTTACTCATCGTCAAGAGGAACCAGCTGCAGCAAATCGCACGAATCCGCTTCTAACAAAAGAAGGAATCGACCAGTTCGCTCTTGATCATGCATATCCTCGCCTCGGGGAAAGTGTCAACTTTACCGGTCTCCACCAGCTTTGTAATTCTACAAAATGGCAACCAAATGTCTATTTCGCTTGTAATCACAATGCTGGTGGTCTTATGAATGTTCGCAATATGGTTTTGAATTGCATTCGTTACGCTATAGCGGCCGGTGTAAGTGGGCTGGTAATGCCTCAGATGGAAGTCCGCGACCCAGTAGACCTACGCCATCTAAGAACTGGAGAATATCAGAGTATTGGTTTTCTTTTTGACGAACCTTGGTTTAAAGAAGTCATGAAGGAAAACTGTGGTCAGATGGAAGTGTTCGATACTATTGATGATATTCCATACTCGGGATACGCCATGATGCCGGACCTACTGAATATCCAAGCCATAATGGAACAACCACGAGGGACCAAACACGGGATGTTGAGAAATAGTAAGCATCTTCTATCTTCTAGGCTTAATCTTCATTCTCTAGACGAGGAACAGAATGCATTAATGTTCGAGTCGTCCTTCGAGATTGTTGGTAAAACCCTCCAAGCCGATAGGATAACTAACCCCTTATCCTTCCCGTAGAGAAGCCTTGGGAGTTCCGCTCACGCTTTGATAAACTTATTAAATCACAAAATAAAAGACCAACGGAAACGTCTCCAGTCATCGTCCGATTAGATGACAGGACGCTATTCAGCTTCCCACCATCTTTCGACCCCCCCTCCGTCCTAAACAGTCTCGGATTCACCCTCGATTTCCGCCCAGATTTATCAGCTCTGGCGAATGTTATAATCGACCGTGTACATAAAACTCTAAATGCTAGCGGAAATGATCCGTACATCGGTCTTCACCTGCGATCGGAACCCGATGCAGGAAAATACTGGGCGACCTGGGACCAACTAGCGAATGCAACGATATCTACCGCCATGAATAACGAAATCAAACTCGTCTACGTTGCTTCGGGAGACACCGATGGTGTCGCTAATCTCACTAGAAAAGCAGCGGAGTCGGGTATCAAAGTCTTAGACAAATGGAATGTACTGTCTGACGACGAGAAGGAGTACCTAGGGCCGTTTAGATTTGATCAACAGGCCATTGTAGACTATTTGGCTTTGTTGCGATCGGATAGATTTGTTGGCAGTGGACAGAGTAGTTTCAGCTCACAGCTACTCTTAAGACGAGAACTCCTCGCAAATCTTACGCTAACAGAAGAGGAAAAGCTTGCTGAGCCAGAGAATGTGTCAAGAGACCAGCTTGCAGGGCCGGGAAGGCTGGGGTATTGGGATATGGATTGGCCCTGATGCTATTATGGAGGAGATCCAAGAGACTCTTGATGGGAGTACTCGAGTGCTATGTTGATTGTATTGGCCTCATGAACTAGTGTTCGACGATTCGACACAATCATGTGCATTAAATTTGTTCTTCTTTTGGATCTTTTAGCGTTATACCCCTTGGAATCGTGGTGTTTTTTCAAAGTAAATATTAGTCCTTTTATGTAAATATTCCTTCCTTTATGTCTTATGTTTCCTTTGTTTAATTGTCCAGATTATAGTTCCTAAGTATCAATTGGCGTTTGTGGAGCTAATAATGTTAAAATCTTTCACAACGCACGAGACAAGGAATGGATACTGTATGTAATAGTTATGCCAATACTCACCACTCGCAAGAGGATTGCAATTGGTCAATTGAGACTAATCCACAGTTGAGGAGTCTGGCGACGAGACAAGACTAATCAGTAATCTTCTACTTCTAAGTTTAGATACTATAATATTGTACTAATTCATTGCCTCATATGACTTATAAATATATCGTACACCAAAATTGGGAGGCATTTGGCCCTTTCCCAAATATTTGTCGAAAGGAAACGCCGATGAATTTAAACAATGCAATACCTCAGTCCCCGGCTTAGTAGTTGTAAATCTACCCCCCTATCAATGACCATATTAAAGATTTTAACTTACACCCGAATTTATAAGATTCGAGATATTCTAGTGGTGTAGTAGTAAACTCTTACGGCCTTTTCTCTTCTCTGTATTTCTACAATGAACTTTTCTTTTATACTGCATCGCCTGGCCCATCAACGAAAAAATAAACATGCTTGAGGGCTCTAGCCCAAGACATAACTTCAGTATGTATGTACAAGTATACACACACCGCCCTCAGGTTCCCAAATTTGTATTCGCGGACAAATAGAATGCAGCATTGGTACCCAGGTATCTATACGGGGACAGCTTCTTAGTATACGAAACAAATGCGAAGTAAGTAAAGATCATACCTCTAAAGACAGACAGGAAAGAGGTTTTAAACCCCTCTTTAGGGGGTTCTGTTTCTAGGACGGAAGTTTCTAGGGCTTCGTAGCCAGCATCTCATATTGAGGTAGTACCAGCGGATAGGCGACTCTTTAGTTGGGAATGGTAAGCTTCGAGAGCGAGCTGGTAGGAGAGGGCAAATAGGTAATGCGTCAATCATAATTACATCTCCATCTGCGTCTAGCTCAGCAGTAGCTAGAGATAGAGCTGGGAGAAACGAGCTCCCTGGTGTGATTGTTGTAGCTGCCATCGATTGAAAGGGCAATCTAAGACCCCTAGAGTATAAGCCTTTGTGGTTTTTTCTTCTTCTATTTTTTCATCATGAGATTTATTAGATTTAGATTAATGACCACCCTCAAAATTCAATGTAACTGTAGAGCTGTAGTCTAATTAGTTAACTTCAAATTGAGGAAAGAAACCAACCTTGCTAGACTGTGAGCGTGGCGCCTCCCGCGCTCGGAATTTGGCATCTTTTTAAATGTGGAGTAGGTTCTACAACCTATCTGCTTCTTCAACGTGTCGACGGAGCAGATATGGTCTACGGTAGACTTTAGGGACGGTTTGCTATCTAGCAGGTCACGGGTCGAGCGGGGTGTACGGTAGAAGTCGAATATTGTTTGCGGTATGAATACCAAGGAGCAGAGTTGAAAATTTAGAAATTCAGGCCTTTAAGTAATGCTGTACAAGTCGTTTTATGCCAATATTGATAATGCAGAATGATTTTGTAGAAATGTCTACTTCAACCTATAATTAGCCTTACATAGTCAACGTTCTGCTTTGGGACTTACACCATCATGATTTCAAGCGACTCTCTTGTGTTGATCTTGTATTAATCAGATGCGTTGTTGTGTTGCATATACACGTTGTATTTCCGTTTTAGGAATCCTTCTTGTGGCGTAATTATACCGAAAAGTGGCGTCTGGTCAGCCACATAGGCGATAATTGTGTTCGCCTCTACGCCTGGTACCCCTTCGTATCTGTTAGGTCTAGTACCGGTCTTTACCTCATGATATAAAACAAACATGGAAATAAGTACATATCAGCGGCAGCCTTGCTTATAGAGAAAGGATGAATAGTTAATTTTATTTCAAATTTGCAATCTCTAAGTGTGATATATCTGACTATATATAGGTTAGGCTGACGGCGTAAGTTTTGTGTCGACTTGTCGATAGTAGATTCAAAGTCGCAAACTAAAGAACTGAGAACTCATGATCAAAGAACCAAGAAGCCTACAAATTGAATTTACTCATATTTTCGTATAGGTTCTCTTAAACTTTTGGTCAAGATACCAGTCAGGGCTTCGCTTGCTAGAAGAGTCTAGAATTTCACAAAATTAACTTGAGTTCAATCTATTTTCATTTAGTTAAGCCTCCCGGCTGCCATAACCTATCTTCCTATACGCAAAATTTGTAGGACGGATATGTGGGAGGGGCGGCGATAATGCACCGAATTTAAATGAACATCATCAACAAGTGCTCAAAATCGTGGTATTGATATAATAATTCTGTTCGATGCACAGCTTTTGGAGAAAATCGTCAATTGATCCCACTATCTTGAATAAATAAATTAAACTATTCACTATTTGCGCCATGATAGAAAATAGAAGGCTTTACTAGTCAACCATCGAAGCGAATAGAGACTCGGATTAAGGCTATATACTTGAATCATGATATCACAGATCTGCAAAGCCCTGAGCTGGGTTCAAGCCGGGTACCCCAGTCTATCGGTGTCGTATTCGTTTAAACTTAATACGAGGAAGCCATGTATTTATCGACTTCATTTCTATTTCTCTAACTTTTAATGTTTGTTATACAGCTTATTTGTTCAACCCATCCGAACATGTGTGCACACCATACACGGTCAAACTTAATCTTGTGTGACCGACCTTATCTTGGTTCCAATATTGGGATTACCAATCTACGAAACCCGGCGAGCCGAAAGTACGTAACTAAGTGCCCTGATCATGATCGAAGAATGCTGGAAATTACCAATCGCTTCGAGAATCGATAATTGATTCGACGTGGCTTCGTCGGCGCGTATGAGATCTGCAAATTCCTCTGGCAACAGCCGGCTAAGTTAGCCAACCAATATTATGCACTATGTTAACCATTCGTACAGCTCGTGTTGGAAAACGAAAGCGGGAAAGCGGATGCGGGGTAGTTAACAAGATCTTGGCTTTTAGTTTACTGATCACGATCGGATCTTACATACCTTAGCTCCAGGTAGCGAACTGATCTTGCCAGAGGAAATACTAGGGTAGAACGCCAGCCGGCAGCCAACGCAATTATAAACCTGGGCCTTGCGGGCACGCCGCAATGACCTCACAAATCCAGGAAAATACATTCTGTCGATTCTAGATTGATATCGACAACGGATATCGGTAAGTTTAAGACCCGAGCATCTATCGAAGATACAACGTGTCGGGTGATACAAGCTCAAAGTCTCTGGGGAAATGGGGTTGTGTAACCACAGAAGGAGTAGCCCGATCTCCGTCGACGATCCAGTTTCTGCCGTGGCACCGTAGCTTTCGCTGGGAGATAACTTCATTATAGGCCGTGGCTTTGAAGATTCGCCCGCTCGTTCACATGGCAGGCCATCGTCTGCAGACAGTCTTTTTTATGGCAGGCCTAGGCCCTTGAAACGCCTAATTGCCGGCCCAGGTCAGGATCCTTGTGAAAACATTCTTAAACAAATCCAGTTCTGGTCGTGGCCATGTTCGCCCTGTTCGGCCTATTACAAGGCCTGGAAGTTGGATTATTATTTCCTTTATTTTTTTAGCTTTAATTTACTTTTTTGAGAAGAATACCCCTCTGCTTCAGCTATAATATATAAGGAAGGCTGGCGACCGCGTAAAATTATTTTTCGCTTCGTCCCTTTTACATATAGCCCCGACGGATTAAAAATTCGAATCTGGGGAGGCTGCAAACTTCATACTTTCAAAATGGAGTCCCTAGTTGACATAATATCGTCGAGCACAAAGGATATCCCTATCGCCAAAGCCCTCTGCGCTAGCACCATAGTGTCCTATCTGCTCATCGTCCGGTACTTCCGCCACCGCAACCTCAACAAATTCCTCCAAACCGTCCGAAATGAGTGCGGTATAGTCACAAAATCATCGGATCTTTCGATCTCCCATGCCGAACAAGCCGTAAAACTCATGGGTGCATGGGACTTTCCCCGGATTACGAGACTCGCTTTGCAGTTCGCTCTGTTCCGGACGTATGGAATCCCCACCATCTCCTCTATTCTCTGGAAGACTCGCCAGTTAGCACAACGCTCTACCGCTCACCGACGATATGTAGACACCTCTGTTCTCATCATCGAGTTGATGTCTTCCCCGCTTGACTCTCCCAGGGCAAAAATCGCGATCGAAAGAATAAACTACCTTCACAGCAGGCATAAAAATTCTATCTCAAACGATGACCTCCTGTACACCCTCGCACTTTTCATGTGCCAGCCACCAGTTTTCATCAACAAATACGAATGGCGTAAATTACACCCAGTCGAGTTAATGGGGATCCATCGTTTCTGGAGTCAAGTTGGAGTAATGATGGGTATAACCGGAATTCCCGATTCCTTCGAAGGAACGTACGAGTGGGCGAATGCATACGAGGAAAGATGCATGGTGCCTTCCGAGATAAATAGAAATGTCGCAACGGCAACTTTGGATATCTTGCTATACTTTGTTCCAAAGTTTATGCATTCCACAGCCACACCGGTAGTTCATGCAGTTTGTGACCAAAGGCTAAGGGAGTCATTTTATTGGCCGGATCCACCGAAGTGGATTGAACCTGTGGTGAACGGGTTCTTCGGAGTCCGGGCATTTTGTATGAGAAGTTTTGTGCTACCAAGATTTAAGAAGCATACTGCAATTCAACTTGACCCAATCGATCCTTCGGTGCCATTGCTAGAGAGGAGATATTACTTCAACCTTTGGGAAACGGATCCGTGGTATTTGAAGAGAACTTGGTGGAATAGCTATGGACCTATCGGTTGGCTGTGTATAGCGATGGGTTGGGGAATTCCCAATGAAGAAGAATTTGGGTCAGTCCATGGATACCGCATTGGAGATCTAGGGCCGAGGTCTACCATTGGAAAAGGTGCTGCAAACGAAGGATGGGATCATGGATCGCTATTAGGAGGCGGGACCATCATTGAAAGTAGCGGGAAGTGTCCTATGTTTGGGGGCTAAACTACACTAGGTACGAGCGGACTTCGTTGCGAGACCATGGGCTACCAGATATTACAATCAACTAAAAACACAAGTAGACGGGAGATATGGCAAAGGCCATTCTTGTGTCGACAACGGTCAGAAACTTTACCTATGGAATTATACATATATCATTCATTCATTAGCGATCATTCAGTTAGAAAGTAGGAGCGAAACGGACCTATCAATTATTTGTCCTTCATAAGAGCTTAATTTTCTTTGTTAAAAATAGCTGGTAGCGCTAGTTCCTATGCGCACGCATTTAGTACTATAGCGAGGGGATATGTACCTAGGTATATATATTACTTACATGACAAAATATTATCTCTTATTTCCTACCCAATTTGTATCCATTCGTTTCTTATTTCGTCCTAGAAGGCAAACTACGAGGATTGGCTAAATCTACTTCCTCCGAAACCCAGCTCACTCAATTTCCTCCTAAGTGGTGAATAAAAGACCAAGCAAAGCCCATATATAACTTCTTGATCAACTGAGCCTTCAAACATTTAAATTAGCTATAGCAGCCATTTGTAAACGTACATGGTTTACGAATAATGAGACGAACTAAACCTTCCTTGGGACGGATCTCGGGTATAGTTCATATCCGTTCATATATATATCGCAGCATCGTCGTGGCCGCGTGGCGTTTATCGAGTGGTACTAGGATTAACTCAAGCCTTGAGGCCGTACCTACCAAGGCCGGTTAGGGTTTAGGTTGGTGAATTACTCTTGCAGCCACTAGTCTCTATCCACTCCTCGACGATGCAATGAAGCTCTCCTGAGTTAGCGCACCTCAGGCCGTCTGCTGACGTGACAGGGTTATAAGCCAGTTTAGCGAAACTTCAGGGGGATATCGATTATCTAAGCTCGCTTACATTCTTAACTCCAAACTCCGATATCCGAGAACCAACTAGCTAGAGGATATTATTATCGAAAATTGCGAATCAAGAGTTTTCTTTTTTTCTCTTCCCTTTTTTATTGGCTTATGAGTACAGAGCATGGGTTTCCCGCCTTGGAAAATGATATGGCTTACACCCCTACTATATGGTCATGTCATTGACCTTACCCGTTCCCGTAGTTTCAAACCTTCAAAGAATGGAAGGCTAGCATTGACGTGGCTCGGGTGAGCAAGTGGATTGGATTTCTAATAAAGCGGGATATCTTTATCTCCATCTGTCCAGGTTTAGGTGAAAGTCTACTGGAGGATCGACGGGAATGGAAAAGGTTGCCAAAGTTGATTGGAAATACTAGCTATCTGAGCGGAAGAACCTGCATAAACCCGAGCCAGAAAGGCCCATTGGGCTTCCACACAATGCAATGACGAGATGCTGAAATTTCTAAGTATAAATTGGCATGGCCTTCCCTTAGTCGAAATTATCATTCTCACCATCACATCATAGTCCGGTTCATTCAGTATTCAAAGGATACCAATTGAAGCTTATAATTCCACAACTTTAAACGTTATAAACCTTTCCTTATAGGCCTATTCCTACCAAAATCAACGCAAAATTTCCAACAGCTGTATTCGGCGTACCTCAATAATCATAATCACAGCTAGTACAATACCATTATAACTGTTACAGTACCCAATACTCACAATGGTCACATACGGAACTCCAATCCCCACTCGTCATTTGGGCAAAAATGGGCCGTCCGTCTCCGAGTTGGGGTACGGCGCAATGGGTAAATAATTATAAACTACTTAAGTACCCCAAAGGAAATTTAGGTTTTAACAAAAGATCATATATAGGCCTCTCCATCGGTTACGGCCCAGCAAAGCCGGATGAGCATCGCTTTAAAATGCTTGATGCAGTAATCGAAAGCGGTATTTACTTTGTAAATCTCACCAACCTTCCAAAAAAATCAAATCAAAAGTTCCTAAGTAACTAACAATATTTGGAAAATTTAAAAGATCGATACCAGTGATATCTACGGCGACAGCGAAGAACTCATTGGCCGATGGTTCAAACAAAACCCCGGTCTACGTGAAAAAGTCTTTTTGGCCACGAAATTCGGAATTAAGATGGATAGATCGAATGGCGCATTCTGGGCTGATGGTAGCCCGGAGTATGTAAAGACAGCCGTTGAATCGAATCTTAAGAGGTTGGATATTGATTATATTGACTTGTACTATGTTCATCGGTAAGTTCTAAAACTCACGTTTTCCAATAAGAGACATACTAATTTAGGGTTTCTTAGAATCGACTCAAAAATCCCTATCGAATTAACCATGGGCGCTCTGAAAGAGCTCAAACAGGCCGGTAAAATCCGCCACATCGGTCTCTCAGAAGCATCTGCCGAAACCATCCGCCGCGCTCACGCAGTTGAGCCTCTCGCTGCAGTTCAGCTTGAGTACTCGCCATTCGCAATTGATATCGAAGAGCCTGAGCGTAACGTTCTGAACACCTGTCGCGAACTTGGAATCGCAACAGTAGCGTACAGCCCGCTAGGCCGTGGCTTCTTAACAGGTCGTTACCGCTCAACCGAAGACTTCGAACCAGGTGATTTCAGAACATATGCTCCTCGTTTCTCTAAGGAAAACTTCCCCAAAAATTTGGAGTTAGTGGATGGGATCAAGGCTTTGGCGGATAAAAAGGGCGTAACCGCAGCACAGTTGACTTTGGCATGGGTACTAAGTCGTGGTGATGATGTTATCCCGATTCCTGGAACAACGAGATTAGAAGGATTGGAGGAGAATTTGGGTTCTTTGAAGGTTGAACTTTCTGAGGAGGAAAAGAAGGAAGTTGAAAGGCTGGCGAAAGAGTGTGTGCCTGTTGGGGAGAGGTATCCAGCCGGGATGAATGATGTTTTGTTCGCTGATACTATCCCATTGGATCAGTACAAGCCATAAAACCTTAATAAATTCATTGATGATCCTGGATATTAACTATAGGAAAGGCATAGAAGTTATTTTTGGTAACATTTCTGAGAGTCTTAAGGCTTTGTTTATTCGTTCTTACCTTGTATCCAGTGCTGGATAGTGTTTACATCTAAAATCAAACATTGCATATCAACGTGCCGCAGAAATATTACGAAGCATCCAGGATCCCACTCTAAATGCTATCTTTCTTAGCTGGTGCCACATCACAGGGTGAAGGGAGCGAGAGAACCAGATACTTCTGTTGAAATCTACCCTAGGATCCTAGGATCCTCAATATAAATGATTTCTTCTATTATACCAGCCTTCTATGCAGATATATCCGATGTGTCATCCTCTGAAGCATACTTTTTCGTCTAGGAATATTACAAAATTAGATTTGGGCCAAGCAAACAAGCTGCGCAGCCTTGTTACGAGAGATTATGCATGTCTTCAGATGTCATGTTTTTCTCCTTTCCTTACGCCTGGTCTCGAGGCTATGTTTTTCCGCGAGCGGGGTAATGCATTTGCAGTAGTGTAGAAATGCTGCTACGTCTTAAGATCTTCCAGCTTTACCATTTTCTCCTTGCTCACATCTTTAAACCTATTCTACAAAATTCAAACTCCACCTCTATTTAGGTTTGAATTCCATCTCCTACTATAATACAAATATAGACGAGTCATGAATGAACCAAGCGGCAACCCCAGCCATGATTCCTATACAGTCGCATGCATCTGCCCGATGGGAGTCGAACTGGCAGCAGTCGAAGCAATGTTAGACCACATCCATGAAGGCCCTTTCTCAAATAAGAATAGTTACACACTAGGGCGAATGGGAGTGCACAACATTGTGATTGCTGTTATGCCAGAAATTGGGAACAACACCGCCGCGACTGTAGCCACACAATTACTTAACGATTTCAAGTCTATCAGATTTGGATTGCTTGTGGGTATTGGCGGCGGCATACCTGTGGAGGATGAGTATGATATTAGACTGGGAGATGTGGTCGTCAGCAAATCAACGGGGACATTTGGCGGGGTTGTACAATTCGATCGAGGGAAAATACTCTCCGGGGGGAATTTCGAGCGGACAGGATCACTAAATAAGCCCCCAGCAGTTATTGCTGCAAATGTTGAAAAGTTGCAAGCACGGCATAGAAGAGAGGGAAACAAACTCTCGACACACCTGGCAGATATGTTAGTAAGATATCCACATATGAAAGAAGAAGGGGAATACTTCTATCAAGGGTCTGAGCACGATCGATTGTTTGAGGCGACGTACAACCACCAGGGTGGTAAAACCTGCCGTCTCTGCGATCAAAGTAAAGTTATAGACCGCGAACCGCGCAGGAATACGTCACCGAGGATCTATTATGGTAACATTGGCTCATCTAACCAAGTTCTCAAAGACGCTATTACTCGAGATAAACTGCAAGAAGACCTTGGGATCATATGCGTGGAGATGGAGGCAGCTGGTTTAATGGATCAATTCCCCTGCCTTGTTATCCGAGGAATATGTGATTACGCAGATTCTCACAAAAACAAGCGGTGGCAGTCTTACGCCGCTGCTACAGCGGCTGCATATGCCAAAGAGCTACTCTCAATTATTCCAGCACAGGAGATAGATGCGGCAAAACAGGCGATCGAAGCTCTGCAAATCTCGAGAGGTGTGTGTGATACCTGATTCAGTGTCATATATGTTGTATTTAAAGAATTTCAATGCGGATGTGGTTAGCGAAATTTCGAAATGATCGATATCATATAATCATAAACCATTAGTGAAATCATTTGCTAACTGCATGCATCTATACATAGAACAAGACCGCCTGCTAGACATCCTCCTTTATGCTAAGAACGCAGCTTATAACTCACGCCTTTGGGAGCACAGTGACCGGTGCTTGCCAGACACGAGAGTCGAACTTAGAAAACAAATTCGAGAATGGAGCGAGGAACCAAGCAGCCCACCTATCTTCTGGCTGAACGGTATGGCTGGAACTGGCAAGTCAACAATCGCTCGAGCGATTGCGGAGGAATTCGAAAATAAGGGACAACTTGCAGCGAGTTTCTTTTTTAGCAGGGGCGGTGGAAATCTGAGTCACGCAGGCGAATTCGTGACTACAATTGCAGTTCAGCTTGCCAATCGGTCAAAACTCCTGAAGAACTATATATGCGAAGCAGTTGAGGCTGATCGGAGTATCACTAGCCAAAATCTACGTACCCAGTGGAAGCAGCTTGTTCTACTGCCAGTCTCTAAGTTGAATCAAAACACATCACGACCTTTCTTGTTTATGGTTGATGCGCTGGATGAATGCAACGGGGATGATGATATTACATTATTACTTCATCTCTTCACTGGAATGGAAGGCATCCGGGTTTTCATCACCAGCCGGCCAGAAACCCCAATACGCCTAGGATTCCGTAACATGAAAGAAATCTATCATCGTGATTTAGCACTTCACGAGATATCACGCTCTATTGTCGACCAGGATATATCGACATTCTTTCGGGACCGATTCGGAAAAATAATCGAAAACTCTGAGCTTCTTCCACCGGATTGGCCGTGGGAGGACAAAATAACTACACTCGTTCGAAATGCTGGCGGTTTGTTCATTTACGCCGCAACAATATGTCGTTTCATAGGTACACAATCAAACCAGTGGCCACCTCAGGGACTGCTCGAAGTCTTTCTCCCTCGTGATCAAAATGAATCAGGGTCGAAACTAGGGCATAGCATTCCTTCAGCCTCTCCGACCAAGGAACTCGATGCAATATATGGTCAAATTCTATATCATTCCCTCAAAGGCACTCAAGAGGATGAGGACAAAAAGACTCTCGCTGCTCGCTTCCGGCAAGTCGTTGGTACTATTGTCATTCTCTCAGAGCCGCTCTCTGCTGTCGCTTTAGCGGAACTCCTAGGAGTTAACCAGGACGTAATACACTGGAGTCTACGACATTTACACTCTGTTCTCAACGTGCCCAAGGATCAGGACTCAGATATTCGCCTGCTACATCCCTCGTTTCGGGATTTTCTCCTTGATGAAAAAAGATGCCACGATCCGCAATTCTGGATAGACAAAAAAATGGCACATCAACAATTAGCAGCATGTTGTCTTAAACGGCTTTCATGCAGCCATAGTGGTTTGAAGCTCGATATTTGCAATTTAAAGCATCCCGGCACTTCTATGGAAGAGATTGACCCCTCTTTAGCAACAAAAACTATACCACCGGAAATGCAGTATGCATGTCAGTACTACGCTCAGCATCTCCAGTTCAGCGAAGAATATCAATGCGATGGTAGTCCAGTCGATATCTTCTTGCGACGGCATTTTCTTCATTGGCTTGAGGCACTCTCTTTGATAGGAAAGACTTCTCAAGCGGTTCATGCTATCGCATTATTAAAGTCTAGAGTCGATGTAAGTGAAACCATTTAAGCAACAGCAGAGAGCCCTACGAAGACTAATACAATCTATCCATTAAGATCATTCGAGGCCCTGATCTTAGTGATTTTCTAAAGGACGCACATCAGTTCATTCTCTATAACCTATCGATGATAAAACAATCGCCCCTTCAAGTATATTGTTCCGCTCTTATATTTACAGACCAGCGGAGTTTGATTCGCAAAAAGTTTACAGATGAAATGCAACGTTGGGTCAAGTCTGCTGTAACAATATGTAAGCCTACGCGATTGATACAAGTATTGCAGAGTGATGATACAGGCTATTTAATTCCCTTAGCCTCTTCGCCCAATGGCAAGATGATTGCATCAGCATCAGCATCGGAATCATTTCATAAGACAACAATAATACTCCAGGATGCGATTACAGGTGCAGGGCTGCAGAAATTCGATATTTCTGCTCACTCGCCCAGCTTAAAGGTAGTGTTCTCAGCGGACAGCAAGAAGTTAGTCTCAGTATCGTCTAAGATGATCTGGGTCCATAATGTAGCAACAGGTATGGTTGTGTTGGGGAGGGAATTCTATGAAAGCCTCACTGAAAATCAGAAGGTCGCAATGGGTTCTGTCGATTATGTATTCATCTCACCAGACAGCAAGATGGTGGCTGCACTGTCAAACAATAGAGATCTCCATCTCTATGATACACAAACAGGCTCATTCCTCCTAACGCTCGAACGATATTCATCTACAGATGAATCTGTTGCTTACCCTATTGAAATCTCAACAAGCAGCAGGATGGTAGCATCAGGACTAAGATGCTCAGAATACAGTTGCCTTGGAATAGTACTCTGGGACATAGTGAAAGGTACAATTTTACGTGTCCTTAGACCTAAAGGAGCGAGCACGTGTGCTCTAGCTTTCTCTCCGAATGGCAAAAAGTTAGCGTCGGCGGTTGGGTGTGAAGTACAGCTCTGGGACACAGTAACTGGTGCGATTTTACGAGCCGAGACTCAGTCAGACGCCAAGATTCGAACCCTATCGTTCTCGCCTAACGGCAAAACAGTGGGAATTGGGGGTCATGGAATTCAACTCTGGGATACGGAGGTGAACACCCTTCTACAAGTAAACGGTGAAAATAGAGGCCGAGCTACGTACCTTTCTTTCTCGCCTGACAGTAAAGTGCTTGTATCGGTGATAGAAGATGAGCCAAAGGTCTGGTTCTGGGACATAGCGGCTATCGATGACGCAGTCCCACAAGAAATCGAGGTTCATACATCCGGCGTCAAACTTGTGGTTGTCTCGCCCGACGGCACAATGATAGCCTCGATGGGATACCGGAATGAAACAGTCTGGCTATGGGATGCAAAAACAGGTACAGCCTTACATATACATCAATGTGAGCCAGGAGTTGTTAAGGCTATAAGGTTTTCACCGGATAACAGAGCAATGGTGTATGGAACTCGTTCGGGCCTCTGTGTGGTTTTGGCTTGGAGCTTAGTAACTGGGACATCGACATCGACATTCCAGGTACTATGGAAGGCTCAGGGCCACAAGGAACCTATCAAGAGCATAGCTTTCTCGCCAAACAACAAAATGGCAGCTTCTGCATCAGAGGATGGAACAATCCGGCTTTGGGACGGGGCTACTGGTGCCGCTCTTCAAACATTCAAGGGCCATGAGAGTTGGGCTTATATCCAGGCTACGGAAAATACTTCAGGACAATATACGGGTTTTGATTGTGTAGCATTTTCACCGGACAGTAAAACAGTGGTTTCGGGGTCGCGGGACGGAACTATCGAACTCTGGGACATAGCAACAGGCGCATGTCTACAAATACCCGTGGAAGCCGATGCAGAATATTTTAGGGCTGTAACCGTCTCACCAGACAGCCGGATGATCGTGTCGATGATGTGCATTTCTTCCGAAGCCGTACTGAAAATATGGGATAGAAAAACAGGCACGTCATCGCAAATAGTCTGCGAACCCTGGTATTTAGATTGGTTTTATAGCCAGCCTCACAATTTCAGGCTAGATTTCACTGCAGACAGTCAACACCTGGAAACCAGTGTTGGGCTACTAGAAATCCAACTCAGTCCGGATGAAAATTCAAAATTAGGTCCCGAACTACAACCCCTCAATGAAATCCTTATAGATGCAGACGAGGTTTGGATAGGAAACGATGGCAAATTCTACATCATAATCCCTTCTCACTACGAAATAAGTTGCTTTGACTTTGATTTTCGGCACAACATACTCGCAATGGGAAATAAATCTGGCGATCTCACGTTTATCGAGTTCAATTGAGTCTTTATATGGCTAAACTAATCTAAGACAGCAGGCGCCTGGGAACGAGACCGGCAGGCGCCCAGATTACAAGGTAGTCCTCCCGGTTAGTCCTTATTGTTAACATCTTATTATAATTTTTTTCATTGATATAATTAAATATGTATGTTTCAAGGAAGGGCCTAAGAGGCTTAATTCAGATTCGGGATCTTCATTCTGCATTGCGGTACTCTTTGTATAACTTGTACTTAGTATAGAGTCTTCTATTAAAACACTCCCACACACAACTGAAACAGATATATACATAGTACCTATACGCTCAAATATTGAAAATTCAAACAATAACTCTTATAAATTCATCCGGTTCGATGCAGTGTGCAACATTGATGATGCTTCGGATTACTAGCGCTATACTCTAGCTAAATGTTGCAATTGTTTCCATGCCCGACTGAAAGGAAGGGTCTTTAATGGTCCTCCCCGTATCTGTGCCCCACTGCCCTCCCGACAAAATAAGTAAGTAGGTACTAATATAGGTCGAGAATAAGATTAATAAAAAAGAAACCTTTTGCTGATAATTGAAATATTTATTTAATTTTATTATTAAGTTTTGTATTTTAAAATAAGAAAAATTAAATTTTGTGTTATTAATGTGGTATTTTAGATTATATTAATATTGGCACCCTCAAATTTATGCGTTGAGTTTGTTATGCATGCCTACGAGAAATACACGTGCAAACGACGACGGGCTGTTTTCTCTATGCAATTCTTCATGGTAGCTATACCACAGTTGAGTCTGGCGACGAGTTATACTTAAGTAAATCTGTTATTAAAACTCCGAATATAATTATATTTTTTAAAAAAAAGTCTCAGGTGTCATGTATCCTGCTTTAAAAAAATGTCCCAGAATGTATGGCACTGCCAGCACAACCCGACCTTTTACAGAGTCAAAAGCGTGCCTAGCTCTTTCGGTAGGTGCTTACCTGGATTCGAGGCTAGGTGCTTACCGTATAGATAAAAACTCCGCTGAAGAATTATGCATTTATGTACATGTACAAGCAAATGTAATTTTGTATGAATGCTTCAACTAAATCCAAAAGTTTCAAAGGCTTTTCTATTTATCACCAGTTTTTTTAGCAATTGTGGTCCGTACGATATCCCGAATCTCCTCCTTCATCCTTCCAATAGTACCAACTCCACCATAGATCATGGCAGTATATACACCTACAACACCAGCACCTTCCTTCAGAACATCTAGAGCATCTTGTCCAGTAGAAACACCGCCGCTAGCCCAGATCTCTTTATCTCTAGGAAGACGTCTCCTATACTCTCTCACCAAATCTCTCATGGTATCAAATAACTCCGGCCCGGATAGTCCACCAGCTTCGTGTACCAAATGAGGTGGAGAAACCAATGTATCCGGTCTTCTCAAAGTTGTATTAGCCACAACTACACCATCAACACCAGATCTCTTGATAGCAGATGTGATATCCTCAATCTGTTGCTTAGAGCTCTCATCCGGAGAAATCTTGACAATGACTCTTGGCTTTTCCTTCTTTTCCAGTTTCTTTGCTTCTGCCACAACTGCAGAGAGTAATTCCGTAAGAGTATTCCCAGACTGCAATTTTCTCAAGCCTGGAGTATTTGGACTTGACACATTAACAACCAAAACATCGGCGTACAATCCCAATGACTTGACACCAGATATATATGCCTCCTTCACACCCTCGATATCATCCTCGCTTACTGATTTATTCTTCCCAATCTGCACAGCTAATAACTTCCCGGGATATAAACTTGCCGGCAAGTTATCAAGCACATCCTGTTCCGTCATTCCATTATCCGCCGCATACCTAAGTACTCTTTCACGTAGCTTTCTAGCTACGTAGTCAGAACCTAGGGAATTGAAGCCATAACGGTTGATAAGGGCTTTATCAGCCACGAGGCGGAAAACACGTGGGCGTGGGTTGCCGGTTTGAGGCTCGGGTGTTACACAACCGACTTCAATGATGGAAGGACCGAGGGCAAACAAAGCGTCTACAGCTTCGGCATTTTTGTCGAGACCGGCGGAGATATAGATTGGATTTATGATACGTTTATTCCAGACCTTTTTTAAGTTATTAATTAGTATAATTGTAATAGAAATTTCAATTGTGGCTGCTAGAACTTAGAATACTAACGTAAGTTTCAAGGAATGGTTCTTTCTCGTCCTCTTCCCTAATTCCTAATCTATCTCGAGGATGGAGACCAAAATCCCAGAGCACCCGCAAAGCCTTAAGCCCAAAGGCATGTGCATCTTCGGCATCCGGTGCAATAACCCTTAGCGCCGGAACAACAAGATACCGATGAATCGCTGCCCTAGAGTCCGTAGAATAGTAACCAAACAAAGCCAATGTAGTTATGGCAATTGTAGACTTTACAACCGTCTTAGTAGTCGACAATGGGGTCCGTTTTGTGGTGTACGTTCGTCGAAAAGCGTGGAATGACGACGGTTGTTTGAAGGCCGAGAAGGCGCCATTGGCGCCCGTAAAGGTCCTCGGACGGAGGAGAGGGCGAAAGTGAGACGGTGACATCCTTCCTTTCCTTTCCGGTCGTTTGGGTGTTTAGTAGTGGGGATGTTCACCGTCGCATCCCGCTCGTGATATTTTTGGTAATGAAGAAGTTGAGCCGAAGACGTTAGTTAATTCACGCCTTTGCGTTGGGCCGACGTTACACCGCCACCTTTTATGTTGGACGAAAACCAGCCACATTTTGAGGCGGGCGCGAATTGCCATTGGCCAATTAAACACTTCCTGATTCCAGTTGAAGAACTACACCCGGTAGGACGTCATTCTGGACGACAACCTCAGTCTATATCATCACCAAACCTAAGCACCCTAGCCATCGGTATGTTTTAGATTCTATATCGCCTTTACTGAAACCAGCTCGAACTAATAAACGTGACCGTATAGACTACATCGCTGGCGACACCCGTCGACACCCCTCCGTCTCACATACCCACACCCTCCACAATGAGACCCGCTCTCCGCCTCCTGCAGGCCGCAAAATCGGTGACTCCAACAAAACACACCCCTCGCCTGTTCGCCTTCCATCCGACAGGTATCGCAGGTCTTCCCACCCATCCAACTCCCCGTCCAACCCTCTTAACCATCTACAACCGCACACTCCAAAAACTCTCAGAATTCCCCGAAGAATCCGCCTATCGTACTGCCACAGAAGCAATCATCAAGCACCGTAAACGTATAGTCGAGGAGCAGATCCCCGTAGGTTGGGAAGCCTATCTCAAGGAGCGAGAGAGAAGGGGTATCGAATCGCCGCCAAAGTATACCGAAGAGATCGAGGAGCAGGTTCTACACCGTGAGGCGATTCAAGCTTATTGGGGAAATTGGGAGGGTCATCAAGACGATGATCATGAACTAGTGGAGTTGGTAAAATGGAGGAACGATGAGATTAAGGAGGCTAGAATCGCACATTGGGAGGAGGTTAACAAGAGAAAAGCACCAGATTATGAGGGCTTCAGGGGAGAACCCGATATTTCGGCCGAGCAGGTGGAAACTATCGAGGAACAAATCGGGAGCGGATTGATCGAGCAGGTTATCGAGCAGGCTTATGATGAATACAAATTGGTTGATGTGATGGCAAAAACAAAGCCGTAAGTTTTACACTTTATACAATATCGACTATCCTTTGGATACTAACTTTTACGGATTCATAGTTGGGAGCCACTTATGGAAGAGCCGGTAGAGGGCCAGTGGAAGTACTTTGAGAGGGAGTAGTCGTAAGCCGTGTGTATCTTCTTTTATTATTCTTTTGCAACCCCTTTGTACAGTTAGTTCCACGGTGTTGGTATATAGCAAGAATATACTGGACACCTTGTAGATACATTGATGTTACTGATAGTCAATAAGACAAAAAGCGACTCACACAATCATCTTTCCAAATTGGCAGCAATCAATCCCAGAAGCATCATCTTAAGCAAACTTACGAACAGGGCGTCCACAACTAAAGGACTTTACATCATAGAAATTATTTGGCTTACAACCCTATCACCATCAAATACACATATATCTGGAGACTCTACAGAATGGCACGAAAATGAACCCGGGATACCGCAGTGGTAATATATTTATGATCCAAGGTCTATCGAGAATCTGACAATCTCTAAACGATACATATTCTCATAGAGTACTCAAGATCCAAATCCGGCATCCCAATCCGTAGGATAAACCTGCCTCATTCCAACTCTATCCATGGGTAACTATTCACAACCAACAAACATATTAGTCAAAACCCTATTTTCAAGTGGCTCGGCCCAGTATTTCTTACCTAGATCAACATGGAATACTTAGTTGTTTGCTTTGAGAAGCTTGGCTTTGATGAGTTTGGCACTGAAGCCTCCAGTGCGGACTTTATCCGCAGGAATACCTTGAGGCGTAGGAGCGGCCATAGCAAGGCTATTAAAGGTTGATAAATGTTAGAAGGCTATCTGTTTCTTGTCTCGTAAACCAGCCTGCCCGACCCCTATCTGTTTCTCTACAGTATACAAGACGATATGATATAGTATCCATATGAAGAATATTTAGTGACATACCTGAAGAAAGTGAAAACGATAGCGATGACCTTTGTAGCTTGCATTTTGATCTTTTTTTTAAGTCAAGTAACAGGAAAAAATTCGTCTCTAGGACTCTTTTTGAAAATATATATATATATATAAATTCGTGAGACGGTCGTGAGAGAATGACTAAGGTAAGGAACGAACGTAGCTACTCGATGACGATAACAGACAGAAAAAAACGCCTTCTTAGGAGCTAAACCGACGTCCTTTATATAGATACTTCTTGCGGATAGCGGCGTGAGCCACAAGAGCTACGTCAAAGATGCCAACATAACAAGACCCATGATATCGGATTGATACCACCCCATCGGCTTCAGGTTGTCAAATAGTCAATAGTCCCTTTACAGCAGATAGCCTTGGCTCTTTAGGGTAGCATTGGCTCGGAGGAAGTTAGTAATCGAAAATTGGTACCTCGGAAGTATCTAACCTATTATGATCTCCAAGACCTGGTTACTGCAATTCAGATACGGTTTATAGGGTGTGGTGCCGAAGTTCTCTATCGAGATAGCCGAACGAAAATCTTAAATTCATGCCATCCAATGGTAGATTGAGGCTCGATTATTCCGACATCGACGAGGCGGTTTTAAGCCACTTAAGAACCTGTTTTTCTGTTGTCTATACCTCTAATAATGAATGTCCATACAGGTCTGCACGGAAATCCGAGATCCGGAATTAGTGTTCAAACCTGCAAGTACTAGTACTCGAGTGAACCGTTACGCCGATGGGTTTTCGTGCAAATATTTGCGAAGTACAGTTCGAAGATCCAACTGTCAATTTCAACGCAGAACTGACGACGAGAGTTTTAATTTGAAAAAAAGTATAGTATTAGCTATTGCAATTGGGAATGTAATGGAAGATCCAAAATTAAATAATTGACCGAAAGTCAAGAGCCATGTTTTAACTTATTCAGCTCCCGATATCAATGTCTGTGCAGCTGTGTACTAACTATTTTGACATTCGCCTTGGGGCCGTTAGAGTGCACTGCATTTTGTGGCTGACGTTTATAAGCTCCGTGCACAAATAATTAGATGGAGAAATGATGGGAGATTTTGTTCACTAAATATCGGATTTCTACTTTTCTTACTTTTGAGATACAAACACTATTTTAGCACAATTAAAAAGTTTGCGATAACTCGAAGGGGTATCAAATTGAATACGAATTCGATTCGTATGCACTCGAAATTTAAAAGTTTAGGGTGGGTTCTTATGGTACAAATGCTCGAGTCCAGTGTAACGTCGTCTCTAAACCCCCAATTCCGGTTAGAACGCCAAAAATGCACCAAACTGAACAGATTTCCAACACCATTTCCGATTTCCAACACCATTTCCGGAGGTTCCTCTCTTTCGAATTCACCGCGAGCACGAAACCATCTGATTCGAAGCTGCGCCTATCAACTTAATTAGCACCGAAAACGCCTCAGTTGCCAGTTATTTTTTTAATTATTACATGTTCTTACAGGTATTGATATCGAGTTCTTAAGTATTTATCGTCCAGCCCCGTGGAACTTATCAATCCCCTTTAATTTGAGCAGACGGTATTTCATACCCCACCTGGGTTCCAACTCTGGTTCCGGGGCTGGAGCAGGAGCTGGTAAGGCCATCGTGATACTAAATGATAGATTCCGAGTGTTAGAGTCCTAGAGACAGTTTCGGCTACAGCTGTTTTTCTGGGAAAGTGATTGTATTTACCCTGTAAAGGCGACAAGGAGAGCGATGACTTTGGAGGCGTGCATTGTGTCTGCCTTTCTTATTTTTCTTTATTTTTCTTAAAGAATTAAAGGAAAAGAAGGAAGTTGTATTATGGTAAGTTCTGAAAGAATGACTAGGTTAAATTAGCTCTGTATACGTAATCCAAATACAATGACTTCGAAAGCGTGTCCCGTGGAGCTTGGAGGGCTTGGAACTTGACGGTAAATGGCTTGCAATTTATATCCCATTGTTTGAGAGTAGCAATTGTCTCTCCGCGGCTTTGAACACCTAAATTATTGGGACGGCATTGTTAGTCTGACAATTGAAATTGGATATTGTTAAGATCGGAATTATAATTTCTCTATAGAGCTACTGCCCCTTCCTTTGCGGCCAAAACTATTGTTTTAATTTGATAATATATTATCTAGAGAATATAATATCCTTAAACAGAGTACTAAGAAGAAGATATCTACCACAGGATTTTAGTAAACATGACCGCCACCTATAGCTGTACATGTATAACGCTAGATTAAACGTTCTGCAACCGAAGGCATAATCTATATATAAAAAACAGTCTAAAAATGCTCACAAACTACTCTCGCAACATCACGATACATCCGAGTCTCGTGATACATAGACTAGGCACTTAAGTTACTGCATCGGTATTTTTTCCCTAAATAGGCTTGCATGTCATGCCCCGGGTGTGGTTTCTTATCGATTTCGCCTACTCGATTATATAGAATGTCAGCTGGCGCTAGTTCGCCTATAGAGGCCCAATACAGTACGCCGCTTACAACGACCTTACCAATAGCCGAACAGAACACATGTGCACATGGAGATTTCAAAGTTATCTATCATTTTTAATTATCTATATCTAGATAATCGATTTTAATGGTTTCGTTTTTCTTTTTCTTGATATCTTTCATTTCTATTCTGCTACTTCCTATTTGGCACAATCTATATACATAAACGGAGCCTTTGAAATTGTTCATATTTGGATACTTCTATCCATGAAAAACGCCATCTAATTCAGCAATCTTTTCAAAAAGGAGAAAAAAAGAAAGAGAGCTTTGGTCATATCGTTCGTTCAGAATCGAAAGGGAATTCGAAACCAGCGAGAGGTGTGGGGGGAAATGAGGAAGGGGTGAAGTGAAAAGGGTAACAAAGAAATGAAATTCGTAAAGCGTAGGTTATCGTCAAAATTCGTCAAAATATATATCCCAGATAAAAGAAAATGGTGGTTTCGATAACTTTCGCAATTGATCACCATCTCTTAAAACCGAGTAAAATGGGCCAGGAAGCCTATGGTCTTTAAGTTGGCTATGTAAGTATAATGCAAAATTAAGATATAAGGTCTAGGATCGTTTAAACATACAAACCGCCATTGGCCACCCATTTACTCCTTCGAGTGCCTCCTCCCTCCCCTATATTTGTTGCCGCGGTATCCAGACTTCCAGCGACCGGATGGCTTCCACCTCCATTTTCGGGTTGGAATTGGCTCAGCGAGTGGGGCTGGAACTGGGTCGGCTGCTGGAGCAGCCATGGCGAAGCTACTAAAATATCAAAGTCAATTCAAAAGTTCTCAGTATGTAAGTTTGGTTATCCCTGTCATCGACTCCCCGCGCACATGTTCGGGGTTGGATACGAATGTATATAAATAAAAGAGCTATGGGTGCCACTTACCCCAAGATGGCGACGCTGAAGGCAAAGACTGTAGTCAATTGCATTTTGTTATAAAAGAGTGTAGTGGATGTTCGGTCTTTAAGAAAGAGTGTAGATATCCGAAGGAATGTGGAGAGTTGGAAGGGCTGATGAAGCTGGGGAGGAAAGAAAGAAGTCCAGTTTCGACGTCCGAAGCCGCCTTTATATAGATTTTCACATATGTTATTCATCAGAAGACTCACGATATGACATAAGCTTTTTAAGTGAGAGCTAGTGCTAGCTAGCTAGTCGTTCCCGAGTGGTACGATATGCAAAAGCAACCATAACTTCTAGCTGTTAGTTGTCGACATGTCTAGACGTGGACTATACATGGAAGCACTTAACGGTCGCCTATGAACTCCAGAAAGGTTAGTCGCATTGCATAGACATCGAGTATTCTTCTTTGTTGTTCCTGTGGAACGCTCAAAATGAACTTCTCAATAGGACAAAATTATATAATGAGCAGCCTAAGATAGGGTTTCCTAGACGAGCCGAAAAGCCAAGGCATTTAGTTGTGAATCTAACATACATAAATTCATGAAGTATTCTTATGTTGCTGATAATTGTCGCAGTCCTTCGGTATCACACCCGGATAAAGGCTTGAGTACCCATATTCGGGTGCGCCTCATTGCCGTATATGGGAGGGAAACCCACAAATTGACCGATCCGAACAATCGAAAGAAAGTTGAGAGTCGCAAGGTGCAGATGTTACTAGGAAAAATGATAATGCTTCTGCTACTTAAACGGACCGTCTATGTATCATCCTTGGGCTGTAGCATTGAGATTCTGGCTTAAGTGGCACCAACGGTTTGCCCAGGAAATCTTAGGACTAGTTGCATGTCTTGGAAATATCGAATAAGAAAGCTTAATATCGAAATGTCTATAAAGAGATCATGTAGCCTATATAGCTACATAAGTATGCAAAGGAATCAGCTGGCAAAGCTGCTTCGGGGTCCTCGTCATCTATCATCGAGTTTCCGAATGCGAATGAAATAAGATCGAAAAGCAAATTATCAAGCTTGTAACCTACAAAGTCTCCATAGTTCAGATTTAAGCCGGAGAAAGGGTTCCGAGAACTGCAAAAGAAACCAAGTAAAAATCACGAACCATAAGACACCATATCGTTAGGCATCGGCACCAATAGCGTAAGTCGCGGGCGCAGGTTTAAGACGCCTATGAAGTGACGCCGCGGGACAAATGCTAAGATATGTTATATGCTGGCTCAACAGATTGGAGACCAAGCCTCCTCGCTCGAACACGCACTTACCATACTATGCCACTAGCATTCGATACCACCAACGGTGTTTCAAGGAGGTATAAGGCAGGTCGGTACTGAACCTATTTAGAGGGTAGAGTTTGGGGATAATCTGAAGTCCCGGTCGAGGTTACATCTGATCCCTTATTATTATCGAAGAAGGCTGCCGAGTCCATTTTTCGAATCACTAAAATCAATGTATTTCATACCTAGGTCTTGATACCCACCGCGCAATGTTACGTTCACGATAAAAGCCACCTCAATCAATTTCATAAGAGTCTTGTTAGAAAATGTCGCCACATGCAGAGCGATCGATTGAGAAGTCCGAAGACGACTAGCGACAGGACCGAATGCGGTCTCCATCTAACTCGCAGATACATATGATAAGGGATGGTGCTATTGACAACCCTGATTCAGCACTTACCTTACTTAGGAAGAATATATAAACGTCAATACCTCGAAATGTCGTGGGAAATTTTTTAAAAAATAACTCGCACGACACTCCACATTCAAAACCTCGTGCTTTTCGTGGCTGGGTGCCTATCTGCATTGAAAATCTGGACATCCGGGCTGAACTCTCGGACCTGCTTATTTTGGGGAGCGAGAAATTTTAGTTAGTGGCGCGGGGCTTTTCTAGCTTCTGATCGGCCAAACATGCACCATGAACCGGTTGGTTAAAATCGCCTCGTCCCGGTCGTAGCTCAGACGCATGGGAAGGGAAAAAAATGCTTGTCTTCGAGATTGCAAGAATAGCCTTCCCATTCTGTGGCATGATATTCGGTGAACCCACCTGGGCCCCCTTTGATATCCACGGCCGAAATACCTGATGGTCCAGAGCTATGGTTAGTGGCTATAACGTTAGTTGAGTACCAAAGTTCAATGGGTATACCAACAAGAGCATGCACATACGTACGGTCGATCAATCGATATGATATTTGGCAGACTGCAGGTGTCAATTGCAATTGCAAGGTCTAGAATCTGTCCCCTGTCCTCGTCTGACTTTGCCTGTCCTGTCTGTCCCAAGTGCTGGGAAGATGGCCAAGAGTTAAGTGGGCGGGAAAGGGCAATTAATAACGCTTGTCAAATATGTTTGCTGGCCACATGTCGCTCAATTGTAGCTCTCCTTTCTCATGCCATCTTTCATCCGTAATCAGTCACCATAATCATAATCACAATCAACATCATCATCACTATCTCTCGATATCTTCAAGTCCATAGCCGATACCACTATTTTTCTGTGGTCGTGGTCGTGGTATAACTTAATTACCTAGCACATTCGCGGTTATCGACTGCAATCGCTTGCTGGGCATCGCTGATCAACAGCCTTCCATCGCTACCTCGTTCCACCACACGACTCTCTTTTCGGGAATTTCTTCAACATCGTTTCTATTTCTAGCCTTCTGGTTTCGCTTTTCCCTCACCGATCAAAGAGAATCCGGGGGGTTCGAACAATTTTCGCCTTCGTCGCGTGAGCTGTCCTGGGCACCAGGTTCGGACAATCATGCGGCTGTCGGTGCTATTCCTCCTCTCCCTGGGCTCCCGGATATTCACGTCGGCGTCACCAGCTCCTGCTGCTCGGCCGGACAAGCAGTATAGTAGCAGTGATGCCATCGATACTACGGTACCGGAGCTTAAGGAGCTAACACCCGACAATTTCAAAGAGACTATAAAGAGTGGTTATTGGTAATGCTTCCTGTTCCGTAATTTGTGTCGACGTGGGCGAAGGTGGCGATACTGAAATTTTTTTGGACTAACATCGTGTTTTTCAAATCTCCAGGTTTATAAAACACTATTCTCCATATTGCAGGCACTGTATTATCGCAGGACCAGTCTGGCAGACGCTTTACGAATTCTACCTAAAATCCTCCCCCGCAACAGCTTCCTCTCCACACCCTGTATCACCCCCTTCATTCACCGAAACCTACGATTGGCACTTTGCGAACGTAAATTGTGCAAACTTTGGCGACTTATGCAATGAGAATGGCGTCACGGCGTACCCAATGTTCGGACTGTTCAAAGATGGTGAAAAGCTTGATACGTTCCAAGGAAAGCAGAACAGTATGAAACTTTTGTCAAAATTTATGGAAAAGCACTTAGAGAAAATCAAGCCCGGATCACGACCAGCAGGCCTTGAACTCCCGATACCTCCAACTCTAGAAGAATTTCAAAAGACCCACCCCACCGAAAAGAAGCCCTCCCCTGCAGAAGAGACAGCCACGGCAGCAGCTGAAGCAGAGCCAACGTCCTCTGTCGAAGCACCGAAACCAAAGCCAACTCCTCCACCAAGGAAAGGACCAACCCCTAACCCTGATGGCAAATCCTTCACTCTTGACGCCTCAAACTTCCAGCGGAAGGTCCTTGATTCCGAGCAAGGATGGTTCGTCAAATTTTACGCGCCATGGTGCTCCCATTGTCAAGCCATGGCACCAGCCTGGAACACCCTAAGCTACGAATTGCAGGGAATGCTCAACATCGGTGAAGTTAATTGCGAAATCGACCGCCGTCTCTGCAAGGAAGTCTCTGTCTCCGCCTACCCGACAATCATATTCTTCCAGAACGGGGAAAGGATCGAATACAAGGGCCTCCGAGGTGTCGGTGATCTCGTTTCCTGGGCTCGCAAAGCCGCTGACTCCGGTATCAAGGAAATCGGAGACGCCGCCGACTTTGAAGAGATTCAAAAGAAACACGATGTCATCTTCTTGTACTTCTACGATCATGCAACTGTTTCCGAAGACTTTGAGGCCCTATCGAGGGTTACAATGCCCTTGATTGGACACGCACCCCTTTATAAGACGAATTCCGACCATTTGGCGAGAAAGTACCGTATCACGACCTGGCCACAGCTTGTTGTTCTCAGGGATGACCGTCCGACTTACTATCCTGCCCTTTCACCTGCTGATATCAGAGATACCAACAAAATCGTGGACTGGATGAAGACTGTCTGGCTCCCAACTGTCCCTGAACTCTCTGCCACAAACTCGCATGAGATCATGAACGGCAAGACGGTAGTTTTGGGCATTTTCGATAGCTCTAAGGAAGAAGATTTCAGAATGGCTAAGGATGAAATGAAAAAGGCAGCTCAGCTATGGTTTGAAGGCAAAGATAAGGACGAAAAGCTCGAAAGACAGGAACTGAGAGATAGAAAGCAACATAAGATCCAAGAATCACTCGATCGTGGGGATGACCGAGGCTATAGAAACGCCAAGGGCACACCGATCGTGCTACCTATGAGGAAAGAGGTCGGATTTGCCTGGGTTGACGGTGTATTCTGGGAACGTTGGGTCAAGCAAACATATAACATTGATGTTAAGGAAATGGGTAATAGGGTCATTATCAATGAAGAGGATAGGAAGAGATATTGGGATACCAATACGGAGGGAGAATCGATACTTCCGTCTAGGACCGCGATTCTTGATGTCGTTAAGGACGTTATTAAGAATCCGTACAAGTTGCAGGCGAAGAGTACAGTTGGAAGGTTCGAGAGGGCGTTTAGATCCGCCAAAGACCATGGAACGAGTCATCCAGTGCTGACAATAATCGTTATCATTGTGGCTCTCGGAGGCGCATACCTTTGGAGGAGCAGGAGACACAGAAGAGGGTTCGGTCCACACCCAGGATTGGGATTGAACCCCGGTAAGGAAGGTGGGTGGGGCCAAGGATGGTTCGGAGGTGAGAAAGATGGTATGTTTGGAAGCAGCGGTGGCAGTGGGAAGTATGACTGAATTATGATGACAGGTTCACTTGCGCTGTCGAGCCTTGCGGACGTGTAATCTTCTTATTCTCTTCTTCTTTTTTTTTTTTTTACCTTGTGCTCTTTCGGTTTTTGTTATGTATCCGCGTTAGCAATCTCGCTTGCTCCCTTTGCTTCTACTATAAGTATTGTAAATGTATGTATGTATGCTGTTTTGGCGGAATATCTTTTCTCTCAAAATATATCTTTTGTGGCCATAGGCCATGAGCGTAACGTAGATGATGGGAATCACAACTCTATTATAAACTTACCAGTACCATTGCAATTGGATAAATTAATTCAAATTATTAAGAAAAGTAGCAGACTTACCCCTCCTCTAACTTTGAGACCAAGGTCCCACAATTGATTCTGCGGTGCTCTTGCAATGGGGTGTTCACCAGAGGTCTCAACATATAGATAGAATGAACCTGACAGAACGATACAGCCCTAGCCCTTGATACTATGGGCTTCGAACGCTAGTTCATGGCTACCTACCTAGCCCTTGCTTTGTATATGTATAGCTATAGCTAGCAAGGAAATATTTTAGATCTGTTGTAGGATACTGAGATTTACAGTAACAGTAGGTATCTGGGTTGTTGCTACTGAGGATTCAAACAGTTTGGGGTCTGCTCATGGTCATGTGCGGGTGCCTGGTCTACGAGACTAGCCAATCCCATTCTTATATACCTACTTACTTAAATATATAGCCATTAAATTGGAGTACCTTAATTTAATTATAACCTCATATTTGTTACAGTTATCTCCAAAGCTTAATGCTACTGCTCCGAGCATTTGGTTTACGAGACAACATTAAAGTCTATCAGTTATCAATTGATAGACTGGACGATATATAAAAGACGGAAATTGGTACAAGCCCCTTTCCGGGCCTATTAACCATTTTCTAGGAGAACACGATTTCAAAAATCAAATTAGGCCTGTTTAATAAGTAGGTAAGTGGATCTACGTAGATAGTTGGATTGATAGCCAAGTTGCTCGTTAGGATGGTACATACGTAGCTACTTACGTAGGCGGACCAAAAAATAGATAATTAAATAAAGATTTTATAGGTACTTGAAAATTAGTTTCGTCGGTGTGAATACTAAACGGTAACCCCGAATGTTAAAAACAGTATCCGAATATCGAATCCACGTTATCGTTTTGAATCGGATGGCGATAGTTGAAAGGGGAGTGAGTTGCATGTTGTAATATTTGGGTCCCAATGCTAAAAATGGGATAGTGGCAAATCGGAGAACGACAGCTGTTTCCGGCCTATCGATATCTACCAAATTTAAAACCGGACTGTGGCACTACCATTTTTATTATGATGAACTTAAGAGATCATCAGGTGCATTATGCATATCCGCCTTAAGTTAGTATCTTGTTTTGTGAAATTAATACATGGGTCTAAAGAGAGTATGGTCTTGTGAACCCGACAACACAATGTCGTTGAGAACTGACTGCTGATAAAGTCTACAAGGATTATTCGAATTCAGCATCCGTCTTTACACGACATACTAGGACATACCAGGACCTGCAAGCAATGTTAAAACCCCAGTCCAATCTGCAAGATGTCGCAAACATTGCGGTATTGTGGCTAGTGGCCATCTTGCGGACTAGCGTCCTTAAGATGTCAACATCTTCGAGGCACCCAGTTAGACCCACTTTTTTGGTTTCCGACGGCATCGAATGACCCCGCCAGTTTAGGCAATTGTAAGAACTTCTTCCCGTGTACACATGTAGTTTGAGATTTTTTCCCCCCCACTAGTTGTGTCTGCGGTCTCGCCTTTTGGATAATGCAAGGACTACTTTGAGGCCAGGGGTAGATAAGAGGTATCGATAGATGTGTTCGAAAGAGGGTGTTATTCTGATAGAAGGTCTATTAAGCGGCCCGGTATATTCCCCCCGGCAGGTTCTTATATTTTTTCTCTTTCTTCTCGTCTTTTTTCCCATGCACAAATTGTAAATTAAATCCCCAGGTCTTCGTCCAGGTCTTCGTCCTTGAAGGGAAGTCGGGTGGTGGCAAGATACATTTGAACGGTCCAGGGAGATATCACATTCGGTTGTTACTATCCTGGCACGGTACATGTCAGGTTGTAACCCAGCTCCGGATACCCTCCCTTCCTCCCTCAGCCACTGGGATTTCCGACGGTTCGATCCAATTCATTTCATTTCATTTCATTTATTTATTCTTCAAATCACACCAGAAGTTTAATTCTGGCAAGAGGTTTAAGGGATCGATCTGGACCTTTTATCTGTCGTATTTAACTTAACTTATGTCCCGCCCTAAATCGCACCCTTCCAGCTACTGCGGAGCATAACTTAACTATCAAGCACAAGCATATACTTCTTACTTATACTTAAGTATAGTAAAAGATATTCCATATCCGATATCCCTTGCACCTGTCAAAAATCTAAAATCCCTTTCTGTTCTGTCGCGAATAATCGAGAACCAATTACAAGAGTCCGAAGAAGAAGGTGTTCCAATCAGAACAGCTGTTCTGCGCCTGCCCAGTCGATTAATTAATTCGGTTACACACCTGCAGTGCAGCTTGACCTTCACTAAAGCATCCCATTGGAACCTGCAGGTTCACGAGACGTACGACCACCAGCCCCTTCGTAGACGATTCGAAGACGCTAGACGTCTAAGATATATTCGACCGAAAGCATCTAGCGAAATACTTTACTCGAGTCTTACTTGTACTGATACTCACTCACACTCTTAATTCAAATATCGGCCTAAAGTCCGCCTTTCGTTCTAACCTGGCGTCACAGCTGGTCAGCCTTACCTTGCTGGACTTACCTGCAGCACTTACCTTCCAACAAGAAATTAATCATCTTATCCCTCTCGAACTTGTCCGAACGCTTTATCGCTCAAACCTCAAAGACCACGTTCACTTAATTACTGCTACTTACACCTAAACCTCTCCTCTTCTCGGATCCTCTGCAAATGGTGGCATCTTCACCAACGCCCTCCTGTTCCAGAGACGGAGTACAGGCCTGAGCAGCCTAGCAGCAGCGTAGAAAGCAAGAAAGGAGGGTAACCGACGGTAACACACACTTAGTCGGTAGCACAGGACAACCCCGTCAAAGCAAACAACACAAGTAAACACCGTCTACAACACCGTCAACACACTTCGATCCCCATATAAACACAGTATCGTGCCTTCCCTAAACATTCTCTCCGTCGGCTTCATACCTACCGTCTACCCCACCCCCGTCTCGAAGGCGGTGGTACTGACCCACCTTCATTCGCCATGGGTAATACCCACTCCGCCCAAGCCCCGCGCCGTAACAAATCCTCCACTCACTCACGGCACCCCTCCTCCCCCACCACATCTAAAAAATCATCCTCATTTCGTCCTTCTTCTAGTAGAATTAACAATAAACTATCAAAACCAAAAGTTGGTGGCGAATCGCCCCCTGCTATTCCGATACCTTTGCCAGCATCTCTAAGCAGACGAAACTCAAAAGCATCGATACGAAATATTTTACCAGACCGTGCCAATTTAAATTCAACAGATGGCGGGACAATACCATACCCTCGTCCGCCAACTAGATCCGGTAGTGTGGATCTATCACGGCAGGACAGCTTCACAGGAGGAGCGCAACAGGGATGGAGTAATCACCCTTCGCGGAAAGCGAGTCGGGAAACTATAAACGGACCGGGTGGGCCTGGTAGTAGTGCGACTCCATCACTTGGAGCCGTATGGCTGGAAAGAAGACGGAGTCTTGTCCACGATCCGATGAATAAACCCGGTTCACCGCCTACGAACACCATGAGCCCTGTCTCGTATATTAGGCCCATGACTGCTCCTGCGGTCGAAAATAGCAGCTTTGATGTGTCTCCACTGCTGGAACCAGATGATTTAAGGCCGCCTCCAACGGCTTCTTCTACGGCTAGTTTCCATTCAGCACTGCAGAGTCCAACGAGGATACAGCTTACGCCTTCACCTACAAAGTTCTTAAATAGCCAACAGCAGCAGCAGCAGCAAGGTCATACACCGCCCTCATCTTATAATCCCGAACCTTCACATGTTCCGGTAAGAAGACGCTCGCTGCTACAAGCCGCTGCTCCAGGTACGGCTACAAGACCGAAAGTGCAAGAGCCAGAACCAAATGACATGCTAGACATGGACGATAATCTACTATTCGTGCCCAAATCCAGGTTCACAAATATCAACACCGATGGTGCCCGCCCTGAAACGCCCCAAGATCAAGGAACTCTAGGTAGCCTAAGAAAGGGGTCTCTATTTGTGGCTAACGGTGCTCCAAGTCCCATCCCAAGCTCACCGTCTCTGAGGGCTACTAGTGGCGGCAGCCAAAGGCCTAGGGACAGCTCATTACTCAGTCTCCCTCCTGTTTCTGCAACCACTAACCCTGAAGCTGTCGACAACTGGGAAGTGGAGACCCCTCAGACTCCTACGATGGCCGAAAGTTTCGCAATAAAGAGAAAGCCTGTAGGGGCTTCTTCGCTTCCTTCTTCACCACAGTCTGGGAAGAGGCCGGTTATTCAAGTAGATACGAGTGCATCCGCAAATCCTAACCGACAGAGTCTACGGCTTGTACCTCCTTCGCCCGACACCGAAGCTCCAGATACCGCACAAACTATTAAGCCTCGGAATCTGGTAATCGATGGAGATGAAGATAGTACGGATGAAGATCCACACAGGCGTCATTTGTTCAACTATGGTCTTCGCAACAAGCAGTTTTTGAATGGACAATTCCAGCCAAGTCCTTCCTCTGACTATTCCAATACGAATCCATCTGCGGTTCCCTCCGCTGCGGCTTCTGCTAAACCAGGGCTCTCAAGATCTCCGTTTTCATTTGAGGGTGCTAAGTTGCTAGACGCTCCAGATTCTAATAAGACAGAGGTCCAGAGTAACGAGGGACTTGACGCTAGGATTAGTGCTGCAGAGCTAGAACAATCTAAGCCGAAGCCTTTGGTTATTAGGAAATCTCTTCTACATGCAGGAATTGCTTCCCAAGCGGGCCCACCGACAATTGACTGTAATAATACCACACAAGCGGCGGAAGAGAAACTCGCAACTAGCTCGGATGCATCCGATGTCTCGTCAGACCAGAGTCAAGCCAGTCAAACCAAAACTGCTGATAGTGGGTATTCCTCAGCTGGAAGTGCTGTATTACCACCAGATAACCATTCGAGGAAAGCAAAGCACCGACAATCGGCACCCGAGCAGATTGCAATTGAGTTTCATAACCAATACCCAGAAATGAGGCCAGCAACAAGTCATAATTCTGTGGGGCCAAACATTGCAACTTCGGTTGTTAACGTCCCTTATTCTTCAGTGAGGAATAGAACGCCGCCTACATTACAAGCCCCTCCCCCCAGAGTTTCGAAGAACAAAGGGAAGCAATACCCGCCTACTCAGCCAGCACATAAATTTGAGAACGCTGCTCTGGAAGACGCTGATGAATCGGGGCAAAAGAAGCCAAAACGAAAAAGACGTCTCAGCTTCAAACGTCTATCTTGGAAAGGTGACAAGAAGCCAGAGGTCGAGGCCCCGGAACAGAATACTGGAGAATCCAGCGAAGCTATTACGATTGACGAACCCGAACCCCCAAAACCTTCTCACAACTATCTTCCACCCCTCAACATTGGTAGCGCTGTCGAACCTGAACATACACAGTATCAGCTTCAACCACAACCCGAAAGACAACAAAGCTTTACTAGTAGTGTTAGAAGCGGGCTACAGTCTATCGGATATGCGCCTGAAGCAGCATCGCTCCCAACTTCTCCGGTGGAGCCGTCCTATCATGAACCTATGGCAATTACTTCCTCTACACCTTCGCGTGCAGTTCTAGCTCTGAGATCCTCTGAATCCGTATCGTATACTGGAGCAGCGTATTACCAGCGCTTTAACACTCCTTCCCCGGTGCCCGGAAACGTCCCTAACACAGCAGCGCAAAACACTCCTTCACCTCCTGCCCCACAGCCGGTACAGCCTGTACAGCCTGTACCGCAGAAGATGAATATTCCAGAACGGCAGCCGTCCCTTCCTCGACACACTACTCCACCATCGTCGTATAAACCTCCACCAGGCAGATACTCAATGGAAGACAACAACCGTCAACCACCCCCACTCCCACCACCGCAAGCGCCACCTCAACCTCAACAGCAACGTTCCGACAACATGCAAGTACGCCGTCGCCCATTAGGAAACTCGGCGATTAAGTCTAACCCACAATCACCGGTTTCAACGACACCACCTTGGAACTCTAATCCCTCAGCCAGCGCCGCTAGCATCGGATCTGTCCCTCGAGTTTCAAGAACGAACTCTATGAATAGCCAGTATTCTTACAACACCCAAAGCGGATATTACCAACCAAATAGCAATCAACAAGCCCAACGATCCGACTCGATGAGAAGTGGTAGACCAAGATATTCACAAAATCACGGGCCTCAATCACAACAAGGCCAGGGATACCAAGGCAGCAGCCACAACAACAACAACGGGGTATTACCATTTGCTACAGGTCAGCCACGCCGACAAAGAAGTACAAGCTCGGGGGGGTCCGTGGGACCCGGTGGATACCCCCATTTAGGACAAGATCATAATTCTGATAGTGCAATGTTTGGAATGGACTTTTGGGATGGGATGCAGGTTAAACGAGCCAATGACCTGGTGAAGAGTTACGGGAGTACGAATCCTCCGAATCATAATGGAGGTGGTGGTGGGAATTTCGGGGGTAGTTGGTATGGGCGGAGGAGATCGACTGAGCAAGCTAGTGCTATGGAGCTTCTGTATGGCGAAAAGGTTGCGGAACGGTATGCGAGTGTAGAGATGGAAGATGAGGGAAGGAGTAGAAAAAGAGATAGCTTTTGGAAGAAAGCGGCTGGATCGATGGGAAGAAGGAGTAAGAGCCAGCATCGGAGTGGCAAGGAGACTATGGGGTATTGAACAATCACTTATCTTTTTTTTTCTTTTTTTCTTGATGCTGGGGTTTTTTTTTGATATCGATATATTTTTGATTCGGGGTTTGTATGGTGTTCCCTTGGTTTTACTTGATGGTTTTCATGGTCACTCGAATTTGCATGGAGGATGTTTCTTTTTGTTACCTTTCCTTTCTTCCCTACCAGCACCACTTTATTAGCCTTATCCTTATGTCTATAGCGTCTTCCTTCCCCCCCCCCCCCCTTTCTCTCTATTTTTTTTTTTAGCTTTTGTTGGAGGCGTTCGGGAATGCCTTCTGTCACTCGTTTTTTTGTCTCTTTCTCTCTCTACCTTTATACCCTCCCCTCGCGATCGTTCAAAATTTTATGTTCTGGAGAGCGAAAAAAAAGGAGGGCGGTTGAAAACCTCGATACACCTACTCGGTATCGATGCATGTTATGTTATACCGACAACACACACACACACATATACAGGCTTATTATTAACCGCCTGCATATTATTCTAGCTACGTTTACTCATCATTGATCAGACAGAAATGAAATGAAATGAAATTCATTATGACCTAGGAATTAAAACACCATTGTTACACATCAATGGATAGCATGTATAGACCATATCTCCGAAAGATCTAGAACCCATGAATTTAATCTTTAGGTAGAACAAACGTGCAAGGCTTCATTGATATATATATTGATACAAGGGGTACTTCACAAAAGAGAAAAAAGATTTAACATACATTTATCTCAAAAGAAATAAAGGGACGATAATTATCGATAAGCACTTCCTCCCAACTCCCACGTATGAAAGATCGATTGTTTAAAAAAAATAATTTGGAAAACGCCATTTTTAGAGTTCTGCGTATGTAGAGCTAGAGGGAAGAAAGAGAAACAACCAAGCAAAAACGGGTTTGCCATTCAATCGTAACTCTATAAAACTTTTCATTCGACTGGTGCCATAACCTACAATTCCGTCTATATAACAGATTTTTAACGTCTGTTGGTCTTTCCGATGGTTCTCTTGCCCGAAAACTATAGTATCGACGTATTAGTAAATACACTCCTAAACCAAATCCAAATCCAAAAGTTGGGTTGTGTGTAAAAAACTTACCAAATGCTTCGGCAGAGCTGCAGAGACATGTCTATCAGCCTCACCCTGTCTGGCCATCCTGTTCATCTTCTTCTGGTTCAACTTGGCAATCTTCTCGGCCTTCGTTCTGGCACCCTCATTCGTAACACCATCTTCACGTCTGTTGCTCTGGCTCCTAACTCTGCTCTTCGCACGTTCCTTCAGAGTCATTTGACTGATATCGTGCATACTGATATCTCTCATTTCAGCATCACCACCCATTTCAGATGTGGCTCTGCTTCTGTTAGCCACAGAACGTCCACGGCTCTTGCTTCTTGCCCTGTCAACAACGGTGCTGGCGTCCAGGCCGATCTTTTCAAGGCTATTCTTCATCTCGCTGATGTTCTTCGGCATCTTTTGACGTGGGATAACAGCTCGGTTCTTCAGCGCCTTCTTGCTTCTCGCAGCATTTCGGATCAACTGCTTCTGTTCTCTGATGAACTCAGCCTTCACTCGGATATCTGCCTCATCGTCATCCTCAATGCTCTCTTCTTCATCGTAGAAACCTTCAGCCTCAAGTCTTTCTTCCTCAGCCTCCAATGCGGCAAGTTTCGATTCGATATCAGGGTCGATAAAGTCGTAAACATTCTTGCCGTCAAAGATTTCAGGAACCTTGTCAAATTTCCACTCTTCGTTGTCAAGCATGTAGTTCTCTGTAGAAATAATGTTAGCTCCACTTCTCTGGCCGGAAAAAATAACGGTCTGAGCCACGTACTCTTCAGATTAATGTTATAAACACCAGCACCACCTTCCTCAGCTTCGATATCCTTCTCCAATTTTCTTCTATTTGGATCGTTGACGTCGTATTTCGTCCTCTCCTTAACCGCATCAGGGATAAAGGCTTCTCGTGTAACACCGCCAATAGGTTGCGCAACATGTATCCGGTTGAGAATATCAGTTGCTCGGTTTGTCTTCAATTTCTGCTCTACTCGCGCAGCAAGTAGTCGTTCACAAGCCTTGTTCTTCACCTCCGAGATACCCTGTTCGGTATGACAGCTCAACTGTAGCATCTCGACTTCTCCACCCTGAAGCATGGTCTGAATCAATTTCTGTGATTCTTCATCCAAATCCTCCGGCTTGACGACATCGATCTTGTTTACCACCACAAATACGATTTTGTTCGCAAACAAAGGCTTTATCGAGTGGAAAAGCTGGACTTGAGCGGCAACCGAGTATCCACACTGCTCAGAGAGATCCATGAAGTAAAGAATCACAGATTTCAAATGGGCGATAGCGGTGATCGATTGCATTTCAATGGTGTTCATTTCTTCGAGTGGGTGGTCGAGAATACCTGGGGTATCGATGGCCTGGAATCGCAGGTATTTATAATCGAAATGACCGACAAACAAACTCTTTGTCGTAAAGGCATATGGTTGAACATCCACATCTGCCCTGGTGATGCTTCGGAGGAAACTGCTCTTTCCGACATTGGGATAACCACAGATGAGGAGGGTTCGTGTGTTGGGGTCAATACCCGGAAGACGACCAAGATGCTGTCGGACTTGTTCCAAATAGAGAAGAGGGTCTTTCAGACGACGAGTGATGGTAGCCATACGACCCAATGCCGCACGCTTTAGCTGTTTGCACTGGAAGAGAGACTGCGCATATTTGATGAGACGGACATAATCACGGCAGACCTGTTCGATTAGATGCTTTGCTGTGGAGAGCTGACCGAGAGCGATTCGGAAATGGTCGGCATCGTAAAGTGTGTTCATGAGATCCTTGTCTGGATAAAGCGAGGGGTCAGAAGGCCAGCGCTTTTAGTACGAAGGACAAGAGTCAACATACGGAAAGGATGGATATCCTGAAGCTTCGGAAAGCCATCGAGAATTGCCTGAAGCTTTTCAGTGAAGGTATCTTGGGTAAATTTAACCTTTCTGAGGTAAAAGGCTGTAATTGGGCCATTAGTGACTTGTTCAAGCTATCAGAGCACAGTTTTGGAGGCAAAAGGTACCTCTGATTCTGCTGATTTTGAAACCAGATCGAATAACAGTAGGAGTCTTCCTGGTAGTCCTCGATAGGACAATATCGAGGAACTCCTGCGACGTGGGCACCGGGGCGATAGCTTTCCAGGTCTGTCGATGCATCAATTAGTTATTTGGTCTCAGCTCGAAAGTAGCTTCGTATCTCAATTTAACGAAGATATCAGGTAGAATAACTTACAGTTTGAACCATTATGACGGCTATGTATTGGGCTGTTGATAAATAAAAAGCCTGTTGGAGGAAAGCAACCTCGATGTGATGATGATGGAAAAGTCGTCGAGGAGGACTGAGAAAAGTCGCCTATCAGAAAAAAAGTTGGTGGAAAGCGAAAAACCTATTTTTTTCTTCGAGCGACAGGCACTAGTCTCGGTTAGGTTAGAGATCTCCGCAGCTGTCGCTCATTGGTCAACGTCGGGCGCAACACATCGACAACACAAAGCTTCGAACCTTGGATCAGTGCAACTCAAGATGGCCTTAGCTTAGACTATAGCATCTTGCGCTGAGGTCGAGCGCCTCCAAGAATTATACCATGTTATTTGCCTTGGTTTGATACATTAGGATAATTACTTTAATTCGATTGGCCTTAATTTTTTATTTTTCTTTATTTTCTAGGTTTATTTGCTTATGATAAACTCGATACCAAGCCCTTGTCCCACACATCGTTTGCTCGCCTCTAATCCAATCGCGACTCAGTTCGAGCTCAACCCCAAACATCGATATCTCCATCAATCTCCTCTACATCTATAGTCGCCGAACAGCCTCTCATTCCGCCAAAATTGCGTCTGCCTTGGTCGCCAAAATGGCCGCTCCGATCCGTCCACGTTGCTTCCTGGACCTTCAATATGGTACCGATCCTGTAGGTCGCGTCGTTATCGAACTCTTCACGGATAAAACTCCAAAAACGTGCGAAAAGTTCGTATATCCATCACCAGAATAATGATACACGTAAATACCCTGAAGCACTCATAATTGACAATAACTTCTGAGACTATAGTTTTCGCTCGTTATGCACAGCCTCCACCTCACCGTCCCTCCACTACAAATCCTCAATATTTCACCGGGTAATTGAAGAGTTTATGCTCCAAGGCGGCGACATCACTCGAGGCGACGGGAAGGGAGGCGTATCAATATACGGTGATACCTTCGAAGATGAAAATCTCGGGTGGTGTGACATCGACAAAGAAGGGTTGGTATGCATGGCCAATAGGGGGAAAGATACCAACAGCTCTCAGTAAGTGGTACCACCAATTATCATCAAAGGTTCAACCGTTTAAAATCAGGTGATTTTCTAACCTTTTGGTATTATTTATCCAGGTTCTTTATCACGGTATGAAACTCTCGGCCCCATATTATATATCGAAACATATGTGCCTCGGAAGTATCGGTATTGACAGTTTTATCAGTGCGCCCCATGTGATCATCTCAACGGAAAGCATACGGTTTTTGGACATGTAGTAAGCGGCCTTCAATTTGTGAAGGAGATGGAAAAGGTCAGAGTGGATTCCTCGGACAAGCCTGTGGTGGACGTTATCATTTCGAACTGTGGCGAACTTGAGTTCCGGAGGGCGCCGGCGAAGGCGGCTGCGACAAGAACAACGGATACAAAAACATCCCGGGATAGGAAACGACAGCGAAGCCAAAGCCGAAGTCGTAGTAGGAGTAGAAGCAGAAGCAGGAGTAAAAGCGAGAACAGAAGCGGCAGTAGGACTCGGGATAGGCGTAGAAGCAGAACAAGAAGCCCTAGAGCAAAGCCGGATCGTCACAAGCGGCAAGAGAGAGATACAGACTCTCGACAGTCCGGTCGAAGGCACCGGGACCGGACTGGTCGCTCACGTTCACCACGGAGGCACGGGAACGCCTCAACCAAGGAATCCGCTGTCTCACTTTCACAAAACCGGGATGTTAGATCCACATCTCGCTCACAGTCTCCCGAAAAGCCAATATCTCCGACAGGGCAGCGAGATTCAAGGTCATCAAGAAACCACCATAAACCGTCTCGCCGGTCATATTCCCGTTCTAGGTCGCGATCTTATGACCGTCACGGGCGTGGACGGAATTATGATGACGATGAGTTTGACTCGGAGGAAGAACGACGGATTCAACGAGAGGAAGATGAGAGGGAGTCTAATCGACGGCAACCGCAATACCAGCGGTCATACCGCTCGCCTCCTCGACGTGATGACAGATATTCAGCTGATACAGGCCAATCAGAGGTTAAATTCAAGGGCCGTGGAAGTATGAAATATCGTGAGAAAGGTGGGCACGGAGGCTATAATCGGTTCGGCAGGTTAATCTAGATGGAAAAGCGTAATCACGACCTCAATTTTAAAAGCCTTTATTTAAAGAATCTATATTTATACACATCATCACGAGATCACACGATCATACCTTGAAACCGCTATTGCACGTCCACTATTCCCACAATGGGAGAAGCAAAGTAAATCTCAAGGTCTGTTTGAGGTTAATGAATAAAGCGATACACCCAAAACGTGATGATCTTCGTGTGCAGTTCCATGATCATGAGGACCAATAATCATGTCCGTGCACCAGGGAGCTGTTCTTAATTGACGCCTGTTATTTGTGAGGCAAGGATTTCCTGCCAAATTAGTAATATCAAGACTCTGAGTTGTGGTGGTGGGAACCTGGTTACTACACACTAGCCGCTCAAAAATTTAGGATAAAGAATGTTCGGGGAAACATTCGATGCGCCGGACTTCCGGCACTGGTAACGAGAATCTGCAGCAGCAGGGGAAGACAATCACACAGGTTCCAGTGGAACGGCAGTCCACGGCGAGCGTTTTGTCCCGCGTTGCAAGGGGGAAGCGAAGAGAAGATGTATGTCATGGCGAGAGAAACAACGCCGTGGCGGCGGCTTGCAGCATATGACACAGGAATACAAACTAGATGTGACCAAGCCTTGCAATTGGCCTTGCCATGGGAAAAAAAAGGCGTCCGAGTTCGGTAAAGGGCGTGCGTACGAGAATCTCAACGTCAAGAAATACTAACTTCCTCGAAAAAACTTCAGTTATTGGGCCGAGAATGACCAGGTTATTGGACAAAGGGGGCATGCAGCAAATGCGCATCCTTACGTACAGCATGTACTATGTAAGTAACAATTGATCCTAAAGGCAGACCAAGGGCTGCGAACCCCGTCGCCAATTAGAATGTCGACATCCTGCATAAGAGTGGGGTTTGGGTCGAATCAATTCCAGGAATGCGGTCAGGGTGGGGAGAGTGGGTTGCATGGGGCTCACGTTGACAAAGAAACCCTCACACACGGGCATTGACAGTGAAGGATTTCGACAATGGAAAAAGTGACGGGTATCTGGGATATCCTTATTGAAATTATATCCACTCCGACCCTGTACCTTGCCCACCTCGATTCGAAGGTTTCAAAAACAGGCAAAGGTATCAAGGGATGTGAGCCTAATGGCTCGGTAAGTCCAGTGACGCAAGGTTTCGACGACCTCTTCATTGGAAATGTTTCTGGTCGACATCTATGTGCCTTGTTCGCATTCTGCGGGAGGAGGTTTCATGATCTTGAGACCCCATCTATAATTTGATAACTGGCCGGCGATTCCGCTATCCGGCCCGCTTCGTCTCGTGTGATAGGGATCTCGACAAGAGTCTTGGGCAAAAGAGTTTGAGAGTTTCCATACCATGACTGTGCAACTATGGAAACCACAAAAATGATATGTGGATAGCTGTGGTCCGAGCATCTAGTAATTTTGTTGCACCTAGGCGTCCACTACTACTAGTTAGTACCCAACTTGTAAGTGAAACACACTAACGATGTAACCATCGGCCAGTTCGAAAGGATAGACGGAATTCGAACGGCTGGGGACTATGCTATTCCTCGAGGAGACTGTCGAGCTCTCTCTATCACTTCTTGAGAGGTAAGCAGGTTTGAAAAGGTTTGGGATAGCTTGTGGAGCCATTGTTTGATTTGGCTCGACGCCATGCATTAGCAAAATTGAGTCCCGGCCCATGTTGTTGAGGTTGGGATATATCTGCGGTTTAATATAGTTACAATGCTAATCTGGAGGCGTACCAGTAGTCTGGTAGCGTACTTGGTGTCTATTGAAGTCCCACAGCAAAGTGATGATGTATTCCCTTGGTCATCGGGTGAGTTTTCCACCAACAGGGAACCCCGAGGAACTTTCTGTGCAGCGCTCTTACACGAGATGGCTGAGAAATTGATGCCCCATATAATTTCATTTCAGGGTTTTTATGCACTCACCTTGGGGTTAGGACGCAGGCCCACAGGGGATAACCATCTAAATTGCAGTTCGTCTTGGATCATATCAAGGTTGGAGGCCTTGGTGTGTTCATGGAGACCGTGACTTTGTGGGGTTTGGTTAATGGCCAACGGCCAACTTACGAGACCAGCCAGGTCTGCTCCGTAAGCTTCCTGCGGATGTTTGATCCTTTGTGTCAGAAGACAAAGGCCTAAAGCAAAGGAATGTTCAGCCGGTGTCTTATACGCCCATACTACAAATTTAATGGAGATTTTCAAGCTGTAGAACTTAAACAGATTGCTGGGACATGTTGAAGAGACAGAAGTGATTCTACCAAGTTCTCGGGTCGGTGTGCTCCGGCCCTGTGCCACACCTTCCCGCTGTACTGGAAGCAGGGCTAACATCAACGTCAAGGCGCTAAGTTTCACTACCACACCTGCTCACCAGCCGAACACAGATATGGCCGACAATCGCGAGCCGTCGCTTTCCTGTGACACCCCCTCCCAAACATTTCTAGAGCTAACGGCCCCTATTATTTTGTGATTCTGCATATTTTCAGTTAGTGCATCTGTGCCACCATGAATTAAATGAAGTTCCTGATGGTTCGCAACGAAACAAAAAAGATCGTTAACCCGAGACCATGGTATAGGGAACCTACTCGTGGCTTAAACCTTCCGGTGACCTAAGGCTACGAACAAGTGATGTTAGTGTGCATTCATCCGAAATTCGTGCTGCAAGATTGCAAGTGCCATGCGACTGAAAAATGCGGTCCGTCAGAGCTTGTACTATTCGGGATTACAGGACTAGCAAGGCCAGTCCGTCGAGTCGACTCCAAGGTCTCTCTGTTTGCCTCGACCCCGAAGCTCACCGAAGATACACAACTAGCCTGGCTCAGAAAAAAGAAAGAAACTCATAGAAGGAGATCGTCGAGTCGCAGTAGTGTATAAGGACCCCTTGTCCAACGCACCTTATATCCTCCCGGAATTTTTTTATTTTGCAATTTCGAAGCCTGACGTGGTGGTCTCTCGGTACCCTTAGCTAGGTCTCCTCTTTAAATTTTCGAGGAACTAGGGGCGGTCCACCTGTCCTATGCCTATTCCCTTCAGGACTCTGATTGGCAGTACCGAATAGCAGCAGACCGGCACAGCACAGTATAGATATCTCTCGACTAGGTAGTTAGAAATATATTCAACAACGTTGACTCACGGTTCCCTGGTTCTTTCATCCCAATCCCTCTCGGCCTCAGCTCCAACAAACAGCACAAGACACCCAACTTTTCGAGAATAGCTTAAACGGGAACAAAGTCTTCAGTTTATAGTCTCCCAAATTCGGCCACGATGTCAACAAGCGGCTCCTCCTTGTCAGAAACCTGTTCTTTAGACAGTGCATACTGGCGAATTGTACGCCATCATGGCCGAGAGTTCCAGGATTATTCCGTCGAGAAAATCATATATCCAGTCCCAGTCGATGAGGTAGGTGGTGTTTAACCCGGGGCAGACGTAAAGTTCGAGCAAATCCTGGGGAAGCCCGGCGTGCTCGTTATGATCTTTTCACAAGACCGAAATGCTGCAGAGTTGTACTCGAAGTGACTGACATTCCCCAAGGATGAACAAGACCGCCTCAATAGGCAGCACCTTGTCTTTAGAAAGATATTTGACGGTAGACTCATCTTTCCCCCAGTAGAGGATCCCAAGAAAATTCTCGATTGTGGTTACGGCTCGGGTGCGTGGGCAATCGAGGCAGCTGAAAAGTACCCAGATGCAGAGGTCTAAATTCAAACATCGGCTTCTATTCCCTTTAGTAACTTCGCACTAACCTCATAATAGATCATCGCTGTCGACATTTCTCCTCATCTAAAGCCCGAAGAGACTCCAAATAACCTTTGGTGCCAGGTAAGCCACAAAGTAGCCCAGTGGCCATAAAGCTGCCATTGATCTCAATCGCCAACATCTGATCAAACTGACAACTTAATTTGAGGTTGACGACCTGAACGAACCATTCAACTTTAAGCCCGAGGAATTCGACTTCGTCCATTCGAGGCTCGTAGCGCCGGGCATCGGCAAAAGTCGGTGGACCGGCTATATGAAAGACTGCTTTAAGTTAGTGATCATCAATACAAACAACAAGACTCTGAAGGATAGGATACTCACTTCAATTGGTCTTTCATCGCAGAGTTTTGAAAGCGGGTGGTTGGTTGCAGATGGTTGAGATCTATTTCAATGTCCAATCCGACAATGGAACATTGACGGAAGAACACGGGCTTCGAAGGTGGAGCAAGACTTTTCTTGAAGTATACGAAGACAAGAAGGACCTACGGGCTCCAACAAGGTTGCAGTCTATGATGGAAGCCGCGGGGTTTGTGGAAGTACAAAGCAGGATGATGCCTCTCCCATTGAATGGGTGGTCTCGAGGTAAGTAGCTAGTCCCAACTATTTTCTATTTCCGTTGCATATTGTCGAACTGCAAGGCTGATGTGGTATTCAGACGAAAGAGATCGGGATATTGGCAACCTCAACTGCTCGAATGCGAAAGATTTAATCAACGCCATGGCATTGTGGCCCTTTACAGAACGCCTCGAAATGTCATTAGAGCAATTTTACGTCTTGATTGCGAGGGCTCGTAGTGAGATTGATGACTTGAATCTGCGTCCATATTTCCCGTTGTAAGTTTATGACTCTACCAGGACAGCCCCAGTGCAGAGAGAAGCGAAATTGTGACTGTAGAACATACCTTCGCTCGTGGTAGACCTTTCCTTTTTTTTTCCCTTCGTAATTTCCCACGGGTTTGTTACTTGGTGCTAACATCAATTTTGTCGATGTAGGTATGTTGTGATTGGAAAGAAACCATCTGCCTGATACCATTGAGCAATGCATCTGCCACATTGGTTGATTCGCACGAGCAGCTAGCTTTCATATGATTCCTTCTCTTCAAAGCGTCCGGTCTGGCGAGTTTTGAGTCGAGCATCCATTCTCATCGACAGCATTATTGTAGGCGTATCTGGGATTCATCGCATTTGGTTTTGGTTAAGGCTGGGTATAAACAAAAGAACGGCAGCGGGTATTATATTCGGCATAAGAGTTTTTAGTATATTTCAAGAAGGTGTGTATAGAGGACACCAATGGCATTCCATGGCAGTTGTAGAGCTCAGTGGCAGAATCGAATATATTTTCATCCTAAATGGAACAAAATGCAATTCCTATCTGAAGCCGAGTGCGAGTGTGATTGATGGTTTTGTTTTTGTGATAAAGCAAAGACCTGGCCTGCGCCGTGGCACGAAACGCTGCTGCATTAGCACATTAACCGCCCAACGTCTTATGCTTGACACACCTTCGTTTTTACAAAGCAGAACGACCAACCATGCTCCATGCTCCTCCTTACGCGGCGAATCGGAACGGGAAGTAACCCATTGGGGAAAGGGATTTCGAAAAAGAGAGACTTACAGAAGAACGGCAAGACCAGGGAGCTGACTGGTATATTCTACCGGTAGCTACGGCGCTGGTCCGAACCAATCAATGCATCCGTTGCATCGCGAACCTCTGCCATGAATGTCTTTCAATTGACACGGCTGTTTTGAAAATACAAATTCCATAGGACTACCTTGGGTATTTGATACCATGATGTGCAGCCCTATGAGTACATGACGTCTAAACATGGGCGCCGTGTGGGGGGTCGACCCTCTTGAGGCATCGAATTATCAGCCTACACGCTTCATCGTCCTACGTTCCAAGGATACCATATTTCAACCACAAGGTGAAAGAACTACGACAAGCCGTCCACACCTCGTCAGTTATCCTAACTTAGATGGATATGTAACGTGTATAAACATACATCCTACGCATGCTTGAGAGATTTTCCCAAGGCTGTTTCGCCCTCGCCCTCTCTCTCTTTCGCCCTCTCTCTCTCTTTCTTTCTTTTTTTTTGAAACGTAGGATATGCAAACACCGATATATCCATCTCATTGGACCTGGCCGGGTAAGAAAATGCCGACTGAAAGCGCTCAAGCCCATTGGATTTCCAAGCTGACATGCACGTTATCGCATATGAGGGGTAGATATTGAGACGTATTTTTGTCTTTCATCTCAAAGGGAGGGGTGAATGTAGCCCCTCATATGTCCCACCTGTCCTGTACATTCGTATGTACATGTGCAATGAGGTGTCACTTGCGCACGGGATTCCAGCTAGCCACTGGTTTCTATTTGAGTTTCTGCACGATGCAAGATGCAACAAATTTAATACGAGGAGGGGAAAAAAAATCTGCCAGGCTAGAGTGCCTTGAGGCAGAAAAAACGGTTGACTATGGGCGTGAGCTTTAGCCTTTCTTGAAACAGCCGCTCGGATCTAGCGCACACAAAGAGCCGTAGTGTCGATATTCTAGGCATGGTTGAATCAAGGAGGTTCGAAGGTGATTCCATAGAGCTGCTCCTGGGAAGGTGGGATGTCCTTTTGAGGGACTGCATGCCTTTCCTCGGGGCATCTTTTTTCTTATTTCATGCTTTCAATTCATCCTCACAGAGACAAATCACAAAGTTTGATCCACATCACACGCCATGCTATCTCGGACTCTAAGAACCGGAAACACTTGTGTGCGATACTCTTTTGGGATTTGCGGGACTGAGCTAAGGGGACAGTCTCAAGCGGATGAACCAGATTCTCGGGTCCATTGGGGTCACGATCCCTCCGTGAAGCGAATCAGAAGCCACACCGGCCGAATAGGACCGGTAGACGAATCCCATCTTCTGCAGAGTTTCTCGCTGACGTCTGATGTCTAAGGAACGAGCCTCTTTGCTGGGTTCTGTTCCCTGAAGTTTTTCCCCACTGGCTTCGCATGATTTTTATATGCGACTTCTGCAGCCCGAACGAATTGTGGAATGGACGTCTGTCTTGGAAGTTGAGTTGCGTTGCACCGTTTCTCTCGGCATATTTGCCGCTAACTTGCTGGAGACACTCATCCAAGCCCTCCACACACACCCATCTGTAACGCCAGGAAATCCGGAGGGTGGATACGAGCAGGTTCGATCTGTCCCAGTACCTTGGTGCTTCAGACGGAGCGAGACAGTCCTTTGCATATTAGCAAACAGAATATTCGAGAGAAGACGAAGGGCACACGTTCGAAACTTCACAGTTCATAGCGCAATATCATCCGCAATACGTATCCAAACATTTTAAACACTAATTTGGGGGTCAAAGAACCGCAGTCTCAGACAAAAGGCGGTAACATTCCCAAGAACGGTCACCGCTGACGCGTAGAAATCCTAACCAAAGGGGGCACATTTCCTATCATCGGCAGGCCGAGTGAGAGGACATAATCAAACGCTCGCTTGGCTTGTGACAGGTGAGATTTTAAATCCGGTGGGACCAATAGCCTATGCTCCCAACCGAAGTTCCTCACCACATCCCGTTATCGTCTTCTAATATCACCCTCTGGCCCGCTGCTCGTGCCACAATACACTTCAGCCTTCAGCCCTTCAATTGATACCCAATTTTCTAAAAACTGTCGGTGCCCCCTGAATCGAAAATGGCGGTCAGTTTCGATGCCAATCACGTTCGCCTCGCGAAAACGTTGCTTGCGTATTTCGGTGGTGCCTTCGTTTTATACTGCCTGTTGAGGCTGCTGACTGCTATCTTCGCCATCTTTATACAACCTGGCAAATCGGTATGGACTCTGTTCTCGAGTTTTTACTGATTTGAGATTTTTTGAAATTTGCCAATTGACTCTTTTACTATCCTTCTAGCTTAGCAAATTCGGGCCTAAGGGGTCATGGGCTGTCGTCACAGGTGCCTCGGATGGTATCGGCAAAGAGTTCGTCTACCAACTGGCAGCAAAGGGCTTCAATATTCTCTTAATCTCTCGCACTGCTTCCAAGCTTGAGGAGATAAGCAAGGATCTCGAAGCAAAGTATAAAATTCAAACAGAATACCTGCCAATTGACTTCGCCCAAAACCTCGACGAAGACTACAAGAAGATTGCTACTCGCATTGGTGTAAAGGATGTCTCGATTCTGGTCAACAATGTCGGAAAGAGCTACGATATGCCCACCCAATTCCTTATCACGGATGAGACCTTGATCCAGGATATCATCACAGTCAATTGCACCGCCACTCTTCGTGTAACAAAGGCCGTTGTCCCCGGGATGGTTGCCCGCAAGCGAGGCCTCATCCTTACCATGGGATCCTTCGCTGGCCTGACTCCAACTCCACTGCTTGCAGCATACTCTGGAAGCAAGGCATTTCTGACCAGTTGGTCCGCCGCATTGGCCTGTGAATTGCAACCACACGGTATCCACGTCGACCTTATCCAGAGTTATCTTGTTACCTCTGCCATGTCCAAAGTCCGACGAACAAGTTTGACAATCCCGAATCCGAAGGCTTTCGTGAAGGCGACCCTCGGAAAGATTGGCGTCTATGTTGGCAACACCGCCGGAGTTGTTACCCCATACTGGAGCCACGCCGTTATGGCCTGGGCCTTGGAAAATCTTGCTGGATTGGGAAGCGCAACCGTTGTCAAGACTAACAAGACTATGCACGAAGACATTCGAAGGCGGTCCTTGAAGAAGCAAGAGAGGGAGGCTAAGAAGCAGTAAACAACGAGCAACCATAGCATGGAATATCGTGTATAACACCCATTGTGGTTACCATGTCGCGCACGTGCGCGTAGTTCTACAAACACCTACTTGACCCCCGGAACTCCATCCTTTCGAGTGAATACATAGGAACGGAGCCAGAAGTTTATCCATTTATACGTATGTACTCGGGGATGGGACTCATGTTCCTATATATTATGATAGACTGGCATGTTAAAGCGCAGTTTTGAGGATGACGTCAAAAGTATCGCTGTTTTTTTTATTGTTATCCGTTCTTCATTGACAGGACTTTTCCTATCTATAATAGATTTTCCACCAATTTAAGCATGATTCTAATCAATTACTTGCTAAGGGCCTTCCTGCTAATATATAAACTGATATCTATAAATAATACTGGTTGTATATTCTTTGATACCAATGTCTTGAGGAATTTGTATGAGGTAGCAGGTATGTTGTTGGTATTGTTGAGCCTCAAGCGAGAAGGCGAGAAGGACTACACAGCAGTTGCTGTGTTGGGCGAAATTTCTCGCGTTTTTTGGTGTAAACACCAACAACCACTTCTCTCGTCTTCCATCTTCAATCCTCAACACCCATCTCCATCGCTTCTCGCAACCTCTCATCACCCATCGCCATATCTCGCGACACGCTTGTCGGCCATTGTAGTCGCCCAATCAGGCTGCTGTACGCTCCTTCTCGACTTCCAACATACCCACCGGCCGAAGTGAATTGTTCGCGAAATCAACATCTGCCATCTTCCTTCAGGAGAAAGAAAGCGCCTTATTCCTTTCACCCTCAAGTGAACCGGACCGACGAGAAGACACATCCACGAATAGAGCCTAGAGTGCCTGCAGTTTCAATATCCACTACACTGCTGTGAACCTTCTCAGAGGTACCTGAGCTCGTGGTCATCATGGAGGCTCAAACCGAGTACCCAAGTTTCTTCTATAACAACATGGCAGGGCCGCCAGCTGCTGCTCCACCGGCTGCTCCACGGCAAGAGAGCAATACCGCTCATCCAAGGTACAGCATGGAGCGGGCCGCCCAACAACAGTCACCAGCACAACCCCAGTATTCTACCCACCCTCAAACCCAATCCCAGCCACGTTCGACGATGAGCTTTGGACCTGGAGGATTGGTGAGGGACCCTAGGTATCAAAACGCCTTGGTTCCAGTACGGGCGCCTCCATCCACAGATAACCTAAAGCCAATTCCGAGGGCTGCGAAGACAGTGAACGATAGTCTCAATGCTGAAACGAGGTACCCCGAGTTGGACAAAATCCTGGCACATGGGATATCCTATCAATACGAAAACATGGATCAGGAACGAGCACCTTTTCATAGGACAAACCTTTTCGAAATACCAGATCAGATATTTGAGGCCTACAACCAGGTTCAGGTATTGACCAAGATGGGGTTGTTCGCAGAAATTGGTAGGGCCTGGATCGTTGTAGACCACATGCTGTACCTCTGGAACTTCTCCAGTGGTGGAGATTTCCAGGAGTACGCAGAACCCTCCAGGAACAACATCCTAGCTGTCAATCTTCTAAAGCCACGGGCCGGAGTTTTCGTTGATAGTGTCACTCATATCCTCCTTGTTGCCACGAGCACAGATATTAACATCTTGGGAGTCGCAGCAAACCCAAATGGTCGACCCTTCAATGGTTGTGACCTTCAAATCTACAAGACAAACATGGCTCTGAGCGCCAAGGGCGTCAACATTAACATTATCGAAGGTTCCGCTAAAAACGGTAGAATATTTTTCACCGGGACGCTGGACAACGAAGTTTACGAGTTGACGTACCAGGAGCAAGAAGGTTGGTTTCAGCCTAGGTGCGGAAAGATATGTCATACGCAAACTGGGATAATAGCCCAGTTTGCACCAAAGATCTCCTTCCTCTCCGGCCCCCAGACTTCCGAGCACACTATTCAGATGGTGGTTGACGACACCCGCAATCTTCTTTACACCCTTTCTTCCACTTCAACAATTCGTGTTTTCCATATGGGCCCCGGAAATGTCCTGACTCTCGCAATAACCATACCTTTTGAAAGGGCTCTATCACACATCAGAGTCACACATGGGCTCCCTAAAGTTCTGGACCGCACAACGCCATTTGTCTCTATCAGCGTTGTCACATCACAGCAAGGGAGAAGAGCTAATCTTGTCGGAACGACAACAACTGGCTGTAGAATCTACTTCAGTGCCGCTTCCGCTTATGGGTCCGGATATGGAGGTGATAGACCCCCCTCCGATATGCAGGCTACCCATCTTCGGCTACCTCCAGTGGCACCTGGTGAGAAGAATGGAAATTCTCGAGATTTTGGCGCATCAACTGCCCTTGGTACGACTCGTAAAGCGGCAGTTTTTGCGCCTGGCTATTTTATATGCTGCGTAGGGAAAGAGGAACTCTCTGACGTTATCTATATGGCGGCACCGGACTCTGCCAAGATACTTTTCACATCCGATATGACACAGAACCAGGTAACTTTGTGGGAAGTCGGGTCGTGGCTCGATCCTGAAAGCCGCATCGAAGCTATCCAACCGATGACTTCTCCATTCGCCGCCACCCCGACCCCTGGTGGATTTGGGAATGAAATGGCCGTTCAGTTCGACCAAGCCCCCACGGAAATCGCGATTCTGACAAGCAATGGAATCCATATCATCAAGCGTCGTAGATACGTCGAAGTCCTTGCTAATATGATCAAATATGGATCCTCAAACCCAAACAGTCTTGGCGTTGAAGGGGAAGTAAGGAAATTCTTTGAGTCTTACGGTAGAGCCGAAGCTTGTGCTGCTGCGTTGGCTGTTGCCTGTGGTGCTTTGTCTGCGGATTCATTTGATTCTCGCGCAATCGGTAAGGTTACGGATACGGAAATCGCGGAGCTAGCTCGGAAGTTCTTCATTGAGTTTGGTGGGAAGGCTCGCGTCGAGAATGAGTACGATTCAACGTCAGCACCATCCTTGGACAGTGTTAGAGTATCTGGCCGACATGACGGTCTGGCTCTTTATACTACCCGAATCGTCCGTTCGATATGGAAAGTTCATATTGTGAATTACGCAGCCACCCCTAGTGGCGGTGAGACATTCTCAGGGGCTGTGCCTGTCCCCAAACTCCAGATTATCCAGGAACAATTGCAGAGACTTTCTGAGTTCTTGGCTGAGAACCGAACGTATATTGAGGGCCTATCCGGGGCAGAATCACTCATGCGTGTTGGTACCCGTGTTGAAGAAGTGGCCCAACAGGCTGAGCATAGAGCGCTGCATTCGTTGGTTCAACTTATTTCCGCCATGATTGAGGGTATTTCTTTTGTCTTGACATTACTCGACGATAAGTTAGATGAGGTCATCGGGCTTCTCCAAGATAGCGTCAAACCTCAGGTCAAGGAACTGACCTTTGAGACGCTATTCACCACGGATGCAGGTCGTGCTTTGGCCAAAGAACTTATTGCGGCTATGGTTAACCGCAACATACAAGCTGGCGCAAGTGTTGATATAGTAGCGGATACCTTGCGAAAGCGGTGCGGCAGTTTCTGCAGTGCCGATGATGTCGTTTTGTACAAGGCAATTGAGCAACTTAGAAAGGCCAGGGATACTACAGATATCGATACCAAGTCTCGTTTGCTACAAGAGAGCGAGCATCTTTTCTCCCAGGTTGCCTCCACTCTATCCTTAGAGACACTTTCTGACGCTATGGGAGAATTCCTCTCTCTCCAGTTCCCTTCAGGTAAGATCTTTCTAGCCCCCCAGCACTATATAGACCCGCCCTAATATGGTTTGAAATAGGAGCTATCCGTATCGCTCTCGATGTTGCAAAGGCATCAGATCGTGGTAATCTAGCTATCGGATACCTCTTAGACGGCTCACCCGTTGAGGATCCAAGGCGAAAGCAATACGAAGCCAGATCCGCCATCTACGAAACGATCTTCCCGGTTCTTGAAGCCCTTGATGAGGAGGCTAGCAGAGCCCCGGCAACTCTCGATGGCTCTCTTAGCGACTCTCAGCTCCGACACCAAGTAGCTTATCAAGTTGTTTGGGATTCCAATGACGAAGTCTTCCAATCCTGCCTGTTCGATTGGTTCTTTTCCAGAGGCCTATCAGAGAAATTACTTAGTTTCGAAGGCCCAACGATCATTCCATATCTGAAGAGGCGTGCTTCTACCTCTATCCAACATGCTGACTTGCTCTGGCAGTACTACTCTCGCCGAGAGATTTTCTATGAAGCTGCATTGACGCTTCGGGAGTTAGCCATGAGCAACTTTCCGATTGTTCTAGATAAGCGTATAGAATATCTCAGCAGAGCTCGAGGACTTAGTAACTGCCGTTGTCCAGTCGGCTCTCGACAAGCTATGAATGAGCTTCTCCAGAGAATCCAAGAGGCAATGGATGTCGCTATGATACAGGCCGATATCCTAAGAAAGGTCAAGGATGATTCTAGGATTAGTGCCAACAAATTAGAGAATCTTGTCCAACAACTTGATGGCGAGCTACTTCCCCTAACTGATGTAAGCTTTCTCCCCTCCCTTTTCATAAAAAGCAGTACGCTAACCAAGTTTTAACTAAATTTAGCTGTTTAATCGCTTCGCCGATGCTTATGGTTACTGGGATATCTGCCTCCAAATCTTCCAGGGTGCAGACTACCACGGCACTCACGAAATCAAGCGAGTCTGGCAAAACTTGCTAGCAAAGCTTCACACCGAAACAGCTGCTGACCAAACCAAGAATGTCCACGAGGTTGTCTCAGACGAGTTTCGTAACCTTGGCCACCGGTTCTCTCTTTCAGAATATATCTTCCCACCGGAAGATCTTGTTCCGATGCTAGAGATATTTGCTGTTGAAAAGGTCCCAGACACGATGCATACTTCATGGGTTCCACAAACCTTTTTGGATGCCGGTGTTAGCGCAGAACTACTGCTCCGTATCCTTGATGCTATGTTCTTTCGTGACGAGGTTCCATTCAAGGGTTCACAGCGAAAGAGGCTTGCTAGGGACGCCATCTATGTCGCCGATAAGTGGTTCAGAACTGCAGTCAAGAAAAGAACCAAGACGACAGTGTTTGGAGGTGTAGACCAAGTTGAGGGTGGGTTCAAGAAACACTACGTTGTTCAGACATTGGAGAGATATAAAGGGATTCTGAGCGGTCCGGCTGATCAAGCCCTTGCGGAGAAGCTCGAGAGACTGCTGAACGATATTAGGAGGGTTTGAATGTCATGGGACTTTTGTTCTCTTTCTCTTTCTCATTCTCTTTTTCCTATTTTCTACTTCGATATGAATATTCTAACATACGCGAACGTTTTATCATGGAGTTTTGTTTACCCCCTTCATCAAACCTAATTGTGCACGACCATAAAAAGAATGACGAAAAAAGAACCAACCTTTTCCAAGGTTTTCTGCATACCCCCGTATGTTAACCTAATGTTTTCTACCTGTAGTATCTGCCCCCTTTTTGCACTTCTGTTTACTTTTCGTTTACCTTTTTCATTTTCATGTCGTTTTGCTACATTTAGTATGTATTCTCTGTGAGCCATGCGGGAAAACGAGCGAAGAATTGTGTACAATAGATATTTTATTTCTTTCCCTCGCCCGCCTTTTTCTTCTTCTTTCTCTTCCTTCTTCTCTTCCTCTCTTTTTGCTCCATAGCTAGCTCTCCTTTCGAAATCCGATCGTGTATAAGCCTTAGATAGTATACACCGGATTATTGCATCCGTTTCTCCTCAACTTCCTCCATAAAACACAGAAACATCCACTAGCTATTATTGTTGAAATTTCTATACCAGACCCTCGACTAACCGCTTTTTTTCATAACCATGCGGGCCAGATGTCGGTATGAAAAGGAAAGAAGGATAAATTTTTAAAAAAAGGATATGAAAAGAAATAAAATGAAAACGCTAAAAAAACGTGTTGAAACGCCTTTTATCCCCGCCCTGCTCCCATATAAATTGTTTCTTTTTTTTTTCTGATGGTGAAAATAGCAATTAAAAAGCAAGGTACACTATGCATGACGGAAAAAAAGAGACAATAAACGCCGATGGAGGGATACATGTAACAACAAACAGTAGTAATTGAAGAGGGTGTAAGATATGTTATAGTGGTAGGGAAAGAGGGTTTCCATATTTCAGGAACAAACGACTAAATAGTTATTGTTGAAAAATAACCTTGATTTCAGTCGTCTCCTCTTCTCTACCATATACCTTGTACAAAAGATTCCGTTGAAGGTTTTTTTAGGGCATAAAAATAGAACCCTTTAGGAAGATAAGGAAAGGGAAAAGGGTGAAACATTCTAATTGATGAAAACTCCAGCTTTTTGTTGAAAAATAAAACAAAATATCCCCAGGTTGTTGAAACGCCGTTTTTCTGTGCTCGTTAATGCTTTATTGTTCGTAGATTCAGGGGATTAAGACAAGTTGAATTCGTCATGGTCGTAATAAAGGTGTTAATGCAATATTAGGTGTTGAATCGTGAGTAAACAAGAGAGAAAAGTAGGGTACGAATGGTCTCATAAGTACGAAAGTATGGAACCAACTTAGGCCGCCGGGGCGCCGTTGGTTGCTTCGTGGGCTGTTCCGTTGATACCATCAGTAATCTTCAAATTCTGAAGGTATTCGTCAACTGGAATCTTTTCGTTGAGATTATCGATCTTGAGATCCTTGAAGAGCTCGAAGATAGAATCGTTATCCAGGAAATTGTTATTAACTAAGAAAATTCATTAGTATCACTGGACTCATAGGAGCTTCAAATTATTGTGTGATGGTACATACCAATATTGACAAGGAACCAGTTCTCCATCACGGAGCTGATGATATGTCGACTCGCTGAACTCTGCGGGTAACAGGCAGCCCAGTCCTCTCCAAGGCGGTAGAGTTCATCCTTCCAGGCGAGGAAGCTGATCAACTCGACGATTGTAGGTTGGACGATTTCTTTTCCTGGGAAGACACCCCAAGTAACGGCATTTGGACTTCCTCCAGCTGGAGCATTGTGATGCAAAACACCGGCTTTGTTAACAGCATAGTAGGTCAAGTCAGAAGATCTCTCGATCCTCGTGATGAGTTCGCTGAGGACATCTGGAGATACCAAAAGCTCAACGTACATTTTTTGGTAGACATATCCATTCTTCGGACCCCATCCGTGAATTGGGTGAGAAGATTTCACTGCATTGAGAGCACACTGGGAGTTTGTGGTAAGGAAGCCACGCTTGTTAAGCTCCGAAAGCTGAGCTTTAATGGGTTCAGCGGAGGCATCGATTGGGCTATCAGACCATGGAATAGTTTCCAATTTGCCGTCGATGTAGCGGACGAAGAGGTCTGCAATTTCTGCAACGGTTTCCGGACGACCCCATAACTTGATGTTCTGCTCTGTAGTTCCCTTCAGTGCGATACCGTATGTATCGAGCTCGCCGAAGGCAGGAGATCTCGAATCACCCCATCTACCGTTGGGGAACTCATCCCATTCCTGTGTACGGGCGACATAAGACTTATGGCGGTTCTTCCAGAAGATGGGGCGAACATTTTCTTCTCTTCTACCAAGCCCAAGAGACGATTTGAAGGGCAGCGCTGGTAGTTCTCGTGCCTCAAGACTGGGCATGAGTTCAAGCCCTTCGAGGACCATGCGTGTTGCTGTAGCGAGGTTCATGGTATAGCTAACGGAAGGTGAGACGTTAGCCAGAAAATTACGTAAAATATTACTGGGTAGAGCGGGTCGTTCCATACAAGTGGAGTTGGTTGATTCCTGCAGCAAGGATCTTCTTGCATAGTTCAACCACAAGGTCTCTTCCAATATCTCTGACGGCAACATCGTCATTCTTGACAGGCTCAAGGACCTCCAACCACTTTTCTGGAACATGGATCTTGGTCCAAGTCGCTCTTCGGATGAAGGCGGCATATGTATGAATTGGCATGATCCCTGGAATAATCGGAACAGTGATTCCCTTTGCCCTGACTTTATTCACCCAGTCTAGGAATATGTCGACATCATAGAACATCTGAGTGATGATGAAAGTACCACCCGCGTCGATTTTCTCCTTTAAGTGATCCAGTAGGATATCTGGATCAACTTCATCATCGCACCCCTCGGGATATCCGGCGACACCGATATCAAAATAGTCGCCGTATTTCTCGCGGATATGCTTTACCAGGTCCTTAGCGTACCTGAAACCTCCTGGAACAGCAGACCACTTTTCGTTCTCTCTGGGTGGGTCGCCTCGAAGCTGTCAATGCATCAAAACGGCAACGTTAGTAAAAATATATAACAAAAAGAATAGTTGGTCACGCGGCAGGCACAATTTTTTTGAAAACATACAGCTAGTATATTTGTGCAGCCGCCATTATAGGCCTCCTGGAGGGCGTTGTCAACTTTCTCCTTCTCCATACCAGTGCAGGTCAAATGCATGCATGTTTCAAGTCCATATACAGTCTGAGCGACATTCACCATCTCAGTGGTGAGATTGCTCAGACGACCACCAGCGTTCCATGTAATATCGATGAACTGTGGACCAAAGGAACCCATGCGTTCCATACCTATCGATTGATCATCAGGTGAGTTAGGGGGGGTTCGATATCATGCCAGGTCGGCACCAGCGATTGCGATTGCGGGTTCTAACGTACGATCGTAGAGATTTTGGACACCCTATGGGACGGAAAGCTTAACGTCAGTGGCGCACAATATCATACTTGGAGGAGGGTAGTATCAGCTGCGTACCTGAGCAGTCTTCGGAACATAATACTCAAACGAGAAACAAGGCTTGCCTGCCTTCTCGCAGGCAGCGATCTTGTCCTTGATATGCATGTTTCAGGACGGGTCGGAAGAAAGCGAGGCTTTCAAATGAGGAGGAGGAGCAAAGTCCACAGAACTAGCTTGAAACACAGAAGCAGACGGCAGTTCAGCTGCTGTTGACTGAAGATGTCGAGAGGGCCGGGGTGGAGAAAGAGCTGTAAGAGGGAGTGAGGGAGAGATGAAGGGGAGTGTATTAATCGATAAGAACAACAAAAAAGAAAAGAAAAAAAAGGGACAAGAAATAGTTCACCCTTTTTGATGCAGCATTTAGTCACAGAATCAACATAATCAACATTAAATATTAGGCTCCGAGGGAAAAGTGGGAGCAAGAAAGTTTCAACTACGATGGACCGACAAGTTTTAGGGCGTTGCAGTTGGGCAGGGTAAAAAGCTCTGCATTTCCCCCGGAATCGGAGGAGCACACCGACAGGCACCAGCAGCTAGCGAACAGTGACAAACGGCCCCCCAATGCAAGCAATGCAACCTGAACAAATGGGATCACAACGTGGGACAAAACGGAAAACACGGAGTAGTGACCTTTTGGTTTGAAGCCAAGCTAGAAGATTCTAGATATCGATGTCATCTGCCGGGGGCGGCCGGTGGAGGAGAACAGCACTAGTACTAGGACTGGCCAGATAGACGGAGAGAACGATGATTTAATTGATTTATAACTAAATCCCTTTTTGAAGTTCGAATACGACATTTCAAATGAATCGAGTCGAATGCAATGGAATGCATGGATGCAAGGCAATCCAGAGCTCGATCGATCGGCCGGTCTCTGTTCCCCCGAAAGCCCGCTGTATCACCAGAGCGTCATGAGATAATGTACTAGACTGTACTTACATGTAGCTTAGCTCGATCTTTCTTTTCTTGGTCGGCTCGGACCATGGAAAGCTCTTGCCCCGGATTCGATACATTGCCCTTTGGTCGGCTCGCCAAGGACGCAGAGAGGTCATCCCTCTTCCCCTGCAGTTCGTGTATGCAGCAGGGCAAGCTAACCGATTTGTGGCCACCGCCCACTCCTTTGACAGGCAGGTGGAAGTATCCGATATTTCTCGAGTGGACCTGTGTAACGGGAGCTAGACAATGGTTATTAATTATTGCGAACTGAATTTCCGATGTCTGACTTACTATGTATATGTGTGTCCGTATGTATGGCGGTGCTATTGGTACCGAGCTAGATCGATGGCGATAAGATGTAATCTGATCCGTCCTCTGCGTCAAAATCGTCTCCACCCACCAGCCACATGAAAAATTTGGCGCCCGTGTGGATCCCGGAGCTGAGCTGTGTTGCGACGTCGTTGTCGACGATCTTGTCTTGTCGTTGGTTCAAAATTCTTCGACTTCTGGTTACACACACCAGACTACCTACATACCTACCTCGCCCTCCTTCCCACATTCCAACACCCAACGCTTACTTAAGTACTAGGCACTTAAGTGGCTTATAATTTATACGTACACCGCTCCAAGATGGCATCAAACGAACTCCCCCGCCATAAGGCAGAGCTCATCGACCTCTGCATTCGCAACCAGATCCTAAAATTCGGCTCCTTCACTCTCAAGTCTGGCCGGGTATCACCGTACTTTTTCAATGCCGGCCTCTTCAACACTGCCCGAACCCTCTCGTGTCTTGCCGATGCCTTCGCTCAAACCCTTCTTCAAGATAAGAACCTCCCAGAGTTCGACGTAATATTCGGGCCGGCGTACAAAGGAATCCCGCTTGCTACTCTAGTGTGTGCTAGACTCGGTGCTCTGGACGAAAAGTTCTTAGATGTTGGGTACTCGTTCAACAGGAAAGAGAAAAAGGATCATGGCGAAGGCGGTGGGATCGTCGGGGTCCAATTGAAAGGGAAAAGGGTATTGGTAGTCGATGACGTGATCACAGCTGGTACTGCAATGAGAGAAGCCACCGATATCATCAAAGCCGAAGGCGGTATCCTTTCTGGAATTGTCGTTTGCCTTGATAGACAGGAAAGAACTACTGATGGCGAGAATAGCGCAATCGAGAATTGCAAAGCCGAATACAATGTCCCTATCACTGCAATTATCACATTGGAGGATTTGATTGCTGGAGTTCCAGATGAAACCCTGAAGGAGCAGATGCGGGAATATGGAAAACAATATGCTCCAATCTCAAGACAATAAACAAGTCTGCACGCGTACGCTCAATTATCGACTATTTTACATGGTCTAGCTTGGAAGGTGTATGTACATAAAGAAATATACATTAATATAAAAAATGAAGGTGAGCCGCTATCTGATTTTGTAGAAGCATGGTTGAAGGATCTTGGCTTCCTCAACCTCCGGCTCATCATTCGTGTGAAACTTCTTGCTGATACGCCCATGCATATCCGGCTTGGGTGGTATCTGGAACATCTGACCTCCCCTCCCACCGGCCTTTTCGAAATCTAATAAGACAAACATCTTATTGGATCCGTTCCTGTTCTTCAATCTGAGACCACGCCGGGCTAGTGCATCGATGAAATCTTGCTCGCCAGCAGCCCATCTGTTTTGGTCTTGGTTGTCATCTTGCTCTTCAACGAATGCCTCGACTGGATTTGTATTGTCCTTGATGTCCTTCGCGGCATTCTTCTTCCCTTTACCTTTCTTCTGCTCTTTGGGTTCCTCCTTTTGTCCTGTCTTTGTTCGGGCGAATCGACTCTTGATCTCTGCGATCCAGACTTCCCCACCATTCCGTAGAACCCTGATAGCCTCTTCAATCATTGTTGGCCAATTGGTCCCCATCAATGCCAGGCAAAATATAGCGATGTCAACAGAACCGTTCGGTAGAGGCAGGTTGGCGATGTCAGCTACCGTGACCAGCGGGTTCGGGGCATGAAGATCATAGGAATTAACCTTGATCTTCGGACGAGGTTTTGCGCTAGTAATCGCTTTCGCTAGAGCTGCTTCTCCACAACCTAGGTCTATTACTGAGGCATATCCATCCTTCGCCCTGGGTAGAGGATAGGAGTCCATCGTATCTTGAAACCCCTTGACGCCTAGTGGGTTGGCATTGACCGAAGAGATTCCATTTGCCCTATTTTTACCTCCTCTAAACCCAGAGTCTCGTAGCTTGCCTCGCGCGAAAAGCCGCCTGATATAGATATCTACGGGGTTCTCCGGCCAAGACTCAACTTGTTGTCTGAATCCAGAATGGTAGTCCCGGAACATCTCGGGCTGACTCTTGAAAAGGCTTAAAGAATCTTGGGAAGGTGTGGTATATAGCAACTGGTTAAGGTGCCTGAATCTGGCACCTGAAAGCTTCTGCCGCATCTTCTCCTGGAGGGGTGTCAACGTTGGTGCCTTCACAGGTACATCAATAGTAGGATCGGGGTCTCCAGCAGCAGACAAAGCCGCAGTGAAAGGGTCTTCATCTTGTGTTTGCCTTTCTTTCTTGTTCTGCTTTTTGTCTTTCTTGTGTTTGGTTTTCTCGTCTCGTCTCCCGGTTTCGTTGTCGTCATTTCGCTTGGAGTTGATGCTTATGCGGGCATCGGCGACTCCACTAATGCTACTTTGTGGACCGGTTGATTGTTTTATCAAACCAGACTCGCCATTTGAAACTGTTTCCGAACGTTCATTCTCGTGATGAATTTCCTTCTTAAGGGCCGATTCTTCGTCGTCGTGTTTCCTCTTCCTCTTTTTCTTGTCTTTGCTGCTCTTTTTACCTTCGGCCTCCTTAGCTGATGCGGGTACGGTCGAATCGCCATTTGTCTTTCGTGAGGAATCACCCTTTCCTTCTACGACTTTACTCCATAGTTCACCAATGTTCTCCGGCGATATATCTGTCACCGCATCGGTTTCAGCGGGTTGCGACCTCTTCCTCTTCCTCGACTTGGAAGATGCGATTGTATCGTTGAGACCCGCGGGTGTGCTTAAGCTTGAGGGCTTTCCGGGAGCCTTGCCGAAGCTAGACTTGAGCGATGCGGATGAAAGGGATGCAAATGCCGGAACCGCAAACATCCTGAAGGTTTTTGGTTGATGATGTTGCCTGATGTCGCTGGTTTGTAGAAGTCACGCCTGTGTGGACCCAAGCGAGGAAAAAAAAAATTTGGGCTGCGCTGGGGAGATTTTTGGTGTCGCGGTTAGCGTGGTTCGGTAACCCAGTCCTTGTCAGCCACATCTCCCAACCCACGTCGCTTGGCACGAATCAACCTTTTTGCGGTGGAGACCACGCGGGACATCGACAATATGTAAGTATCATACGAATTCTCTTGGGCCGGGTGCGACATTAAAAACGCTGATGCTACTATTTTTGCACCTGCTGCTGCTGCTGCTGTAATATAGGCTAGGAGCTAGTGTTATGTCTCAAAGCAGAGCTCGTCCCTCCACAGTTCGAAGGAGATGAATTATGGGAGATCAGGTATCATACGATATCGTATGATTGAAGTCCAAGGCATTCAATTAATAATTGCAGGACGGCCGGTGCCCTTTCACGCTGTTGCATGAACCTTCTTTCGGGACAGCAACTTATTACGGGTATCAAGTCGCCCGAGGTTCAGACGAAGGCAGCCGGTCGGCACCGCCACAGCAAAGTCATCTCGGCCGTCAAACGAACACCAGCCTGCAGAATCCCATCTGCAAGGGTTCAGAAGGGTGGCCGTTATAGCGTTATCAACAACGGATCGGTGCGGTGCACGCGGTGTTCCAGATAACATCAACGACATGTTGGGGTTTGACAGGTCCAGTGTCTAGCCAGTTCGAAGACGTTGTCGCATAATAAAGTCGATTAAATCTCGCTACGAGTTCACAGCAGATTCCTTTCAAGGCATGTGGCCAGCGACCGCAATCTCAAGAAATTAAGTTTATGCCAAAACCGTTGGACGCTCAGACCAAAGGTTCAAAGTCACAAAAACTCTGGATGCTGGGGTTGTTCCAATGAGCCGGCTCCTGGGGCTCTAACTTTGATCGTCGAAAGAATAGAGAGACAGTCCTGCCGGGTTCGAGCTAGGTTGATTTGAAATTATTGAGAATGACCAGGCACAGGGGTTTTTGAAGCTCTTCCTCATTCTTCCTCCCCAACGAGTGGGTGGGATGTTCTCCCACTGCACTAGTCTAGCTAACGTCTGTCGGGTTCAGGAGAATATCCAGTTACTCGGGCGGTGATCATGTTACCTGACAAAGCCGTTTTCCACGAAAGGCATACTCCAGGCATACTACATGGTGTCTAAGATACATACTACTAAGTACTTACTATTAATCTCCATGCTGCAGAACTAACTGGGAAGTTTCAATTCAAAACGGCCAAGGGTCATCAATGAGCGGTTAGAAGGGAGAGTGAGAAAAAAAAAAAAAAAAAAGCTTCGTCAAGCTTGATCTGTTGTATCTTCGAGGCATAAATGCCGTGGAATATAGGCTCGCCATGAACATCCGAGCATGGAGCTAAACTCATGACAGCCCTGCTAACATGTCGTTCTACATCTGCAACGGCAGAGGTTTATGTCGCCGTATGATAGGGATCCATACCTCAGAAACGTGGCTATCATATCGAAAAGAAACAGCGAGGTACGATTGTATTGAAGCCCAAGTTCACATGGGCCTGAACCATGCTCGATCTTGGCCGCCGGACTTCCGTCAGCTGCCCAAATGGCGACCTCTTGTACATGGACTTCAATGCCTGACTTATTGGTTCACAATTAGGTGTCGCAAGACAGAAAGCCCCAGCTAAGCCAACCTCGGTGAGATGTCTCATCTTGCCGTCGCTACCAATTGCTATCTCCAAGCGTTCAAATGTGGCTCTCATGCTTGATGATGCTGCCGCAATTGGCCGGGGCGGACGATATCAGTCGCCGAAGGTCGTTTGAGGGGGCGACTTTGCGTACGAGGGGCTAGTCAAGCTTTCAAACAATGAAGATACCTACCTAGGTATTGTTAACAATTGAACGAGGGAGGCTGTTTGCGGTCATTTCAACCCCGATTTTGATTCGGGTGATGTTCTCCACCAACGGACATCGACAACTTTAAGGAATTTGCTTTTTATTATTTATTTAAATTTCATTCGGCAGGAATCGAAACTGATGGTGCTTTTATGATGTCTTTCACGTTCGCTTTTTTTTCCAACAGCAAAGTTCCTGGGGACAATTGAAAAAAGCCAAAAGTGAAAATATGCCCGATCCCAGTTCCTTGTTCAACTAGAACTATCCCGGCTCTCCATGCACCCCTAGCTGCTTAGCTTTGAAGCTGTCTGTTCACTACCTCACCTCCGCTATTGCATTGCGTCGGACTGACCATAGGACCGAATGAACGAATGATGGGGACAACAGGAATCCCTTGACAGGGGTTAGCTTTAAAATTATGAAATCGGCATCACACTAGGAACTTCCTCTAGACTGCACACATCATCCAAAAAAAACGGAAGTTGACGCTTAGAGCATGAGCGCGACGAAACCTTCGATACCAGCCCGCAGATTCTCCCGGTTGTTTATATGCTGATCGCTTCCTAACTGTCGGGTGAATATTCGAGGCCTCTGAGCATCTAAAGTGTTGAGGCCTCATCAGGTTCGAGTCAGTCTCCCGATTTTTCTCCACAATCGCAGCCCATTCAATTGGCTGGAAAAGATCGTACGTTGCGGCGTCGGCCGTGATCGAATGGCGGCGGGCGCCCGGGGTTGATTTACTATTATTAAAGACCATCGTGGCGCTCTTTTTTTCACATTTCCCCGTTCTTAAATCGGTTCGGTTAGGCCCTACCGGTGTTTCTGCCTCTGATACTTTTGGTTCAAAAAGGCGCATAAAGGTGGAGCCTCCGAGGTTTTTGGGGGTGTGCCCGTATACGAAACGAGACGAGGGTAATGTACAGTAACATGCATCTGCACCGGCCCTGTAAGCAGATCGACTTACTTTTGAACTTCCTCCTCGTCGAGGAAAGACCTTTCTCTTTTCATTCGACGCACATACTCGATTCGCTGCCTTACGGGCACAGTGCATTCCGCAAAGGTCAGTTTCAGATCCACAATGAGCAGACGACGGAGGTTGACAACTGACGGTGGCTTGCAGGCTTCCCAGTCAAATTTATTCAGGCAGAAATCTATGGCATTTTAGGTACACAAGAATTTGGGTGCCACAAAACGCCCAGGGCCTCATAGGATAGTGCGAGTTAAGTGCACGTACCAGCATTGTATATGTATGGTTCCTGACAGTATTTAAGTATTCCACGATTGAAAATTGGTCTTCTACTAAAATCTTGCTGGAATCCCTAATTCACCATGGTTTCAATAGGAAATTGCGCTTCTGCCCTTTCAAAGCACTCTGGTAAAGCAAGCCATCTCCTGCACCTGCGTCAGCCAAGCTGTTTCTTTTTCTAATTACTTCAGCCATACTTCGTTTTTTTATAACTTACCTTAACGCTCACATTCGAGACGAGCACTCTGATTAACCTAGCCGACTCAGTTTATATATAACTATATCTAATATCTGGCCAGTCTCTGCCGCATTACCTGTTCTGGAGAGGCCCCATTCTTCACCCACCAACCGTACCACTGAAGCCTAAAAAAAACCATAGACGACAAGAAGCATGTCCGAGCCGGCTAACGTGGAGACGCAACCACCTCCTGATCAGCCTGAGAAGCCAGGCGCAGGAGGTGAGCCGTCAAAACCTACCCGAGTTTCCAAGAAACGAACGAAGACTGGGTGTCTGAGTAAGTATCGCTCTCATCCTTCGCTAAAGTCTCTTTCGATTCGAGTCGAAGACGACTGTTCCACAACCGTTGTTAGCATCCTGTGCCATAACGTTGGAACTGTTGGCTAACATACTTATCCTTCCCCACAGCATGTCGAAAACGTCGTATAAAATGTGGAGAGGAACGACCAACGTGTAACAACTGCGTCAAAAGCAAGCGTGTTTGCGAGGGATACAGTCAACGGGTTGTATTCAAGCTTGGAGGCTTCGGCAATGAGGATGGCCAACTCGATGGGATGGGATACTATGGATACCCCGAACAAATGCCATATATTCCTGGGTCGGATCCCAGTCTACCGTATGCTTTACAGGCTGCGAGAGGAAACATGAATCTACAGAGGATTGCACCGGCCCCATACACTCGCCGGATTGGCGACGAAACTCTTCCAGAAAACCAGTTGCACACGACACTCCCACCCCACCTCCAATATTACATGGGAGCGCAACAAGGCCAAAATCCGCTACAATCTCCAGAAGATATCCCCCCTGGGTTTCCTCAAGATCCGAATTACCTCCGCCATCGAGCATCCGTTTCGCCCATCTCACCAATTGATGTTGGGATGGCGCACCGTGGAAGCATATCATTGGTATCTCCAGGCCACCAGCCCCCACTGTCTGCTACAGAATCTCACTGGCCAGCCTCCGCTACTTCGGCGACGCACCCGAACATTGATTCCGAATATGCTCCGAGGCAATCATATAGCCATGAGATTACGCCACCGTCTGCTACCTCCTCGGCTTCTTTCCACCTCGCATCTCCTAGCACACACCAAGCGCCCACGACTTCGGCCCCATCTCGTTCAAGCAATGCTTCTGAAGTTTCTACTCTCAATTCATATGGCTACAACGCCCCGTACGGTACTGGTTACGAAGGCCAGCCTGCTGGATACGCAAACGCAACCTATCCACCCGGCACATACTCCGGCACAAATTTCAAAACAGAACCAGACTTCGACCAGCACAGATACTCAGGTAAGCCATAGGCTTCCCTACGATATTTGGTGCTCTTGCGAAAATCTGGCTGGTTTTATTTGGATATCTTGTGTTGCGTTGCATTAGCCAACGCTATAAATGACATTTTGCAACATTTGTTTTGAGGTAATTGATTATGTATAACTGAGCTTACTGTGATATCAGGTCCCACGGCAATCCAGGAACATCATGGGCAGGAAGAAGGGCCACAGGACGATTTTGTGGCGGGTGGTGCGCTAGATGGCTCAGAAGATGAAGATGAAGAGCTTAACGACGAACAGGACGAGGTCGAAGAGGATGAGGAAGAATATGCTGAGGATGGCGAGGATGACTACGAGGATTTTGCTCCTATGGATCTGGATGCCACTTCACGACAGACAATTTCCACCGCTATTACACCATATACGCAGAATAATGAGAGTACCAGATTGACGTTCCGAAGCTTCCTTCCAGAGGCCGGAACCTTAATTAGGTATCAGCCAGCGGCTACAGCATCTCCATTGTCGAACCCTACAACGGCAAGGATATTTTGCCATTGGATTTATGTCGTTGCGCCAAGTTTATCGGTTTTTGAACGACATCCAGCAAACCCTCATCAGTCTTTTACACCTGGAACCAGGCTCAACGGGCCGCAGAATCTATGGTGTTACACAATCCCAACAGTATCTCTATCCAGTCCTTTACTCCTGCACGCACTGCTAGCCGTAGCGAGTTTACACATAGCAAAGTTATCGGATGAACCAATCACTTCATCATATGTGCATTATCATTTTGCACTACGGCGCCTCCGTAAAGCAATTTCTGATGACAGAGAGCGAGCTTCCGTTGCGACGCTTGCCGGAACCTTGTTGCTGGCGTATTACGAGACTATGGCTGCCGATGTAAGAAAGTGGAGCAGCCATTTGCAGGGGGCTAAGAACCTTCTCAAAGAGATTGATTTCGACAATCTAAACAGAAGAATGGAGGTGCTTGAGGACGAAGAATTGACGCAGCAACAAGCCACAAACCCGGCATTTGACGGCATAGCATCCATTCGCAACCGAAAAATGCAGCAGAAAACCGGCAAAGGTAATTCAGATCGGACGTCCCCGACGGACGACCCAATCCGAAGATATATTCTTGGATCACGTGAACGGCGAAAAATGTCACAGGTGGAGAAAACCCGAGTTAATAGTAGCCCAAGGGCGTCAAATGCACGGGATCAGGAGACAGCAATTCTGCAGAGTGATTTATTCTGGTTCTTCGCGAAACAGGATGCATATCAATCCCTACTTAGCGGGGAAGGTCTAGTGTAAGCAGCTTCCAAATCCGTGTAGTTGGAGACGGAACAGTTAGTATTTTCTTGCTAGTTTAAACGGTTTTGCTGATTAAGGAATGACGTGTGATAGGTTGGATTATGCGCATTGGGGTCAATGTCCTCCACGTCCTAGGATTGGTACCTTGGGTACTTCTTATGGATCCACGGATTACCTTTACCTTCTCTATGGTCGCATTGCAGATTTTCAAGCCCGTGACGCGAAGCGGAAGGCCGAGGTTGAGAAATATGGACCAGCACCAGCGATTTTAGAACTTATGAAGTCGATGGGTGGAGGTGGACCGCCTGGACAAGGTGGTCCTCCCCAAATGGGTAGACAAGGCGGCCCCCCCGCTGGCCCTCCTCCAATGGGCGGCCCACCAAGTGGCCCCCAGGGTGGTCCCCCTCAGATGGGAGGGCCAGGCGGTCCTCAAGGTGGTCCTCAAGGTGGTCCTCCGCCCGGCTGGACAGGAGGCCCCCCTCCCGGTTGGCAAGGTGGTCCTCCACCAGGATGGCAAGGCGGTCCTCCACCGGGATGGCAAGGCGGCCCTCCACCGGGATGGCAAGGTGGCCCTCCGCCTGGGTTGCAAGGTGGCCCTCCGCCTGGGTTGCAAGGCGGCCCTCCGCCTGGATGGCAAGGCGGTCCCCCTCCGGGATGGCAAGGCGGCCCCCCTCCGGGATGGACGGGTGGCCCCCCTCCAGGGTGGCAGGGAGGACCCCCGCCTGGTATGGCAGGGCCTCCCACAGGGATGCCTCCTGCCGGGATGCCAGCCCGTCCTCCAGCATATGCTGGACCCCCTTCAATTTCATCTATCTCTCCAAGCACAGAAGGCGGTGACCAATCTACGCCCCCTTCTGCAACTTCAGGTATGTAGACGGTTTGACTTCAATGCATTGTGTATGTGCATCAGACTAATGCAACTCTTTCTAGCTCCCAAATCACCCCCAAAGTACACCAAAGCTGAGCTCGAATCAATGACGGTAGAAGCCGAAATGGAGTGGATAGAGATCTACAAGGCTCTCCTTCTATTCCAAGAATCATTAGGCGACGAATTCCAACCGCTCGAAGAAGAACTTATGCCAGTCCAACCTTCTCCCTTCGGTGATGCAATTTTTTACCGAACCTATTCCGTATCTTGCCTGCAGGCCCTTTACAAGACAGCTCACATCATATTAGAGCGTTCACACCCTTCTATGCCTTCAAATGGATGGATGGCAGCGGGCATTGCAGCTCGTAAAACCGCTGGCCTAGCTCAAGAAATGGGTCGTATCGCTGCTGGTTTATTCCCACCTGCCCAAGCCTCTGAAATCAGTCCACCTCTTGGTGGGGTCCTTATCGAACTTTCTTTCTGCATGCTTTTCGCAGGTGTGCAGTACCAGGACCCTAATCAGCGAGAATGGCTAGTAGAGCATATGTACAACGTGGGCAAGATGACAGGATGGGGCACTGCCAATCGGTGTGCTCTAGGGTGTGAACATGCATGGGAGAAAGCAGCAGCAATGGGTAAGGGCCCACCCTATAAGAGGAGGGCCAGCTCGGAGCCTAGAGAAATGCCAATCGGTACTCAAGAGGGATCAAATTATGTATTTCTCGGGTCGGCGAATAAAGCTCATTGGGCTACAGCACTTCTGGGGCCCTTGGAAAACAAAATGGAGACCATGGCCCTTGACGGCGAGGCTTAGTTGACTGAGAGTTCAGTTGGGGTTTTCAGCTGCACTAATCTCCTTATCCTGAGTGCATCTATTTGGGATAACTACCTATATATATATATATATTCTTACTGCTTATTTTATCTATCCTTTCTCACCAGTATTTTCCTTTACATAATCATCCCAGAGCGGAGTATATGGTCGAATTATCGACACCGCCATTTATTTTCTTTATTTCTTTATTTCCTGCTAGTTAGAGCTACCTACCTACCTACCTGCCAGCTAGAGACAGCTTCTCGATCGATTGGATTCAAAAAGCATCCGATATCATGATATACACACTAATTAGAGTGGACCTTAATCGAATTATGTCGGTGTCGACATGCTTGCCCATACAATACGGTGTTTCCATGCATGACGTCTTCAAGTTGCAAGTTTGCAAGGCATGCTATCCTATTATCGACGCACCGATGGGCCCCGAGATACGTAATACCCATATAGCAATACTAGTAGCTATATAGATCTAATATTAACGTTATAGCTAGCACAAAAGTACTGATATATATCATGGTGTATATCGATATATATATCCCGCCTATGGCTTGACTTAATCGTATTTTAGCTACTAATATAATCCCGGCGATGTTTGTGGGGTTTATAATTTATAAAACGGAACATATAAAAGGCTGAATTGGAATGTGATATAAATACCAAAGTGGGCAAAGCAAGTCTATAGATCTAATCTAAGTCTAAGTCTAGTAGTTGTGTATCTTTCTATTTCTATCCATCATTGTTGATGTCTATGAATCTAGAATGCAAAGTCCTCTCTATGTGGATATCGTTGCGGAAAAATTGCAGGTTCATGCGAAAATAACGGAAAGAGGGAGGGGGAATAAACGTTCAACAACTCCAGCGTAAAACTCTCAAAAAACAAAAATATGGGATAAAAGTGGAAGGTGGATTGGTTATCGCTTGCTAAATCGTTGTTAAGATCCTATCGCGCAAGTATTATTTCATGCCATGGTAATATCGTAGTTCGTAAAGCATCGTCTCATCCTTCTCTCATACGAGAAGAATATTGTTTTGGTTCGAGACCGTCTAATCATCGAAATCCATACTGTCTTCCGATGGCGGATTGGTGTGGAACCGATAGACACGTCGCCCAGATGTCGCATATAGATCCCGACAGCTGTCCAACTCGTCCTTAGAGAATTTGATTGAGAGAACTTCGTCTTCCAAGTCAAGAGTTTTGATCAACTCTGCGGTGGAAATTGAGTAGATACGGATCTTGTTGTCCTCTCCGGCCAATGCAACCAGCTCCTCGGAATGGTCGACATCGAATCCCAATTTAATGGTTGATTTGTTGAAATTCTTGTATGTGAGAACTGGTTGAGTCGGACTCTTTGGTTTGCTTCCTCGCTGGTGGCCAGTCATTGGTCGGCAGTAACGGAGATCATGAAGGACTGCTTGGCTTCCAAGCCCATTAACCAGAACGTAATGATCATTACTCAGCTTTCGCATATGAGTAATCGAGGATACATGCGAGGCAAGAGCGGTCTCGTGAGCGATATCCTTTTCGAGGTTACGTCTATTATCGTAAATCTGAATTTTACCGTTCCGAGAGCCAGCAAGGAGAGTATTCCTGTCGATGTATTCGAGTGCCAGAACATCGCTCTCCGGGCGAATAAGCAAAGAAGGGGCGATGCTCGAAGTCAGGGAAAGAAGACCACGTTTTCCTGCCTTGTGGCTACCACCGATTGCAGTGAGCCCGGACTCGTGAGTAGCACAGGCCCAGATACAACCAGCGTCAGGGATATTCACAACTAGAAGAAACCTGTGTTAGTTTTATCTCCATTATTTGGGTGATCTGTTTTTCAAGGGTATCCCTTACCTGAATCAATGTTTGGATGTCCGGATTTATCGAGAGATACAGTAGCATATGTCTGTCCAGAAGCGACTAGAACACCTTTCCCTTCAGGCATAATCGCAGATGATGTCATTCGATTCTCCTTTGACGAGGAATCAGTGTCAGCTTTCAGTTCGAGCGATTACTAATGTGATTCTGCAGCGTTTCTTACCATTCCTGGCAGCTTGACGGTTCTCGAAGCCGTGTTTCTAACTTCATAAAATGAATCATCAGGCGGTTGAGAGTACCATCTATAGAAGGGAAAAAGGCAATATTAGCACCTAGAATGTGAATACGTTCCTGGGAGAAAACCGAAATCTGCTCACCTAAGTCCCTGGTTTGGCGCGAATGTGAAGCAGCCACCGAGCCCGGGCGCAGTTTCCAAGCCCGAAAGCTTCTTATCTCTAGTGGCTGTGATGATCCGTTCCTCGCAGATCATGTTGGCCCACATTGACAAGTCGCCATCCCTTCGAGCTTCCGGCTTCAAAAGCCCCATTTGCATTCTCAGCCGGTAGTTGAAGACACCGTTGCTGCTATCGCTGATACGACGTCTTCTTTTGAGCAATGGTCGCATTGCTTCCTCTTCACGGCGCTAACCATAGAGAATTTGCCGTCAGTATCCAGTCCGATTGAGGATCCAGGTTTTGAGATAGATTTAAAGGTACCTGCTCCTCTGCTTCCTGAGCCGCTTCCTTTTCCTGCTTCACCCGATCGGCATTGTATACGGACGTGGTATTGGTATGGGTCGCAGTGATCTTGAAGTATTTCTTCTTCTGGTTATCTGATCCAATCCCGAGTACTATTAGCTTTTACCGTTTGAAAGAATCCGCTGGGTGGACCCGAATGGAATGGGCGAAAAGCTTACCGTAGTAGAATCCCGGAATCTCCGGGACTGAATGCATTGTGGCGTGGGAAGCTTCCAACGAGCATTACTAGCTAGGTCGCACAAGGGTGATATCGAAGTGGAGCGAAAAAGAGGGCTTAAGCCACTTCTTTTCGCGATTTGTAGATGTTGAAGATGAACGTAGAAGAGGACAAAGCGAAGAAGTCTTCGTCCCTTTTTGCTGTACGGAAAGGGTTAAAAAAAAAAAATTGGATCGCAGGCGAAACAGCTAAAAAAAAAAATTTAATCGCCCGAAACGAGTCAGGGAAATTTTAGCGTGCTTCTAGAAGCCGGTGTTCTTTGGGATGCCCCTGATTGGCTGCTAAAATTGGATGGCTGTCCTTCTTATCTCCGACTCTTATCTTGATCTAATCTCGTGGTACTCGGAGATAAGATTTCGATAGATAATCTCGTGGCCAAATGCCTGACGGTGGAACCTCACAACTTAACCTTCGTCACGAAGGCTGGTAAGTGGATCTCCCACGAGTCCACATCCGATGGCTCCACCGCATATTGGTGTGGCCATAACAGAGCCTCACAAATCCGCAATGATGGTGGTGTGGGGGCTAGAGGACGGGCCATCCACATGGCCACATCCACATCCACATCCACAGCCCCCAGCTAATTTTGACAGATGGATCCCATTCGTGCCGTCGATAGTAAAGTTGCAGAGGAATCCACCGCCCAGAAGTTGAAGTTTTACCCTTATTTCACAAGGGATTGCTTATTTCCACATAAGATTCAAAATGCGAGTTCTTGACGGCGTAGCTACGTACGCCTGAAGATTATCGCAATTGTGGGATGTCGACATGATTATCAACTGAGACCTCTCTCCTATGCTACACGGGATATTAAACCCAATCATGTAATTTTCTACAGAGTGAACTAGCGCTAAAAGGGAAAACCTTCATGGATATCTTCATGGCTACTTATTAAATTATTATTGCGCAGCAGGGCATTGATCAATTGAATTGAATGGAAAGGAGAAGAGCAGCCAGTTTTTCGAAAAGAAGAAACAATGTGCCTCGGTCGGCAAAGGGGGCAGTATATATTTTAGATTCACTTCATGTGATTGCTAATTTCCGAGTTATAGCCAATATTCGCAATTGGGTAGGCCTCATATAGCATATAACTAGTATACGTATGTACGTGGTGTATGTACATAGTACATTTGTACTTACATACATACGCAAGCGTATGCGCTCGTAGACGGGATGAAAACGAGCACCATGCCACCTGCAAGTTCAGGGGTGTTTTATGGATAAATGCAAATGAAGATCATTATAGCGGAAGGTTCCCTCCCAAACACTTATCGCGATCAAACCTGCAGAGGGTGGTATAGGAGCCAGCGCTGGGAACCGAATATTATAATGAAAAGGAGTTATGGTTCAATCCCAGCGTCTCATCATTTTGATGGTTGCGGCTAGCAGCCGTTTAAGTCACTTAGGAGAGAGTTCGATTAATTATGAACGGGGATTCGAGGGGTAGCCTGGCTGCTCCGCCGTAAGATGGCAGTTTGGGAAAGTGTCAGCTGGACAATTCTTTGGTTCGGGGAGTCGGAGCGAATAACAAGGGCCGATGATTTCAAACTCTTCGGCCAAACTCGCTCCGTCGAAGACTTACAAGATCGAAGCTAAGGAGCCAATGCATTCTCAAAAGTTCATAGCGCCGGCATATAATGGGATTTTTGAAGCGTGGGAAGTGCTGATAAATAAACCAAATAAAATAGGAAAGACATCAGCCTGAACGGGAACCAGAACAATGGAACTCAAAAAAGTAATTCTCCCTACGTCTTCCAACCATTGCCAGTGGCTGATCCAACGGGCCCCTGGCCATGGACTTGGAGGGAAGCGCACTGTCTGTTTGCGAGAGGCTCGAGCGGCTAAGCTGACCCCAAATGCCACGTTTTTTTGCGCGAAGAGCAGGATCCACAGTCATAACGGGTGTCGCCCCCAGTTTTCGAGTGTCCACATCCAGTAAAACTAAGCTAGGTATTCGGTACCAAAGCAAGGGTGGTTTCTTATTGAATGCACAGGTGACCCAAGATTGCAATGCAGAATCAAAGGTAACAAAACCCCATCTGTGGATCCATAACACAAAGAGCCGGTCATGGCTTTACGGTTCGGTGGCCCTTCCCTTCCAAAGGGTATATCGTCAGGTCCACACGTTGATGAAACTGCAGGTACCCGAGGAGACAATGGTTTGGATCCTGGATGTTCTTCAAACGTACGTCAGACAGTGAACGAGCATCATGACCTGATATACATACCCAGTAACCCGGATATGCCTATATCGATAAACTACCATCGTCAACATTCCAAAAGCTTTCCTCCTTACCTTTATTCGCCTGCATGACCATATTCGGAAGTACGTCCGAACGAGTTTGATTTGCCGACGATGTCTACCGAGAGCGTATTTCGTGGGGGGTTTCGATCCAGGGTAGCTTGGTAATGCTTACGTGTCGGAAAGGGTAAAAAGTTCCCCTGCCCGTGTGCTTGAGACCGCCATGACTCGCAAGAACATCCTTAAAGATGCAATGTCCTAACTTTTAGACAATAAAATCAAAGGAGCATTGTCTACTCCTAATGCATCACACCATGGCAGCCATCGGTACCAAGTGCTTAAGTGTGTTTCGAAGGGCGAGTTTTCCGTAAATATAACTTGCGAGGCGTGCTCCTGGAAATTCTCCGGCCACATGTTCAGGAGCACGCGGAATGCTATGAGTGTTCTGGAAAGGTTTAATTTCAAGGACGAGAGGCGTCGACGTATCCAAAATGTTCGCGACAGCAAGGTTTCCCCTTGAAATCTTCGTTTTTAATATATTTAATTCATCTGGAGAGAAATCCTGTCGCATTTTCCTAATCCAGAAAACCTCCGGTAAAACCTGCTACCATCGACATCGAAGGGATGAAAACCCCTCCTTAACCAGGTCAAGTGATAACTTTTGCAACATGCACACGGGACGGTAGTCAAGGATATCAAACCGCTTGACTGGATCCCGGAGACGACTAGACTATACAACTCTGATTCCCCAAGTTAACATCGGCATGCTCTTTTTTATTCAGGCTCAAGCGGTGCACCCCGAGCATTTTCATTCGGCTAATCAGTTGGTTGCCCGAGAAATCAAAAGATAGAGAATCGACGTCGTAACATTGGGAGGTTGGTAATAACGCTCTTCCACCCATCCGCTTTCTCGGAAATCGCTCAACCTAACCACCACTCCAAGAAGTAAATGGAAGATCTACGTTAACCGCGGTTAAAGTACGACTAAAACAATTTCAGCAATGTGATAAATATGACGAATCACATTTGAATGGTTGGGATTTACTGCATCGGGTTATCACTTACGAATCCGCAGGCTGAAACGTGACTTCCCTCGTGCAGCACTGGTGTGCCGTGTGCGATCAAGAAACTTGCTTCGGCATCGCTTCTCGAAGCATATCACGAGGCCGCTAGCATTGAACAAGAAGAGCGCCGGTTAATAGGGGCTGGGGCTACCACTTCTGTGCATTCCTGGCCTATCATGATACCTTCGATGATAAGATGTCTCGCTCGTACGGGTGGTCGGTGTGATTAGAATACTAATTTGCGCCTCCGCATCATTATACTAACCAAAAAGAGGTCGGAACTATGGCCGAAGAAGCCTGCGCGGAAAAAATATGCACCACCAGCGAGAGGGCGAGAAATTGCTACCCAAGAAAAGCTTTGGATGCTCCGTTATTTGTTAGAGCCACATGGGGAGAATCTCAAACCACCTCCTGCAAAAGTTAGCTACGAAAGCTTGGGTCGATCCGGGTGGAACGGTCCCAACCGCAATATTGGAGAGCCGACATGCCCAATCCCGCGACACTGGGAGTCTCACTGATTGTTATCTTCTTTGGATTTAAGCTTAAGAAACCCAAGCTTCTACTAGGTTTCGCTTGATGCAATGAAGTGAGGGGATTTTTCTCTCACCTACGTCGACTCACCGGATCATATGAAACGTTATTCACTACCATCAAGAGTTGATAACAGCCAGGGGTTTGTCTCAATCGTATCCTGCATGAGCATGAACAAGTTCAAGAATGTGTCGAGGTGTTTTTTTTTTCCCTCCTCGGTTCGCCTTTGATGTCAGCATGGCTGGAATGGCTGCATTGGTTCAAATGACATGATTCCAGCGGTTGCGCAATTATTCATCAAGGCGTTCCCGTCCAAGTGGTGTCCTCTAGCTAGATTTCTTGAAAGCTCGTATACCCGGCTCTTTCTTTTTTTTTTTTAGCTTCCCTGCAACCATCTGTCCGACTCGTTGGTGCCTGAATCAAGGCCAAAGACACACACCTGCAAAAGGTGCGTTCGTGGTGCAGAAGCATGTCTCTGATATTGATAATAGCCCTCTCTTGGAGTTGCAAACTTTGGATTGATAGCCAAGATGGAGGGGTAAGAGTTACTTTGTCTCGCAAGGGAACTTTCTCGTCTAGGTGCGGCAAACAAACTGAGAGAAGTTGATACCTTTCTGAATCATATCGCCCCCTGACTAACGGAGAACAAGAATGCGAATGGAACATTTTATTCGATACTTGATCGGTGATAATGGCGCGAAATAATAAGGTTTTACGTGTAATGCAAGTACCGTCCGTAAGTACAGATTAGATATATGTATATATGTAGTATGTACATCGTATACGGCGTGTGTTAAATATCAAGTCCAGTGACCAGGAGTATGAAGATCATCAGATATGGCCTAAGTTGGTTAGACCATGTTCATTAACGGATTTCGGATTTATATTCAGATCAGACTAGGGCCACGTTCAGCTGGGGGATGGTTGCGTGTCGTGTCGAACGTGCGCGAGCTAGGTCGAGTTTCTCATATCAAGCTTGCTCTCACAGCGTGCCTTGTCATGCATGTTGTTTGTATACCCTTGTCCAACTGAATTGCCTGCCGAAACCTTCCGCATGGCCCAGCACCAGGTTCTGCCCAATCTATTCCATATCTGCCAATTAGTGTTCGTGACGATGCTCCTCGCCTTTGCCTCTTTTTGTGGTCGTTAGTGACAATGTCCCGAGCTCATTGACGACCCTTAATTAAAAGCAATAATGAGGTCAACAGTGGTGGACGAAACCGAGCAATCTGGATTGGCTCTGCTCTAACTACCAGCGGAGGTTGTTCAAATCATCCTTCAAATTGGACCGGACTCCAAATGAAGCAAGGCACGGAATTCGGCTTCGAGTTCTCGTATTGCATGTTAGTACTAATTAGTACATATCCCCAAGGCATGTTGATGTCGAGCCGTGCACAGCCATCGAGGAGCCATAGCTCGAGTGTTCAAAAATAGATCTTCTTCATGAAATTCAATTACTGAGTAGGCTCATATGATATCAGTTTATAATTTAAGCAGTCTTCGAATCTCAAGGCTCTAATTGATCGAATTTCAAATATCCAGAAATCAGGAATTCGGCAAGGATCCATTCGAAGCGACCCCAGACCGCAATCCTAAATACTGCTTAGCTATCACCATAGCGCGCGAAACTCTTCTACAACGTGGGCCGGGAAGGGATGGTTTGCGATTCGATTCCATCTGAACATGCTCCATACTCCATATGCGCACAGGACTAGCCCGACTTATACTATACTATGCATACATACATACATACATACATACATACATACGGACATACATAGTATGTATGCCCATATGTAAAGCGTATGCTGGTGAGTTTCTTTTTTTTTTTTTTTCTTCTTCTTCTTCCCTTTCCTTTTTTTTATTTTTAATCTTTTTAATCTTTTATTTTATTTTATTTTATCTTATTCTATTTTACTGTTCTTTATTTTATATAATATATATCGTCGCATCCACCCTTATAATGCGAAACTTATAGCTTTGACCCGTTATAACTGCTGCTGGGGAAGTTATGTACTATAGACAACGTCCATCTATACTACAAGCTCTAATATCCTGAAGTTAATCTGCAGGGTAGCATCGATTCTAAACTAACTGCCTGGCTAGTGGCGGACACACCGAACCATCAATTATCAATTTGAACCATATCCCGCTACTACAATATCGGACTGTGACTTGCGCATTTGGTTCAATATTAATTTCCAAGTCTCTTCTTCTGAGGATCTTGTCTTTACAGAATACTACCGTGATCGTCTCTCTCTTGTCCATACCTGTCTTATTCTCCCAGTACTGCGGTCCCGTTCTGTCTTCCCTATCCTTTTTTTTTTGCTGTGCTTTCCTTGGGAACGACTTCGCATATACCCGGGAACCTAACTTTCGCTTTTCCACCCTAGTCACGATATTGACCTCCTTCCCCAATCTAGTACAGCCCGAGACTGAGGCTTCCGGTACGACAACCATCCGAGTAAATTATCAGGCGTCGCTAGCTGCAGCTTAGTAGCGCAGTCAACATCAGGACAGTGGATTCTACCTTAGCCCCTCTGGTTCTTGGTTCACCTTACAGAGTATTGTTCTTTTTTTTTTACTGGCGGCTTTTTTAGGCTTTTCTTTTTCTTTTTCCTTTCTCCTTCTTCCTTTTTCTTTTTTTTTCTCTTCTTTTCTTTTCTGGCACCCTGCACCGTCCCCTCATCATCCCATACCGATACTTTGGCTTGTCCGCAGAGTTGTGGAGCATCTAGCGTCTTCATTCAGGATAGCTTCGATTTCTTCCCTTCCCTAACAATTTCTCCCCCAAAAAACACGGAACTGTACTGTGTAGAGCCTGGCACCAGTACCCACCCTCTTTTTTTTACTGGGAATCGGTAACGAACGAAAGAAACAAAAATAAAACATTGTACAGGAATTATCCAAGCAATTGACTTGGTTCCTGGAAAGGTAGAGGCGTTTTAGCAGGCCAAATCAGAATAATATTTTTTGACGTCTTGACCCCGACCCTATATCAGTGTTTGGCACTATCGTACGAACCAGGGACTGATTGATTGATTGATATTGCGGTTCGTGTCAGTCAGTTAATTGTGGGCGCTGCTTTTCTCGAACCGTTAACCTCGTCGTCCCATAAAATTACCAGAACCCAGCAAGTGCAAGCAAGCAGCCTTCTTTTTACCCCCATATCAACTGACATATAACGACAAGATACCCACAAACCACGGACTGCCTAACAAGTATTCCTTTCTAATTCCGGATAGTGGTTGGTCCCTCTTTTTATATACTTACTTCGATACATGTTTTTTATTCCTTTTTGATTTGATTTTTAAAATCTGTACTCCTCCTTTTTGCAGTCCACGTTTAGGCCTTGACTCCAACCCGCAGCCTGCACCTTTCGCAGTCCCAAGCGAGTGGATCATTAAGCAAAGCAGTTACATTTCGATTCCCAAGCTGCTCCATTCAGCTCACCAGCCGCATAAGTTTTTATCTAAACTTCAGTTTTTGGTAGGACCTTTATTATCTGTAAACCCCGATTGTCCTTCCATGCCTCTGGCTTGCCTGGTTTCAATCGATTCGAAGGCAGCGTTTTATCTAACCGAATTATCCGTTTACAGTCGGCCTCCCGCTCGCATTTTTCTCCCCTTCGTCTGCACCGGCCACTGCATATACCTTAATCTCTAATCTATAACCTCTTTCCTCAATTCCGTGGACTATAAATCCGCTTCGGATTTTGATATCGACACTTTGCATATTCCATCTTCGACGCCATACATCAGCTAGCTAGCTCCTAGATCCTAACGATTCTCTTTGCGTGTGAAATCTATCTCCTGTGTCAGACGAAACGATTTCCTTTTTATTATCATTCTTCTAGTAAGTTCCCCGTGACGTCGACACCAAAATGACGAACAATTCTTCGGAACTCCCCAAACCAGTTTTCATTTTCCTTCAAGTCGAGTCATGATAAAGAGGCGTTATATTTCCACGTCTTATTTCGGTGCCGGACCGAGCTGTCAGGCGTTGAACCCATCGTTCCAAACCGTGACTTCAAAATTGACCGTTCTGCCTTTACTCGCAAGCAAAACGATTTAAGGTCAAGTGGGGCGGGCTGCTGGTGAATAGCTTTCTGCATGCATCGGCGTCAATCCTGCTGCAACTATAGCATTTACATATTAAAAATCTCTACTCCCGATCCCACTAACATATTCTCTACTCCATAGTTTCCGTTTACTTATCCTTACTCCTTGAATCTTTTTTTATTATTTTATTTTACCAGCACTCGACTGCCTTTGGATGGCCAGAGCATCCTTTTAACAAGCTTGGGACTTAGGGATAAAGGATCTGGGCCTCGGAATTTCGGATAGTTTCTCTAGTTTATTGCGAGGAATCTTAGACTTGGATATATTCAACTTTGCTTCATGACCGACATGGAAAGAATTCTTCACGATCAGCAGCCTCAGCAGTTCTATTCGCGAAATAATTCTGTCACAATGCACCAGCCTCCCGTCAGTGGCCCTGCCTACTCGAGTATGAATTCGACATCTTTCAGTTCTGCACCTTCTTATTCCTCTGGCCCCGCGCCAACATCATACTCTACACAAATACCTCAACAAAGGATAGCCCCGGCTGGCTTGACTGAGCACGAGGGGGCTCAGAATCTCACAAACTTGTCAAATTCGACTCCGTTCAGTGCTCATAGACAGCAGCCCGTCCCTTTGCTGCCGATGCCGACCAATTCTATGCAACAGCAACCACAGCATCAAAATGCGTTGGCGCCGTTAGCATCCGCTCCGCCGGGTGCCCATCGTGGGAGTGTAACGCAGGCTCCTTTGGTTACGCCAAATACTACCACAAGCGGTCCGAGAACAGCGAGCAAGGCAGGAGAAAAGTTTGCTACTAATGTACCTTTTCCTGTGGCGCCTCCTACGAAGGACGCGAATGGCAAATTTCCGTGTCCGTATTGCGCAAAAACATATTTGCATGCAAAGCATCTGAAGCGCCATCTCTTACGGCGTAAGTTTCCGAGAACCAGTTATTGAGGATCCATGCATGTTGAAAAGTCGCTAATTGATTCTAACCAGACACTGGGGACCGGCCTTACCAATGCCCACTTTGCAAGGATTGCTTTTCTCGTAGTGACATCCTAAAACGACATTTCCAGAAATGTTCAATAAGAAGAGGCAATCCAACAAATGCGACCCACCTTTCGCAGACCCATGCAGCTCGTGAGGCCGCCGCTGCAGCTCAACTGGCAGCCGGAAAGACGCCTACCGGTCCGAAGAGGAAGACCTTGACATATGATTACAACAATATGCCGAGAAGCCCTTCTCATCCTCAAACCCCAGCTACTACTGCTGAGATTATTAGCCCTGGGATGTATGCGCCAACTACTGCGGCCAGTGCACCGGCCTTCCCAGATTTTCCTCGACAGAGCCCAGTTGCTGGAACATGCGATGAATGTGCAAGGATGAAAGTCCGTTGTGACTATGGTCAACCGTGCCAGAGATGCGCATCTCGTAATCTCGAGTGTACCTACCTGAAGACCATGAAGAGGCATTCCGTCGCGGTTGTTTCTCATGTCCCGGGTGGAATGCAACATGGCAACGAAAGATATAACAATTATCTACAACCAAATACGACACAGAATTCTACACTTTCCTCGCCTCACGAATATACAACGGAGTCCTTCAACTTTGCGCAACAGCAGCAGCAAGCCGGTATGGCTCACCAATATAATTCAACTCATATGCAACAGGGACACCAGCAGCAGTTTAACCAAAATTCCAATCCTCATATGTCTGGGATGCAGAATTCACCACGAACTCTTCCCTATCAACAACCCCGTCGCCAAACCATCCATGACACACTTTACAGCTCTCTCCATCATGCACACCAACCTAATGAATTAGATTGGTCGACTTTGTTGCAACCGACCCAAGAAAACTACGCCGAAACAAATTTTTACGACCCACAGTCAGGGACTAGTGGAGGACATGGACAGAGCATGGCTCCCATGCCAATGATGAATGCACGTCCAGTGTATGCCACCGAGGTAAGTTCAAACGTTCCCGCACTCAATCATGTAAGATCTTGACGTAATGACTCTAGTCCGGCGTGAGAAGGCATAATTCCCAGGATCACGGATTTTCGAAACCTCCATCGGCATCGGAAATTGTGAAAAAGGAGTAAAAATGTCGATGTCAACGAAGCATGCCCGCATGTTCTACGACTTAAACGGTTCATCGAGAAAATCTCAGCAGGCAGCTGCCTCGCAGATCTATCAATTTATATAAATGATTAAAGATCAACACTCGAATAATAACCTCCATTTCCTCTCGTCACGAATTCTCTTTTCTACGAGCCCCGGCTCTCCCCACCTCTCATATTTTCATAAATTTATCTCTTGACTTACCCGCTTGTCTAAAAGTTGGTGGTTATTTTAATATATCTATCGTCATTTCTCTACAAACTTTCTTTACCTGCACATTTTTACCTCCTCTACCCCTCGACATAAAATGTTGAGTGTATTTACTGTGTGCTCCCGCATAGCGTCTGGTGTATGATATAATGCAAAATGGTTGCAGTCGCTTCCGATACTCTTATTTCTACTCGCTCTTTTACCCGCTTTCCAGTCGCTCTCGAAATATCGCGCAACCAACTTGGCTTCCTCTCTTGTTTTTTTTCTTCATTTTAGAATACGGGGAAGTGTCTACGTTACTTTGTTTCATAGATTGGTTTATGGTTTGGGGAGGTGTATCTTCTTTTCCCTTTGCTTTCTATAGTCGGTTCGGTTCATGGTTTTAAGTTTTCTCAACCTCTTAGAAGGGTCATATTTTGCTATGGAAGTCTTTTCCTTTTCAATTTCTTTTTCCCATATTGTGTCTTTCATTGGCTGCCCTTTTGCCTTATATGGACCATGCAATGCTTTCGTTTTTGTCTATTTGGTGAAGGGCTGGGTTTTACCATTTCCCGCTTTCCCGAATTTCCCCGTTTACGTTTTCCGTCACTTTTTCCGCTCTGCATATTATTAGCAAAGCAGAAAAGCAAGATATCCTGTATTTACGTGAGATCAAGACCCTATTTGGGGGGCCTTTGAAAGAAATAAATGGTGCATACATGCACAAAGTACATATTCTCATCCGGCAGATACTTAGGTGTGTACACACACTAGTTGATAATATTGTGGGAGGCTGAAAAAAGTTTTCCCAGCCTCCAGTGTAAGATAGATGCGTTAGGCACCGGCACCGACAGCCGAGAGTCGAAGGATTCTAGGTTCGGAACGGTGTGGGTCGATTATCGGTTTATCGAGAGAATATGGGCATTTTTGCTGTGCTATCATTGTTCTGGAAATCTTTTTTACCCCCGTTCTAGGTGTTATCAGCCATGTGAAGTAACCAATACTACTACACCATGCAAGGGGGGAGGGTGCTTGATTATGGTACAATATCGGAGATCCGGATGTATATTTCTACGCCTCACACAATGAGACTGGAGGGATATGGAATATATCCGAGGACTAGGCACTCCCGTGAATAAGGAATGTAGTACAGAGTCATATAAATCAGGTGGCATGGTCAAGTTTCAACAGCATCATCTCATATATCAAAGATTATCATCCGATTCAACATCTCTATTGCCTTTGGTTATTTGGAAAACCGCTTGCCGGATAGTTTTAGTTTATTCGGTATCGGATACCGATGTATGTACCAGTACATATTAAGTCCGTGAGATTTTCAACCGTGGGAATATATTATTAGGAACTCGAGTACCCGGGTTAGGAATTTTACTGGCCAAAAAAAAGGGCGGCTTAGCTTAGCCTGACGATAACCCCCTCAAAGATGAGGCCAGGTAACAGCCAAAGACTTTGTTATCTTTCTGGCTTCACTTAAATTTGCAGCGTTTTTCTCTTTTCAATATTTGAAGCTCCTGCTACTTGATATATTATATGTACTTAAGTACTTATAGATTAATACTTTGTGCAACTAAGCTTCTCGTATCCCAGCGTGGAACGACGCTTAGGTTGTCGTCTATCATTCGCCCTGGGACGAAGCAGGTATCGCCACACCGCCTAGCTCGCCGAGGAATACGAGGTCTTGTCGGCCCATTTCCCAGTTCTGGAAATGGACTTTTAGTACACAGCAGTAAAAAGTGACAAAGCTTTGTACCCTTTAGGAACATGTTGGCTTTAACCCTCAGTGCTCCGTGGGAAAGAACGTTTTCCATCGAAAATAGCGCTATAGCCTGCAGGTTCCCTCCCCGGGAACTAGATACTAATCGAGCTATGAGATATATATTAGTATACCAGTCAGTCACGATAGGTGGGGCGATCGAAGCGATTGGAAGAATTAATATTATCATCTTTTAAAATCGTTTTAAAAAATGTTCACGAAATGAATTTCTTATGGCGCTGAAAGTTTTGTCACAATATCACACAAGAATTCTTTAAAAGATGTGATTTGAGGTTGATCCCTTAGTCTCTCCTCAAATACCATGTCACTTATGTATCGAAAGCCCTACATGACAGTAAGCTGACGTATATATAATGTCGGGTGATAAGAATTATCCCCCTCTCAATTGATCAAATGAATAAAAACACATCCTCGTATCCTAGAGACTAAATCCAAGACCTCCGAGATGGCGGGTTTAAATTTGGATCATCTAAGGCTGAACATTATTGGTGGTAGTATATAACGTTAATTCTTCTTCCCTTTTTATAATCAAATAACCTAATAAATTTGATCGAACGGCGTGCACGTTGTTGAACCGTCTCCCCATGCATTAACAATGAATTCACAAAGGGCAGCTACGGGACGCAACAGATCTGATTGCATGCAATCATTCTTACAGCTTCCTATTAAGTGTCAAGAACGTGATACATAGATGCATAGATGCTCACGGGGACACTTTGTGATAGGCACATCAAGCGAGACCAGTACAGTGTCTCTATAATAGATCTAATCCCATACAGGACCTGGACTGCACACAGGACCTAGCTAGAATGTATTCGTTTTGAGGTATATGTACCCGCTGTCGGAGCTCCTTTCTTGGTTTCATTCCGCGTGGTTTTTTGAAGGAATGTTTTGGCCACTGTGTAGCTCTTCCTGGGGCGATATTTTACGATTTCCCCTGATTGTGATATTCCATGTGCTAGGATCCTAGGAGCATATATGTGTACTTAAGTATGTGTTAGCTTAAGAAGTACCGTTAAATTGCGTGAAGGTAGCTTGCGAGCCCTATGCCTAATATGTGGAATGACATGCCCGGGTTTGCATTTGGTCTTTAGTTCAAATACTTATTAAGTACCTATTTACAACTGGTGATATTTATTTTATAGCGTCCTCCGAAGGCCTGTCTTCCGTTTCCTCCAACTAACTTTAGCTAGCTGAAGTATCGGTGAATTCAATTTATTACCACATGACCTACTTGATTCTTAAACTGAGAGCCGAGCGCATTATATGTTTAAATTGAAGCAGCTCTAGCCTGCATTCAGGGCTACCTAGAACACTAACGATCGTTGCAGTACAGGACTAACTAACGATATACCAATCATATAGTTGAATACTTCGTCATGTGTATGGTAAAAAATGGCAGCCAACCCCAGGTTTTATTCCTAGGCTGTACCCAGAATCAGCACGCGCTTCCAACCACCCTTGTATCCAGTATGAGAGCAAATTTGCAAACGGATATATACAACCATGGATAATTTCTGATAGATCAGGTATAGCCCTCGAACTCCCTCTGTGCCAGTTGTCTCTAAAAGTTGGATCGTAAATTCGGATACTATCAAATCGATGGAAAACTTTCCAAATGTCTTATGAATTTATGATGAGTAGCTACCACGTCAACATCCGGATGATACGCGCGTACCTAGGCACCAGTGTTTGGATATCCATTGATGTCTTCTGCTTTAGACGCTTTTAGGCTTTCTTGAACGGATTATATATGGTCCACGAGTAAGGGAATTATGTACCTCAGTCCGGAACTCTTGTACGGCGAAAATAGTGAAAGAAAGCCTGTACTGATCTCGTTCCCAGACGTCACAAGGGGCAACAAGCCTGTGCCCTTTGCTCATGTAGTAATTAACGTACGATGCTGCAGCATATTTTATGTGTAAATTTTATCATATGGGGTTGTAAAAGCGCCTTAGACCTTATTTAAGCGTTCCAGTGTCGATGAAACTCCTTAAGAGACTAAATAGACTGCTAGGAAAGGATCTGTAATTTCATGAATTCCCTCCCATTAGATTTGTACAATTAGGGTTGCACTCATTAGTGTCTATGTCGACCTGGTTTCTGCTGTTAGAATCTGGGAATCCATTGTCTACTTGTAAAGTTCCGGATCATGTGTTTGCTATAAATCGTCATTTATAGTCCAGAATCGATCTAGTATAATCATTTGGAAGAAGTATAGAATTACACGGGATTTTCGAGAACGCTAGGGCTCTCTAATGGTGAGTTATGAGATCAGGTTCTGTAAAGCATTCAAGGGCGCCTGAGTATTTCGAATATTGAGCCCACAAGATTATTTCCAAGAAAACTCTGAGCGTGAGGCTGATTTTTGGACTAGTAAAAATCTTTAGTATCCTCTGCCCGGCCATCCCTTGGTCTCATACATCATTAAGGCCTTTCGCCGTGGCTGGTAGTCGCGTATTTGCCCTGTGAATTCGACAATCCCGTGGCCAATAGTTCAACTGTTGGGAAATATAGACCCATGGGCTGCCCTTTGTGACGTCTGGGAACGAGACCAGACCCATGGAGAAGACACCAAGATTTCATTCGATATTGTTCTTGAGCGGATATCAGATGTTGCATTTCGATGGTATCTCTTCAACTCGGGTTGGAAAACCGATAAGGTTGTCGGCAGGATTGGATCGAGATTCAACCCCGGCTGAGAAATACCCAACCGGGGATATGGCCTATTTATGTCCGGGTACAAGCAAAACGTGCGTAATATAATATGGATGAGAAGTTCGAACCCGAAATGAGAAAGAGTATTGCAGCACGGGTCGCATGTAATGATCAGTAGTTATAATCGTTGAGTGTATCGTAGTCAGACCGGAGTCTACCGATACATCTTGACACCTACCTTCGAATATGCACTATTGCTCTCACTTAAGTTACAAGATTTTTACTTAACCATTAAAAATGCGGGCTCAGTGTACTTTCAGATAGTTTGGGAGTTTTATTCCGAGCCTACGGCCTCAATCTAGGAGCTAGAGGTCTAGAATTCCTTTGGCTTTTATCGGAAATTTGTCTAGCAGTTACGTAGGAGTATAGCTTTATACAAAGCCACCGGACGGGATATATTATGGTATTGCAGTACCATATCTGCTCTGAAGGAAGCCTGGAGTGTATGATATGAGTTAGTGTGTATGCCGTTCATATTTGACATGAAGCTAGAAGAACCTCAACGCCTCAAGGAGCATGATATGAGCATGAGTCAACGTCAGGAATGTCCTCCGAGCATGCTGTATCGGGTAAGTAGACTGCACATAAATACTTCAGATTTCCTATCAATAGCAAGGAATACTGATCGACTATACCATATTTCTTCCGATGATATGATAGCAAATTTATCAGGTGCATTTCGAAATTCGGTGATGTAAATCCAATTTGCAATGCAAAATTACAACAAAAACAACACGTAGACCGTGTGGTAAAATGATCATACCGTTACATATGTAGTTATGTAGGATCGTTTCAGATATTGAATTATCAATTCAGATCTAGAACCAACGTAACTCTCCCGCGAAATGGGAATCGTCAGCTGTCATCAGGAAAACTGTGCGTCAGGCATGGGAAGGGGGTTACCGGTATGTCGCCCCTCTCAAACTCGATACATATATGGTGCCCCTTGCGTAATCGGGCATGATCTCGAGCTCCCCAGCTCCGATCGGGTTGGATTTAGGTCCAATATGGATAATTGATTGCTACATGTATCTAGCAATTTGCTATGCTATTTTTGTGGGGTTCTCCAAACCTTTGAGATTTAAGAAATTTGTCCCTGACGTTTTTCTTTCGCTTTCGTCTAACATATTTAATCATCGGCTGAAGTTTCCAGCGGGGTGATCTAGCTTCAACTTGTTCAATGTTGCAACGTTGGATTTCTGGCACGGAAAGTTCCAAGCAGATATCCCGGCATTTTCATGAATTCACAGGCCTTCTTTGCTAATCCGGTCAGCCGATGATGACCATAAAATTGGAAAACTCTTAGCAAGGATGGAGAATAGATTAATTCGGTTCGAGCCAATGACGTTACGTTTCAGGCCTTGCTGGGAAATACGGGTAGGGTTGCTTTCAACCTAAGATCAGATTGTTAAAACCCGGAAACGGCAGTCTTATTGAATTTCAGACTGGCAAGGAAAAAACTTCTCAATTGCCCGAGCTCCTGCCGTGCCTGTGCGCCCGGAGGGAGAGCATTCGTGACGCGTTTTCATCGGATGCTCAAACCACTCGGATTTGTGAAGGTTCATCTGTCAGGAAGCGATCTGGCATTTAACGCCCGATTTAAATGGCCTTCAGTTCCGAAAGCCTCAATCCCTATCTTGCCATTGTCGAGGACATTTCCGGCCAAGAGACTAAGCCAGAAATGAACAAGTGATTGGTTTTCATGAATTTCCTCTCCTTGACGGGCGTGGCGGGTGATGAAATTACAGAGTAATGTGGGCTTGCACTTGAAAAATGCTTTCCCCCTGGCTGGCCTGGTCAAAAAATAGCAGCCAAAGTGGTGTTTTGCTTTTGGCAACAGCGACGCGAAGCACGCGTTCTGGTTGGTCTGCGCCTGAAGCTGGCACTAAGTCTTGGCAGGTCGGACCAGGGGAAAACGACCGAATGTGTTGGTGCCAACGCATCGGCACAGTCACACGGTGATCCCGCATTGAATTAACCACCATTTTGACATCTTTCGTTTCAACCTCCCAGCCACCAAGTTTATGGGCAGTTTGTCTGTCTACACTATCGAATCAATTCAGTTATCTTTACGTAGTTGCTTGAATTCGCATTTAGTTTTGCATTTGCATTTGCATTTGCATTTGCATTTGCATGTCCTATTCCTATCTGCGTTTCGGAGATGAGGTCAAGTTCAAGAAGGAATGGGTCCAGTGCTTGAGTGCACTGTATGTATGTATCTGTGTATGTATGCACCTTGCCCCGCCATTCTACTCGATATCGATAGATCCTCGAGTTTAGAGGCTTTAAAATCGATTAATTCAATGCTGTCTTGCTTTGACATAGCCACCGACTCCGATTGCTAAAGGCTGCGAGCAAGACTCCAAAATGACGAGCTGCAAGCCTCAGCAGGCAGTAAGATTGTCGTTATCAGCCCTAACCTTGTATGGGTCTCCAACTAGCCCAACAGGAAGAGAGATCACGTCTCCCCACCTTTTTTTTCGAGCTAGCTGCAGATGGAAAGCAAATTGGCTTTCGTAGCGTCACCACCAATTCGTCGACATGCCGGTCATGCACGGTTTGTCGGCGGCATCGAGATCGATAGCCTCTTCCATGCTGATATCTTGTTGATATTTTGAATATTCAAGCCTGTAGACGGGACGTGATATGAACTCGCGCATGTACCGCATACACATACGCAAACGGGCATCCTCTGGTGCGATATGATAACAATGCGATGGTGTCAACGGGAAATATGTACCTCCTCCCTCCATCGACATGGCAGGGTTATCTCGATATTGCTCTGATACCTTGTACGATGTGATATGGCATGCGCATGATACCAAACCGGTGTGGAACAGCTTCGGAACCGGACCTGTCCAAGGCAGAGGTACACACGGCGTATGTACATTACATATGTTAATGTGCATGTCTAAGTATTTCCCGAGTCACTAATCGCTCGCTACCCACCTACTTAGCCTGTTCGTCTGAGTTCATCTCTCCCGCTCCCCTCCTTCTCGATTCTCCTCCTTCTCTTTCCATCATCACTTCGTCGCATTCCTCCCCCTCTATTTCTTTCCGCGCTATTGGTAGACGTATTGCTCCTCTTCCTCACGAGCCTCTACGTTTGAATTCTGCACCCCGATCATATTAATAGAACCATCTTTTCGACGACGGAAAAGTGTCCTAACTGTGCTTGTTAGCCGGGCGTCAAGTAAGTCGGGTCAGCGTGAGCAGAGGCCGTGGATAAGGGTATGGTGTTTCATCTTTCTGCCCCCAGTACCCCCCAGTTAGCATCGGTTAGAGCGGACAGGCAGCTTTCGCTTTCACCACACTTCTTCAATCAGCTTGCTGAATCGGGCCTCATTGCCAGGAATCAACCTCCTTTCAGCTGCTGGCACCCCAAATTTCGGCGCTTACCCTTCTTCTTCCCCCATTTTTCTTTTTGACGAGAACGAGCGAGTGCGAACGAGAGAACTTTACTCCTTTGCTGCTCATGAATTGAAGCGTGGGCATTTTAGCCATTCTAACCCGAAATAATTGCACACACCTGGCCAGGGCGTGCGTGGGAAAGAAAAGAAGGCTTTGAACGGTGAGAGACATTCTCGTCCGTCCATATTTTCTTATTCCCGGCGACGTCCTTTTACTGGTGTTCCGGCCCCAATTTTCTACCCGTCGTCACCCACTTTTTTTTCCTTCCCTTCCTTGCTTGCTTGCTTGCTTGCCTGTACCATCGTTTCGTCCAGTCCAGCTTGCCTGCCTGTCTGCTGCTTCTTAATTATACATATTATCCAATCCTTCCAATTGACGATCGCACACACTCACACACTCCCTCACATTGTTCTGATTCGATTTGATTCTGTTCTGTGCTACCTTTTTGAATTTCACAATCCCCGTTTGAATCAACTAAAAGATCCTTCCTGAACAAAAGAGGGCTGACTTCCGACCGTGCCTGATTTTTTATTTTATTTTTTTAGTGCTTTGACATTTGACAAAGACAGAAAAAGAGGAAGAAGAACAAGAAAAAGGACTTGTTCTGTCACATTGGGTTTCACATCTTACGGCTACGTTTGGACGACATAAGGAACTCTTCTACCGACCTTCTCCGACGACCTCCCACAATCATTTTGACCATCACCATCGCTGCTAGTCAACCGACTAAAATATTCTAACCAACCAAATCCCGACAACCCCGAGAAGGAAAAAAAAAAAATCGATCTTGAAAAAAAATTCATGCACTGCCAGAGGGGCATCATCTTGAGACATATTAAGCATCGACACTAGTAAACGCGTGGGATTCACGCGTAATCGCATTTCAGCTTTCAATTTCCCCCTTCTGCGTTGTACCGCCATCCCAAGATATTCCAGATGGAGGGACCGACAAAATCGACGGCTTCGGCCATGCCGGTTCATCCAACTGTCACAAATGCATTCAAACCTGCTGCCGACAGCTTCAGATATTTCTCTCCTAATTCCAGTCCCGACAGTGTAAAGAATGGTGGCAGGTCGAGATCTTCATCGACGTCGCCAAGCGCAAAGAAAGTCTCTGCTCTCCAGGAAATCTCAGCCAATATTAAAGATGTCCGACCGCCTCAACAGCAAAACTTCAAATTTAAGCCTCCGACTACTTCTAACCCCTCGCCTTCTAAGAGTGCTTCACTACAGGATAAGATGCCTCCTCCACCCAAAGGTTCATTAAAGAATAATGTCAACCTGCCACCGCCTGCTCGACCTAACTTTACATCCATCTCCCCGACAAAGAGACCTCCTTTGTCAGTCTTCAGTACCTCTTCGCACACTAGAAAATCATCATTGGGGCCATTGACCCCGGTTTCGGCGTCGGTGAACAAAGAAAACCTGTTGCCCGACGAGCAGTTACTTCATGATGCATTGATTAAGGATCTTACTGGTCTCAGCCCAGAAAAGCCCACCAAGGCTTCTGCCCCCCTCCCACCCCCCGCTGTGACTGTAACAAAACCCGTCGAGAAGAAAGTCAAGGAGACAAAGTCTAGAGCCGCACCCCCGACTTTCAGTGTTGGCCGTGCTCCTCCTGATACTAGTAATCTTCCTGACCCATCCGAACTTCCAATCCCTGAAGACGATGGGACAAAGCCACATTATAGCTATGCCAATCTCATCGGTATGGCTTTGATTCGGGCCCCCGGCAGGAAGCTCACACTAGCCCACATTTACAAGTGGATCTCGACACATTTTACATTTTACAAGTCAGCAGATTCGGGTTGGCAGAATAGCATCAGACACAATCTCAGCTTGAGCCAAAAGTTCGTCAAAGTCGAACGTCCGAAGGATGACCCAGGCAAGGGAAACTACTGGACAATTGCGGAGGGGTATGAATATGAATTTATCAAAATGAAGACTCGAAGGGGATCGGCGATTGTCAACAGCACTGTTGCAAGGAAGAAGTCATCGCAGGATCTAACAGCGACAATCAAGAAAGAGGACCTTCGGGCTGTCAAGACGGAGCCATTGCCAAAACCCATTGATCAGTTAGCAGTCCCTGCGACCGACGATTTCCCCACCATTTCTTCAGATGCTACTATCGACGAGGCTACCCTAGAGCCCGATTATCAGGGACTCACATCTCAGGCGGATTTCATCGGCGATCCGTTTGCATCACTTTTCGAGGAAGGCTTACCAATTACCAATCCCCTTCTTTCTGAGGCATTGCCACCTGCACCATCATCCCCACCTATCATGCACTCTTCGCCGCCAATCACACGGCGTCCTAGGTCTCCCGGTGCTAATAGCATATTCTCATCATCGAAAACAACTAAGAGAAAGAGACTTTCTGGTGGCCATGACATGGATGATAGCGGCTACTTCTCAGGCTTAGACTCATCTGTTAACAGACACAAAACTGGGATGGGACCACCGAAGAAGATCCGGAGAGGTCGTGCTGAGGAGGAACTTGCCCGCATTCGTAGCTCTTCAGCTGCGATGGAAAGCCCTATTCCACGTATGGGTGGTAGATCACCTATGCTACCTGGGTCGTCCTCGCCTCTGCGAGCATATGACCGCAACCATAAGCCAGCATTAGCACCAAAGACTCCTATCTCTGCTGTCAAGGCGATCTCTAAACCGCCAGCCTCGGCTAGCCCAGGTGCCAACCTAAGAATGCACCGTAATCTTGTTAGAAATCTCGTGGGCTCGCCGATAAAAGGCATGGAGCTCCTTAGCGATGAGCCATCCTGGATGCAAAGCTGGGATTTCGGTGGGAACGATACTGCCTGGGATTCAAATATGTTTCAGTCGTGGGAACAATGGGTGGAACCTGCCGAACCTGGCTTGGTTGAGGATCTTGATAACTACTTTGATACCTCCTTCTTCCAGTCACCAGTCCGAGACCCGAGCCCTAAGCGCTTGGATAAGAAGGTGCCCACGACCAATATTTTCGAAGACCTGGAGCCAGCTAGCGATGATATGCCTGCAGTCGCGTCCAAGGCTATCGACATTGTCGCAGCTATGAGACAGGGTGCCGAGAAGATTAGATCCGTCACCGAACGGCCTGGAATGTCCCGTGTCACCTCACTCAAGTTTTAATCGAATACCCTCATCTGAGAATGCCTGATGATTCCGACGAGACACTGACAAAATAACTTCACGCCTTTCATTTCCGTTCGTCTTGAATGAATTCCGAACATTTTGGACTCCGAAAATTGTCCAGAGTCAACGAACTAAACGACTTTAACTCGACACACGTCTCTCTCTCTCTCTCCCCCCTAACTTCGATATCTTCTGGACTCCCTATCTCTTATCTTTGCTTAGCACACTGTGCAATACCCCCTTTCGTACATTCTGGGACTTCTGTTTTACTTTTTACCTTTGGTCATGCATTGCATTCACAAACCGCATTCATGTTGTCTTCGCTCCTAGAATGGCAAAAAAAAGGAAGGGTGTTGAAATTCAGGTTTCCTTATTGCTCATCTGTTCATCATAGCGATATTTGCGATATTTATATTATTTGCTTTCAACTTTTTGTTTTACTATTGGGTGGTTTCAACCGTACACACTTTGTATTCGGAATCAAGGTAAGGTACGTTTCAAGTATTTGAATCGATTTTGTTCTTGCTTCCAGCCTTTAGTCTTTTTTCACCATACTATTTTCATCTTCCCTCTTCAAAGCCTTTATTCATGTTCCCTTCTGGTATATATGTTTTTCCCCTCTATCCATCCTATAATGCCTTATTTTTTTTGTATAACTGGTAATATCTTTTTTTTCTTTCTTGTTTTTTTGGTACGCCTATCCAACGTACGTACGACGAGATCGATGCCTACCGACACGTTCCTTTGGCCTTCTTCTGTTTTTTCTAATATCGATTTACCGATCTATTGACCACTTGTCTTTTCGTCGTTGAGCCTGTTTGCTGTTCTTTGTTATCTTTTTTATCTTATTGATATTGCCATCCTTGTTGTCTTTTCTATATAGGAGCTTGAGGAGAAACCAAAATCATGTTGGCTTTGTCTTTTTTTTCTTTTCTTTCCGTTTTTTTTTTTTCAGTTTTAGTTTTAAAGGACAAAAAACTGTCTAGTAACCATCTTAAGAAGCTCTCCTTCGATCTTCTTGATATTTTTTTATATTTCCAATTTTGGAATATCATATATATTTCTTCGTTCATGAAAATCTGTTTTTTTTATGTATTTACTTTTTTGAAAGCTAGAAAATTAAATACCAAAAACAGATTTAAAAAATAATTATCTATATAAGTAGAATGCATTTTTTGGATATCTAATATTAATGATGAGCTCATATTACATGTTATACGTATCATGAGATTGCATATGATAAATAAATACTTAAGTATATATGGATCCACGAAAAGCTAGTCTTGTCCGTATACGTCGTAGGCCCCATCGATCGAGGCCGTTAAAATGTCTACGACAAAAACGGGGTTTGTGTAATTAAATCGATCGGTACCTGAATAACCGTTTGAAATAGATTTAAACCGTTCCAGGCACCGCCGTAAACGTTACAACGTTATTTATAAAATTATCAACGTTATTAACGTTAGACCACGATCGAGGATGTATGTACGATGACTACCACAAGCATCATGGAATACGCATACGGCCGAACAAAACCCTCCCGTATGAACCATGGTAGCACTTAGTCCATATACATCCAGGAGAGAATGCAAAAGGACAAAAATAGAGCAAATTTCCTCCATTCCATATAATTCGGATCGGCTATTAGATCAATCGGTAGGTAGGTCAGAATATCGCTGCCACCAACATTCCCAATCCAATAAATTAATACCATTAAAAACAAAGCCGAGAAGAGAAAGAGAAAGAGCTTCTCCCTCCCCAAAAATGAAGATTACAGGCGTAGATATAATATATGTAAATGACATCAAGTCTTAACCTTCACCTCCTGCCCATCAACCACAATAGTCCCCACCACCGCCCCACCACCACTCCCGCTGTTCCTCCCACCACTACCCGACGAAAGAAACCGTACGGGAGCTTGGTTATAAAACGGCCATGGAGGAACAACTGCCAAGAACGTAAGTACCGTTCCTGCGAGACAGATGTATAGCGTATACACGATATTCTGGCTGACGAAACCGGCCAGGAACCCGACGATTGCGGAGACGGTAAGGGTGTAGGTTGTTATTTGTTCCGCGAGTTTTTGGCCCTGTGTATATATACTTTTGATTAGTATGAAGAGAAGAAAGCATTGAGGTTTATATTATATAAGTATATATATAGATAGATATTCTTTAAGAAAAGAAAATATGAGGAGGGGTTTGAGGTACCTGGAAGTCCTATGGAGAGGAATGAATATACGGGTTAGCTTCATGTTGACTATTCAACTTAGTGATGAGGGTTGAAAGAAAGGAAGGAAGCTTACGATGAATCCATCAACGACGGCTTGGAATTGGTCTTGAATTGCCTCCATGGTAGTAGATCTTAAAAAACTTCCCGGCGCCGAGATCTAAGGGGTCTCAATAAAGTCTGGGGAAAAGCAGATAGGTAGTTCGTGTGGATCTGGCGATGCGTTTAAGTTTCGCGAAGCTTGCAATTGCAGCAGTTGTGGATTGGAAGGGGGACGGGCTGGTTGGGTTATGTGTCCAGAAGCAGCCAATCGGCGGTTGCGACTTGGACGTCCGGTCCAACACACCCGAACACCACAACTACCAATCCAGATCACGGTCATATACATCAACGATATGTTTTTTTTTGTAGGTAAATAACACTAGAATTTAATCTCAGTAGTTAAAGTTTAATATTGATATCTACAAGTAGAATGTAAAAATAAATAAATAAAATAAAATAAATAAAGTTGGAGAAAGCAGAGAGAACAGTATCATGATAAAAGGGATAATGATGAGGAAAAGAAGTAAAGCTTCAGTTGATCAGGGAAAAGAAACTCCAAGAGGACCATCAGAATCAATATCCCGCGGTCCTATATCCCGCTGCCTTTTCTAAATAAAAACAGCTACCATGTTGCAATAATTGCAGAAGCCGTAAAAAAAGAGTATTACAAACATACGTTGCAGGCATGGAACAAAAGCATTTCAGAGGCATTGTGAAAAAAGCGTAGGCGAAAAGAGGACGTGAGAAACTAGACGAGGAGAGTCAATAGGACGCCAGGGGCTTCGGGGAAAGGGGATAAAAGTAAAACGCCACCGGTAGCATGAAGGAAAAAAAAAAGGACAAGGGACAAGGGACAAGGGAAAGGAAACCAGCCTTATTCCCCACGTAACAAGGTAAATAACCGATCGGACTAAAATTCGAATATCGTGCGTCACCCCACGATATCTATGATCGCTGAAAGATAGGCACAGCAAAGATACTGTCAGGCATCTATCTCCTCCACTCTCTTGCTCGCTCTCTGTCTCTCTCGCGCTCTCTCTCGCGCTCTCTTTCTCTATCTCTTTCTCTGTCTCGATTTCTATCTCCCCCGCCGCCTCCTCTACCACCGCCGCCACCGCCGCCCACACTACCTCTTTCGTCTCTCCGCCTCTCATGACCATCTCTCCAATCCCTATCGTCTCTCGGCTGACGGTCATCTCTCGGTTGTCGGTCATCCCTCGGTTGCCGGTCATCCCTCGGTGGCCTACTACCATCGCTCCTATACGATGGTATGTATGTATCGGTTTTGTCTTTTCCCCCCTTCCCCTGTCTCCCATGTCCGTGGGCACCGCCTTCAGGTGGTGGCGCTCTTACATCCCTCGTTTCCCCTCTTTCGCCGTCCTTTTGCCACGCTGGCCGTCTACCGCCGGGTGGTGGCGGTGGTGGTCTGACATGTCGCCCATTACCATTCACATAAGGTACCGGTATCTCACCGCTCCAATCAGCTGACGGCCCAACCCCGACAGTCCCTCCCGCAGGTGCAGGCGGTAATGGCCTCTGGCCTCCCTTCTTACGACGATCGAGTTCGTGGCTATCTTCAAATTCGGGCAGGTCGGATGGCCTAGAGGGGCGTGGATCGCATTTGAAATATTCGTGTTCCAAGGCGTCCATTGCATTTATGCGGTTACGTGGGTCAAGTTTAAGAAGTTCCGATAAGAGTGCGACTCCCGAGCTCCCAAGTCTATTTCACGGTATTAGGAATCGGTTGCTCAATCAATTGACTGGGAAGCGAGGCAATTCGTTGACTCACATATTAAACTGCGCCTCCAAGGTACGATGATGGTTGGGGAAGGTCTTGACGAGCCTAGCATCGGGAAGTCTCTCCCATCCCGGCATATTTCTCTCAGTCGGAGAACCGCAAAGTTGGAATATAAGTTCGATTTGATGTGTATCACTGTTTCCTGTCAAAATCGGCTTCCCTCTTTTCATCTCTGCAAATACGCATCTGGTATAGAGCGTTAGTACGGATTTTTCCAGGAGCAAAGAAAACGGTGTTCATCTTTACCCGACTCCCCAGATGTCAACCGCTGCGGTGTAGTTTCGTTCTCCAAGACATAGCTCTGGCGCGCGGTACCACCTTGTCACAACATTGCCCGTGTACTGCCTCATCGCAACACCACCTCCAGACCCAGGGGTCGGCGCGGGTTCGTCAAATCGTCTTGCTAATCCAAAGTCTGCTATCTGTAGGATGCCTTTGTTGCTGATGAGCAAGTTGGCGGCTAAGGTTCATTTCCCGTGTTAGCGGAGGAAGTATATAACGGGCAGCCGGTCGTTGTACCTTTGATGTCTCGGTGTAGGATGTTGTTATTGTGGAGATATTTGATGCCGTCAAGCAATTGCAGCATAAAGCATTTAATCTGAGCCTCGGTTAGGTTGACTTGTGGGTTCTCAAGCAACCCCGAAAGGTCGTAATGCATATATGGGGTAACCATCATTATAACCCCTCGTTTCTGTCCATCCTTCCCTCCTAATAGAAGAATGAATATTAGCCATCTAGGTACCTTGTAGCTTGATTGCTTAGGCTGGTCGTACTCGTCGGTTTATCTACTGCCATTTCTAGTAGCGGAATCACATTTTTATGTCGTAGTTGCTTTAGATATTTTATTTCTCGAAGCGCAGTAATTGGGAACTGTCCACGGACATGTTAGCTCAAGATCGATAACAGCAAGCTAGGGATACAATCAATTCACATACCCCTTCTTTCTCATTGGTGACAGTGAATTGCTTCATTGCAACCATTGCACCATTTCTAGTATCCTCGGCTTTGTACACCAATCTAAAATCCTCTCTAACCGTCAGGCCTCACTTTCCTCTCTCTCTTCGTGTTCCTCCCCTAGTTCTCAGCAAAAGGGTAGAGACTCACCCGAATGTCCCCTCTCCAAGTTTGTTAATCTGCTTGTAAACCGTACGTGACGAACATCCTCGAAATTTATGTGTTCCGGGATTCCGGGGGTCTTGTATTGACGGTCGTTTCGAAGGTGTAGGACGTTCAGCGACCGGGGAATCCGGCGCACGACGTTTTGTGGGCATCATGCCCTGCGGTGTCCTGTGGGAATCCACCTTTGCAGGATGTAGATGGTGATTGGGCCAACTGGCCGAGGTTGAACGACGTGATTGAGAGGGTTATTGGATATAGAGGGAGAAGCAAACGTGGGGTCTTTTTGGGGGACAAGATTTTTGGTGGCTGGAGTGGGTAGTGATGCTAATGACGCGAAGGGACCAGGGGTTAGCAGCCTCTGTGGCTTGTGATGTATCCAACGTCCAGGGCTAGGAGTATGGCGGAAGAGAGGCTATTGATTATGAAACCGATGATAGCGTGCTCAGTGAAGTCGTAGACAGGAGTGTCGATGGGGCCGGCTGGATGGAAGGATGGAGGGTGGAAAGGATGAAGGTTGATGGCGATGATGTTGTTGATTGAAGGTGGATCGGATCCATAACAACCACATGGAAGCCAAGACACGGCATTCTTGGCGTCAAAACAGGGACTGCCAGCCAAAATCCAACGACGGCAACTCTCCGCATTTCCGGACCTACTGGCCCTCCTCACAGGGGATCTCTCTATTGGTGCCGGAAGTTAAGGAAGTACTAGATAATATCGGCGGCTGTGTACCTTTATATTCTTCCACTTCACTTATCTCCGGCCGGGCTTAGTCGCTATTCAATTGGGTATTACGCCATGACATTTAGTGCGAGCCCGCTATTGGACAAATAGAAAATCGATCGACTACTTGTATGTATACCTGCATGCTGCAAGGAGAAAGCCATACATACATAACTAGCTTCAGGAAGCCAACCAATATAATATACCCCATATGGCATACATTTGAATATTCACAAGGTTGTAATTGCTTAAATAGCGTTAGCTTCAGCTTCAAGGCCTTATTAACTTATTTAGTTTCAATTTGCAACCAACAATTAATCGAGGGTGTTTATATGTTGATAGTTATTCTTTTGGGGAAAAAAACAAAAAGCTCAGCATTTTGTTCGGGAATCTTCCATCAAAATTATGTAAGACTTGGGGGATCATATGCATATGGTGAACCTCTGGAATTTTGGACGTTTATAACAGCTGTCAAACTAGCTGTGTGAAGTCTTTTTTTCAAACACGGTTTCTTTAAAAGGCCGCTGTTTCTACTTTAGGGAGATCTCAAGTATACTTAATAATATACATCGCGATCGAAACTCCTTGTAATTCAACCGTGTACGCAAGGACGTGGACCGATTTGAGCAGATCCATGGATAGTACGGATTTAATAGACTAATAAATTTCGAATTAGGATCTGACTAAGACGACGAATTGGTCCTCGACACTAAAAATATTCTCGTCAGCAAAAAGGTGTCATGGTCATGCATTCTTTAGGTCTAGGATTCTAGAATCTTCAATTAAGATGTCGCCCCCATAATTAATTCCAAAGTGTTCAACTTACCCGATATCGGGTGCATGGCCATATGGGCTCCCAAGAGTATTCTACGATCCTTTCTTAGCGTAATGTACCCTATACAGACAGAAATAGTACATACCAGTATATCCCCAATATAATTGGTCGGTTTGACCCCTGCTTTATACACCTCATCCCAATGACTAACAATATCATTGACGACTCTTACACCAGCAACATAGATATTTGCGATAGCACCAGCGAATCCACCCTGTGGGGCTTGAAGAAGATGGTATAACTCATCGATACCAGGCGGTGCTCGATCAAAATCGCTTCCGGTGCTTTTTATTCTCGTTAGTATGCTTTATTAATATCCTCTACTATCGTATACATACCGTAAAATGATAACACGTGCAAAATCCACCAAGTTAGCGGCCGCAGCGCGGACTAGAACTGCCAGTGTAGCGTTATCTTCTTGCTGTGAAAAAATAAAAATCCAAGTAAAATAAACATTAGTTTGGAAAAGTAGTTTATATATGTCGAATAACCGCCTATTTACCTGAGTTGTACAATACTCCCCAGTTCCATTGGTAAGCAAGACAGTAAGATTCCCAAAGACCCCAGCAAGTACTGATCCAGTCCACCACTACTCGTTCAATATCAGCTTCCATTCATATATGTTCTTTATACCCGAATACTCACAGTATCAGAAGTTCCGGTATCACACTACCGGATGAGTTCCAGTTAGCGATAGTTCACTCACTATTGATCCAAAAGGTTACTAGATAGTGTATCTAAACTCACCAAAGTAACACCAGGGGGCGTCCTCGCCGCTGGTATACTGTATAGTCTTCTATATCTCGCTGCCTCGGTATCAACCAGCTTAACACCAGTTGTCGCTAAAAAGACCCTCTTCCTTAATGCTTCATTCAACCCAAACACCTCCGTTCCATATATTACGCCCGGATAGATGTTATTCTTAAACTCCTTTGTTCTTTGCCTAACTCATCCACATAGAAATCAGCTTTACCCGATAAAAGCCTGCTTAGTTAATAGTAGGATCAAAAACGAAAAATAAAAAATAAATAAAAATATACTAACGTAAAAAACCCACTCCCAAAATCCAACCCCCCACCCCTCGGCAACTGTCCCGAATCAATCTCATACTGCAGCCCCAACTGCACCGCAAACCTCGGAAATGTCACCGTCCCCGTCGTTCCATAATTCGGGTTAATCCCACTAATACCCCCAATAAAAAAATACGTCTCACTCAGATCAAACATCCGAGAATATACAAGCGCAGACATTGAAGCCGCTGCATTAATCTCTGCTTCTGCCGTAGTAATATGACAAACCTCTCCGGTGGTGGTACAGTATACTTCTGGATAACGGGGGGAAAGACCGGGGACCGTGACGTTGAGGCCGTAGAGGGTGGGGGTGTAGTTATTTAGGAAGACGTCGGCTTCGAGGCTGAACTGTCGATGGTTTAGTATAGTCCAAAATATTTATGTATACATGTGATTATAATAGGAGGGGAGAAGTACTATTGCAACAATCATGACCTTCGGCTTGATTATATCTGAAGAGCCGTCGCTTCTTCCGAGAGGGGCATTGCCTCTTTGTCTTATCACATGGCGCTCTTGGGCTCTGTTTCTAGGAACATATCGATCGCTACGATATTTTGGAAGGCCATTCGGGGGAATAATCGAACGAATAGTCATGGGAAATACGAAGAGTAATACGAAGGAAATAAGGACTAAAATCTGGGTAATAGAACCCATACTGAGAGTTATCTAGGTAGAATATATATGTGGGAACAGCACAGTATGCATGCTGCGACTGGTAATAAAGAAAGAGAGAGCTAAAGTTAACTTGAGAAATTTCATAATTGCATAAGATATTTTAACTAACAACTAGCTAGACTAGTATATTCCCTGAAATTTATGATACTTGTCCACCGTCAATTCCATAGCAATCCACAGCATGCTAACATTCGATAGGACCACGACATCTCAAAATCCAAATTCCTAAAACTTTTCGTGTTGAAGCTCCCAAAATCCAACAGCATCTCTATATTTACAGTCAAAACCACCATGAAGTAATATACAATTCACTGACGCCGTAAAACGTCATTTAATGACTACCGGATCATTCTATTCCCGCAATAAACGTTCGAGTAAGAAAAAAAAAAAAAAAGATAGAAAGAAAGAAACCAGATACGATGTAAAAGACGTCCAAATACCAATAACCACTCCGACGTTGCACAAAGAAAAAAACTCTACCCGCCCATGCATAAGAAGTATGCAGATAAGTACTATGCATGTCGAGTAACTGCCCAATCCAGCGGCTTGCAAGCTTGTGTAACATGGGCCCCCCTCTGTTCCCAACCTCATCAATTGCAAACAACCACAAAATTCTGACCGGGTACTACTGTGTAACCCGGGATCACAGTCATCCATCCATCCACGGCCATCAATCCATACCTGCAGGCCTGGGCCCGTCCTTTGTGCTCGAGTAACCTTTCTATAAATTCTATAAAAAGGATATTTAGTCTACAATAAACGACATAAATAGTATATACATCCGCCATAAAACACTTACGACCTACATTGTAAGTTTTTTCTTTTTAAAAAATGATTCCACATCGATAATATTAATATTCCCGTAGGCCGGTGCACTAACGTTGTAAACTCTACCCGCCCCCCGTTGGAATGCACCGGCCGGCCTGCATATGCAACCCTCAGCCCCGGGCCCTCGTCTCCAACATTTATATCCCCCCGTCCACTAAACTAAGGAAGCTAACTACTTAACTTTAACTAACTGGCTGTAATGCTTCATACCGTAAACGGCAATCGTCGAAAAGAGGAAATGCAACATCTTTCCAACGCACATGTGAGACATATTCTAGAAAAGAAAAATATAGTGCTAAAGACCCATTCGCATTGTAGCCTCGAATAGATAGAAAACTGTTTACCGTATCGATAGTGATAAAATAAGTTTAACTTTAGTAAAGCCCATCACATCATAAGGTATAGATAAGAATATATGTTGCTAATACAAGATGTTTAAGAAGTATATTATCAGTCTCGCAATATATTATGCCGTGGATACCCAAGTCCTAATACCAACGACGACTTGTCCGGTGACTCCGTACCTAAATACGTATACATGCCAGCGTAAAGCTAAAGAACTTCAATTCTGGATCTAACCTTCGTATCATCAATTAAATTAACTTTTAAAGAAATATCTACAGAGTATACACAAAACTGCCCAAACTTACCACATCCCCATCCGCTCGCATGCACAATCTTATCATCAATTAATTAAACTTTCCAAACCCAAACTTCATAGCTACCAAATAAATTATAACCCCCCCAAATGATCCCAAAAACCTCACCATAGTCCATACATCACACATTCTAAACTACTTAACCGCTACAGCTAGCGATAAATACGTCCCACCAATGTCCAAAACACCACGGTCGATTTACAGCCTCAAATCCCAACCGCCACCTTCAAAAGACCCATAACTAGAAGGTACCATAGTCCTATTACATTAATATCACAAACCATATCAATACACCCCGAACCGGGCTATATATCACCAAATGCCCCCCCGCCGCCCCTCGACTTCAACCCCCACCCAAACTCCAAAAAACCCCTTCACTTTGGCCGTAACCTTCGCCAACTCCCTCCTCACCCCCAAAATCGAATCCAACCCAGACCCTCTCCAATCAATCCGCGACTCAACAAGTCTCTACGGGTTTTACATGCAAGCAACAATAGGCGACTACAGACCTCCATTCCCTTCCGCCAGTAATTCTTCCAATAAAGACGTCGGTATATACGAAAGAACCGCGTGGTTGAAATGGATGAGTCATAAGGGCATGTCCAAGACCGAGGCGCAGAAACTTTATGTTGAGATGGTGGGGAGGTTGATGGTTGGGTATGGGGTTGAGGATGGAGTTCGTGAGGATATTGGGGTTTGACCCCCCGGGCCCTTGGCCAGTTAGGGGGAGTGGTTTGTTGAACATATGACGGTTGTAATATCTTTCTTTTTATTTAGAGAGCGTCGGAATCGGTGGAAATATTGGAAATGTCTGCCCGGGGGATGATCGAGAAGGCAGTATATATATTCTATGTACGATAAATTTGTATTGCGACTATAAGAGTAGTTTACAATGTTTAGGGAATGTTACGATATGTGAGAACTGCGTTAAGATAACCCGTATACAGATATACAACATTCACATCTACGAAATTTACGAAAGTATCAAAACGTTTTTCTTCCGCGCGCCACAATTCCACATTAATATTTCACCCCCACTCCCCATGCATGCTCTCCACATGCGCAAGTATCTCTAATAGTATACAACCACAGGCTCCACGCGCTCACGATACAAAGTAAACCATAGGGCAGAATGCAATCGCAAGATGGTGACATCGTCAATAAAAAAGTGACCATCTTTACGACAGAAAAATTCCACCCACGACGCCCTATCCTTGAAAATCCCGCCCATATATCTACGCCTCAAAACGCCGCCATGTGAAAAAAAGAAAAACAGAAATCATATCTAAATGGTGAAAACGTAAACGCCAGGATACCAGAATGCATGTCTGGTATATGCTGCCGGGGTATCGTGCTAGTAAAGCAAAAAAAAACGCAATCGTAATATCGTCGTAATGTAAAAACGCCCGGAAACACAAAAAGTCATGGTGTGTGTCAAGACAAGGCGTAATGGTCTTGAGCACACGGCATTTAAGAGCCGTAGCTCTCCAACTCCCCCAGAACGTCCTCCAACCGGGCCGTGTAGGAGAACCGAGCAGGCGCGGCCTCCCCAAGCATGATGTCTTGCATCATGTCTTGGGAGGCTGCCGCCTCTCGGTCCTCCAGGGCCTGGTTCTGGTCCTTGAACTGCCGGACCGCGGCGACCAACTGGCCAAGGTTGCCCCCGAGCTGGGAGCGAACCTCGACCCGAAGGTCGTACTCGCGGCAGGCATAGGCCAGCGCGACAGTCAAATACCCGAACGCAACGTTCAGGTGTGTCTCCTCGACACTTTCGGCCTAGTTAAGTTGTTAGCAAGATGAAATCGTTTATACACAACAGCGATTCAAAAACTTACCAGTTCGAGGCGGTCGTGGCGTTGTCGGAAAACGCCCATTAATCCCATGATTAATGGGACGTTTTCCGACCTTTGGATGCGGAGGAGCATCCTGGCGGTCTCACTGAACTCCAACAAGTTGGAGAGCAGTATCGTGGTGAGGACAAGGATGTCCACATCCTTGGAGGTGTCAACCTCCTCGTCCTGACTGCCACCAAGTTCTCTGAATTGGTGGATGCATGTATCCACGATTCCAGTGAGGCCGTTTTTGTGGTCGGCGACCGAGGTGGAGGTGGCCGGAGCGTCGTTGGTGCGATCAATGCACAGCTTGAACACTGCGGTCTGGAGGTCTTTGATGCGGGCTGCCCCCCGCATCTGGGGTTGGGTGTTCCACCCGAGAACCGTTGGCAGAACATCTGCCAGAACGGCTTGATGACCGGGGTCCAACCCGGCATCCAAAGCCCGATTAATGCGGGCCCCCTGAGCATAATGGCTCAGGATCGAGGCGGCGAGAACGTAGCTCGTCAGGGCTTTCTCGCCCGGCATTGAGGTATGCCCGTTCAACGGGCCCAAGATCTCGACGAAGGTTCGAGGATCGAAGGAGCTGAAGATCAGCTTCCTTCCTTCATCCTTGCTGACATTCTTCAGCAGCGTGTTGATGATCATCATCGCAACGTAACGTTGCGAGAACGATCCTGGGACATCGTCCCGGATGAATCTGCAATCCAAGAGACGATTTCGAAGCTTGCCCGTAACAAGGTTGATCTGGATAGAGAGCTTGAGGACACTACTCCTCGCAAGCTCTTCCATATCCTCGTCGTTCTCGAGCATCACCTTCAGCATTTCAAACCCCCCGTTCTCGTGCATAAGTTCGACCGCGTGGCCGCTGTATCTGTCCTCGTTCAACAGGATGAAGAGAGTCCACCCGTATCCTATACGGGTGAGCGCGTCTCCCTCAGCCTCGAGGTTCTTGAACAGCTTGGCAGGGTAGCCGTTCAGTCGGAACTTGGTCGTAAACTCCTTTCCGCTTTCTGTGTTGTTCGACATCCTATACGCGATGTCGAGGATACTGCTTCGGCGCGTGGGATTCTCCTTCTGGGCGTCCTCCATCAAAGCATTGATTTCGTTAAGGACACGCTGGTGGCGGCCCTTCTGTAAGAGTTCGTGGCGGCTCAAAACCTTTGGCCCATCATCTTCATCCTCCGGCATGTCATAGGCGGATCCCTTCTTGGTATTAGCCTTAACGGCCTCCTTCTTCTTGTCTGCGGCCTTCTTCCCCTTCTTGGCTCCTTTCTTTATCTCTGCTTCGGCGATGGCGGCAGCAGCCATGGCCTCTTCCTTCTCGCGTCTCAAAACTTCTTCGTAGTGTGCTTTCTTGGCTGCTTGCTTAGCTGCCTCTTCTCTCGAACGGTTAAGCTCCAACTTATCATCCTCTCTTTGCTCCTCTTCGGTGACTGGTTGTCTCATGGTTCTCTGTGAGACGCCATATGATTTCTTAGCAGCTCCCTCGTTACGAAACTTCGAACGCGTCGTACGGACTCCGTAATCAGCAGCGAACATAGCGCTGTTGATTTGTGCCTGTAGGTCTGCCTCCTTTTCTGCGATACTGCCTGGAACGACCTCGTCGGTTCCCAAGTTAATCAATTCATCTTCGATGCTCTTCCTCCTCGGCTGTCGCGTAACCGGCTGCTTCTTAGCCTTTTTCACAGGTGCTTGCTGTTCTCCTATTTCAGCAACACGAGATTCGATTAGTTCAGCCAAACCAGATGGCATCTCAACAGCGGATGGCTCCTTGTTCAACGAAGGAACCTTGCTATTCTCCGGGGAGCTCATGACAGCGTATGAAAGGTCGACTGCGTGGTCGTAGACGAAATCCGTTTGTTCTGGTTCGTCAGCTTCGACGGATGCTTTAGTAGCCTTTTCTGCCTTCCTAGCAGTAGCCTCGCTCTTCTTCTTTCCTAGATTCTTTGACAAAGCTGGGTTGGGTAGTTCTGTACCCTTGGCTCCACGGTCTTGTCGCTTCTTAAACAGTCTCTTAGCACCTTCATCATCTGATTCCTCGGCTTTCTTTCGCTTGACAGTCGTTTCTTTCGGTGTCGGCTTTTGTTTCTTTTGGTTCTTCGGCTTAGCAACGTAATCTGATTCAGAATCCGAGGAAGCTCTAGCTTTCCGCTTTTCAGTTCTTGCTGGGACAGAGGTCGCGACTTTTGACGGGACCTTGTCGGACTTGGAGGTAACCTTCTCCATTGGTTTCGCGGGTTTCGTGGCAACGGCTGTGACAGGGGCTTTTCGCCTGATCGTTCTGTCTATAACTGGCTCGCTGTCGCTGTCTGACTCGAGCGTAACTGCATTCATGGCAGTTTTTCCATTAGTAGCTTTGGTATTTCGAGCTTCGGTGATGGATTTGGAAGCAGCAGTTTTTGGTTGTTGAACTTCAGTAACGGCTTTAACAACAACAGGCTTCTTTTGTTGAGCTGGGTCGGAACTCTTGCCATTACGGGCTTCAGCAACGGGTTTTAAAGAAACGGCCTCAGCAACGGGTTTTGAGGAAATAGGCTTAGCAACGGGTTTTGAAGAAACAGGCTTCGTCTCCGAGACGGTCTTCAAGCTCTTTCGGATGTGTTCTTCTTTCTCAGAATCGCGTCTGGCCCCCTTTGCTGGTGGTTGCTGGTACGACATTGCTGTTGTCGATTTGTTCTTGAGGTTTTGTTCAGTTCGTTGCTGAAACTTGCTTATAGCTGGGGAAGTAACTGTGGCCTTAGTCTTCAGAGGCTCGATGACATCTTCCTCGGACGTCTCAATCTCGAAAACCTTGTCCTTCAGCTGCTTCTTCGGGCGTTGTTGCTGATAGGTATTAGCAGTAGCGGTGGAGGGTTTGACCTTCTTCAAACCCCTCTCAAGGACCTCGTCATCGGAGCTGTCCATATCGTATACGTCATTCTTCGGGTTCTTGGTGTTCTTCACCAGCTTCTGTTCGAAACTTGTTCTCTTCCTCTTAGCGGGATTGATCGTAGGCGTAGTAGCAGTGGTTATGGAACCATTCTTCGAATCCTTGGACTCGGTGGTGTGTTTGTTAGGCTGAGGAACAGTAGCTCCTTTTTTCTCCATGGCTCGGGCTTTGAAGACATCGTTATATTCATCTTTAAGGCCGGCGCTAGTTCGAGCGCCACGATACGATTTTTTGTCTCGCATGGTTGGTGATATGCAAAGAAGATTCACGTGAGGAGTGGTTTTGATTGTTCGTGATGATCTAGGTGGGATGGAGACGAGAGATAACTTAGTCAGGACTTAGTTAGGAGGAGCTAGTCGAGTGGTTGGTTGGTTGGTTGATGGTTGGTTGATGGTTAGATGGATGTGAAGGTGAGGTGAGGTGAGGAAGGTGGGATGAAGATATCGGAAGGATAAATAAATAAATAAAGTTTGCGGTTGTGTTGGGAGAAGAGCTGCGATCTAGGAAGAATAATGCGCAGGTTGACGTCTTGAAGGTTGCAAGTGTTGTTGTCGTTGCTGTTTTGTTCGTGATCGCAATTGCTGATATGGGACATGAGAAATTTCCAAAAATCAACGAATTAAGCGATTGCAGCAAGCAATGAGAATGCAGCGATAAGAATCGGGTTTTCAAGGAGATATTGAAGATAGAGAAGCCGATGGTTATAATGAAACTATCCAGTACGAAAGGACGTGGATAATAGAAGTTCGGAGAATTGATGGCTTGATGAAGATGGTGAAGGTGAATGTTGATGAGAGGAAGAAGGGTGAGTTTGAGTGTGAGGTGAAGTTGAGAAGAGATGGAGCGACAGACAAACGAGACAGACGAGACAGACCGAGAAGAGGGAAAGGGAACACAACAAAAACAAACCTGCGTCTTCGCTTAGTGCCACGGTGCTGCTGCTGTTGCTGGTACTGAGAGCCGCACAATGACGACAACAACACAACACAACAACACATTACCCTGTCAAACATCTCGAAACGCGACCTCATTCAATTCAATTCAGTCCATCTCAACTCAGCTCAATCTCTTCCCCATTGATCTATCTAGTACTATTCACATCGACACGTTCGAAGTCCCGACATCACACATCCACCATGGTATAATATCCTCACTCTCCTTTGATTCGATCTCTGTGATCTGGAAATACGTAGCTAACTTTCAATCAAACAGGGTAAACGAAGAAAAGCCATCAAAGTCAAAGGCGACCTCAAAGAAAGTGTACGCCTGTCTCCCCTTCCTCGCCTATTGTATTCCTCGCATGCTACCATCCGGCATCTATCCGGCATCCCGTCTTGAAGGACAATCATAGGCTAATATAACATCCCGACATCTCCAAACAGCAAAAACCTCTCCCGACAGTCTTCAATTGTCTCTTCTGCAATCATGAAAGATCAATAATCATCAAACTTGATAAGAAGAACAGTGTCGGATCCCTTCACTGCAATGTCTGCGGTCAGACATACCAGACTTCTATCAACTGTACGCCCCCACGACCCTTATATAACCACCGCCGTTACTACAGAACCGTGAGCTGACACTTCCTACCACAATCACAGATCTCTCCGGAGCGGTAGACGTTTATGCGGACTGGGTCGATGCAGCCGATGAAGTTAAAAAGGAGCAGAGGAGGGCAGCCAAACGAGGTGGTAACTCCTCAGGCGGTGGGGAATCACGAGGAGTAATGGAAAGAAGACGTGAGAGCGACCCTGGAGAGGATGACGAAGACGATCTCGACGACGACGTGGATGATTAGGACATCTTCCCATTTGGTCTGGACGAGAACGGTAGCTTTGTCAACCCTCCAAGGGACGTTGCTTCTCCATCTGCTCCTACTACTCCGATTCGCCCTCCCCGTTCCCGTGCTTCTACCGCTGCAGCCGCTGCCACCGAAGGATCGGCCAGCCCTCCGATCCGTTCTCGCCCTCGTCCTCAAGCTATCGACCTGGGTACCGACCCCGGTGGGAACAGTCCCTTACGCCCACCATCCGATATTTCTTCCATCAGTGACCCCGGACCAAGTTCCGCTGGTCATCATCCCAAGCCTTGATATTTCTTGCCAGCCAGAAAGAAAGAAAGAAAAAAGCCCAGGTATTCTTTGGTGTCTAGGAGATTGCTATTGTTATTTGATCTAGCTCTTTTTGTTTATTCCTTTTACCCATCTCGTTTACAGGTGTCATTATGTACTTATATTTATATCTATCGAAGCGAAGGCCTCGGAGAATCTGAATGAATTCACGAAACAGCATTGATTCATATTTGCTGCTTCTTTTTTTCGCCAGTTATAGACACATTAAAACGAGAAAAAAAAACTGGTTTATTGAAACCATACCCGAAGTAAAGGCCCCAAAGGAAAGAGATAAAAAACCTCGCTATGACAAAAAAAAATTAAAAAGAGAAAATCAATGCACTAAAATCATTCATCCAAAGTTCCAAAGTGTCGGTCTCCAAAGTCACCAAGTCCAGGAACAATATAGCTAGAAGTTCGCCCCAAAAAAGTCAGCATGCCTCACATCCTCTACCCATACCAGAAGGAGGAACCAAGAAACCGGGGGGGAAACTCACTTCTTATCATCCAACCCCTCATCAATAAACGCCGTAATAACCCTCAACTTCGGATACTTGCTCGCAAAGTGTTCAATCCCCTCAGGACTAGCAATCAAATTCAAAAACAAAATCCTCTCCTCAGCCACACCTTTCTCCTTCAAAACCTGTACCGCCATACTAGCGCTACCACCGGTAGCATTCATAGGATCCAACAACAAAACCCAACGGTCTGCGATATCATTGGGTAGTTTGTGATAGAATAGCTTGGGTTGGGCGGTTTCTTCGTCACGTTGGATTAGGATCTTGCCGATACGGACGGAACGACAGCAGTCCCGGAGACCTTGTTCCATGGATTCGCCGGCTCGCATGATGGAGACACCGCAGATTTTGCCTTCGAAACGGACACCGGCGTAGGTTCGTCCTAGAAGATACATATATAGAAATTAGGAGGTATATTCGAGTTATAGCCGTGATACCGAGCTTTTACCTAGCGGAGTGGTGACCTCATGTTCCTTGACGGGCAAGTGGTTCAATCCTTCCTCGACCAGCAATCTTATTATACGGTTTGAGTAGAAGATAAAGTCCCCCCTCTGAGTATTCTTGTCTCGAATAATCCTATAAACCTCCCCATATCAAGATTAGTAAAAAAAAAAGTAAAAAGACAGGGATTCAAGAAAATTTTGATGATTCGAGCAGACGTACGTAAGCAGAGCGATCAACTGAGGTGTCTGTGGTAAAACGTGAACAGTGTCGAATTTAATCTTCCCGGAGACGGTAGCCTTTGGCTTCTCATCTTTATAGGAAGGGCCAATTGGAGCGGCAGCACAACCTTCGACACCGGTGTCCGGTGCTGCCGTAGCCATTTTTATGTATAATTTTTTATATATTCTTTTCGAGGGAAGAAGTCGAAGTCGAAGTCTGATCTAAAAACAAATAGGTCACACAATATACACACAAGCTTTTCGGGTGTAGTGTGTAGGACAATTGACGGGGAATTTGCGAGCGCAAATTCTAAGGTTTATTTTGATTTTTTTGTGATTCTGGGATGATACAATCGGTTATCGAGGAAAGCAAGCTTCTGGTCGAAACAGGCTGGTACCGAGTGAATTATATAAAGTAATAGAAATGTCAGACAGGGGTATTGATTGAGGGGAAGGCTGTCATGCGACAGTAACAGTACTAGTTAGTATTCTACTAAAGCTGCAATCCTTAGCACCTGTTAGTGATTAATAGTAGTGGTAGTAGTGTATGTGACGGGTAGGGGTGATAGTACCTAGTAGTGGTTGATCGGAAGAAGAGCTGAGAAGAGAACGTTAACAAGAACGGTGGTTGCCGAAGCTGACCGTTTTAAGCCAGTTTAGGAAGCCAGCCAACATAACGATCGGTGGCCTCCGCGATCCCTCCGTTTTCACAAAAATCTCCCCTGCATTTTACACCTCATCGTATTAATTATATAAACTATAAGATCAGGCCAAGGAGACTTGGATATTAATTTAAGTAAATTACGTGGGAGTGTGTATGACGTCGGTAGGTTTATATATATAATTGTTATTCTGTGCCGCACTGTCTGCCGCAGAGGTTCGGACCATACATATATCCATGACATGTGCAGTCCTGTCGGTAACCGTACCGTACCCGGGCCCGAAAGAGAGATGTGTACGACAGAGCTCACTCGATTATAATTCAGTGTATTCTTAGAATATACCTGGTAGATGGCTATTATTAATGGTAAACAAGTTATCGGAGACGGTTCCCACTGTCGATACCTGATAAATACCATATACGATAAGATAAGTTGCCTTGATAGCCATATCTCAAAACCTAAAACTACCACTACTACCACCACCCTGAGTGCCTCCTACTAGCTACTTAAACTAGTAGAATCAAGAAGGCACCCCGATAACGATTACCAGGTTCAGAGCTTTAATAGTTACGTAGACCGTCATTAGCCGCATGCCAGTGATACCCTGATCATCCATTGGGTGGGGAGCTATCCCATTGATCCACCCATTGCATTGCACACCTAAGGTAGCTTGGTGCACTAGCAAGTGAACAGGTACTCGCGACCAAACAAAAAACTGGCCTTCGGGCGCCCTGCGACGCCAATCACACTCCGAATTCCCCGTGATTCGATAACTTCCCCAATTGTATGTAAGTCAGGATGTAATTCCTCACGACGGAGTTCGGAGGCTGGCGGACCTTTTTTTCTTTCCTTTTCACATTCTAACTAGTGCTATAGCGCTCTCTGACTCGTCAGATCTCGCTGTGACACCGAGAGGAATGCTGACAAGCTTCCGCTCTCAAGCTCTTTTTGGTCTGCTTAAAAGGCCACGAACGTCCCTTGTTGGTCGAGGGGAGAAGTATCTTTCGTCTTTTTCGCCATTCCCATCCGTGCAATTGGTGTCGCAAGAAATAGAGTATCCATCTCCTAACAATTGAATATTAGTCCTTTAAAATACTAGAATAAAAAGTAAGTAGATTACTAACACTGAATTTTCCTTTCCTTCATTTTTTATTTCATCTTTTTTGTTTCTGTTGGTTGGTTTTCTTTGTTCGAATCCCTTGACCAGTATCGATCGGAGCGCGGCGAATTGCAAATGTTGTGGGGGAGCTGAGCTGCGAACGGAATAGCTGGCTGTACTGCATATCCGCATCTAGTCAACCTGGAACCACCCATAAGGTCCCAATTGATTAATCGCAACAGCTTCCCAATCAATTGGTATTCTATGAAATCGACTAGCCGTGCATACGTGTAAATTCCATAAATTAAAAAACAAAAAAAATCTCAACTTCACCGGCAGTTTGAGTATTACTCTTATATAGAATATAAGCTTGGTCGGGAGCTCTGCAGCTCTGGCTGATTATAAGCTTGATGTTCCACAAGAAACACCGTCAAATCCCTCGAATTGACGTCACTCCGCTACATTGTTGCATGTTACACAACTTCAGTCAAATCACATCAAATCATCAATCGAACTACATTCGATTGATAACACGTTAACACCTGGCTAACATATCTCCTATATCTGCCCCTGACATCTAGGAAATCAAATCCCTTTAGGAAACAAATATTAATACGGACACACATCCCATCCATCCATCATGGCGTCCCCAGATCAAGTCCTTCAGCAGATTCTCGCTGCCGTGAACTCTTTGCAGTCCGAAAACAAGTCCATCTCCGAAGCCGTCTCTACTCTCACAGACCGTGTCAACCGCTTGTCGATACAAACGGCTGCTCCACAAGCTATCACCGGCTCTCCTACCATTCAACCGATCTACAAATCCACCCTTGGTGTTTCTAGTCTCGGAGAATCTGCCAGACCTGGTTCGTCCGGTACACCCAGTGTTGAAGAAGCCAAAGGCGAAGTTGCAGCAAAGCAGAGGAGAGGCTCAATGTACGGGTCCAGGATTATCCTTACAACCTATCCTTCGCAGTCCGGGATCGATCCCATTGTTATGGACTGGGGGAACTCCGATCCCCAGAAGCGAGGTCCTGTTGTCGTGAACAGAGGGAATACTACTGTCAGGCGTAGAAATGGTAAATTCCCCTAATCCATCCTATACGATCTTCATCTACATAGTTTGGTGTATTTGTATCTTTAAAATCTAGGATTATATACTAATTATGGAACCATTTAGCTGTCGGAGCTCACGGCGGTAGCTACAGCTTCTACCACGCATTGGCCGTCGCCATCCAGGAATTATCCCTAGAACACAAGCCAGACTACACCAACACCGAACCAGCTGCCCAAATCGGTCCATATCCTCAATGGGGTGATGGCAAGAAGATCGTAGCCATGGACCCCTTCGGCCATCTGGCGCCATGGCTCTACAAGGACTTCATCGAAAAGGAAAACGTTGACATCCGTCCCACCATCGCCATCACAAAAGCCCACATGCGCCTTCCAGAACTAGAACAAAGTGTGAGATCTGGTCGTCTATCCGTTGACGGAAAGATCGTTCTCAACGAATTCGGTGAACTCGCCGTGACCAAGGTCGCTGTGGAGCCTGTATGGTATCTTCCAGGCGTCGCAGAGAGATTTGGAATCGATGAGGGACTCCTCCGTCGGTCGTTATTCGAAAACACCGGAGGTTCCTTCCCTGAATTGATCACTAGACAAGATATCAAGATCTTCATGCCACCAATTGGTGGACTTACAGTCTATATCTTTGGAGACCCAGCGAAGACCGCAGATCCCAATTGCAAGCTTGCCCTACGTATCCACGACGAGTGCAATGGATCCGATGTCTTTGGCTCTGATATCTGTACCTGCCGCCCATACCTCATCTTTGGTGTCGAAGAGGCAGTCAAAGAAGCCCAGAAAGGCGGCAGCGGTGTCGTCATCTACTTCAGGAAAGAAGGCAGAGCTTTGGGAGAGGTCACCAAGGTAAATTGGCGTTTAATCTGATTCAACTGCATCCCAATCAATGCTAATATCGAGCAGTATCTAGTTTACAACGCCCGTAAACGCGGCACCGACAAAGCCAGTGAATACTTCCAGCGTACTTCCAATATCGCAGGTGTTAAGGTATATCATATGTCTCCAACTCTCCGAATCGGCGCATATGGCGGAATCTAACAGTATCTTCGTTCAGGACATGCGATTCCAAGCTTTGATGCCTGATGTAAGTATAACAAGCCCTCACTATACATTCTGAAACGCCTCGTATCTAACACGTGTACATAGATTCTCCACTGGCTCGGTATCAGCAAGATCGATAGGATGCTATCGATGTCCAAGTAAGCCCCTCACGAAAGAGTCCCGTGCTTATCATTTTGCATGCAGGCCGCTGATAACTCTTACCAATCAAATAGCATGAAGCACGACGCTATCGTCGAACAAGGCATCCCGATCCTCGAACGGGTTCCTATCCCAGACGAAATGATCCCAGCAGACAGCCGTGTCGAAATCGACGCAAAGATTCATGCCGGATATTGTAGGCTTTCCCTTCTGAGAACACACACCCCGCTTTCAGCTCCCCGCTGTTCAATGCTCGCCAGGACGAACCGTCCGGGTTGCATATTCCCTCTCCTCTTTGTCATAAACAGAACTTAGTGCTGACCACACCGGTTACCCAATCCAGTCACCACCGGCAAAATCCTGTCCATTGACGAACTATCCAACGTCCAGGGCCGTACCTGGGAGGATGTTGATGTAAGTTTTTACCCTTCTTTCTTTCCGTAGTCATTCAACTCCCAGTTCCTCGCTCAGTCGGAGATATTCCAACAACATATCCACTTTTATACATTACGCCTTGCCTCCTCTTGTCTCTCGTGATACCCATTTTTGGTCGGGCCCACATGGGTATAACAATTGGCTAACTGTTCTGATAACCAATCTAGCATTAAATGCGGCATGGTCCTGCGTTATGCCTTTGTCCTGCCTTGGTTCTGGCTCTTTTTTGGCTTGCGTTATCTAGATACCGGCTGACCTTATGTATGCCACCCGCCGCATCGGCTGGAATGGGTCCATTGGTTGAAGGGGCATTTTTTCGACTCCCTGACCTTTTTATTTTATCTTTATTGGTTTTTTTCTGAAGGACTGTTAAGATCTTCTTTACGAAGTTAAGTTTTTTTCTTTTTTATTATCTATTTGTTCGGGAAGATTGGGGGTTATTTTTTTGGCTAAGAAGTATTGTTATTCTTCCCTTTGTATTTTTACTGTTGATGACCCATAGGCAACTGTGGGAGGATATATGTGTTCCTTTCGATTAGATATGGATGAAGAGAAGGAGATATGAAAAAAATTATTCATGACTACCAAACTATCAACATCCACGATACTACCTAATGAAGTGAAGCTAAACTAAGGCGCAGCTAGTATGCTCTAATATTAACACTAAGGTATTACTCACTTGAAGGATTAACTCTAGACGGTCTTTTTTTTACGTATGCACCGTCTCCTCGGGTCAACTAGCTGCTCTGCAAGAGATGCCACCGATCTAAACGGGCTTTTTTTCTCTCTCTTTCTTCAAAAGAGGCGTCTTTTTGTTACTGTCACTAGTATCCGATGCGAGTGATACCATGATACGGTAACGTGAACAGGGAAGGGCTTGTTCCGGTGCTTTGGGGGGGATTCCGGTGGCTTAGTTGAGTGCATGAAATATTAAAGACTTGTCGATATTTAGGATATTTAATGTAGTAATTCTGTGTCATTTGTTAAGGATTTAGAGTTTAAGACGGTGTTTCATTCATATGGCTTGTATAACTCGTTTATTTCGATTTAGATGATGATGGTGATGATGTATTCGGATCAGTCGGATGGTTAAAGGCTGGCTGGATGGGTAGTATATTATAATATAATAGATTCCGTGGAGACTAGGCTTGCTAAGAGGTATCTACTGTGAATATTGAAAGCAAAAGGTGTTGGGGTGTTGTAGGTTCTTTAGCACAAGTCCACCAGCGGACGTCGTTGACAAGTTACTTAATTAACTAGAACGGAACTTCGGGTCGACATGGGGCGGGTATTCTAAAGCGCGAGCTACGGAGAATTTGCTAATAGTCTCTCTCTCTTTTGTTCTTTTTTCTTTTAACTACCCCGGATTTTTGTATATCGGTCGTGGATTTTCGAACTAGCTGACTAGCTACCTACTACCCAGGAGGTATGTAGACCATACCGATCCAACCTCCTTGACATATCAATGAAAAGGGTCTATTTATAAAAATAGGTATTTTTTTAAAAATATTTTGGAGGTTATACGGATTTACTCGGGGTTTGAATTCCAGTTAACAGGATTGATTACCTAGTTTCACATACCTTTAAGCCATATATACTTACAAGTAACTAACTTATGTAAGTAAGTAGGTAGCTACCTAAATATCCAAAGGGATTTTTTTACCGTTTTCTCCAAAAGCTTACATAGTAAGCTCGAGCTCGAGCTCTTAGTTTAATACAACTTAAAGCCCGGTTTTATGTAAAAGCATGTAACGTGTACACCGCTCATATATGCATACGTACATACATGTGGAAGTATGTATACTATTCTTATTCTTATTCATAAGATCCGGTGACCGCTCACTCACTCACTAGACTGTACTCGGTCGATCTAGTCTTTTGGTATGTGAAAATCTATACGTATTGTATTATTCTTCTGGGGTTTTGTGAACTCCAGCTTGCAGCTTGCATAATTTCAACTGTGGGTCTTACATACAAACAAAAGAGGATTAAAGATTAATACCATCTGTATAAGTCAGTAAGCACAGTATGTGCTTACATCGAATATACTTCTTCGGCACGGTTATGCGTATGCGGTTGCGCGGCAGCCTGCCGGCGTTCGTTCGTTCGTTCGTTCGGGCATTCCTTCGTATGTTTAGATGACATGTCTACGACTTTATTTTTTATTTATTTTATAGTTGACGTATATAAGTACCTAGGTATATATAACATGTGCATTGCGAAATGATGGGATCATAGGAATTCTTGTTGACGTATATAATTTATAGATAAAGTAGGTCTACATTTCAACGGTCAGCTACATGAATCGAGAGTATATATATTAATCGAGCGATCTATGTTATATTATATCAGAGATAGCTAGATGAAAAATATTAAATCTTCGTTACTATGCTATCGCCGAATATCGAATTAGTATAGTACGAGAAGGAAAAAGGGTTTGTTTGTTTGGAAGCATGTTCTGGCCGGAGTTCTAGAGCTCAAGCTCGATGAACCCTTGCGTCAAGGCAAGAATTGAATCGAATCATACTACTTTATACTTCTTACATCCGAAAGATTCGCCTGAAACAAACAAACAAACAAAAAAACAAGGCCCACCATGCATACATGCAATATAGTCTTGTAGCTAGATGGCGATTAATTCTTTGATTCATGGATCAGAAGACCTTAGAAACAGAACGAACGAAAGGGAGACATCGAAAGAGTATCGTGATCATTGATTTTTCTTTCTTTCTATTCCCATCTCCTCAACACTACACCGACCGCAGAGCTGAAGGCGGTTAATACCATCATCATCTTTCATTCAATTGGTTCAAAAATCGACAAATGTTTCGTTCCATGCATGTGGTGGGGTGGATAACTCCGTACTCCGACATGACAAGAAACAAAACAAAAAAAATCACGAGACCATTCGTGGCTCCACGGCTTAAAATATTATATCCAAGCCAACGAAAATCAAGAAACCAATCTAAAAAGAGTATTTATTTCTATTTTGTGATTTAAATCGAATGCGAAAAAGTGTTTTTTGTTGGGAATCGATTGTTGTTCATGTATGTAAGATAAAAAAGAAGAATGATTCGGACGGTCTCCGTCTGAGATCCGGATAGAATCCAATTACAGTTAAAACGGTATCACAAAAGAAAGAATCAGCCACCTCGAATAATTATTATTTTTCTCTCCAAAACCTTCGGGGCCCCTGGGCTGGGGGGATTGCATATAGGAGAAATCCGCGGAAAAAAGTTCATGTCGAATAGAAATGAAAAAGAAACACCATCGACACGTATTAAACCCGTCTGTCTACAAGGGATGTATGCCTCGAGGAAAAGAAAGGGACAAAAAAGAACACCAAGCTAAGCAAGGGCTAAACGAAACATGTACATACATACATGCCGTGTATGTAGGTAGGTTCCAAGTCCACCTCCTCAAGAGAAAAAAACTTTGAAGAACGTAGAACACGGCTCGGAAAACGGGGGAAAATAAACAATCAATCAGTCGTTGCACAAGAAACTCGATTCGAAACGCATCCAAGGTCTATTAAAGCATAGATCATCTAAGTAGAGAACCATTGGAAACGAACAATTTGTTCCTTTCGTAAGATGCACATTCGCTTCTGCAAGATAGTTTAAGGCTGCACATTCCCTCGAAAAATGGTAGGGGAAGTGGTGCGAGGTAGATACTTAGATACAGGCATGGACTGGGGTAAGAAAAAAAAGATAATCATACAATCGTCATAATACTTCATTATAACGAACCAGTTTATAATCTAATTCAGTTGCATATTCGATTCGTCTAGAGCCGAACAAGAACCACTCAAGAACGTTACGTATACTATTAAAAAAAAAAAAAAAACGGCTCGGATATATTCAAGCTTGATTTTTTTTTACTTTTATGGGTGGGTATGCGATAACATATAACGATGTCGATAGACTGACATACTAGGATCTACTAGCGGTCGCAATAGGAAGTACAGTACTTCTCTGATATTTTAGCCGCCTTTAAGACTTTAAGGCTTGTTAGTTCCCACTAAAGCTCTCGGGGAAGAAGCTGGTGGATTCCGTAGTGAGTACATTGCCAACAGTAGTGTCGGCGTAGACGAGGTTTAAACATCCATATTGGCAACTATAGGTACTATTTTTCAACAAAGTTAGTCTAGCCCCGTCGGCGCACGGTGCATGTCTCTCCTTTAGTTATCAAAAACCAAAATCGTTGCTTCCAATGCATTGAAACTGCTTCGGTAAGTATGAAGATCCATGAAGATCGTAGAAATCGAAGATTTAGGATGCAAGGTTCTGCCGAAATATTGGAAAATAGTATCCACTCCGTGGGAATCGTTGGATAACGAAACGGTACAACGGGTAAACTTTAGAAGACTAAATCCATTTTTTCCCCCTTGTGAATGGTACTTGAAGCTTGGTACGAGTTGCCTGTAGAGTCGACGTCAATGGTACCGCGTATTCCGGTTTATCCAACTTTTATGATCGACGCTTCGAAGCGAACTAGCTGGGTTCATTGCGTCCAATTTGCATTGAAGCTCACCTATTAGCTCCAACGGCTCTCCTGGGTCTTCTCAGCCGGTGTTGCTCGGGTTTACTCTATATGGTATGGTTGTAGTTTGTGATCACAGTACATACATACATCGTACGTACATACATCGTACGTACATACATACATCGACATTACATATGCGAAGTAAGGTAAATCCACACCCACCCACCCCTGCGAGCTGCCTTGCTTGCCGATGCGATGACTGCATGGGAGGCTTTGTCCCCGCGAGCAAGAAGTCTTCCAATCGTAAACCTGACAGGATACGAAAGAAAAAAAATGTGGAGGGTAATCGCCAATGGGAAGGCTTTCGATTGACTCTCTAGTTGACAAGGATATATTCTGATGTCGTACCTGCAAGGTGACGGATAGCACCGCGTGATCGCATACGTTGTTTTCTCGACTTTGCGTGGGATTTCATTCCCTCAACTGCCTAAAAAACTAGTAGTATGTAATGACGAGTGGCGTAAATACCTTCGTTCACGGTATTTTCACCTTACAAACACTTCACCCCCCTTAACTTGACTTTGGCAATATATGGCTGGTGCGTCATAGGCAGAAAGCTTGGATTTTTATTTTGTTTAGGAAACTGTGATAGGCTGACAACTTCGAGAAAGTGAATCGAGGTTCATGGATCGCGTATGTTGCCAGGGATCTGGGGGAAATGTTGAAACCGGCGGCCGGGGATTTCGACGATCCTTCTTTCTCCAAAAAAAAAAAAAAAAAAAGCTTCTTCCAAACTCCCTTTCAAAGAAGGTGTATACGGCAGTACGGAAAACTCCAAGGACAAAAATCACAGGCCTATCACATCATCGGTCCGTGAAGCTTTTCCTAGGCTCGTGCTGTTAATTTTTTTCCTTTCCGGAATATTTTCCATATGATTTTTCGGAAAAAAAAGAATAAGCACCCGTTTGGTTAGCGTAACATTAACGTAACCTAGCTTCGAAGGCCTCCCATATTCATCGACGTGTTATAAACTTTAAAAGAAACAACCCCCAAACAAAGACGAAAGAACAGGTGAAGAGTGGGTATTCCACGTCGTTTGTTTTGGAAACTAGACTCGAAAGCTCCATTAGAACCTTGGAGTTGGGATATCCCACATGGGCGTGGGTGATCCGGGGGATCCACGAAGACTCTGCGCCTGCCTATGAGCTTGCGACATGCAATAAGATGTGATCTTCTGCACCAGGACATCGCCAAAATCAGCCAGTCGCACGCGAAAGAAGCGACAGACCCACGAGGACATGTGCAGCAGCGTTTAATAGGTCATCCCACTCGAAAGGAATAGCACCCCCCAAAGTAATAATAATAATAATAAATTAACACACGGAGTGTTTGTCGCGAGTGAATAATGAGTTTCGGCGAAGCGACAAAACGAATCGAGTAACAAACAGAGGGGGAGGAAATGGCGAATAGGATGTGATGATATTGCTTCTGATGGTTTGCTTGAAGGGCGACGTACACATTACACTCACACATGCACCCGATACATCCCACGACCCCATCGCGCATCGTGGGGGTTATACATTTGAGAGAAATGCGGTCGATGACCGATGGAAGAGGCAGCTGCAGATAATTTCGGGGAATAATTTTCCAGAATTGAATCCGCAGTAAAAGGCGACTTTTTCAGACGATTGCGGTCTGGTCATGCTCTTGCCATTTCGTCGGTTTGCATGATCGTGAATTCTTTTTCTCCGGGCTGGGATGTATTTTTGGGTTTCTTTCTCTTCTCTTTTGGGTTTTAAACGTTTTCGATCCCATTTTTGGGGCGGTTTCAGGTACGGCTGGATCGCGCTTGCAAGGGCCGACGGATGGCCCATCGATGGGTAGGTATCGAGCCAGCCCGAGTTTCAGTAGTGTTCCCTGGGAATGGGAGGTCTAATTGCATTATATTGTAAGGGATCATGAATCATGAATCCAAGTCACTAAATAAAGAAGTTCCACTGTTGTGTTCCCAGTCAGCATGGCTTATTTGCATTCTGGTGGGGATATTTAATATTTGTTTGAATCGAAAAGAAAAAAAATCCAGGAACATCGAACAGGATGTCTGGTTTTGGCTTGACAGTATTCGCCGTCGTCTCACGCTCGCAACACAAATCCTGCCCTTGCCAGGGGGGCTGAGATTCGATCGAGCCTCGGGGGGCTTATACGAGTTTCTATAGATGTATTCAATCCCTAGTCTTTCCCTCCAGTGTTACATGGAAAGTTCAAAGTTCCAACCGGAGGGATGGCCATGGCATCCAACGGTTACAGATGGCGATGCGATGGCGGGACAGAAGAAAAAGAATCTTGACTCTCACATCATTGTCACCTAGTACATTCGTATACCGAGGCGACCGTACTCTGTATGTATATTGGAATTCCATGATTCGAAACCACATTCATCCGGTTCAAAATATTCCAGCGGTCGCATTGGTCCGTCGATTCCAACATTCCTGGAATCTGTTTCTCGTGCGTGAATCGAAGCCCATCGATTCACGGAAGCATTGCATTGTTCCGTCGCTCCTTCGCTTGAACCTTGCATCTACTTTTTCTGTTGCCTCATCTGGATCCCCGTTGTGCCTTTTTACCCTCAGATCCGAATGCTCATTAACCTTCAAGGACCGAGGTTTTTCCAGAATGAACACCTGGCAAGGGTGGGTTGTCAAGATGATACTGGGCATAATGTTCCTGAAAGGCAATTTGTTCAATCAATACAATTTCCAATATGTCACCTGAGCGTAATACTTACTTACATACATGCACGCAGGTCTCATCGTTGTGTATACATGTAAGAAGTATGTGTAGGTAGACGTTCACATTTTTTTTTGTTTTTGTCGTCGGCTTCAAAGACTGAAATCCGCGAGCCTGGGACAGGCAGCCTTTACCCGGCGTCTTCCGTTCACTGAAGATGGTTTTCACGTCGACCTTGGCCCTCCGGTAACCCTAGGCTGAATATAGCATGAAGCGCATCGAAGTTCTTTTTGTGAGAATACCACATCGCCGTGAAGAGTCGGTCGTAGCCAGTCCTGTCTCGGACAGCAGAAATGCCTCGAATAGATAATCCAACTGGGTTCTGAACAGAAATCCCATTTGGCCGTGAGGGAATAACCTCTTTCGGTTTTTCATTTTTCATTTTTTCTCATTTGTCTTTTTATTTTTCGACAGGGGCATCGATTGCTTTTTTCCCCGCAAAGACAATATCGGAATTGAGAAAGAGGGGACACAAGAGATCTCGAAGAGCCGATTTAATTATCGTGAGTTTCAGCAACGTCATGATCATATGAGATCTCGAAATTTTCTTTCCGTGGCTTTGGTAAAAAGGGGAGAATTATCGTGCCCTGGTTCCTGGCTTGCACTCTGTTTGCTGCAGTGTGAAAGGCACCGTCGTCTGTGTCCTTCTCCACAGATTTAGACGATAACTGCTAATGTAATGCCCACTTTGTACCCCTGAGCAAGCATAATGTATGTGAAGTGGCCATCACGAACGCCCGCCATCTCTCGGTCCGAGGATGGCCATGGGATGGGGATACTTACATGCAGACACACACACGAACACAATAAATCGAATCCAACAGCAATCCTCGGGGCTTGCTGGCCCACACCACCATCACATTGCTTCTGCTTCAAGACACCAAAAAGCCTTCTGTTCCATTCGTCGGGAAAGTGTCGCTGGTTCCAGTTGGCTCTCCCAGAACTGGGCAGGGGGAACATGCTAACAACTCATGCATCTCTTTCCTCCTCTTCTCCATCATGTTGGCACACAGCCGTCTCCACCCTCTTTCCTTTTCCTTTTTCACCCCAACAGTAACGGTACATGCAACGACCCATGGGGGGGGTCTAACCAGGAGGGGGAAGGGGGGGAATCGAAGAGAAAAAGTAAACAAGCGGTGGCAGACCAAGGACCAGAAGCTGACAATTTTCCACGCTATGGACAGCTAAGCAAGAGTGTGAGAGGTAGGGCATGGGTATGTAGGGGTCCGGACACACACAACTGGCACACAGCAAACCAGAGCAAGGCAAAAAGCAGGCCAGTCTCGCTGCCAGCAAGCAAGCGCAGCAAAGCACAGCAGGGCCAGCCCGCCAGCAGTTAGTGTGAGTGAACGTGAGTGTGAGTGAATGAGTGAGGTCCAGTCTGGTCCAGTCTGGGTGGTCTGGTCTGGTCTGGTATGGTATGGGAGGTGTGTGTGTGTGATGGTATGGTCTGGTTAACAGCTTACAAAAAGGGCACCCTTCTCCCAGTGCGTTGGCACACAACCTCCCTTTGCGGCCTCAGACTTCCCCTTCGTATATAAATTATATATATAGCAGTGACTGTGCCTGTTATTCCGACACTCCGGGTATCTTCCAGAAATTGCAATTCAAAATTACAATCCTCTTTATTCAGAAACAATATACTACATTCTTGTCGATAGAGAAAAGCCTGGTATCTTCGTCATATTCCCGATTTGAAATCAAAAAAAGCATTCTCATTCCGACCTTCACCTGCAAACGAATATAAACTACGACTCTCGCCTTCCCAGGACCCAACCTGTCGATCTTATTATCTACGCTCTCAGAAAGAAAAAAAAGGCTTCCGACATTTGGTGTATTGAACATCAACCCAGAGGACTATATATGTTCGAAGGCTATTGCTTTGTGTCTCCGACCTTGTTTTCCTGTTGATACACCATAGATTGGTCCGGAGTTCTTTCCATAGATCGTCCTCACCAAAAAGCATATATACAATACATACAAACTCAAACATCACTACTACAAAATGTTTATCTCATTACCAACTCCAGTCATCCTCAGCTCTGTCGCTGCTGCAAAGCGAAGGCCACCACTGACACCACCATCAGTGATCCCTCCTTGCGTTACAGCACAATGCTCGTCGGTGCAGCAGTCTGGCCGGGACAGGTGTCGAAGTCCCTCCAGGTCAGCAGTTGCGTATTTGGCCCGAGTATCCAGCTCTCCAAATTCGCCTACATTATCATCAATGACGAATACGTCAGCCTTGCCGACTCCTTCGTCGTTCTCTGTCAACACTCCCACTTCTACTCCATCTTCATCACCATCTGAAGGATGTCATTTCCCCTTCGGTTCTGAACGACAGCTACCATGCCTATCGAAGTCGGACGGACAATATGTTAGCTTCCCAAGCTTCGACGAACTTTATGGCGAATTCCCAGATGATGATGAAGATTCGAAACAGTAATTCTTCTCGTCACCATCGAGCCTCCCTTTTTTCAATCTTTCATTCTTCATTCCTTTTCAAATATTATTGCCTCGGAAATACTCTAATAATCATCATTTGGACCATTTACAATCCTTCAATAACCACTTTTCCTATGTCTACTATTTCATCACTTTAAGGATAACTCCTGGACTCTTTCCTTGCCATCAGCAAACCTGGACTCTTCGGCGTTTTTCCTTACCACTTTTTATCCTGGGTATGGGTTTTATTAAACCCGGCGTTATTCCTTTCCTTCAACCACATACCACGGACGGCTCATTTTTTTCCTTCTTCTTATTCTTTCTCACCCGGCGTAAAAACTTCAAACGGATATCTCCTCTTCTTCCTTGCCTCAGGATTGATTGCTTGCGGGAGTATCCTTCTCTCTTCGAAACTCAAACGGCGTTTATAAGTGTATTCTTGTTTTCATTATCTTATTGGGAAGTTATATTTAGCGAAGTCTCTCACACCAAAAATCCACCTCTTGTAATTAGCTTAGCCTTTCTTCACTGGTCCAAAGTGCTTGGATCCAGTAGAAAACAAATATGTTCCTGTTTTAAAAATGGAAAAAATTCCTCCTTACATTCTACTTCTGTTCTTGTTTCCCACAAACAAAAAACAATCTCCAGTATTTTTATGAATGATACGATTGTAACGACTGAAAACCGTCCTTCAAATTTTTTGTTTTTTTACTTCTCGCTTGGAAGTCTTTGCTATTGGTTACGATATCTGCTTTTGGGGGTATTCTTCGAATCAATGGCGTTCTAGTGTATATTTTTTCTCACCATTGGGTTTTCGGCGGAAAACGATGGTAGTATCTGTATGGGTTCAACATTTTGATTCCACATGTATGAAAAAAATATCAATAACCTTCTATACGATGACTTTAATTTTTCTCGGCTTTCAAAACTTTCTATTGGACTTCGATAATTCCCTTGAAAACCTAGAATTTTGTAAACCTAGAATAAAATAATACTCTACTCGAGCACGAGGTCGCATTCTTTCGACTCATACGATATCCTGTGATCCGCTTTCATACTTACAATCACGAAACCGACGAATAAAAGTTATGTTTGATATCTACTTGTTTACCGTACATCCAATAATAAAAGTTTAAGTTTACGAAGCTCTATCATGATATTCTCCCCCCACTCTAGATCCTGTACCTTGTTCTCACTGGTTGTCCGTACCTAGGTTTCCCTCATCGGCGGGCTCCACAGGGCTATGGGTCGACGGGACAGGCATCTGTCAGTCGCAAGACGATGAACGTGCTCCTCCGCATCTCCGAAGCTTAAAGGGAAAAAATTTTCGTGTTAACGAAAATGTGGGGATATCTTGTCTTGAAGCTTTGGCCGCGCGCGCAACCCCAAGCTTTGTGGTGGTTGTGATGATGATGGCGTGAGCTTCCTTCCAGACTATTGGGTGAGACACTGGGGTAGAAGCTTCTGCCCGGGAACTTTTGCTCGCCTGTTATCGATCTGCCTTACAGGCGGCACAATATAAGTGTGGAGGAGCCAAAGCAGAAAAGCAGCAATTTTGTGCATGAGGGAGGTAAGAAAGCATACATAGATAGTAACGTGGAGGTGTGTGTGGGAGAACCAGTGCGGCTGTCAAAAGGTCATCCCGCGCCTTCCGTCTATTTCGGTATGATTTGCATGAGCAGATAGAAAAAAAAAGACGGCAAAGCAGGGCTTTACTTGCAATTGGATGCGGAGTTTTGCCGCTCCATTTCTACTCGTCGGAAAGATCTTAAGAGAATAATAATTCTGGTGATGGTGTTGATGGTGTTGCAATATTCGAGTTTAACCATCTTCCCGCCTCAAAGAGATGCATTGCAGGCGGTATATTTGCTATTCGCCTGAAAGGTGTCTATAAGATTCATTTGATATGCTCCAATTCCTCGGCGGCCATCAGGGAAAACTTTCAGAAGGATGGGAAAACTTTTTGCAATGGGCACTTGCAAGCTTGTGTCGCCGTTGTCCCTTCAATCCGATCTTCTCCGCATCGTGTAACAGCATACCAGCGTCTTTGCCAGCTCCCCCTGCGGGAACTGGAAGATTTCCTTGTCGACATCCCGAAGAAGAAGAAAAATGTCTAGAATTCTTTAATAGAAGGCAGGGAAACGAATCAAATGCAAAAGTCACGTTACAAGAGCTCTCCTCGTCGGTTGAACGAATCAGAAAAAAACTTCACGTCGCGCATATGTGGTATTTTTTTTTTCTTTCTTCTTTCGGGCATCTCACGACTACAGGCCTACCGGTATTCTTGTTTTTCCACACAGCTTTCGAGCGGGGCAAGGAGAAAAAGCAGACGATAGATGCCTGCTCTTCTTTCTCTCCCCTGATTTCTGGCCAGTTAGCTGTGCATGTATGCAATGTATATGTAGCCTGTAAGCCGACGTGCTTTTTGCCTTTTACAGTGGCCCTTGTGTCCATACAGAAATGAGGGGAACTCGAAGCACAAGAGGGAAAACGTCGAGTTCCGCTTCGCTTGTAAACCTGGGAAAACTTTTTGGACGAGTAGCATCACGACACGCAGGTTGTGTTGCTCCTCTTCTTCCTTGTCGTCTTTGCTGTGGTTTTGGCAGCTCTTCGCTCCCCTCCATGCCCCCAACCACCGAACCCTGGTGGGATCCGCTTCAACTTGCGCTCTCGTTTCCCCACCTGATCACTCTTGTGTACTTTGGCTCGGCATGGAAATGGATATCATAGGCCCAATTGTTCAATGCGATGGCTTGCTCGCTCGGTAGGCATCACCATCGTGTTTACATTTTCCTCACACGGGACGAAGTTGACAAGCATGACTTTGCTTTGCATAAACCATGATACATATTCTATCGTGCCTGTTGGCCTCGGCTCCTCTCCCACCCCCGGCGTAAGTTAAACGGCTCATATAATAGATTCTGATAATATACACATCTGCCCCGGGAAATCCAAACATCGGGTAATTCTCATCCCGTCCGAAGATAATTACTCCATAATCCCACCGAACTGGACAGCCCGTGCGTGGTGGTGTGCGTGTGCGTGTGTGCGTGTGGAGAGAGCTTAAAGAATTTCTCCCCCCCAAAGAAAAAACAAAAGCTATTGCGTGAGAAAAGTGGATTTCAAATCCGACGATGTTGACGAGAATTTTCGGCTTCCTCGGGCTTTTCGACGAATGAGACGGCTATGACAACTCCGTATACGTACTCCGTACGATTTTGTCCCCACGCTCCGGCCGACCGGTCAATCCCGTCTTACCATCTTTCCGAGTCACACCGTGCCGTGCTCAAGTTTTTTTTCTCTTCAGCTACGGATCCTACCTCATGTGCCGAGTCGAACTCCTCTCAATCTCGTCTTTTCGTGCTTTCAGGTGGAGTCGAGCATCATCTACAGGCAATTGGGAGTGACTGTCTTCCTGTAGACTCCCGAAGACACCAGAAGTCCTCTAGATTCTCCTAATTTGGCTTAGAGCCTGATTACTCATGTCCATCTCCCTTCTGTTCCCTGCTTTGGCCTGGGCGTAGTACAAATTGTTAGGATCCTACCTAAGAGTTTTTGCCCTTGCATTCTGATTCGATAGATGTGGTGAATTAGATAAGTCACGTATAACCTTATGCTTGTCTAACCGATGGCAAGTTAAGTTGGCATTTCTGTCAAAAATAGGTGATTCAAAATCATGGATGTAAGTCTGATGTGATCGTTACAATTCATGCTATCTTGTTTTTATTTTTATTTTTATTTTTATCTTTCCTTCTTTCTTTCTCTCTTTTCTTGCCTAGCTTTCGACAATGTTCCAGTCGCAACTGGCGATGTTTAGCGAAGCTCAAGCTTAACCGCCACAGCAGCTCACCATACTGTTTCTCACCGCCAAGTCCGAAGCTTCGATGGATTGAACCGAACACTCCCTACCTCTGCCTTTGGTAACCTCACCTGATATTCGGAGCTGCCCTATCTTTCCCCCTGAAGAACATATATTGCTTAAGTGTTAGTCTTAAGAGTAATACATGCAGTAAGCAAAAATTACTCTAGTATCTCCCGGATTTGTCTAAAGTACCAGCCACTAAAATCCTACTGCGATCACTTAACCTAACGCGCGTACAGACGCATGCACATAGCCAATACAATGGAAGGTCGATCATGAGGGTGACCATAATAAAAAAAAAACTAAAAACGGCCTCAAAGGCTAGGTAGAGTTAAGATACCTGAGAATCTAGGTGGATCGAAGCTCTTCAGGCTGATACAAATCACATTCGAGCTAAATATCAAAACTTCCCTTTATCGAACTAGATGGCGTTTACTGTGTATGTATCTTATGCAAAGGATCGTCAACCCTATCACACGCTAGATCGTTTAATTAAGGACTTAGGACTTAAGTATCCTCTTTGAGGCGGCAGATGATCAATGCTCAATTCGCTGTGAGGCTTGTCGGCTCCATTCGCATTGGCGTATATGTGTCTAGTTGACATGGTTCTGTTATACCGAAGGATCAGCATAATCGAACGGGAGAGCAATAAACAGGCTATAAGCGAGTTCTCGACTATGGATGCCGTGTCAATCATTATCAATATCTCCAACTGTTTCATAAGGCTGTGCAATTCAATCATATCAGTTGGTTTTGAGGCTATAAGCTGTTAAAAAATCAAAAAATCAAAAAAAAAATCAAGTGCTATGTGTGAGAGCTTGTGAGCTCAAGCTCGCTAATGTTCAAAGCTGGGGAGCTAAGAGCTGTCAAATGTGTGATTGCAATTGGGGTGCATGATAGTGCGAGTTCCTGTCGAACATCTCAAACACGAGCTCAGGTTGCTTTAACTGCTCGTCAAGTTAAGTGAATATATCACTCACACCATCTTTTGCGAATAACGAAAATAAATGGAACTTGATCCAGCTCGATTTTCACCAACATCATGCATTGGAACCCAAGTGTTTTTTCTTTCCCTTGGGCTTGAAGCCACCGCAAAGCGGCAATGGAGGATTGAGCCGTTTCGACGTCCCGCTCATGCT